CCCACCCACGTGGGAGCTGCAGGGTGGCGGAGGCACGTGCTGTGTCACGGCGGTGGCCGTGTGAGTGTTTGTGTTTCCCGTTGTTTGCTCTCCGCCGTTGCCACCAGCGCCGTGATTGCGCGCGCCCTGCAGGGGCTGAGCCGCGTGCCGTCGCGTCTGTAAACAGCGCGGGGGGCGCAGGGGGGCATAGGGGGCGGCGAGCAGCGAGCGATCCCGTTCGTTATTTACCTTTTTCATCTACCCCCCCCCCCCAAATGTCACTCAACCCCCCCCGCCCCTCCCCCGCACCATGGTGAGAAGCCTCCAACACCGACGACCGTCATCGTCCGGGATCCGGTTCATCCACAGCCGGTTGCCGTGAGCGCACCGGTCTGTGCTACGGAGTGTGTGCGCGTGTCATCTGCACCGGTCCTATCTACGTACCCCTAGATCGACTCGGCCTCAAATGAGTGCCCGGTGCGATCCGTAAACATCGTGCACGGTTCTGGCCACACCGCCCCTCTTGCCTCGTTGCCACCTTGACGGGTGCTGGCTAACAGCACTTTGCCCCAAACAGCCTGTGTGGGCTACATGGAGGATCTGCCACTGATGCAACCGCCTGTGTGCGCGCGTGCGTGTGCGTTACGGGCGCATCTGTCTGTGCGTCCATGCTGCTATAAAAGCATCTGTCCACATTCGCGCGCGCTTGTCCCTGATGCGGGAGGAGGGGAGTCTGTGTGACGGCCACTGCTGGAGGCGTCTTCTGCTAAACGTCCGCGCGTGATTCACGGCCCGCGGCGTCACGAACGCGCTCATCAGCGTCAGCGCCATCAACGGCCCCTTCATCTCACCGCCAGCATGAGCGTGCGGTGTGTGCACGTGTGCACCCTGCACACACCGCACCCGAGTTGACGCGGCCGAGCAGTGGCGCATTTGCCGATCGTCGCAGATGTTCGCGGTTGGAGACCAGCGGCCGCCCAGGTTAATACTGCGGTTGCGCGTTCCCCACTCGCGCTCTCCGCGCCGTTCCGCTTCTCGGACGGGCGTTAAAACGATCTCGCGACGCCGCTCGAAAAAGAGGAGCGTCCGTGTGGCCGGTGGCTCGATCGTAGCCAGCGGTGACGAGGGCGACGACGGAGCGCGACGCTCATCCTCACGGCGCCACGGGCACAGGAACGACGGGGAGGTGTCTGCGCTCTGCAGCAAACGCTTCGAGACAACAGATGGAGGAAGCACGGCAGCTGCTGCTGCCGCTGCGAGACGACTCCGCGGAGATGATCGAAAGCACCAAGCGACCATCGGCTCGAGTGCGCCGGCGGCGTCCCGGTTGTGGGGGGGCATGGGCCAGCGCGAGTCGAGCACTGAAGGGCCCCCCCCCCCCCCCCCCCCCCCCCCCCCCCCCCCCCCCCCCCCCCCCCCCCCCCCCCCCCCCCGGGTGCTCACGGTCGGCGGCTGCGACTCGCTCTGTTCGGCACGGCACGATCGCGCGCCGAGCGTCCCCGCGCCGTGAGCCTGGCCACCCGATTTTGATTCCCGGTCACGGCCGACTTCGGTGGCGAACGACATCAGAACCGGTCGCGCCTTCTCTCGACACTTCACCGAACCGCACTGACCGGCTTGGTAAAGTATGGCCGAACAACCCCCCACGACCGATGCGGTATCGGGAGACCCTCATCAAGCAGTGGATTGAGAACAGCTGGATTTCATTATTATTTTGTTTTACCTGCGGCCTAAGAACGCTCTTTGCAGAATAGGCCTCGTGTCCATTAGTGCAGCAATGTTTGACCCTGGGTAAGCCACGGATTGACCGCAATTCGTCACCAGCGACCTTCACACGCGGTGACAGAACGACCGGAGGACCAGCAGGTCAGCCGAGAAAACATCTGCGCCGGCGCGATCGTTTGTACCTGCGCACGTTGACGGTCCCAGGGGAGTTGGGGCCTGGACTCTTGGGGGTGGGGGGGGCAGCAGCGTTGTTTTTGCAGCGCAAGGGTTACGGTGACCTCCTGTGGCTCACATTCCTATGGCGGACAAGGGCGAGTCTCTCCATGGGACAACTGCCCGTTGACTACCCCACAAAGTGGTAGTCACTTCATCGGAGAGAGGATGACGGGCTGAGTGAACCCTCCAACGAGGGGGATTTGAACTCGCGACCTTCCGATCGCGGGCCGCTCGCCGTGGCGCCGAGACACAGGGGTAGAGCGGAGCGGGGAGAGCGGCCCGGAGGGGAGGATGCGGCAGGGGCCTGGGGAGAGTTGGCCAGCAGATTGGCAGGCGGTGCGATGAGAGGTAGGAAAATGTTACGCGGATTAGCGCGGTCAAACCGGGAGAGATATTGCGCAGCGGCAAACACGCCCCGACTTGAAATCGCGAAGGCGGTGGCGGCGGTGACCGATGGAAATTAAATTAAGAAAATGTGGAGGGAATGTTTTGAGAGTTTAATGCGCAGAGAGAGCGATGTCTGAGCCAGAAGGCCGCGTGGCTGATGGGGTGTGAACGAGTGCTCTTGTTGTGTGGAGGAACGGGACGGTGTCAACTCGTGTGGACATCTCGCTGCCTGGGTCGCACCGCGTTGACCTCCGTGCAGCTCGAGAGGAGGCGAGAAGTCACCGGGCGCGGTGGTGACGCGCACGCCAGGCCACACGGAGGCGAGGGTTGGCGGATCGACCAGAGATATGCGCGACTCCAAAACTCGTCGAAAGATTCGAGGTCGCAAGGAGGTGGCAGTAGAGCAAGAGGGTTCTGGAAGCCATCTGTGCTGGGAGCAACCCAAGCGTTTGAGTTGAGGGTCAGTATGATAAGCTTTAGTGGGGTGATTCCTGATGCATCGGTGTCTGTCTCCCGCTTACTGCCCTAAGCCAGTTGTGGAAATTCCACATTCCTATGGCGGGGAAACCACCGTTGACTTAACCCACGAAGTGGCATTGATTTTATCGACGCCGGTGAGATGATGGGCGAATTCAACCCCCCCACCACAACCAGGATTTGACCTCACGACCTTCCGATTGCACGGCGCTCGCTCCATGGCCAAGCTGCGTGGCCAGATAATCGCCATCGAGATCGCAGGGCATAGCGGTTGGGAGCGCGGGCACCAGAGGGGAAGCAGATGGTTCTGGGAGCAAGGAGGAGGCAAAGCCCGCGGTGCAGTGTCTGCTGCCGCCCGCGAATCCTTACGACCACGGCCCCCCCCAGCGCCTCCCAGCGCCCCTCTGCTCTTCCACTTCTCCAGTCGGCGTGCTCCTCCTACGCACGTCCGAGTCGACTCATGCTCCCGATCTCCACCACTTGAGAGTTTCGCCCACCGCACGTTCCTCCTCTCCCTCTCTCGGCGAATGAAACTCGGCTCGCTGGGTTCTGTCCTCAGTGCGCCAACCGCTACGCCACCGCTCCCTCTGCCCGCGTGGGTTTCCTCCAGGTTCCCCAGTTTTTGTTCACGAGCAAAAACTCCCACCCCCAAAAAAATATAATTCGACCAAACATCCCACCGGAGCAGGATTCTCCTGAACAACAAGTCTTGGGACTCGCCAAGGCTCCCCTGCATGCATGTAGAGTAAATGGCGTTGGTATTAGAGTTGCCTTCGACATCATCTCCCAGAATGCATCGCACCTCACAAAGCCAGGCAGGCTGGGGCCTGGTGAGCGTGTGAATACAGGCCACGCCGTGAGCAGCAGAGGGTAATGCAGCAAACCCATTGTTGGACTGTTCTCTCCGTGCTCCCTCGTGCGTACTCCCCGCCATCACCAACCCGCCCTGGCCCGCAAGGTGAGGCACGGTCAAACAACCCCCGCCACCCGCACGGACACGGGAGGCCCTCATCCAGCAGTGGATCAGCAAAAGGGTCGGGGCACGGGCACCACTGTCATTACTCTTTGCCTGCACGGCTCCCATTGGCTAATTGGGCGAGGGTCAAACTCGCTCTTGACCTCACTCGAGTCTCACCACGTGTGGTGGGGCACACGCGCCCCCTGGCGGTGACGGGCGGTGAGGGGGGGCAGCACAACGGCCTCGGGGGGGGGGGGGCGGGGTTTCCAACGCAGAATATCAGCGGTGCCGGCTCGGTGTCTCTGACATGGCCATTGTGAACCATCTGAGCTACCCGGGCAAAGACAAAGAACCCCTATATAGCCTTAACATACTATTGGGGCAAGTGCTGTTAGCGAGCACCTATGAAGGCCGGCAAGGCACACGAGGGGGGTGTGTGGCCAACACCACGCCCGGCCGCCTTTGTCTCCCCAGTGGCGATGTTTACGCACCGCACCAGGTACTTTTTTGAGGCCGAGTCGATCTACGGGAGGCCCAGGACCGATTCAAATAAGTCACTGGTGTTGCCCGTGAGCGGGAATCGAACCCAGGTCGCCAGGTTCATAGCGCAGTGCGTGAACCACTACACTACCGCTCCCCACAAGCTACCCGAGCTCCACAGCATCAACATGCATTTAGATTATTTTGTTGCTAAAAATGTCCAAAATGATGGGCGACTTTGTTGAGCTACCATTTGTGGCCAGGTCGCTTCTGAAATATAAGTTAATACCTCAGTGTTAATTTTCTATGTGTCTGGGTCATTTGTTTACCTTTCTTGTACTTTGCACTACTATCACGTGTTTGTACTGTTTACTGGACATCTGTGAAAAAGAGCTTCATAGATCATTGGATTCCTCCAGTATAATGACATATTTTTGATTCTGAACTGCTAAAGTTCATCACAACCGCACTCCTCCTCTCCCCTCCGCACCGTCACCCGCCCTCACCACACCCGACACTCATCTCACCGTAACGCACACCCACCCCCCCACCCCCTTTACTCACAAGCCCACACTCACCATCCCCATCAGCACCCCAGCTCCCCGCACACTCACACTGCCCTCACCCATAGCGACCACAACCGCGCTGTCACCCTCCCATGAACACCCACACCTCACCACACCCACACCCCCTCTCCGCACCCTCTCCCTCATCCACAGCCCCTCCAAACTGCCACCCATCCTCACCAACACCCCCCCCCCCGTCCCCCCCACTCCACCTGCAGGCGAAGTAGAGCGGCGTGGCACCCGATACGTTGGGCCGGTTGATGTCTGCGCCACTGTCCAGGAGGCACAGAACGGTCTGTGGGGACACACGCAGACAGCTCCTCACCACCTGTCTCCCCGTGTCCCCCCTCGTGGCCCCCCGTGCCGACCCATGTCCCCAAATGCCCCCCGTGTCCCCGTGCTCCCCCCCATGCCCTCCCGTTCTCCACCGTACCCCCCGTACCCACGTACCGAGCGGTGCCCGTTCTGGCAGGCGACGTGCAGCGCCGTCTGGCCCTGTGCATCCTCAACGTCCACGTCGCTCACGTGCTGCACCAGGTCGTGCAACAGCTCTGTGCGCCCGTTCACCGCCAGCCAGTGGATCTGCGGGGTCACGGAATGACCGAGTGATCCCTCGTGACCCCTAGTGACCCCTCGTGACCCAGTGACCCCATGTGACCCACGACAACCTCACGTGGCTCCATTAAACCAATCGCCGCAGCCAGCGAATATCAGGTGTTGTCACGTAACCGTATGAATTCTAGTGTGACCCACGTGACCTTTCGCGACCCAACGAGACCGAGAGTGGCAGGCCAACAAGAGGCTCTGGCCCCTGACTACCCTCAGGGACGGTCACCCACTCTCTCTCGTCGCCCCCCCTCTCTCGTTGCCCGCTCTCTCTCGTCGCCCCCTCTCTCGTGTCGCCCCCTCTCTCGTGTTGCCCGCTCTCTCTCGTCGCCCCCTCTCTCTTGTCGCCCGCTCTCTCTTAGCGGGTCCTCTCTTGTGGCACCCTGCTCGCGGTGAGGGGTGAGCGGTGGTGAGCGGTGGTGAGCGGAGCATCTCACTGCGGTGAGGCCCTCGTTGTTGCAGATGTTGACGTCGGCATTGAACTCGAGCAGCTTCGACATGCACTTCTTCTGCCTACACATGCATGCACATACACAAAGACAAAGATCCCCCATATAGCCTTAACAGACTGTTGGGGAAAGTGCTTTTAGCGAGCACCTATGAAGGCCGGCACGGCACACGAGGGGGTGGGTGGCCAACACCACGCCCGGCCGCCTTTGTCTCCCCAGTGGCGATGTGTACGCACCGTACCAGCTCCTCACTTGATGCTGAGTCGACCTAGGGGAGGCTCAGGACCTGTTCAGATAATCGTCACTGGTATTGGCTGTGAGCGGGAATCGAACTCAGGCCGCTGGGTTCATAGCGCAGCGCGCTAACCACTACACTACCGCTTCTTCTGCCTACACACACACATACGCACACATACACACACGCACACAAACAGATACCTATGAAGGCTGGCATGGCACACGAGGGGATTGAGTGGCCAATACCACGTCCAGCCGCCTTTGTCTCTCAAATAGCGTTGTTTACACACCGCACCAGGTACTCAATTGAGACTGAGTCGACCTCGGGGAGGCCCAGCACAAGTTCGGATAATCGCCACCGGTGTTGGCCGCGAGAGGGAATCAAACTCGGGTCGCCGGGTTCGTAGCGCAACGCGCGACCCGCTGCGCCACCGCATCTGCAGGCAAACACGAACAGAATGGGCAAACGTGCACCTTGGCTGCACTTTTCAAGTCTTCTTTTCCAATAAACGAAGCTTCAAACTCGAGAACGTGAGCACAGACACACACGCACGGCGCAGGCGAGCAGACACGGGGTGCGAGCCGGCGCCGTCGCTGTCTGTGCACTGTGCTTAATAACTGCGCGGTGAACGCAGGCAGATTCATTATCTCTATCGCATGGGAGACCCACGCAGAGCAATTACCACAGCTTCTTCCGAGACAGAAGCTGCGCGCACGCGGTGGCACGAGCCGCTGCACGTGCACGCGTATGCAAATACAAAGGTCCCCCATATAGCCTCAACAGGGTGCCGGGGCAAGTGCTGTTAGCGAGCGCCTACGAATGTCGGCACGGCACACAAGCGGGGCGGGCGGTCAACGCCACGCCCGGCTGCCTTTGTCTCCGCAGTGGCGATATTTTACGCTCATTTGAGGCTGAGTCGACCTAAAGGAGACCCAGGAAAAGTGCAGAAAATCGTCACTGGTGTTGGCTGTGAGTGGGAATTGAACCCGGGTTGCCAGGTTCGTAGGGCATTGCGTCAACCGCTACACTGCTCGCATATATAAACAGGGACATTCATATATGCACACAGATACAAACAGATACATAAACGTACGCACGCACACTCACAGGTATGGGAACGTACACACACGCGCACGCACACACACACACACATCCCGTCACTACCATTGGCTCGCTCTCCCCCCCCCCCCCTCTCTCGTCACACTCCCCTCGGCCTCGCGCTTCCCCATCACTGATATCCATTCCCACACACGCACACACGGGCACGCACGCGCGGATCCCATTCAACAAAAGGTTTTCTTGCGAATCCCATCACCGCTGGCGCTCACGCCACCGTCAACACCATCACGCGTGCCGGCGCTGCACAAATATTACACTCGCCGCCCAGAAGCCCAGCGACATTTGTACAGCGGGCAGAGCCATTCACACTCCCACACACACGCATCTCATTCCCTACACACACACGCACACATGTAATTATGGATGAGGGAGCGGTGCGTGGGGATCATGGGGTGTGAGTCATGGTGTGCTTTGTAATGGTGTTCTTGTTGGCTGTGTGTGTGCAGGGTGGGTGTGTGTTGTGGTGTTGTGTAGGCTGGGTGTGTGTTGTGGTGTTGTGTAGGCTGGGTGTGTGTTGTGGTGGTGTGTAGGCTGGGTGTGTGTTGTGGTGGTGTGTAGGCTGGGTGTGTGTTGTGGTGGTGTGCAGGTTAGGGGTGTGTTGTAGTGTGTGCAGGGTGGATGTGTGTTGTGGTGGTGTGTAGGCTGGGTGTGTGTTGTTGTGTGTGCAGGCTGGGTGTGTGTTGTGGTGGTGTGCAGGTTAGGGGTGTGTTGTAGTGTGTGCAGGGTGGATGTGTGTTGTGGTGTGTGTAGGCTGGGTGTGTGTTGTTGTGTGTGTAGGCTGGGTGTGTGTTGTGGGGTGTGTAGGCTGGGTGTGTGTTGTGGTGGTGTGCAGGTTAGGGGTGTGTTGTAGTGTGTGCAGGGTGGATGTGTGTTGTGGTGTGTGTAGGCTGGGTGTGTGTTGTTGTGTGTGTAGGCTGGGTGTGTGTTGTGGTGTGTGTAGGCTGGGTGTGTGTTGTGGTGGTGTGTAGGCTGGGTGTGTTGTGGTGGTGTGTCAGATGGATGCGTGTTGTGGTGGTGTGTCGGCTGGGTGTGTGTTGTGGTGGTGTGTAGGCTGGGTGTGTGTTGTGGTGGTGTGTAGGACGGGTGTGTGTTGTGGTGGTGTGTAGGCTGGGTGTGTGTTGTGGTGGTGTGTAGGCTGGGTGTGTGTTGTGGTGGTGTGTCGGCTGGGTGTGTGTTGTGGTGGTGTGTAGGCTGGGTGTGTTGTTGTGTGTGCAGGCTGGGTGTGTGTTGTGGTGGTGTGTAGGCTGGGTGTGTGTTGTGGTGGTGTGTAGGCTGGGTGTGTGTTGTGGTGGTGTGTAGGCTGGGTGTGTGTTGTGGTGGTGTGTAGGCTGGGTGTGTGTTGTTGTGTGTGCAGGCTGGGTGTGTGTTGTGGTGGTGTGTAGGCTGGGTGTGTGTTGTGGTGGTGTGTAGGCTGGGTGTGTGTTGTGGTGGTGTGTAGGCTGGGTGTGTGTTGTGGTGGTGTGTAGGCTGGGTGTGTGTTGTGGTGGTGTGTAGGCTGGGTGTGTGTTGTGGTGGTGTGTAGGACGGGTGCATGTTGTGGTGATATGCAGGCTATGGGTGTGTTGTGGTGAGTGCAGGCAGGGTATGTTCACATCAGGTATTTGCAGGCTGGGTGTTTTCAGGTTGGGTGTGTGCAGGCGAGGGTGTATTGTGGTGCGTGTTGTGGTGCGTGTTGTGGTGTGTGTTGTGGTGTGTGCAGGCTGGGTGTGTGCACGTCAGGTTGGATGTGTGCAGGCGTGTGTGTGTTGTGGTGGGGTGCAGGCTTGTGTTTTCAGACTGGGAGTGTGCAGGCCGGGCGTGCACGCACCCATTGCGAGCGGCGAGATGCAGGGGCGTGCACCCCGAGATATCCTGGAAGTTGGGGTCGGCTCCCTTCTTCAGCAGCAGCACGAGACACTCGACAGAGCCGCAGCTGAGACACGAGGACACAGGGACACGGGAAAACGACACAGGGACACATGTTAACATGGACCTACAGACATATGCACATACGGACCCAAGGACACACTGACCGTTAACTGGGGGCTTCGCAAGAGAACCTTAGCGCTCAAACCCAGAATCTGAACGGTGCCAACTCAGTGTCTCTGACACGGCCATTACGAACCCTCTGACAATATAACCAGACCCAGGCCTCAAACCCAGGTTCTCAGCCTGGCTGGCTCAGTGTCTCTGACCCTGGAGCAACACAGTCACCTGTGACACGCGGCGGCTGTGACCTTACTTGGCGGCTATGTGCAGGAGGCTCCGCTTGACTCGACCAAATGCGTAGTTGACGTCAAACTGGGAATTGGCCAAGAGCTCCGACACGGACCTGGACGGGAGTTGGGGGGGGGGGGGGGGCAGACGAGAGATGAGCACGGAGCTCGGTAACGATGCACAACCCTTCGCTTTTATCCGTTTTCTCATTTGCAAGTTTTATCCAGATGGCGCTATCGCCGTCGTGGCATCACGAGCCGGAGAATCCATCCGGAAAACTCGCACAGGGCAACGAGAACGGCCCACGGAAGTGGATATCACAGAGCTACACTCTAGAGATCAATTGAAATTGACACTCAGGACCACACAGAGTTGAGGGCAGCGAATTCCCACCCGCCATGCCACAGAGAGCAATGTTCATCGCGTGATATTATGTTTAAATCTCAGAGCAGAAATGTAGCCAGATTAGGCGCGGAACCAAATTTAACGTGATGCGTTTTTTGGTGGAGTCATCATTGGTGGCCGGGCTGAGACCACCGTACTCGCTGCACTTGGGAATCCAGTTGAACTGAAATTCGGATTCAAACCCAGGGGGTAATGATGGTGGTGGTGGTGGTAGTGGTGTAGAGGTTGGGGGTGTTTGTGGTGGTGGTGGTGTTAGCTGTGTTCATGATTCTCTGAACAGGTCCTGGGCCTCCCCTTGGTCGACTCAGCCTCAAGTGAGTACCTGGTGCGGTGTGTAAACATCGCCACTGGGGGAGACAAAGGCGGCCGGGCGTGGTGCTGGACACCCACCCCCTCGTGTGCCATTCTGGCCTTCATAGCTGCTCGCTAACAGCACTTGCTCCAACAGTCTGTTACAGGCTCTATGGGGGATCTTTGTCTTTGTGTTCATGGTGGTGGTATTAGTGCTAATGGTTCGGGTGAAGGTGGTGCTAATTGTGGTGCTATGGTGGTGGTTGTAATGATAGTGGTCGTTGTAATGGCGGTAGTAGTGTTCGAGCTGATGGAGGTGATGTTTATAGTAATATAGTGGCGGTTGTAGCTCTGGTAGCGGTGCTGGGTCATGGTGTTGAAGGTTGTGGTGGAGGTGGTAGCTCTGGTGGTGTTGGTAATGGTGGAGGTATGAGGTGGTGGTGGTGTAGGTGGCTTCACAGAAAAGGTGGTGGTGTTTATAGTGATTGTTGTTGTGGGTGTTTGTAGTCAACGGTGGAGGCTGTAGGAAGTGGTGGTCGTGGTGGTGGTGGTGTCGTGGGCACCTGTGCTGGTCGGCCATCACCATGGGCATGAGTGTGTACACAGCTGTCTCATTGTCTGTGAACACAGAGACACGGATACATAGTCACGGACACGAGAGAGACATTGACACACACAGGCATAGGCACAGAATACGAATATTTATACTGGAGGAATACGATGCGCTATAAAGCGTTTTCAAAGATGTCCCGTAGTTTCCACGGATGACACGACACTGATATGCAGATACATTGAAATACACTGACACACAGAGACACACACACGGACAGAGACACACAGACACATACACACGGCCAGAGACACACGGATAGAGACACAGACACACGGACAGAGACACACAAACACACGGACAGAGACACAGACACACGGACAGAGACACACAGACACACGGGGGAGTCACGGAGTCGCGCACACCGTGGGCCACAGAGAATATTGTCCTCTCTTCACACGGGATGTCCTCCACAATGTTTGACCCTCCTCCTCCCCCAGGGCCCTCCTTCTCATCCCCAGGGCCCCCCTCTACTTGGGAACCCTTCCCCTCCACCGTGGCACCCTCCTCCTCCACAGGCACCTCCACATCCTCAACCTCCAGAGACCTCCTCCTCCACAGGGACCTCCTCCACAGGGACCTCCACACCAGGGTCCTCTTTCACTCTGGAACCCTCCTCCTATTCCTCCTCACCAGGGACCTCCCTTCACTCGGGAACCCTCAACCTCCACAGGGACCTCCTCCTCCACGGGGGCCTCGTCCTCTACAGAGACCTCCTCCTCCACAGGGACCTCCTCCTCCACAGGGACCTCCTCCTCCACAGGGACCTCCTCCTCCACAGGGACCTCCTCCTCCACAGGGACCTCCTCCTCCACAGGGACCTCCTCCTCCACAGGGACCTCCTCCTCCACAGGGACCTCCTCCTCCACAGGGACCTCCTCCTCCACAGGGACCTCCTCCTCCACAGGGACCTCCTCCTCCACAGGGACCTCCTCCTCCACAGGGACCTCGTCCTCAAAAGGGACCTCGTCCTCAAAAGGGACCTCGTCCTCAAAAGGGACCTCGTCCTCAAAAGGGACCTCGTCCTCAAAAGGGACCTCGTCCTCAAAAGGGACCTCGTCCTCAAAAGGGACCTCGTCCTCAAAAGGGACCTCGTCCTCAAAAGGGACCTCGTCCTCAAAAGGGACCTCGTCCTCAAAAGGGACCTCGTCCTCAAAAGGGACCTCGTCCTCAAAAGGGACCTCGTCCTCAAAAGGGACCTCGTCCTCAAAAGGGACCTCGTCCTCAAAAGGGACCTCGTCCTCAAAAGGGACCTCGTCCTCAAAAGGGACCTCGTCCTCAAAAGGGACCTCGTCCTCAAAAGGGACCTCGTCCTCAAAAGGGACCTCGTCCTCAAAAGGGACCTCCTCCTCCAAAGGGACCTCGTCCTCCACAGGGACCTCGTCCTCCACAAGGACCTCGTCCTCCACAGGGACCTCCTCCTCCACAGGGACCTCCTCCTCCACAGGGACCTCCTCCTCCACAGGGACCTCCTCCTCCACAGGGACCTCGTCCTCCACAGGGACCTCGTCCTCAACAGGGACCTCCTCCTCCACAGGGACCTCCTCCTCCACAGGGACCTCGTCCTCCACAGGGACCTCGTCCTCCACAGGGACCTCGTCCTCAACAGGGACCTCCTCCTCCACAGGGACCTCCTCCTCCACAGGGACCTCCTCCACTGCGGAGCTCTCCCTCCTCTCCAGAACACTCCTCCACTGTGAGACCTACCTCCGCCCCCTGGCCCTCCTATCCTTTACTCCCCACCACCTCCTCCGCCGTGGGACCCTCCGTTCCCTCCCGCAACTCCCCAGGCCGCGCTCTCTACCTTCGGGCAGCTCCACGGTGCGGGCGCGGCGCAGGGAGCGAGTCAGGCGGCCGAGCTGTACGTTCAGCTGCTCCATGGCGCGTTCCATAGCAGAGCCACCACCCCAAAACCCAACCACCACCAACCACCAACCAGCCACCTCAACCACCACCACCACCGCGGGGCTCCTCACAAGCACCGGCGAAGTCGCCTCCGTCGCGTTTGCGAATCGCGCTTCCGGGGGACGCCGTGGCTTCCGTACCCATTGAGCGACGTCACGCGCTGCGTCAGCCAATGGTGGATGGTCGCGGTGGGGGGGAGAGTGGGGGGGGGGACTTCCCCCCCCCCACTCTCCCCCCCCACCCGACCCCTCCCCCCACCCCCCAGGGCGGCGCACGTGGTTTGACGCGGTCGAAGGCACGTGGCTCCTGGACGACTCTCGCCACGTGGATTCTCTTCACGCACCCCGACCATGCCGTTCTGACAATCCACTGCTGGATGAGGATCACCATTCCGCCCCCCCCGCCACCACGTGCAGCTCATGGGATGTTTTATTTGTTTGCCCTACTTCACCCACTTGTGTACAGGGTCGGAATAAGATTTTGTTGGCCCCTGGGCTACAGGTACTGAGGCCCCCAGTAATATTTTCAAAAGAAAAATACAATTTGTTTTTACAAGTCTAACAACGAATAAAATTCAGCATTCACAAATGAAATAACTTTTCACTTCATCTCTGGAGGCCCTCCAGCTGGCGGAGGCCCCTGGGTTGCAGCCCCGCGCCTTGATCCGGCCCTGCTTGTGTAAAGCATAGCTATCAACCCATACGGTTTACCCATATTCTTGTGCAGACATTGAGTTTTCAGGTCCATACGGTGTATAGCCGTTACAATACGGGCGATTTGTTTTGCGTATTTGTGTTTCTCTCTTGTGATGGGACTTTGTAGGATGAACGTTCAGATGTATAAGGGCGTGGGGTGACCAATAAGGTTTGTAATAAGGGGTTGACAGGTATGTAGTGATGAGTGTACTAGTGGTGAGTGAAATAGTGAGTGTAGTAGTTGTGATTGTCTATTTGTGTTTCTCCCTTGTGATGGGACTTTGTAGGATGAACGTTCAGATTTATAAGGGCACGGGGTGAGCAATAAGGTCTGAATTGGTCTGTAATAAGGCTGGCACTGATAAGGGGTTGACGTATGGACGATAGGTGAATTACCTGTGGTTGTGGTTTAATCTATTACTCTTGTGTGGAATAACCAGGCACCTCTTCACCTGTTGACTCGCTCGCACACCCAGCTCGCCCGAGTTGGTGGATCTCAATGTACTGCAGTTGCCATTCGCCTCGCCGAGTTCATTCAGCCGTTCAGTGTAGACGCTGCCCCGTTCCGTAAATTACACGAATCCCAGCAGAGTGCGGGCTCTAAAACAATACGGTTCAAAGCAGCGCACAGGACCATGTAAAATGCACACAGCCTCTGTGCATACGCAACATACAAAAAGGGTTTCCTGAAGAACTGCATTGTGGTTCTCTTAGGTCACCAACATTAATTTGAGCTCATGTGAACGACTGACAAGCAGCAGTGACGAGACAATTGTGGACCATTTTCGGCATAATTAGGACTCGTCAACATAGTCACAGATGCTCACTGCTGCAACGAATGCCTCTGTGAGCCATGCAGTGTTTGTTGTTGTATATGCACGAAACGCTCGTGTGCCTTATGAATCTGCCTGCCCTGTTGTGGACCGGCTTTTATGTAAATCTACCAGTCCCAGTGGTTTCGCAAAGACTTGTCCCGGTGTCTGCCCAAACGCATTTGTGAATATCGGGTTTTTTTAACCCATTTAAGGTGTCCTCGACTCGAGGAAACGAAAACTTTTTTTTTATTTCACCAGGTAAGGCCCCACTGAGCTATAGCTCTTTTTCAGAAGCGATTTGGCTATCGCAATGATAGCTCAACGAAGTGGCTTATCATGTGGAAATTTCTAGCAGCCAAATACTCGCATGTTGATTCTTAATGTGGAGGGATAACCGGAGGACCCGGCGAAAAATCCACGCGACGAGGGGAACATGCAGACTCCAAATACACAGGCGGCAGGGTCGGGATCGAACCCACAAACGTCCTGCATACTAGGCAAGGTAGTTAACCGTCTCGCCAACGCTGATGTTATGGGCACAGGCTATGGCTACCCGAGTAGTGCACGGAACTTCACTCTCATCTTGTCTTCTGCACTGCCCTCCACGATTCCATCTTCAACCCGTTCCTTGTCCTCCCTCTGGGTCACCTTCCTTGCATCCCCAATTCAAAGACAACGTTAACAATGGGCTTTTTCTCCATTTGTCTCATATCATGTGATATATGAGCTGCATTGGCTTCCGGTTGCTGAACGGATACATTGTAAGGTCGCACTGATTACACACAGAGTGCTTGCCACAAACGAACCACATACACCTCGCTGATCTCGTCAAGGAACATAAACAATCACGCCAACTCCCGGTCATCCTCGCAGCGGCTTTTGGGTCGTCATTGAACAAAGACGGTGGTCACCGCATCGCGGGCTTGCAGATGCGCTTCTGTGGCCGCCCGGAATTCTCTTCCGATATTCGGAAGCCACTGGAGCTCTGTACTTTAAAATCTAGATTGAAAACTAATATCTTTATACATTTTTTGTGTTTAGTTTGTTGTCCTTCCCCCGCACCTCCCATTAGCATGGTTGGCTACATAAAAGAAGTTCAATATGCATATTTTTTTATTCTCCAATTAAGAAAATGTAGCATTAAACAACATTGTATAACGATACAATTTAAGACATTGACGGACTCTGATTCCCTGACCGGCTTGGCGAGTGATTTTCAGCATTGTAAGTCCATAACAGAAAACATGATTATTCCCAAGTTTGTACACGGCACCTGCTTGTAGTCTATAATTAACAGCGCTGTTCCGGTCCACTGCTGGATGAGTTCGTTGTGGGGGTTGCAGCCACACTTCACCAGGCTGTTCAGTGCGGGTTGGTGAAGTGGCAGGGGGGGGGGACAGGATTGGTTCAGATGCCAATCACCGCCGATGTCATTTGTGGCTGGGAATGCATCTATTGAGACTAAGTCTCTCAATAAATGGAGAACTGAATCACAACGCATTTGGATAAAAAGCAGACACCAGTCAGGCATTTCTATAAAATACCGAGGGCGTATTTAATCAAGGCACTTGCACGTTTACAAGTCTGAAGCAAAGCAGCGGTGAAAATGTTGACGGAGGCAGTGTCGTTCTTGCTGACGCCGCGGATTTCAGCGTGTGAGGCTACCGGCATTTACACCCTTTCACCGCATACTGATTTTGAAATCCTAAATTGCGTCTTAATATCTTTAATTTAATTCTTAATGAAGCAGTGTGATTTTATTTTCATCTAAATGCGGTTTTCGAGGCTAGTTCCATGTGTTGAGCACTCCTCTCAAGCTTCCGTCAGCCTTGCGCTATCAGAACGGCGCAACTGCCAAATATCAGACGTGGGAATGATTACGAGCAGCTGTGAGGACCCACGCGCTTTGAAAATTGGCATGCGATGAAAGGGATTAAAACTCGGCAGCCTTCTGCTTAGAGCGGCGAGTCGGACCAAGGGCGTCGCGGTGAGCGGCGAGTCAGAGCGAGGACGTAGCGGTGACCGGCAAGTCGGAGCGAGGACGTCGCGGTGAGCGAGGGGTAAAGGTCCCTCAGAGCAGCAGCGGCACGCGAGCGGCCCTCAGCTGCAAGTAGAGCTGCAGCTCCCGGCTCTCGCCACCTTCCCCGTGGAGCGCTCCGCTGGGGGCTTCCTGCAGGGCCTGGACCTCCGCCAGCAGCGCCTGCAGCCACAACGCAACGGGCCCCGGTCGCTGACTCGGCTAGAGCTAGTGACTTGTTGAGTTTCCTAGCGACTGCATTTTGTCAGCTCAGGCAGCTCCAAGTTCTAGCATCTTTCTGGGACAAGGACATGATGCAGGTTTAGGAGCGATTCCATGTGTGTATTAAATATCCTGTATGTAAAAGTAGGAAATAAACAGAACCAGGGTAAAAAGGCCAGAATTAGGAGTGTAAAGGCCAGTTTAAGGAAGTAAATTTTCAAGACAGACTTGGAGTTGGAAGCTCGCTCCGTCCTGCCTGATGCAAGTAGTGCGGGCACGAGGACGGGATGTGAATGTCGTGGGGTCAGTAGCGGCAGCGCCAGGGCGGCGCAGTGTGCCGTCGGGCGGTGCTGCACCTGCAGGCGAGGATAGGCTTCCACCATGAGCTGGGCCGCACCTCCTCCACAGGACGACCCCGCCTCCTGCCTGGCGCTGCCCACACACTCACTGCCCTGGCAGACGGAAAGCACAGGCGGTGATAATAAAAAAAAACACTCTTCGTTTTACAAATGTTATTTCAATTGTGCCATGTGTGCCATGGCGTGAGATGAAGTGTCCCTGCGGAATGCTGGCAAAGCATTGCAATGCCCCACAGAAGCGGATATCTCGACGCTCAGGGGGGGACAGCGCTTTTCCACTGCTCCGATACAGAGAAATGCTAATCACATACCAACCAAAGTAGTATTTTTTCATTTCAAAGCTAGAATTAGCTACATTTAGTTAAACAAATTTTACGTCGTGTTTGCATGATTGGTAACCGCGATCATCAACTCGCTGCACTTAAGAACCCGGTTTTATCACCAACGACAGAAGCCCGGATTCAAACCCAGCTCGTAGCGGCGTAGGCTCAGCGCTCCGATCTCCAAGCCACCCGGCCACTTCCTAGCACAGAGCGTTTATAGCACCTCCGCTGAAACGGCTCCCGCATCAACGGAGAGATTATTTGTTAGCTCTAAGATACACCCATAATTGGCATTAGACAGACCCAAAAAATCACCACTTAATGAGTTCTGAAAGCGCCAGATGTTACAAATTGGACGCAATGTTGTACGGTTTCATATCCGCACAGCTATTACCACCCACTCCCACCACCCCGTCTATGACTCAGAGAATTGTCATCATTTGTGGTCACGTTGCAATGCAAGAATATTTATCGTCTTGTTTGTATCTCCGCACCTCGTGGGCTCTATCCGCTCTGTTCGCCTCAAAAGGTGACATTTACATATAAATTACATAAATGGTAAATAATCATGTTTTTACAAGATGAGCTTTTACCCTTTCTGGCAATAAAACAGGAGGTGTTAAGGTGTTAAAACACCAAACAGAAACCTTTTGCAAGGAAGCATGTCTGCAATTAACCACACACAGTGCTTGTGGTGAACATGCAAACACAAAACAATACGCTCTGGTAATATAGGCATTATCTTTAAAACTGATTGGTCCACACCAGAGACAGCTGTCTTTAGAGCCTAGTCTCAAACAATGTTAGACCAGAGAACGTCAAAAAGGTGAACAGCACAATAATCAGCACAATAATGCTCTCGGTGCGATTCGTGTGTACTGAATTATAAGAATCAGTTTTAATTGATGGACCGTGGACGTTCCTACTGTTTAAGGTCCCGGTGCACGCCGTAGTAACTGGTGCGGGAGAGCGAGGGAGTGGGCGGGGGTGAGTAGGTGAGAGCAGCGAGTGGGTGAGGGTGGTGAGTGAATAATTGCGATGAGTGAGTGAGAGCGGCTCAGGGTGGTACGTGGGCGAGGGGCGTTCACCGGGTGGGATTAGGTGAACGAGAGCAGTGGGTGAGGGTGGTGAGTGGGTGAAAGCGGTGAGTAAGAGCGTGGTGGGTGGGTGAGGGTGGGTGTAGAGTGGATCAAATTTGTGAGTTAGGAAGCTGTGGGTGAATGGTCAAAGAGTGAGAGTGGTGAGTGAGGAGAGTGGTGAGTGACTGAGGCAGTGAGGGCGGTGACTGGGTGAGGGAGGCGAGGCCGTGTGTTCGTAGACCCCTCCGCACTCCTCGCTACCTGCAGGCGGCTGGTGACCGCCAGGTGCAGAGCACAGAGCGAGGCCAGGGAAGGGCAGGTAATGCTGACCTCCAGGACTGGTACAAAATTTACCTCTACCTGTGAACACAGTCCCAACTCTACCGGTCAACACGGCCCCGGTCTTGGGTACGGGCAGAGCCACTGGTGTAAAGGTCACATAGCAATCTGTAGAGGTCACATAGCAAAATGTAGAGGTCACATAGCAATGAGGTCACAGAGCAATCTGCAGAGGTCACATAGCAATCTGTAGAGGTCACATAGCAGTCTGTAGAGGTCACATAGCAATCTGTAGGTGTCACAGCAATCTTTAGAGGTCAGATAGCAATCTGTAGGGGTCACAGCAATCTGTAGAGGTCAGATAGCAATCTGTAGAAGTCACATAGCAATCTGCCCTTGCACAAGACTTGTGATTTCTTCCCATGGTATTTATTTTTTTAAACGTGCATCTTCATCAGGATGGACGAGCGTACGGGGCACGGCTTGCACGAATCCCGCATGACCCCGCACCTGGGCGACGGCGAGGCGCACAGGGTGGCCGTCGACGGTGACGCCGTATGCCGCAACGGGGGCAGCGCGGCCCCCAGGAGGCCCGGGGAGGAGCGGCTCGGGGCAGGGCAGGGCCGGGCTCTCGGACAGCAGCCACGCGAGCAGCGCGCGACACGGCCCAGCGGCGTCCCCTGCGACGGAATCGAACGCAAATCGGAATTTACACGGCGGTATTCAAGCCACCTGTAAAGCGCGCGCGCGCGGCCATCTCAAAAGCTAAGCACCGTGGAGCCTGGAGAGTGCTTGAATGGGTAACCATTGTGCAAAGCGGGTTGCGTTGTAGGTTGCTGCTGCTGTTGTGTTACGCAGTGCAATGTCCTCCGCTGCAGGAGTCATATTTCCCAAAGTGAATGAACTACAGCAGGCAGAAAAAGTTAATAAAAGAGAATGCAAAGTTGGAATCGAGATAGGTATGAGCAGAGGACAGTGCAGCTAAATCCATGGTTGTACTGTACTCGTGCTCCCGCGTCGAGGCCTCCCGCCTTCATCAACCTGCACTGAACAGCCTGGTGAAGTGTGGCTACAACCCACACAACGAACTCATCCAGCAGTGGAACGGAAAAGCGCTGTGATTTATATTCTAAAAGCAGGTACCGTGTATTCATCGGCAAAACCAATTGTTCCCTGTGCGCCTTGTCCAAAATCTTTATCCATTAGCAGACTTCTACTCAACTCTTGAGTCAAAACTACAAACTTGGGAACAATCATGTTTTCTGTTATGAACTTACAACTCTGAAGCTCACTCGCCAAGCTAGTTAGGGACTCAGAGTCCGTCAATGTCTTCAATTGTATCGTTATACAATTTTGTTTAATTATACATTTTCTTAATTAGAGAATTTAAAACGATGTATGTTGAACTTCTTTCGCATCGTACGTAGCCAACCGTGCTAATCGGAGGTGCGGGGGAAGGACAACAAACTAAACACAAAAGCAGTTTTAAAGATACGAGTTTTCAATCTAGATTTTAAAGTACAGAGCTCCAGTGGCTTCCTAATATCGGAAGAGAATTCCTGGCGGCCACAGAAGCGCATCTGCAAGCCCGCGATGCGGTGACCACCGTCTTTGTTCGATGACGAGCCAAAAGCCGCTGCGAGGATGACCAGGAGTTGGCGTGATTGTTTATGTTCCTTGACGAGATCAGCGAGGTGTTGTGGTTCGTTTGTGGCAAGCACTCTGTGTGTAATCAGTGCGACCTTACAATGTATTTGTTCAGCAACCGGAAGCAAATGTAGCTCATATATCACATGATATATGAGACAGATGGAGACAAAGCCCATTGTCAACGTTGTCTTTGAATTGGGGATGCAAGAAAGGTGACCCAGAGGGAGGACCAGGAATGGGTTGAAGATGGAATCGTGGGAGGCAGTGCAGAGGACAAGATGAGAGCGAAACTCGGTGACCAACACGGGAGTTGGGGGAGCCCTCATCCAGAAATGAAGTGGCACAAGGGCCACACAGCAAACCCGGAGCCGCCCCTCTTATGGGCGTACAAACATTCGCGGGCTACAACGTTAACAAGAGAACCAATTCTTGAATCCAATCGTGACGCTAACGTTGACAATTCGTGAAGTCACAGTGGAAGAACAGAGGGGGGGAGGGGAGGTGGAGGAGAAAATCGTTGACCCTTGTACCGCGGCACCGATCGAACAGCACGGGCGCCCACACCTGATGCAGCAGGCCCAAGGATTCTGTTCGCCGTGGCTTCGGCAACGCGCACCGCCAGGATTGTTGGCGCCGCGCCTCTGCCGTTCCCCTCCCCTGCCGACTCTGCCGGCACCTCGCCATCACGCAGCTCGCCGTGCGGCGCCGGGCGCAGGCAGCTCAGGGCGTCAACCACCGTGACACCGATGAGCAGGGTGACCCCGCTGGGGCTGTGACTCTCTTGCGCCGAACCGACGGTGCGGCCGCTGTCGCATTCCGGTGGTTTCCGCCGCGAGTTTCCGGGGAGGCCGCCGTGCAGGAAGCAGCGCACCACCACAGGAACCGGCAGCAGCTCGAACGGCGCGCCGTCGCAGCTCAGCGGCACCGCCACCTCGACGCGCCCTCCCGGAGACAGCGCCTCCACGGGGAAGGAGTGGGCGGCGCAGGCGCGATCGAGCGCCGGGGCTTGTCCCGCCGCGGGCAAGCGGCGGACGGCGCCGCTCACCTCGACGCACAGAGTCCATGGTCCCCGCAGCCCGCCCCGTGCGCCGGCGAGCAGCTCGCAGCGCAAGCCGGGCCGCTCCTCGGAGAGCGACTGCGTCCACAGCGTGGACACCCGGAGCTCGACGGGGTGGTCTTGGTTTCCCCGAAGCTGCCCGGTGGTGCCGACCCGCGCTGACAAACGGCAGCAGACGTCCGAGCAGAGATGCAGCCACCGGAGGTCGGAGTCTTGACGGCGCAGGGCCTCGCTCACGAGACGAACCCTGCGGTGACACACACAGGGACGGTGCAGGGGTGGACACGTGGCCTTCTTTTCCCATGCTGTGTAGGTGAAGAGTTCGCAGCACCAGTTCAAACATCGCTCACGATCAACATTAGCCGTGTCCTGGAATTGAACTTAGGTTGCCGAGTTTAGAGCACAACGCGCTAATCACCGTTGGCGAGGGGGTGCAGAGTGAAGCCTAAATGTCATCTATGCGCACAGCCCTTTGGTCAATCCGCTGTTGAATGAGGGCCTCCCCACGCCACGCGGGTCACAGGGGCTGCTTTGGCGACTGTCCCCGCTCGTGCGAGCGCGATAGCGAGAGGGCCACACCGGTCGGAGACGCCGCTAATGGCAGAGAGGAGGTCCCGGGCGGTGTGGCCGGGACGAGAGGCCGGGGTGCGTCGGGAAGTCTTGCCCGTGGAGCCGGACGGCAAATCGAACGAGACCAGTCGCCACTGCGCCGTCACAGCTACTGCGCACCCCTCGGCACCTGCACGGGGGTCACGGAGGCACGCGAGGGCAGGGGACGCAGTGTGGGTGGATCGCTCGCGACGCCCGCGTCACCCGCGTCGCACACACGACACCTCGGTAGCCACACTGCCGTCCGCCATCAACAGCGGAGAATGAGCCACCTCCCACCGAGCGAAGGGTGATTGCAGGCTTCAACAGAAAGCCTCGCTTGCTGGAGTCGAGAGTGCGTGGTAGGGAGCACAGTGAGATGAGAGGGGGGAGGAAGGAGGATGCATGGAGGGGAGTAGAGTGAGATGAGAGGAGAGAGGTAGCAGAGTGTGTCGAGCGGGATAGAGGAAAAAGAGGAGTGGTAGGAGAGTGCGTGGAGGGGGGGAGAGTTAGATGAGAGGGGAGAGGTAGGAAGCGGTGAGTCCAAGGAGGATCTTGAAGACTATGACTGCGGCTCTGAAGTTTATGTGGGATCGGATTGGGAGGTGGTGGAGAGATCCGGGTAGTGGGGTGACATCTCGTTTATGGGTGGGAAGTCTGGTAGGAGCATTTAAAAATCGTTTGGAATTTGGAGACGAAGGGTTGTGTGGAGGCCGTAGAGAAAAGAGTTGCAATAGTTCAGTCGGGATGTGATGAAGTCATGGATGAGAGTCTCAGTATCATCTGCGGTAAGGAAATGACGGATTCGGCAAACGGAGGTATGAGAATCCTGCAGAGTGAAGATATTTCGAAAGGAGAGCGAGAACTCGGGATCACTTCCAGGTTGAATTTGTATCCACTGCGTGAGTCACTGCCGCGGGGCGTACCGTCTCCGTGTCGGGGTATGCAACACAGCGCCAGCGCGCAGCAGTCGTACAGCTTCACGGGCGCCGGCATTGGCGGCGGGGCGCCCCCCGAGACATCCTCCTCCTCCTTCATCGCCGCTGTCGCCACCGCCACAAGGTGCACGGAGAAAACCCCGCGAGGAGAGCTGTAGAGCAGCCGGGCGCCGTGGCAGCAGGCCGCCAGGACGGGGCCCTTCACAACGTGGCACAGGAGCACCCGCGTCGCTCGGGGGTTACCAACTTCCCTCCGCTGCTACCCCCCACCAACCCCTCCTTGTCTCGTTCCGCAGTTTTACCCGGATTGGGCTATCGTCGTCACGTCGTCGAGAGAGGAAGAATCCGTTCAGAACTCGCACAGAGCAGTGGAGCCCTTCATGTTAGAGAACGGCCCACACAAGTAGATATTACAGAGCTACTGCTTAGATCTCTTCAAGTGACACAGTAGGGAGCCGCATTCTCCCATCCGCCCTGGTAAATAGCATTTCAGTCATTGGTCACATGACAGACACTTTATAGTTGCAGTGCTGAAATGCGATTGCATTTAGATGCGATACAAATGCATACATCCAAACTGCATCGTCATTCCCTCACCTGGGTTTGAATTGAAATAAAACAACGAGGTATCATGCGCTCTGTGATCACACGAGACCCACCACTTCAAAACAGCCTGCCCGTCAATGCAAACATCCTATCCACACTGATCGGGTACCAGAGGGGTATATTTTTCCACCAGGAAATAGGCGCTGTGCTTCTAGTTTATTGCGCTCGGTCACCGCGGCCGTTCAAGTAGTTCTGAGCAGATGGTAAATGCGAACGGTCTTCGCGTCATCAAAGGTCATCATTAAGCAATATGTGAGTGCCGCCGAAGATTTCCAAGAGTCTGATTTGACCCCCGGTGAGAAAACATTTTTTGCCAGCCTGGTCTAGGACGGGGCAGGTGTGTGTGTGTGCGTGCGTTGGCTCTACCGGCACGTGCAGCTCTCGCACGGAGGGGGCGCCGGCGCCACTCGGCTCATCGTCCCGCATCACCGTCACCACCTCCCCCTCCGCCCCCACCACCACCAGGCAGTTGTGCCCCTCCCGGCTGGCGGCGCCGTCTGCTCGGGGCACCAGTGCCGAGGCCACCAGCACCACCGGCTGCTGCAGGTCGTGCAGAAGGATGGGGCGGGCCCTGAGCGGGCGTGGCTCTGAGATGGAGGAGGAAGTGGCGTTGCCTGGGCCCGGCGTGGGAATGGCGTAGAGCCGCCCGTCCGGCAGGCCACACAGCAGCGCAGAGAGCGCCAGCATGGCAGCGTCCACTCCCAGCAGCAGCTGGAAGAGCGCTGGCTGCAGCTGCGGCGGGAGACGGTGGCGATAGTGAGACCGGCTGTGATGTCGCATGACAGAGTCTCGCCTCTACTGCGAGCAACCAGTGGAGCAACCGTAAGCATATGGATGCAGGCACGTCCACAATGAAGTTAAGTTGAATGCAACCACAGTGGATGACATTAACAACTGAGTGCCGGCCAAAGGGGGGTACGTCGGCCACTATGGAGATGCAGCGATAAAATTAAATTGTGTGCACGTGCGGTTTAGGTTTGTGAGATGGCCGACAGCTTGGGGTGACCTTCATCCAGCAGTGGATCGATCGTGGTTAATGATCGTGATGATGAAACGTGACGAAGCAGCTTGAGAGATGAAACCCTCCACCTGTATTGAGCTGGGGGTCGCTGGCGCCGCAGAGACCGACCGGCTCGTGGCCCCAACGCTCACGAGGACGGGCAGGGGGCATGGGGTGGCCGCCGCAAATCCAGCTCGCGGCCAAGTAGCGCCCTCCACCTGTCATCACAACAACAACAACCACCACCATTGGTCACTAAGTGGCGGTGGCATCACCACGGCGCTTATGCCAGGCTATGTGCACTTTTAAGGCGACGTAAAGTGTCGAACGCCCCCTGGCAGGAGTTCACGGGACAGACCAAGGTGTCATGGGTTGACCGAGATGACTGGCCGATGCACCACCTGTGCCCCCTACTGTGCCAACCTGTCATCACACCACCCGCACGTCACACACACGCACGCCGTTACATAACTTCACACGGCCCAAGGTCACGCAGGGGATGCGATAACAGTATAATGAAAAGCAGAATTGTTTATATCCTTTTGAAATAAAAATTTTTACTAAAAAATATGTCACGGATTATTTCTTCGTGCGCCTCTGCAGTTGTGCGTTCTGGACAATCATCTCGTTTCCACACTCGTCCAACTCCAGCCCTGCCCTGGACGTCACTCACAGTGCGGCAGGGAGGCAGAGTGACCCGCCCCAGCTGCTCGCTCCGACACGAGCTCTCGGCGCCTGCATCGGGCAGCCGCCACCAGCGCACGTCCCAGGGTGCCGAGCCGCCCAGCGTGGCGAGGAGAGTCGCGCCGGCGCTGGGCAGCGGCAGAAGAGTCACGGCCCCCGGGGCCACCAGTATCGCGTCCCTCTCGGTCACGTCACGGTCCCTCCAGCCGTCGCCACTACAACGGCAGCAACGTTAATAACTTCAACAATGACAATTATAACAGAAAACAATCTTTAACGATTCACCCACATGGTAATTCACTGAAATCGAGTGGCTGCAGGGATAACGTGAGCCCATTAAACAGTGCATACAAATTCAACAAGAGTAATTGAATTCTATGCATGTCATTTGTGGCATTATCGCAAACTTGATAATTAATACCAATTGATGAACTGCTGCACAAATAGACCTCTGATCTATGCGGTGGTGGAAGGCAATGCAGGAATATCAATCGTCACGCTGTACTTCTATGCTCCCACCTGTGCTCCCCGCCTTTCCAAACCTGCAATGGCCAGTAGCAATAAGATGCAAACGTGCGCTCACAAACGGCAGGAAGGTACGACTCATATCATGGCTTGCATGCATGTAGCTTTATAATTATAGTTTAGATCACCAACTCCCGAGTTTAAATGTGGCCATCCCGCACAAACGGCGTGGGTATAGGCCCCTCATCCAGCAGTGGATTGACCGACACGTGCGCAGCAGCCAGGCCCACGGCGAAGCCACCGCCGAGCCTCCTGCCTGGAATCCGCGGCGAGCGCGAAGACGGCGCCGCCGTGGCACAGCACCAGCAGCCGCCCGCACTCCATCTCCGGCTGCACGTCCAGCACGGGGCGCGGAAAGCACAGGATTGCCTGCACGCACGCATGCAAAGACAAAGATCCCCCGTATAACCTTAACAGACTGTCGGGGCAAGTGCTGTTAGCGAGCACCTATGAAGGACGGAACGGTACACGAGGGGGTGGGTGGCTAGCACCACGCCCGACCGCCTTTGTCTCCCCAGTGGCGATGTTTACACACTGCACCAGGTACTCATTTCAGGCTGAGTCGACCTAGGGGAGGCCAGGACCGGTTGAGATAATCATCACCGGTGTTGGCCGTGAGCGGGAATCGAACACCGGGTCGCCGGGTTCATAGCGCAGCGCGCTAACCGCTACACTACCGCTCCCCACCATGCTGGGTGTGTTGGTGCACGCATGCACACACGCACTGAGCAGCCGGTGGTGATGCAGCTCCTCCCAGCGGAGCCTTGCAGTAAATTCCTAAAACCCAGAGCGATGGCACTGAGGCTGTCCTCGTACGGGAGGATGGCAACGACGCTCGTTATGTTGAACACGGTCCACGCCGTCACCACATCGCGAAGCGTGATGAGCCGCAAACAGGTGAAATCATCGCCACTGGGCCAGCGGATCCACGCGAGCGTCCCCGAACGGAGCAGCTCCACAAACCCCAGGGTGGCAAGGGAAGCCAAAGGGGAGGCACGGTGGGGGGGGCAAGACCTTCATAACTTAGGCGAACTCGCAGTCAAAATTCCAACACGGGGTGTAATTTTGAAATGAACGACCGTACATAATAACTAAACGTTGAGAAAATGTTGCCGATGTATGCAGTAAGGCGATGATTTAACACGCGCACGGAACGGAATGCTCCCGTCACCGTTCCAACGTGGACGGAAAAGTCATCGAGTCCGAGTGCGTCCCACGCTGCAGATTATTTACATGCAATTCTCCCTGATCCAGAGAGGTGAAGTGTTCAGAGCTAAATCGCAGTTCAAATTCGCGGCAGTAAGTCCTATGGCCAGGTTAAGAGGCGCACTTCACTATCATCCACATATCTATAAACTGTCTGAAGTGTGCATTCTGAATTCCTGGAACTGCCCAGGGGTAGAGGATGACAGGGCGTGGGGTCTGGGCTTGCACAGTGCTCGGTGTGTTGATGCTTGGTGCTGAGTGTGTTGGTGCTTGGTGTGTGTGGGTGCGTTGGTGCTTGGTGCTGAGTGTGTTGGTGCTTGGTGTGTGTGGGTGTGTTGATTGCTGGGTGTGTGGGTGCTGGGTGTGCTGATGCTGGGTCCTTGGGTGTGTTGATGCTCGGTGTGTGGGTGCTGGGTGTGTGGGTGCTGGGTGTGTGGGTGCTGGGTGTGTTGATGCTGGGTGCTGGGGATGTTCATGTTTTGTGCAGGGTGTGTTGATGCTTGGTGCTGAGTGTGTTGGTGCTTGGTGTGTGTGGGTGTGTTGATGCTTGGTGCTGAGTGTGTTGGTGCTTGGTGTGTGTGGGTGTGTTGATGCTTGGTGTGTGGGTGCTGGGTGTGTTGATGCTGGGTGCTTGGGTGTGTTGATGCTCGGTGTGTTGATGCTTGGTGTGTGGGTGCTGGGTGTGTTGATGCTCGGTGTGTGGGTGCTGGGTGTGTTGATGCTGGGTGTTGGGTGTGTTGATGCTCGGTGTGTGGGTGCTGGGTGTGTTGATGCTTGGTACTGGGTGTGTTGATGCTTGGTACTGGGTGTGTGCGTGTATTGATGCTGGGTGTGTGGTGCTAGTTGTGTTTATGCTGGGTGTGTGTGGGTGTGTTGATGCTGGGTGTGTGGGTGCTATGTGTGTTGATGCTGGGTGCTGGGGGTGTTCATGTTTTGTGCAGGGTGTGTTTGTGCTTGGTGCTGGGTGTGTGGGTGCTGGGTGTGTTGGTCCTGAGTGCTGGGTGTGTGGGTGCTGGGTGTGTGGGTGCTGAGTGCTGCGTGTGTGGGTGCTGGGTGTGTTGGGGCTGAGTGCTGGGTGTGTGGGTGCTGGGTGTGTTGGGGCTGAGTGCTGGGTGTGTGGGTGCTGGGTGTGTGGGTGCTGGGTGTGTGGGTGCTGGGTGTGTGGGTGCTGGGTGTGTTGGGGCTGGGTGCTGGGTGTGTGGGTGCTGGGTGTGTGGGTGCTGGGTGTGTGGGTGCTGGGTGTGTGGGTGCTGGGTGTGTGGGTGCTGGGTGTGTGGGTGCTGGGTGTGTGGGTGCTGGGTGTGTGGGTGCTGGGTGGGTGGGTGCTGGTGTGTGGGTGCTGGGTGTGTGGGTGCTGGGTGTGTGGGTGCTGGGTGTGTGGGTGCTGGGTGTGTGGGTGCTGGGTGTGTGGGTGCTGGGTGTGTGGGTGCTGGGTGTGTGGGTGCTGGGTGTGTGGGTGCTGGGTGTGTGGGTGCTGGGTGTGTTGGGGCTGAGTGTGTTGGGGCTGAGTGCTGGGTGTGTGGGTGCTGGGTGTGTGGGTGCTGGGTGTGTTGGTGCTGGGTGTGTGGGTGCTGGGTGTGTGGGTGCTGGGTGTGTGGGTGCTGGGTGTGTTGCTGCTGGGTGTGTTGGTGCTGAGTGCTGGGTGTCTTGGTGCTGGGTGTGTTGGTGCTGAGTGCTGGGTGTGTTGGAGTGCTGGGTGTGTTGGTGCTGGGTGAGCAGGGTGCCGAATGTGCTTGGTGCTGTGTGCTACGCAGCATGTGTGTTGGGCACGGGCTCTGCTGGGTGGTGAATGTGCAGGCAGGGTGTTGACTATACCCGGCTGTGCTGCGTACTCAATATGCAGGGTGGCGTGTCTACTTAATTAAGTGTGCTGTGCGCTGGGTGCCAGTTAAGTCGGGCGCTGGCTGTGCTTGGGTATCTACCTATGCAGGGCGCTGCCTGTGCTTAGGTACCTAGCTATGCAGGGCGCTGGCTGTGCTTTGGTATCTAGCAATGCAGGGCGCTGCGTGTGCTTAGGTATCTAGCTATGCAGGGCGCTGGCTATGCTTGAGTATCTAGCTATGCAGGGCGCTGCGTGTGCTTAGGTATCTAGCTATGCAGGGCGCTGGCTGTGCTTGAGTATCTAGCTATGCAGGGCGCTGCCTGTGCTTAGGTACCTAGCTATGCAGGGCGCTGGCTGTGCTTAGGTATCTAGCTATGCAGGGCGCTGCCTGTGCTTAGGTACCTAGCTATGCAGGGCGCTGGCAATGGCGAGTGCTGTGTATGCCCGGCGTTGTTCGCGCTGGGGCTTTCCAATCGTGAGGGGCGCGCTGGGTGCGATGCCCGTGCGGGGTGCTCCCCACCTGCCTGCCCCCGGCCGCCCCGTGCACGAACACGCGCTCGCCGCACCCCGTGAACACGAGGCCTCCGGGGCCCGGCCTCAGCGGCGGCGGGGGGGCCGCCCTGCGCGGTCCCCGGGGCCGCTCCAATTCCTCCAGGGTGCGACCCCCGCCGCCGGGAAGCCGCTCCATGCTTTCCCGCCCTCACGAATAATCGATTCAAATTATTGACGTTCGATTCCTACACTCGATTCCACGCGTCTGGTTTAGAAAAAAAATGTCGATTCTAGACTCGATTTGTTGTTGTTGTCACACTTGCAGTCGTCGGATTCGCATCGCGCCGCGAATGTACATCTTACGCGAGGGCCTCCGTTTCCACGAACGCATCCCAAACCGCGTCTCGTATTAGTACTCGTACGGCGTCGCGATTGCGTTCCGCATTGGATTGTCTCGCGCGAATCGCTTAGCTTAAATTAAACATGGCCGTTTTGCGAAGAATCGATTCGCGATGCTGCCGTGAGACCCAAGAACTCTCGCGCGGTGACCATGGCAACGGCGACGCCGCGTTGACCCAAACACATGAACCAAGTTTCGTGTGTATGTGTGTGCGTGCGTGTACATATAAATCACTCGCCACCCTCACAGATTATAACACAAACAACAGCGCGGATAAACCACACGCGCGTACCGCAACGGTCAAAGTTATCCAAATCTGAGCCCGAGCGTGGAGCGCCCCGCTCGCTGCCCCATGGCGCCCAGCGTTCCTCGCGGCCGTGCGGCCGGAGAAGCGGCCTCCCCGGGTCTCACGGCGGCCTCCGTCCCCACGGCGGCCCCCCCGGGTGCCACGGCGGCCTCCCCGAGTCGGCGGACGAGCGCGCAAATTGTGAGCGAGGCCCGGGCCCTGGTCCGCGCCCTGGAGACGCGGAGGCCGCGCACGCCACGGGAGGCCGAGCGCCGCCTCTTCGGCCCCCGCGGCGGCGTCGACGGCAGGAGTCTGGACTCGCGTCCGAGCTCAGCCGTGAGGTGACCGGGGTGGAGGTCGTCACAACACCCTCATCGTCACAACACCCTCGTCGTCACAACACCCTCATCGTCACAACACCCTCGTCGTCACAACACCCTCGTCGTCACAACACCCTAATCGTCACAACACCCTCATCGTCACAACACCCTCATCGTCACAACACATCATCATCACCGCACTCCATTACAACATGTTATCCCCGTACCGTGGATAAGATGCACACAGCGTTGGTGTACGGTGCTATTTCAGGAATATTTTGATGTTTTTTTCCTGGATTTTTCTGTTTGCACAGTCACACACAGTCACTTTAAGATGTTTTCTTGTTCATGTTTTTGTTTGTTGCGGTTGCACCCGCTTCAAGAGCCGAATGGCTCACAGGGATATACCTAATAAATGAAACTATGAACTATGAACTACCGTCTGACGAGCAGTAGAGATCTTAACGCCTCATAAACCCCTTCATAACCGCGTCGAGCACTCGCATCTATTTTTCGTGACGGCGAGGAGTCAGACGACCGTGACAACTCACGGCTGAATGATGGCATCGGCGTGCCGGGCGACTCGGTTGTTAGCTTCGTCGTGTGGGAGACGCTGAGACGACACCGCCGCCGTGCAGAGTTTGAGCCCTGGGTCTGGGTCACTTCCTCTCAGAGGGCTCACAATGGTCAAGTCGGAGAACGTGAACTGGCTCCATGCTCAGATCCTAGGTTCGAATCGTGGGTTTGAACTTTGAAGCCAGGTTTTGGCCGTCTGAAATAAAATTGGATTATCAAGCGTCGCGAGTTGAATGTCTCACCCCAGTGTCAAGCCGATGCCCTCACAAAAAAATTCACATTTGGTATTGCGTCTTAAGTTGAATGAATTCCACCTGCTAGGATTACAAAATTTCGTTTGATTGCATTTGCTGGGCTGACAAGGGCCCCCTTCTGCAGGGCAGTGCTATAGTGGCATTTTCTGCCATACGGTTGACATTGGTTGTCCACAAAAGGCGGTCCAATTCAAAGTAAACTTTGCACAGATTTTAACATGTGTGCCACCTTTGTCATGTGCCAACGTTGCGTGTGTCTCTGTGCTCATGCTTTGCCCATCTGTGCATGCTATGCGTGTGTCCCTGCCTTCATGCTGTGTGTCCATGCTATGTCAGTGTGCCCACGCTGTGTCTGCATGTACGTACATCTGCGTGTACCGTATGCAGCCTGCATTCACACCACTTTGAGGTGATGGAGCAGAGGCCCACATCGCGCACTCGTCTCGCTCCACTGCAGCATGTGAGCCGCCACCCACCCACACACACAGATACGCTATAGTATCTATGTATGTTGAACTTCTTTCGCAGGTGTGGGGGAAGGACAACAAACTAAACACAAAAAGCAGTTCCAAAGACATTTGTTTTCAATCTAGATCAGTCATGTGGGCTGATGCATATTTAAATATATATATACATTTGCAATGTCTGTAGCATCTATATACAGCCGACCTCCAGACGTTTTACAATTAAAAAAAGATGAAGCCGAACACATTAACAAATGCATATTGCCAAATAATACAAATATATAGATGTACAGTATTTAAAATGATTTAGATGTAGGCATTAGAGACCAACTAAATCTCCAGTCTAAGCCTAAGCAGTGGCACTGTCAACTGCACAAAGTTGAAAATTTCACAAGTTCCAGGTCAGGGGAGCAGCAAACGAGAAGGAGCGACCCCCCCCACCCCCCATCGCTTGCAGGTTTACTCACAGCATCAACAGATCTCTATTTGCAGAGCAAAGGCCACGTGCAGTGCAGTGTTGAGCGATATGTGGGGTAGGAGTGATGAGTGGGGGAGGAGTGGTGTGTGGTGTAAGAGTGACGCGTGGGGTAAGGAACTCAAGAGCTAACCCACGAAGAATCTTAAAGAGTGTCACAGGAATCTTGCACTCAAATTTGATCGGCAACTAGTGTGTCAACGCAGGTGCACGGTGGTCATGTTTATGTTAGAGGACTCCAACCCTTTACTGCATATTCAAAGGCACAGCGCTCCGTGCTCTGTGCGTGTGTTTGTGTGCCATGGACTTTGACTGAGCCAAGCAGAAGCCCCGAGTATCCTCAGATTCCCTGGACAGGGACCCTGACCAGGACCCCCTCCCCAAGTCGCTGGGTGACCCCCGCGAGGTGGCACGGGTCAGCCGCTCCCGTGCCAGGCTCTTCCGCGCCGCCAGTGCAGGGCACGTGCTGCCGGACAAGCCAACCCCGCCACACGATGGTGGTGAGGGTCACAGTATGGTGAGGTTGGCACAGCTCACACCAGTCGCTCTGTTGTGGTTGACAGGGGGCCTGGTACAATTGAAGTGTTCTTGCCCCAGGCCCAGGACGTAAGTGTACACTCTTCTCTCACTCAAGTCCACTCACTCAAGTGTTAGTTCCAGACATTCTCTCTTGTGTGGGGCCCGACTGACCAGAACCCTATTCAGGTCACTTTACAGACAAGTTAAGGCTTTGTTGCAGAACATAAGGGAGCTAACCTCACGCAACTAGACAATTTACTTAAGTTTCATAGCACAGTATCTGGGCTCCTTCAGCCTGTGGGACCCGTCAAGTGCCATTGCTCCACTTGCACTCTCGACAGATACGAAACTGGCTCCTCGTTTTTAGGAGGCAGGATATCCTGCAGGCCTGCATGGTCTGTGTACATATATCCAGCTTGATGCTGTGTGTGTTACGGTGGCATGTCAGGACTGAAGAGGATGCGCAGCGATCTGGGTTCACGGGACAGAGCCCACCTTGCGCCTGTGGCTGTGGTCGAGGCCTGGGGGGAGAGGCCCCCCGATAGAGGGGGCCGCCCTCCGAGCTCTCCTGACCCCCCCAGCTCTCCCAACACTCCCAGCGCGCCCGACTCCCCCAGCTCTCCCGACTTCCCTACGGAGGCTGCCTTTTGGAGTTCGCACGTCGCTCCACTGCTGACCCAGCTCGAGGCCTACTCCACGGGTACACGCCTCATCCGTCATGTCAGACAGCAAACACAAAGAAAAAATATGTCTCAGTCATGCACACTGTCAGGGCAAGTTCTGTTAAAAAGCATCTTTGCAGGCTGAGACGACGCACAAGAGGGCGGCGTGCTCAGTGCCACGCCTTGTGTCCCCTTGGGGATGCTCAGAACTGGTTCAGATAATCGCCACGAATGTTGGCCATGGCTGGAAATTTAACTCAGGTTGTACCTCCAGCAGTGGTCGCTCTATTGCAGACACAGCCGCCTCCACCTTGATAAACGTATAGGAGGGGACGACCTAGGAGGGGCTAGCAGCCATCAGGGGGACAGAGTAAAAGGTTCCACAAGTGGGATTTGGGCGCACACACTTGTTCAGGTGTTTACAATGCACATTTTCTTTCGAATAAGCCCCATGGTTGAACAATAATTTTATATCCTTCCAAAAAACTCTATCCTACACCTTCGCTGATGCTGTTTGTTGCTGGCTACTTGCCAACTTGGGCCTTTGAGCCTGTGCTCAGAAATCATGATTAGAAAAAGAACATCATACAAAGTTGTGTCCTTTTTGTTGAGTAAATAAAAATGTATGCACTTGATATATTTTAAGTTGAAGTCATCGACATCTAAATTACAGGTGTTATTATCAGGAGGCTACAATAAAAGTAAAACAGTATAAATCACAGTGCACAACACCAGTTGTGGCCATTGGAGAAACAATCCAGGTTTGGATAAGCTACTCAAGTTGACATACCTCATTTATCCTGCTTCTTAGTGAATACCCAATGAGCGAGGCGTGCTTTTTCCTGCGCAGAGGGCGACCGGCCGCAGGTCGAGGAGGAGGGGCAGGAAGAGAGGGCGGAGGTCGTGGGGCGGCTATGTGGCGTGTGCGAGGATCTGGGGGCCGTGCTTGCCCGGGGGGGCATGTTGGCCCAAAGGGGCGGCCACGGCAGGGCCGCCCTCCTCCGCGTCCTGTACCGCCTGGTGGACGTCAACTCGGACCGCCTGCTGCTCCATGTCATCAAGCTCATTCTCTCGGTAGAGTCGACCAGACAAAGATAAATATCCCCCCATATAGCCTTAACAGACTATTGGGGCAAGTGCTGTTAGCGAGCACCTATGAAGGCTGGCACGGCACACAAGAGGGTGGCTGGCGATGCTTAGACACTGCACCAGGTACTCATTTGAGGCTGAGTCGACCAGGCCCTCAGTGCCACAAGCCGGGAGGTCCCACTGTCGAACTCGGGTCGCTGGGTTCGTAGCGCGGCGTGCTAACCACTACACTACAATGCGTTACGCTTCCACATGCGCGGGTCACATGACAGATTTGACGTCACTTGCCGTGCAAAAAATATGTGCATTATTGAGCTCCCCCCCAATTTTTTTTCTAATTTTTGCATGGTGTACAGTCTGGAAAGTACCCACATGGCAAATTTCAAGTTTGTTGCATGTCGGGAAGTACGATACACATTTTCAACAGACACACATTCACAACTTTGCCTTTTATATTCATGGAGATAATAATATTGTTGCCTGGAACATATTACCGCTGGGCAAAGGCCTCCCACATTATATTCGATTCCTTCTTTTCCATAGTTGACCAATTCCCCTGGAATGCAACCGATATCATCAGATGCTGAACAGGGCTAAGACTGGATAGTGCTTGAATGGGCGGCCGTCAAGCACGGCAGGTTGTTACCTTGGTAAACAGCGGTGTGCAGTGAAGCAACATCCATTGTTCTCCTGTGCGCTATGCTGCCACGTCTATGTACCCCACCCTCACCAACTGCCACTCACCAGTGTGGTGAAGTATGGTCAAATAACTTTGACAACCTGCATGGCATAGGGAGGCCCCAATCCAGCAGGAGATTGATAAAGGGCTTTACTTTTACAGTAATCCCTTTACGCAATAAAGTCTCATTGAGTATGAAGACACTTTCTGCAGTGTTCAACATGTGGGCACTCACACATATGAGGGGATAGCACTCAAAGCTCCACACAGATGATTTCAGGAATTCAATGGTGCAATTCCATCTTCTGGACACTTCACAAACCAGGCAGTCTCCCGTCCATGTACGAAGCAGGTTCTTGTCTTCCGAGATCTGACGAGATCGGGTGGTATGACTGATTGTCTGTGTGCACACTTATAAGATGCAATGCTATCTAAGCCACCGCTTCACAATTTGTATGGAATAGGCCGCTGAGGATGAGTGTAGCTGAGCTTTTTTGTCGCTTCTGCTGACCACAGATTCAGGTCAAAGACAAGAACCTCCTCAACGTGTGCAAACTTGTGTTCAAGATCAGCCGCACAGAAAACAACGACCTGCTCTTCCTGCAAGTGGGAATCGTGGGTATGTGTCGGCTAGGAGGGCGGCTCTCTTACACGAAGGGTTGCACTGCTCCGCGAGAGATCCGAATGGATTCTTCATCCCAAAACACGATGCTGATAGCACGAACGAGGTTTTAAAAAAATGTAAATAAAGAAAAGTAAGTGGGGTTCGGCAGGACAAGTCGCTGGAGATAATGCCATTTGTACAGCGAGCGGTAGTGAAACCTGTCTTTCTGTCTGTCTGTGGGAGAGGTGGGAGAGGGGGTAGGGTGTGCGAGGGTTTCCTCAAAACTAGTTTTGCCATGCAAAGTAAAATTTCTCCCAAAGAGAAGTGAAACAAGTTCTGCACTATTGCTGGACTCTCATCTCAAGCGTGCACTTGTGCGTGCTTGCCAGTGCGGGTGTGGCTGCCTGTGTGCAGTGGTTAGCTCTCTCTGCACTATGCACCCGAAGACCTGATTTCGTTCCTGGGCATGGATAAGATCAGTAACAATATCTTCACCTGTCCTTGGCTCCACCAAGACAACTTGGTACCTCGTCCAGTATGAAAACATCAGCACTAAGGAAATTAAATCAGCAGCGCATATTGCTGGTTGCAGCACCCCTACGTGTGCCATGCCGGCGTTCATAGGTGATCGTTAATAGTTGCTTGTTAACAGCACTTTCCCAAGTTGGGTGAATGGCTATAGGGAAGAAACGAGGCAGAACCAGGCCTGCCAACAGACCAAGTGATTATATTTCTGAGCTACAATCCTCAACGAAACTGCATTGCACCAGTTGACCTGCAGCCTCATTAGGCTTTGCCCTCCACCCATTTACGTTTGAGTTTTCCCGGTGAAGGGCATTGCATGCGTTCGTCATTTCAGATCGTAGTTCAGGCGTGTGCAAATTAAAAAAATCCTTGCTGAGGGCCAAATAGGACTTTCATCTACATTTGTGAAACCGCACATTAACCTATACCTTGACGTTATCCAATAATTACACAAAAACTTATTTGGGCTGACCTTTACAGGTGACTGAGCACGCGAACATGAGAAACACATTTTTGACGGGTCGAAGAGATTTCCCTCTAGTACTCAGTGATGGATAAATCCATAATATAGTTTTTTTGCGTTAGATTGCGTCAGCGTAAATGTCGTTAAACCCGCCACCACCCAACACAGACAATTAGTAAGATTTGTCACAAAAACAGAACATGCTAATTCGTTAATAGTACAGTACACCGGTGTGTTGAAGAGCAAATCCACAACATTTACAATCTAAGTACGATGTTTTGCAAGTAATTACAACTAGCTTCATCAGGCAACAGCCAGATTGATAAATATTGCTCGCAGGACGTTTCAAAGTGGTAGGCCTGGTGTGGCTGCAGGCTGTCCCAATTGAAGTCGTGGGCCGGATATGGTCCACAAGGCATGGGTTTTCTACCCTCTTAGGTGCTTCGGAAAATGTCTTTATGTGTGTGTGGCACACACTCGTGGGCAATTGCAGATAGCCATCCTCTAGAAATATACGAGCACAACGGCAGGCGAATAAAGCACAGCAAGGTGGCACAGTGGTGAGCACAGGTGGTGCAACCCATAACACCTGGGCCTGGCCAACGAGTCTATGACACTTCACAAGGCCTCCAATTTCACCTAGTCTGGCACAAGCGCCATGGTGATGTCACCGGTTGTTGCTGTTGTTGTGGCGCAGAGTTGCTGTTAGGGGTGCTGGGCGACCCAGATCTGGCGGCGAACGTGGAGGCTCTCACGTACTGCGCGGGAGCTGTGAAGTTCCTCGCCAACAGCGGTGGCAGTGATGGCGGTGATGGTGGCGGTGCACTGGGCGCCGAGCTGCTGGCACGCGGGGCCCTGGACACACTGCTGGGCCTCCTCGCTCGCGCCAACACTGCACTGGCGGACAAGGCGATGGCGCACCTGCTCGTGCAGGTCTCTCAGAAACAAAGACCCCCCCGTGTAGCCTCCACAGACTATTGGGGCAATTGCTGTTCGCGAGCACCAATGAAGGCCGGTACAGCGCACGAGGGAGTGGTGTGACCAACACGACCACAGCCAAGAAACCTTTGTGTTCCCATTGCTGATGTTTATATACACTGCAACAAGCACTCATTTAAGGCTGAGTCTACCCACGGGAGACACGGAACTTGTTCAGATATCACTTTTCACTGATGTTAGCCACGACTAGGATTCAAACCTTAGGTTACCGGGTTCGTAGCGCAGTGCGTGAATCACTGCAACACTACTCCCCACATACGCACACACACCTTCATGGGTCTATTAAATTTTGCTGCTCCCAACAAAGATAAAGATTCCTGGACACACAAAGTGACAGACAAGGGCGTGTCCACCCCCTTTTGCTGCCACTCCATCGTTAATCTTGACCACTGGCTATTATCCCTTAAGCCCATTAACTTTTCTTAATGAGCAACATTTTTCTGACTTACTTGAATTTATATTGAATGATTGGATCTGGTCCAAAGATGCTTGATTTAAAGTGAAAACCCGTATCTAATTTCAAAATATGCTTGGAAGAATTGCTTTTAAACTTGGTGGTGGAGGGTCTTACGACATAAATCTGGTCAGACATAAATGTGGCTTAACTAAAAAAAAAAATCTATTTTGCATTTTTCTCATGATAAGAAAAATCACATGGTTCTCTGGGTTGTGCTGATCGCGCAGTTCGTGTTGTTGCCACGGCCCAGGTGACAGCGGCTGTGCGGGGCCTAGCGGACGCCCCGGGAGCCTGTGGCTTCTTCCGTGCGGCTCGGGCGCTCCCCACACTGTGCACGACGCTGGAACGCTACGAGTGCGACGCCTGCGTTTGCACCAACGTCCTACGTACATTTAGGCAAGAGCCTCTCTCTCCCGCTTAGCATTGCCAAAGAGCACTGAGGTGGTGGCCATCTCCCGATTGCACTCCTGAGCGAGTAGTGGAAATTACACATTCCTATGGTGGGGGCGAGTCATAGAACCACTGCTGACTTCCCCTCATTCTATCCACCCCAGAAGGATGGGCTGCATCAACCCCCAACCGGGATTTGAACTCACAACCTTCCCAGTGTGAGTCGCTCGCTCGACTGCTGACCCCACAGGACCAGATACAGCTGTGTGAGATTGTATTTTGAACCCGTGTTATTTGAATCCCAGGTTCTAAATTATGTTACAAGAAAGGCCATTGACTGAGCACATTCAAGGAGAAACAATGCTGTTGCCAGGTTGAAAATATTCCACCGTAATACCCAAATATTGTGGCCAAGATGCTTGGAATTGCTGGATAAACATTATTTGTGAACAGTTTCGAAGTCGTGGGTTTCATTTAGCTTTGGAATGAAGTGGCGGGCCACATGAAATGAAGTCACAAGCCGTAGGTGCCTCACCCCTGCTGTAAGACCGTGCATCCTTAACGCTCTGCGTGCTTTGTCTGCAGCAAAGTGACGGATCGCAGCGAGGGCTGCCGTGAACTGGCTGCGGTCGACTCGTCTCCCAACATCCTCATCGCTTTGCTGCACAAGTTTCCACGCAAACAGGTGGGCGGCAGCACGTCCGGTACGCACCAAACATCCATAGCACGCCACGGTATTCTGCTTTATTCAATACGCACATTATATACCACACAATGTATTCCAGTGCATTTAAAATAAGTTACATACGGCACAACACAGTGTATTTAATGTTTATTATATACTCCATAACAGTGAATTTAAAATTAATTATATACTACATAGTGCATTCCTGTGCATGTGATGTACTTTTATTTTCACGATCCAGCTGTTGTATTAACATTACGCACGCAGATGCATAGCGCTGTAACCGCTGACGTGGGGCGTCACTGTGTCGTGCCGTGCGCCGCGTGACATGGTCGATGCGTGCCTAAACCACGTGCCCTGTGACACCGGGTAACAGGACCTGGTGGTGCGCGTGTGTTACACGCTGGGGAACCTGGCGGCGCGCAGCGAGGCCGTTCGCGAGCGTCTGTGGCGCCACGCCTCCTGCCTGGACGTGCTGTTGCATGTCTACGCGCTCCAGCTGCAGCGCCAGCCCGACACGGGTGCGGTCGCCTCTCACAGCTTCACCTGTAGCCGTGGGTTACAGGCAAATGTTTACAGTTTTACATTGTCAATGAGCGCAATACGTTTTATGCGAAAATCCCACGAATGTTGATGTGCGGAGGTGTGTGTGCGTGATTTGTGTCTATGTGGTGTGTGTGTGTATGTGTGCGTGGTAAATATGTGCACACTAAGCATTTGCCTCAACCGTCTGTTAAGGCTATACGGGGAAACGTTTTCTTTGTGGTATATTGCTCTGTGCATGCGCGTGGTGCGTGTGCATGCTGTTTGAATGTGGGGTGTTGGTATGTGCTCATGGTGTGTTTGTGAGCGAGCAGACCTGGCTGAAGACGTACTTGTGAAGCTACTGCGTGTGCTGGCAAACCTGTCCCTGCACCCTGGCTTGGGTGCAGCTCTAGCCAGCCACCCCCGCTGCATCCAGCTACTCATCTGCACCCTTGGTGGGGTGCCCCTTTCGTTATAACTATTATTATTATTCATGCCCTTATGACCAGATTCTTACTTTTTCAGTGCTTTTCTTTTTGCCATTTTTGTTCCAATTATGCTATCGGCGTCACGTCGTGAGGTGAAAAAAAATCATTCTGATCTCTCGCAGAGCCGAGCAACCCTTTGTGCTGGGGAACGGGTCGCAGAAGCGGATATTATAGAACTGCTTTTGGACCCATTCAAATGACCTCTTATAACAGTATGACAGATAGACCGATTCGTCTCATTCTCAGAGCTCTAATTTAGCCTAAGTACAGACATTTCTTTTACGTGATGGGTTTCTGTTGTGTAGTCATTGGTGAATGGGCTACGGCAATAAGCTCACCGCACTTGAGGACCTGGTTTAATCACAGGTGCCTGCCTGTATTTCAATGCAGGATCTCAGCGGTGGCTGCTTGGCACTCTGACCTCTGAGCCACCTCTTGTAAACATTATCTCTCAAATATAATTAACATAAAGAATAGCAGGCGCTGAAGGGCAGACTCATATCTAAACGTTTCTGATTACCATCAGGTTTATCTGGTTGACACCAGATTTAAGCTATTGCAACGAAGAGACGCCAGAAAATTCCTGTTGGGAGAACATTCCTTCATCCACGATGTTTGATGTCTTAGTTATTTAATTATTATCCCCCCCTTAATCGGTTTTGTACAATAAACTGGATTGCTTGGCTAATCTGAATGCAAATGCCTGTGATCATTGCCTTCTCCCTCAACTGGTCTTTATGTTGTTTATATTATTGATTTGTTAATATTTTGCACTGTCAAATGTTTATCAGGGAGAAGTGGGGCATTGGTAAGCGCACTCTGCTGTAAACCCAGCGACCTGGGTTCGATTCCCGGTCACAGCTAACATCAACGGTGAACCAGTCCTGGCCACACCGGCTTTTCCAACCTGCACTGACCGGCATAGCGAAGAGTGGTCATGCAAGCCCTACAGCTGACCCCGACGTTTGGAGACCATCAATACTTTATTACGCTGGTTAGTGTATGTTGGTGAAGGGGGAATCCCCTGATGTTAGCCATGGCCGAGAATTTAACTCAGGTAGCGGGCTTCGTAGTGTGCGAACCACTGTAGCGCCTGCCGCTCCACCCAGATTAACTTATGTCACGTACACTTTAAATATTGGCCATTTTATATAAAACTCACCAGGTGGCTCAATGGTAGTGAGTTATAATCCTGGTTGGGGGTTGGCTCAACCCATCAACCCTCTGGAGCCAATAAAATGATGATCACTTTGTGGGGAAGTAAAAAGTGAATTTCCTATGGACTCTCACCTCTGCCATAGGAATGTAGAATTTATACCACTGGTTCTGGGCTGCAAACAGATGGCCACTGCCTCCATGTTCATTTTGAGAAAGAAATTACTTTTACTTGACTATTTATTTGTTTATAGTCAGCAATTGTACTGGCTATTGTATTTATTTTCCTTAACTTAGGTTATGTATGTAGAACTTCTTTCGCACCATACGTAGCCAACCGTGCTAATCGGCGGTGCGGGAGACTGACAGCAAACTAAACACAAAAAGCAGTCGGAAATAAAATGAGTTTCCAATCTAGATTTGAAAGTGCATTGCTCCAGTGGCTTCCTAAAGGTTAGCTTTGAAGAAAAGATTTGTAATCTCAATGATTGGTTCTCAGGGGTTGTAAATAAAGATTACTGTCTCTCTGTCCATCTCGTGTTGGGCGGTCTCCCCACAGAGAGCCCGGGCGTGCGGGAGCGCGAGGAGATCGTCTTGAACGCTGTGGCGACCGTTAACAACCTCTCCTACCACATGGGCCCCGGTGCCACGCTGCAGGGCCAGCAGCTGCGCATCGCAGAGTGTGAGCCCCGCGCACACCGCGGCATGAACGCCACGCGGCCTCGCTGCGTCGGTGCCGCGGCCGAGTAGCCAGGTGCGACCGGATCTCAAGAAGCGGTTAAAGAAGCAGTGGTCATGTTTATTGTGCAGAGGGAGGCAGTCTGTCGTACGTCTCCATGCCAGTCTGTGGGTCTCTGTGTGCGTCTATGGATCTCTATTTCAGTCTTTGGGTCTTTACGTGCGAATAAATACCACACCAAATGCTGTATTGAACAAGGGGTATATTTCTTTGTTGTTGCCAGTGTCCGAGTAGTTGCGCAACAGATTAATAAAATTAGAGACAGACTCAACTTTGTAGTGACGTAGTTCGTAACGTGCTTATTTGCAAACATATGATTGGTTGTTACAATCATGAGGGTGGGAGGCAGAGTAAACCAGAAAGGCGGTGGGGCTCTACTGTGGAGGAGTGTGGTCAGATACCCTAGCCAAGCTAGACACGTCTTCGCTGTGCAACTCATCGTACAGATGTGGACAAAGTTATTTCCGTGATTAATTTTCCCGGTCTCGAAGGCGATTTGGTTGCGCAATAGATAAAGGGCATTAATAATCGATATCCGTCGATAACTCTATGCATCGTACCACTGCCACTTAATACTGTTCACAATCAAACCCTACAGTGATGACCCCTATCTGTTTTGCTTATGACACCTCCAGTGCTGCTCATGCCCCTGCTGGGCCCTGGGGAGGAGGGGGTCCTGGAGGCATTGAGGGCCCTGGGGAACCTGTCCCAGAGCGCGGCCGTGCGGGAATTACTCCACCAGCACCACGGTGAGCGCAGCAGCCACAGATGCAGCAGCGTCCACTCTGCCACATCGCCACCCGCAGTGAAGTGCTGATCGTAAATGCTGCCCGTCCGTGTTGTCTTGTGAGCTGCCTCTCTGTGTTCTGTCTGGTCTGCTGGTATCCGCGCTGCTTTTTGCCTGCGAGTCGCCACCGATGTATCCATCCCCAGTGCCGGGGCTGCTGTTGGAGCTGTTGTCCGAGGGCTCCCAGGACGTGTGCTACTCGGCAGGGGGGGTACTGCTCAATATGAGCAGCACCGACGATGGGGGGGCAGGGCGGCTGCTGCAGCTGGGAGCCATGGAGAGGTGAGCGCTATCGGTGGTGGTGGTGGTCGTGCGGGGTCACTGTGGAAGCAACAACTCAGCCTGCAATGCTTTGACAATTGACCATCTTTTGATTTAAAGCTTTCGTGACTGCAGGGATTCATATTCTTGGTTCTTTTGGTAAAGTCACGTGGAAGGGAAACAATAAAATAATAAAAATAAAATTAAAAAACTGTCAAATCTCTCTCCGTGGTGCTAACGTTAAAAATAACCGCCACCTTTTTTCAAATTTTCTTGTTGTGGTTTTTACACCTGATGATGATTGCTTGTGTTGCAGTCGAAACATCGTGAGAATTTTAGTTTTTTTATATTTTTTTATTATTATTTTATTGTTTCCCTTCTACGTGACTTCACCGAAAGAACCAAGAATATAATTGACCATCTCCCAATTGGCCATGCGAGGACTTGTCGAGATTCAGGGTTATGGATACCCGGCATGCCAGCTCAACGCTCTGACCTTTGAGCCGCTGTAGCGACCTTGCTGCTATAATCGATTAATCATCATACACCTATAGTAGGTGTCCTCTACCTATGTGGTATTGTTTCCCCCCTGCTAATCAAAACCATATCCACCCACGTCTGCCCCATCAGCTCTACTCGCATCTCTATTGGCTGCACGAGTTGCTCGAACCTTCACTCAAACTCGTTTAATAATAATAAACTGCAGTGGACATTTTCTCTGGCGTGTTCACGATACATTGTGAGTCTTGTCCACTGGATATCAACCCTTTTAGCAATTTCCTGTTCAAGCCCATTTACTATTATTTTCATTCAAGCTTAAACATCCCCTAAGATCGTCTATCCGAACATAAAAAAACGATTAGCCCACAGGCTACCCGAGCCCTTTATTAGAGATTTGTCCTGCATAGTATCCATACTGCAGACCTGCCTTCATGCCTTCCTGGGAGGGGGATGTGACCCACAAGTTGAGAACTGCTGTCCTATATTGACTGAAGTGGCAGCAACAGCCTTTTCATGCATTGCAGAAGAGAGTGGGTAAGCACTCATGGGGTCCCGTGATGTGATTCCTCCCAGGCTGCTCAGCTGCCTGCAGCGCTATTGCCGTGGGGACTGGCAGCTAGGCGGCCTGCTGTGCAAAGTGCTGTGGAACTTTAGCCAAGGGCCTGCTGCCACCGGCACCAGCGGAAAAGGCGGGGGCCTGGATCCCAGCGACACCACGCGCCTGCTTGCCACGCTGCACCTCCTCCTGGGTAAGCGCCACCACTCCCCATGTGACATTACAAAATATAGCATTAAAGTCACGATAACTCGCACCCCTTTGTCAATCCACTGTCGGATGAAGACCTCCCCACGCAGTGTCGTTATGTCGGTTGTTTGACCGAACTTCACCACACTGGCCAGTGTGGGTTGGTGGAAGGGGGAACCCAGGCCTGAACCAGTCCAGTGATATCTGGTTCAGACAACACTGGCCACTTGTCAACGTACCAAAATATTGGCCTCATTTGGTCTTCATGGAACTAAGGGGAGTTTCATGAAGAGGATATACTGGGGCACCCCTTGCGGTGAAGAGCCTGGTATTCTGACACTGGACTCAACACCAAGCTCTTTGCAAATTACTTCCTCAAAAAACAAGTTAAGCGTTGGTCTGGTGACTTTTAAACACTTTCACCACATGCCAGCTTTTGAACCTAAAATTGATCCAAAACATTTTTTTAAATAATTGTATAAAGCTGTATGTTTAACTTTGGAAATGGTTGAAATTAGTTATACGGCAACCATCGAGTCACGTGTCTACTGTTCAGCAACTGTTCAGCATCTGGCAGAGGGTAGCAAGCATTTGGCAACAAGATGTGGTGGCTTTGGCCACGGTGACATCTGGATCAGCAAAAGGGTTTAAATTCGGCAGCCTGCCGCCTAAGTGGGTAGGTTTGGCAACTGTGCTCATCGGGGGTGTCGTGGTGACGCGACTGTGGTCTCCGCAGACGAGCGGACGGCGCTGGTGAGTGCGCCACTGGGCGGTGGGGAACCCGGGGAGACGGTGCAAGGATACCACCGGCAGCTGTGGGAAGCAGAGTTTGTGCCGGTGGCGCGGAGGCTGCAGAAGAGAGTGCAGAGCCAGGCGGCGCCGCTGCTGCTTGAACCGCTGTGACATCGTCGTCACCGTGTAAATCTTCACACTCGCACACACAAAGCCAGGGGTGGCGAACCTACAGCTCCCGACCTCATTTTACCCGATCGCAAACCACCACTTCTTTTCATACGGCCACATGTTATCTTCCACTTCAAAATAGCCCGCTAACAATACTCATCCGTCACCAGCAGTAGGTTGCCAAAAGGGCAGTGTATACCAAGTCAGTGATTTCCTGCTCAAATGAACGTGGAGGTGGTGGGCATCTCCTGTTTACGGCCGAACCAGTCGTGGAAATTCCTCATCCCTATGGCCGGGGCGAGTCCAACAAAGTGGTTCAAATTTTTTGACCCCAGAGAGATAATGGGCTGAGTCAACCCCCAACCAGCCAGTCACTATACTGCCGGAATACAGGAGAGACTTATAACCAGAGTACCAACACACACACCCTCTGACATCACCACATCCAGTTCAAAAGCAAACGGTGTGCAAACTACGATTTGAGTTATGCAAGATGTGTTTAAATGACTCGTCGACAATCTCCGAGCGCGTGCTTCCATGAGTTACAACAGCAGCTTGTTGCCAATGTCATTAAAATATACGACCGGAGATGTGGTGCTGGCCACGGCACGATTTCTTGTGAAGCAGCACATGCAAAGACACTGTGACCTAAGCTGCAAAACACATCCCTCCTCCATCATTCGCCAAGTAAACAACGAGGCAGTCGCTCCTGATTGCAGTATAAGTATTTATTACATATCATACAAATTTAAACCAAATTTAAAGTAATGAATTGAGCACACAATTAAGGCGTAACACAATAATAACAAATCTCCGCTTTAAGCTTAGTGCACACCACAGTGGCGACAGCTGGACCATACAGTCCCAGTCGCACGACATCAACTTCACAGACAAGCGCCAGCAACTAAACATCAAGAAATATCACTCGCATGCTGCTTACACGCGCAATAGCGGCAGACAACAGTAAAACATATAGGGGAAACGCTAAGGCTTTGCACGTTAGCTCCGCATTCTCAAGTAGGGCTGTTAATTTGGGTTTCTTAGCGTTATGGATAATCTCATGCAAAAAATATTACAATTTAAAAAGAAATTATCGGTTTGTCAAATGTTACCAGCTCGCACTGGCCAGCATGGTGAAGTATGGTCAAATGAGCCCCATGACTGACAAGGTGTGGCGAGTAATTCATCCATCGGTGGACTGTGACAGGGCTGTAAGATTGTTTTCTACATTCCGTGTATAGAATGGGTTGCCGTACGGCTTGAACGTAGTTTGCTAGTCAATTGGCTCGATTTGTAACCAAAGTTGGACTGGATTCGATTATTATCGAGTCCACGATTTTCAGACGCAAAAATGTATTTCGTAAATGAATTGGAAAAAAAAAAATCAATGACCGAATAACAACCCCATTCTAAAGTAACCGCACGTAAATAGGAGAAACAGCCGCTATGCTGCCAGCCTGGCTTTCCCAACCAGGCGGGAGATTGGAGAACTTCTCAGATGCACCGCGGGTGGGAACCCAACCGCCCACACCCATAATGTAGGCGAGAGCTGGGCTGGTTTAGGGAGTTTGAATGTGCATGGTCTCCCCTCCTCCGCCTCCCTGTTAGGCCCAACTTAAGTGAAACTGCAATGGCCACCGCTGCCCAGGCGGAAGGAATGGCCTCTACCCCCCCCACCCCTGCAGACATCCGGCCCCGCATGGGGACATGCACCGTGCTGCCTCCACACACTACAGCAGCAGTGGTGCCACCTGTGACAGTGGAGACACCACTGTGCATAGTGTCACCACAGTGATGGTGCCACTAGTGGCGTCACCACTGACGTTAGTCATGATGTCATCACAAGAGTGATGTCACCACTGTGCAGGTGTCACCTCCAAGTGACGTCGCCATGTGTGATGCCGACAGTGGTGCTATAAACATCACTGCAGCGATGTCACCACCGTGGTGACGTCACATCTCGTGATGTTACCACCATAGAGATGTCATCGTCATCGCGATGCAGATGTCACCACTGTAGTGTTAACTGTTAAGTTTCTGCAGCTGTGGTTTCCTGGGCTCCAGGCCAAGAGCTCCTGGGTCAGTGCGCCCGGATCCACAGCAAACCCCACACTACAGTATAAATTCTTTACACGATTGTCTATGAACATACTTTGTAGCAAAGCTTTACTTACAAAATTACATCTTTAAAAAAAATCAGCTCATTACAAAATAGTTGCATTACTCACAGATTGTCTTAGTACGAGATTACACAATAAAACCCGATATTTTGACACAAACTAGCTCAGTTAAGACCACAAGCCTCGCGAGACTTTAAACCGCTCGCCTACCCCCTGAACCCCCACAACAGGCACGTCACCGTATGTTCCGCTTCCCGCCCGCGCTGTTCCCGCCGCACGGTTATTGGCTCAAACGATTCCATTTGTGTCTCATTAGTGTTCCGGCCGGCTCAGCCAATGCCTGCACCGCCTCCGTGGAGGCAACTGAAGGAATCCTCCCGTCGGTCGTTCCTGCAATGTGTCCTCCAAAAACTGGGCTTATTCAGGGGTGGCGTTCCCCAGCATATCTGCTTTCTTGACACACCCCCATTACTACCATGAAGACGAAATTATGGACTCCTTTTTTTTTAACAAACATCTGTCCTTCCATTGATGGATGAAGGCAATCTCAGAGCCATGTCGGTTCAGTTGCTTATCTGAACAAACTTCACAATGTGTGGTGGCCCCAGACTGCTTTGGTTATCACTGTTCCAAAAAAAATTGTTATTTCAATGAACACCAAATTTAGCCCAAGTTTTAATGTTGTCGATACTGCCTTCTATATCATAAATGAAACAAGCAAAATGGTTTAAAAAAAAAGCAAACCAAAAGAATGAATAGTACAGCAATTACTGTGCAGTATGGTACGAAATCAAGACTGCCTGGCGCACGATGCGTCTGCGTGGAGATGAAACTGACCACAAGGAAGCGTTGCTCTGCGCGCCGTTCAGTTTTTGAACTTTGGCAGCGCGATTTTCAAGTTCCGTTTTTCAGTTTTTAGGGGCCTCCAAAAATATTCACGACAGGACACGGTCTATCCACCCATATTATTTCGAGGACACACTGTACCATTCAAATGGTAAATTGAGGGGTGTCCTAGAAGAACTTAATAACCCGCATATATAGTCAATAGAACTCGCGCTAGTGTCACTGGAACACTTTACAATCCATTTTTTGGATTAAAATTCATTTTTTTATCATATCCACAGATGGCTGCACAAAGAACCTAATAATTTGTTTGATCAACTTCATCCACCTCTCAACAACTACTTTCTCTACCAAGAGATGTTGTGGGTTATCACGTTGTTCCAAGACACCCCGCAATTGTAGGCATGTAACGATGCATCAATTCATCGATTAAAATCTATAATTGCTATGAAAATTATAATTGTTATACTATTGTCATATTTAAGCGAACGTAACAAAACTGTACACACAAAATTGAAAGAAACGATCAAACACAAACGAGACACCAAAGATCCCCAGAACAAACCAACTCTTGAACCACAGCCCTGAATTGTAACAATTTGTAGAATCAGCGGTCATCGGGGAGGGGATGGAAATCTGTTACGGCCCTCGTAAAAGCTGCGGTGGTAATCCGCACGGACGGTAACTCGACTGTCGCCACGTCCAGGGAAACGTGGCGTGGGTGCGGGGGGAATGGCAATGTTGAGACCGGCATGGAGCCGTGGATCCGTCCGGCCAGCCCAGGCTCGGCGACGTTACGACACCGCCGCCGTGGTGATCGTTGTTTTGCCCGCTCGGCCACCGCCCACCCCCCCTTACACCGCCGCTATTCTCCAGTTTCTCTAGAAATCACGCCGAGGTAAAGTGTGCAAACTCTACAGAGGTGCGATATGTTGCGTACACTAAAATACTGCTGCTGCAGCGGTCACGAATGCAGTACATGGTTTGTGGCACCACGCGGGCGGGGGAGACTGCAGGACGACACGGGCAGGGCCGCTCCATCGGTCACTTGCCCAGCCACCGCCCGGCCACCGGCACCCACCACCACTACACAGCGGCCTCTGTTCATCATGGCGAATTAGTGACCAAAATAAGAGATATTAATATTGGTTAAATGCTCTAAATAGTAAAGCGAGTCCCAGTAAAAATGATTGGCTATCTCTAAGGGCGTTAAGTAATTAAAAAGCGCACGCGTGCCTGATCCGTAACCCTGCATCCTGGGCACGCCACCGCAACAGCCCTGCCGCTCACGAGATGCCGAAGCTGCAGCTTGGGCAGGCGATGGCGGGCGCAACCTCTCCTAGCACCAACACCAAAATAACACCTCTCCCAAATAAATTCAATTGATCTAGCGTCACAACAAGGACATATTGCTTTGGGGCCACTTCTTCGAAAACAGCACGTTAAAAATATTTACTATTAATATAGTAATAGCTATATAATTTTCAGCATCTATCGCAAACATACATACATTTTTAAAACTATTCAGGTGTTTATCCGCACACCTGTGCACACACTGTACAGTACAATTGAGACGTGTCTCACGTGATGGCTTTTGTATCAGCTTCCTGGTTTCCCGGCCATGCTGCAACTGGTTTCATTGAAAGGCCTAAAGAGTGTGTGGCTGAAGAGGCACAGATTAAGGCATGAATCGGCACCGACTCCTATGGCACTTGCGTGATCTCAACAAAGCACTTGCGTCAGGCGAGTGACACATGATGACATCCACTCCACGCTGGCAGCTGGCCAGCTCTGGCAACTGAAAGATTTGGATTAAACTTTTCCATCTAAACTGGTAAAAAAATGTCTATAATGAAGGCACTCCACTGTTATCACAAACAGCTCAACAGCTCCTATCATCGACAATGCTAAAGGTCATTCGAACTATTATTTACACTGTGGCCACAGACTCGAATTGCTTTGTTAATGAAATAGAATCGTCCTTGACAATGCTGTTGTATAGTTTGGATGTTTGTAGCTGCACGCTGCCAGCCTTCTCACCCGCTTCCGTCCGGAATCCTGGGGGAGACAACCGAGCGAACCCAGCCTCTGCCCCCATTCCTTCATTTGGGAAATGGCCCAAAGGCTCTGGATTTCGGGCTCCACGCCGCCTGCTGAGCCACGGCCCCACACAGCCACTGCCCTCACGGCTGCGGTGAGGCCTTTGCTCCCGCACTGTGAGCGGAGGCTGCGGGGCCGGTTGCGACTCGGATGCAAACCCACAGCTGTGAACGGGTCGGCCCGGCGTGTAGCTCCTGGGCGGGTCACCGTCGGATCCCCTGCGCTGCGGCCGGTGCGGTGAAGGCATGCGGTTCCCTCTCTGGTGTGGCCAGGGCGTGGAGAAGCGTTGGGCCTCACATGGCACGGCTGGTGGGCTGGTTCGCCAGCACTGAATCGAAGCTGAAGTCGAGGCTGTCTGCATCCAGCAGGTCGTTGCGGATGATGGACTCGATGTCGCACTCCAGGTTGCTGTCGAACATGTCCAGGTCCAGGTCGGCCGGGAACCTTTCCTGGGCACTGACTGGAGGCCCGTCCCCCTGTGGCCCCCCAGGTCCTGCTGCGTCGTGCGAAGCCTTGAGGCTCGAGACGCGAACCATATCGGGGGGCGACTGCTTGAGCGCGATCATGTGCGGCTGCGGAGGCGATGTCATTTTCGGCTGCTTCATGCATTTGGGCACGGCAAAACCGCGCTGCGCAAAGCCAGGGGCGGTGGCAGCCGCAGCGTGTTGACGGAGCCCGGAGGGGGGCTGCTGCTGCTGGGGTCCAACCCCCTGCTGCACCGCCGCCCCCCCCGCCGCCTGCCCGAGCGAGTAGTCGCCCTCGTTGGGCAGCGAGTCCGAGTCGAGCAGGTCGCGGAAAGTCTGCGAGGAGCCGAACTGAGCCATTTGCGGTGGAAAGGTGGGGTTGTTCTCCTGGATCGTCTCCATGGGTGAGGGTCTCCACGGCTGCAATCCGGCGACCGACGGGCGGAACAGCGAGTTTCCGTAGCCGTCCGAAGGCCCCGGGAAGGTGAAGCCGGGTCCCGGGGGAGGCTGGGCGTGATGGCCGGCGCTAGCGCCGCCCGCCATGCTGATGTCCTCCAGCAGCTCCTCCATGAGGCTGGTGGAGCGGGGGTGCTCGCCGCCCACGCCCATCGGCAGCATCTTGTCGGGTTGTGGCGCGCGCAGGTGGTGGTCGTTGATGTTCATGGTGCCGGCCAGGTCGGTGATGCAGGGCAGGTCAGTGGGAAAGGGTTTGCTGAGCGCCTCGGAGAACATCCCCGGTGCGGCAGAAGGAACGCCCCCCCCGCCGCCGACCCCATCCCCGTCCGCCACCTCCTCGAACTCGAGTGCAAGGCGCACGGGCGACACGCGGCCGCTCACCGTGCTCGCATTAGAGCCCGTGCGCGTCCGGTAGCTGGCCCAGGGCTCGAAATCCTCACTGGTGTGCGACGGGGATGAGGTGGGCCAGCAGCTGGGGCTGTCCGCGCGGCCTTCGGTCATGGCAGCCTGCTGGGCGGCCTTCTTCTTCACCGCCTTGGCCCTGACCTACGAAGGGGAGCGTATACGCGACTTTGAAGACACAGGTGTTATTGTCACTGTGCTTAGTTGTCGAACCAGATGAGAATTCAATAAACCAAGATAGCCTCATTTGCAAGAGTGACCTGGATCACCAAAATAACAAAATGCAGCAAAAAAAATTGCACAAAATCAGAGCAGAACCACCTAACAGGAGATTACAACTATTCTGAAAAAATATATACAGCAATCTTGTATATAAATTAAGAGCTTAATCTGTCTCAAAAACCTCCAGGGTACTTCCCGACAAGGTAGACAGCTGAAATTTGGTACAAAGGTAGCTTTTAGGACTCAAACAACAGAAAACATGTGAAAATCCCAGATTTTTCATTTAAAGACTCCCAAACCTCAATTTTAAGTGCCCCATAAACATGTTTGCGTGTCATTCAGAAAGCGTTCAAAATATTTTATTGCGTTTTTTTTGTTCAATTCAATTTAAGTGAGAATTCTTTTATTGTTTTTGACATTTCGGATTTAAGCGGTTTTGAACGAAAATAATACGTATTTTATGTTAAAAGTCTGAATAATTCGAAACCAGGATTAAGTTAATAAATTTTTGTTCTTTCTAATAAACAAAAAAACGGAATCATTCAATTGAGCGGTTTCCGGTGGGTACGTATTTGAATCATCGTCATCAACAATTTGTGTTTTGTGGAAAAATACACATTTTGGAGTAGTTATGAGTGTCTAATCGTAGATAAATATTGTCAAAATTCATATCAGGTTAATTATATTTATTGAAAACTTTTTCCTTGCGAAGACAGGCTTCATGAACGAATAATAAATAAAGTACGATTGTCCCTCGGTCAAATGACTTTTAATCTGTCACTGTGTCAGGTGGTGCCAGTGTCTGATCGCGGTCCCAGTGTGCGCACGGATGTTGAACTTCTTCCGCGCCGTAAGTAGCCAACCGTGCTCATCGGAGATGCGGTGGAGGGGGACAACAAACGACGACGAGCAGCAGGAGGAGAATGATGAGCAGGTGAAAGATGAGCAAGAGTGCGAGGTCTCACCTTGGCCAGCTTGTTGGTGTTTTCCATCGAGGCGGCGCGGCGCCGGGGCGACTTTCCGCCCTTGCCGCCCTCAGGGTTGAGCATCCACCAGGAACTCTTGCCCGTGTCGTCGTTCTGCACGCGGATGAAGCGGCTGTGCAGCGACAGGTTGTGCCGGATCGAGTTCTGAAAGTGTGCGTAGCAAGACGTCGTCGCATCCACTAGCTGGAACATCTTCCAAATTTACGTGAACAATTCGCTCAAATTTGACCGATAAAGTACCCTGCACTAACAGCCAAAATATCCATGGGCTTTCCCCCTCATCTCTTTTCAGAACATGTGGGCTGTTATTTATTTAAAATTATAAGTGTTTTTGTAATGATTTGCAAGTAAATATGACATGCCATATATAATTATGGATTAATGGCTTGGTTAATGTAGGTTGATTATTTTTGGCATTCTGATGTTCGTTCCATGACTAGTAAACACGCAGGCTGTTTTTTAAGGTGAGTGGAGTGTTTGTTATATATTTAGTCCAGGTAAATGCTATTTAGGAGATTGTAAGTGAACACTTAAGTAGGATTGAGAATCCACCTGCCAAACGCAACATTGTGAAGTGGCCCCAAAAATTGACATTGTTGAGGCCGAGATGACGCATGGTTTAATGGAGGGCAGTGGTGGGAAACATTCCCTTTAGCCATGGTCAAATAGGACTTTTAAATATCTGTGGGGTGGCCACACCGTGACATAAGTGGCTAGGCGCACTAAAATTAGAAACTGTTGATGCCAGACCGAAAAGTGTCCCGCTAGAACCCAATTAGTGCGGCTTAACATGCTTTCCACCGACAAAACATAATTTTGTGAGCGTTTCAAAGTGTGGCTGCGGCCGTGAGCAATTAAGTCTCTGGCCCACGGGACACGGGTTCCCCGGGAGTCGGGATGGCCATGAGGCAATAATACAACACAGGATCTCTGCGTATCCCAACGACTCGTGTCACCCACGTGTCGACCGCGTGTCGCCCGCGGAGGTTGGACACGGGTCAAGTGAGGGTGGCACGTACCTTCCACCCGGCCGAGCTGTTGTTGTCGCCCTTGTCCTTAAAGTAGGGCACACACCGCACCATCCACTCGTAGATCTGCGCCAGCGTCATGCGCTTGTCGGCCGTGCTCTCGATGGCCTGCGTGATGAGGTCCGCGTACGACAGGCTCCCCCACGGGTTGCGTCGCGACGAAGACGACGAGGTCTTCTTGGGCGTCACGCCGCCGCCGCCGCCTCCTCCGCCGCCGCTGCTGCCAGTGGAGGAGCAGGGCACCGGGCTGCCCAGTGATGGACCCGGAGGGCTCTCGAGCCCCCCCGGTATCTGACCCCCACACAACTCGGGACCCCCCATGTGCTCTGCGAAACCGTCGGCCGGCGGCGTGGGGGCCCCGTCGGGAGGCAGGGACGCCTCCTTGCCCGGCAGGCGCGGCCACGTGCACGAACGCTGCCGCGTCTGTGGCTCGAACTCCGGGTCGATCTCCACCCCCTCCAGCTGCTCCCCATCGGCCTCCGCCATCCCTTCCTCCTGCTCCTCCTCCTCCACGCTGCTGCTGCGGTCGATGTCCAGCGAAGACGGGTCTTGGTTTGAGGTTAGTTTAGGCAGCGGCTAAAAGCTGGGGTTCGGGTCAGGGGGGTGACACCACCGTGGGTTGGGGTTCAGGGTTGGGAATTGAGGGGTGGTACTCGGGTGAGGAGGGTTGGGCGAATGCGAGAGATATGCTGTGTCCGTATTCTATCGGAACTAGTATCTCGATTGTGTTGTGGTGCTAGTGCTGCTGTTACGGTTAGTGCTGTTTCAAGGCTAGTGCTGTTTCAAGGCTAGTGCTGTTGGCTTGTGTCCTGGCTATGGTCAGGGCTGTATCATCACGGCCCACGTGGAAGGTGTTTTGGTCTACGGGAGGGCTTTATTTATCCAAGTGCTGGTGGTGCTGGTGGTTGTCTGGGCTGCAGTCAAGGCTGCAACCTGGGCCGTCTTGAAGGATGCGCCCCGGGGTTGGTGCTGGTTTGCACCAGAGACAAAGTTTCCGTTCTCGAGTCGGGGTTAATGTCGGGGGGGGGGGCTCGCCGTTGCGGGTCAGTGCCGGTGGTCAGGGCCGTGACGAGCGGCCACAGGGCCAGCGAGATAAGAGTCGCTCGTGCTATCGATTCTTAGGGCTGTCGGCGACGAGCGCGGCTCTCGTCAATGTCAGCTCGGGGCCGGGGACGACGGCTGCCTACTGCTGCTCCGCGTCTGCGCTAAAGGGTCCAGGTGCTACCGCTGTTGGGCTATCGCTGCGGGCTGCCTCGCTCGCTGTTACTGTCGGGGCTGCCGCGCGGGCGAGAGGCGCTGCTGGGCCGCGCGGCTGCCATTTTGTACCCGGGACTTGTTTACCGAGAGGCGGCGTAAGGCGACGACTGCCTCCCTCCTCCCCTCTCCTCGTCCTCCTCCTCCTCGTCGTCGTCTTTCTCGTCTCCACGTGGCGCCGCGCGGCAGGGCGCTTCTACCCGCGCCGGGCGTCGGGGACGGGCTCCCGGGGACGCGGCGACGGGGGGGGCGGCGGAGGCGCCGCGCGTTCCTCGTTGTTTTCGAGCCTCGCGGTGACGACGCCGCCGCCGCCGCCGCGGTTCCATGGAGCGCCGCCGCGCCGCGACCGCTGGGCGTCATCGTCGGCGTGGCCGTGGCGTTTTGCGGCGGCCATCTTACGTGAGGAAAAGGTGGGGTTGCTTGGAGGAGGGGGAGGGGGGAAGCCGCGGCGCGTGAGCTTTGTGACGTCACGCCCCCACCACCCTGCGCCTCTCTGCCCGCCCCCCTCCCACGCTCTGCCCGCCCCCCCTTCACCCCTCCACCCTGCACCGCTTGACCATGCCCGCCCACCCCCTCCACCCTGCCCACCTCCACCCCCCCCTCCACCCCCCCCTCCACCCTGCCCCCTTCTGCCCCCCCCCACACTCTGCCCCCCCCCACACTGCCCCCCCTCCCACACACTGCCCCCCTCCCACACTCTGCCCCCCCACACTCTGCCCCCCCCCACACTCTGCCCCCCCCCACACTCTGCCCCCCCCCTCCCACACTGCCCCCCCCCACACTCTGCCCCCCCCTCCCACACTCTGCCCCCCCCCACACTCTGCCCCCCCCCTCCCACACTGCCCCCCCCACACTCTGCCCCCCCCTCCCACACTCTGCCCCCCCCTCCCACACTCTGCCCCCCCCCACACTCTGCCCCCCTCCCACACTCTGCCCCCCCTCCCACACTCTGCCCCCCCCCTCCCACACTCTGCCCCCCCCTCCCACACTCTGCCCCCCCCTCCCACACTCTGCCCCCCCCCACACTCTGCCCCCCCTCCCACACTCTGCCCCCCCCTCCCACACTCTGCCCCCCCTCCCACACTCACTCTGCCCCCCCCCACACTCTGCCCCCCCTCCCACACTCTGCCCCCCCCACACTCTGCCCCCCCCTCCCACACTCTGCCCCCCCCCTCCCACACTCTGCCCCCCCTCCCACACTCTGCCCCCCCCCCCACACTCTGCCCCCCCCCTCCCACACTCTGCCCTCCCTCCCACACTCTGCCCCCCCCACACTCTGCCCCCCCTCCCACACTCTGCCCCCCCTCCCACACTCTGCCCCCCCCCTCCCACACTGCCCCCCCCTCCCACACTCTGCCCCCCCCTCCCACACTCTGCCCCCTAACACTCTGCCCCCCCCTCCCACACTGCCCCCCCTCCCACACTCTGCCCCCCCCCTCCCACACTCTGCCCCCCCCTCCCACACTCTGCCCCCCCCTCCCACACTCTGCCCCCCTCCCACACTCTGCCCCCCCTCCCACACTCTGCCCCCCCACACTCTGCCCCCCCCTCCCACACTCTGGCCCCCCCCCTCCCACACTCTGCCCCCCCACACTCTGCCCCCCCCCCACACTCTGCCCCCCCTCCCACACTCTGCCCCCCCTCCCACACTCTGCCCCCCCACACTCTGCCCCCCCTCCCACACTGCCCCCCCTCCCACACTCTGCCCCCCCTCCCACACTCTGCCCCCTAACACTCTGCCCCCCCCTCCCACACTCTGCCCCCCCCACACTCTGCCCCCCCCTCCCACACTCTGCCCCCCCCCACACTCTGCCCCCCCCTCCCACACTGCCCCCCCCCACACTCTGCCCCCCCCTCCCACACTCTGCCCCCCCCTCCCACACTCTGCCCCCCCCCACACTCTGCCCCCCTCCCACACTCTGCCCCCCCTCCCACACTCTGCCCCCCCCCTCCCACACTCTGCCCCCCCCTCCCACACTCTGCCCCCCCCTCCCACACTCTGCCCCCCCCCACACTCTGCCCCCCCTCCCACACTCTGCCCCCCCCTCCCACACTCTGCCCCCCCTCCCACACTCACTCTGCCCCCCCCCACACTCTGCCCCCCCTCCCACACTCTGCCCCCCCCACACTCTGCCCCCCCCTCCCACACTCTGCCCCCCCCCTCCCACACTCTGCCCCCCCTCCCACACTCTGCCCCCCCCCACACTCTGCCCCCCCCCTCCCACACTCTGCCCCTCCCACACTCTGCCCTCCCTCCCACACTCTGCCCCCCCCACACTCTGCCCCCCCTCCCACACTCTGCCCCCCCTCCCACACTCTGCCCCCCCCCTCCCACACTGCCCCCCCCTCCCACACTCTGCCCCCCCCTCCCACACTCTGCCCCCTAACACTCTGCCCCCCCCTCCCACACTGCCCCCCCTCCCACACTCTGCCCCCCCCCTCCCACACTCTGCCCCCCCCCTCCCACACTCTGCCCCCCCCTCCCACACTCTGCCCCCCCCTCCCACACTCTGCCCCCCCTCCCACACTCTGCCCCCCCTCCCACACTCTGCCCCCCCACACTCTGCCCCCCCCTCCCACACTCTGCCCCCCCCCTCCCACACTCTGCCCCCCCACACTCTGCCCCCCCCCCACACTCTGCCCCCCCTCCCACACTCTGCCCCCCCCTCCCACACTCTGCCCCCCCACACTCTGCCCCCCCTCCCACACTGCCCCCCCTCCCACACTCTGCCCCCCCCTCCCACACTCTGCCCCCCCTCCCACACTCTGCCCCCTAACACTCTGCCCCCCCCTCCCACACTCTGCCCCCCCCCTCCCACACTCTGCCCCCCCTCCCACACTCTGCCCCCCCCTCCCACACTCTGCCCCCCCCCTCCCACACTCTGCACCCCCCTCCCACACTCTGCCCCCCCCTCCCACACTCTGCCCTCCCACACTCTGCCCCCCCCCTCCCACACTCTGCCCCCCCCCCTCCCACACTCTGCCCCCTCCCACACTCTGCCCCCCCCTCCCACACTCTGCCCCCCCCCCCACACTCTGCCCCCCCCCTCCCACACTCTGCCCCCCCCTCCCACACTCTGCCCCCCCCCCTCCCACACTCTGCCCCCCCCCCTCCCACACTCTGCCCCCTAACACTCTGCCCCCTCCCACACTCTGCCCCCCCCCTCCCACACTCTGCCCCCTAACACTCTGCCCCCTCCCACACTCTGCCCCCCCCCTCCCACACTCTGCCCCCCCCCCCTCCCACACTCTGCCCCCCCCCTCCCACACTCTGCCCCCTAACACTCTGCCCCCTCCCACACTCTGCCCCCCCCCTCCCACACTCTGCCCCCTAACACTCTGCCCCCTCCCACACTCTGCCCCCCCCCTTCCCACACCCTGCCCCCCACCCTGCCACCCTGCCCGTCCACCCCCTCCACCCCACGTGCGCACTGCGGCTGGGCTCACCCCCCCCCCCCCGCACAAAGATGGCGGCGCCGTCGCCTCAGCCCTGGGGGGTGGAGGCGCTCGTGCCGCGGCTCGCGTCTCTATGAATCGACACCGCGAGTAACGATTTCGTGCGCATCGCGATTCGTGTTTATCTCGTTTGCGAATGAAATAAGTCCAATAGCCTCCAAAAGCGTCGCCTTTTTGTTTATAATTCCACATCGGGTTACGTTGCCACGGGCAAACGTTGAACGTGACGTTGCTCATTTGGCGTAGATGTTTCGGATAAGCGAATTGTATTCGACCGAATGGCAACTGTTGCAAGTCACGCTGGCTCCCGCCTATAACCGAAATTAGACACCAGGTATCGTGAACATTTGACTCGCTGTTACATAAGAATCGATGCATCATTTCTTTTTTTTTACAGCATTATTAACCAAGTAACGATTCACGCAATATTCGGAATCGTTATCTTTTCGTATATATTTATTTAAATTTCAGCTGGTGAACGCAATTCAATATAATTCGCCGCATCACTGTCGATTGTTTCTCGGAGCAATCCTCGCGCGTATCTCTGGCGTCAAATCGATTGTTATAATATATATAATCGACTAATTTATTATTACAATCGACTAATCGGGGGGGGCGTGGCCCAAGAAGCTCGGTTCCCATTGGTCGCTGAGATCGTGAGTGGGCTTGGTCGCAACGATTGGCTCTTGGGGGCTCGCGCTCTGGGGACGGGGGAGGGGGGGTATGGGGCGGTCACGTGAGAGAAGCGGGGTGGACGGGGAGGGGGGGATAAAAGTAGGCGCGGCCACCAAACGACAAACGCTTGTGATTGGTTACGAGGCGCGTCTCGTGCTCGAGGGGGCGGAGCGTGAGGGCGGGGCTAAGCGAGCGTGGGGGAGGGGCGCACGGAGACGACCACGGGATTGGGTGGCGTTTGGCTTAACGCGGCTCCGATTGGCGGGTTACGCCGAGGCTCCGTGGGGAGGGTGGGGGGTGTAAGGGGCTGGCCACGTGACACCGCCCGTGGGGGGGGGGGGTGAAAGAGGAAAGGGGTGAAGGAGTGGGGGGGGCGCGCGCGGGAGGGGGGGCAACGAGACAGTCACGTGACGCGGCGGGACGGCGCCATGGCGGAGGCGGTGGCAGACACTCGGCGTCTCCTCACGAAGCCCCAGGACCTCACGGACGCGTACGGGCCGCCCAGCAACTTCCTCGAGATCGACGTGAGCAGCCCGCAGACGGTGGGCGTGGGGCGCACCCGCTTCACGAGCTACGAGGTCCGCATGAAGGTGAGAAGCGGGAGAGGCCGCGTCCCGTGACGAGGCCTCGCCCATCCGCGAGATCCGCTCGGTGGGGGGTGGGGGGCCCGGTCCCCTCTCCCTGGCGCCTCTCTCCCTGGCCCCCCTCTCCCAGACCCCTCTCTCCCTGGCCCCCCTCTCCCAGACCCCTAATCCCCATCGCATGCCCTCCCCTCTCTATACACTTCTCCAGGCCCTAGAACCCCTTCCCTCGGCTGACTGTGTGACCCCCTTCCCCTGGGCCCCCGGTCCGCTCGCTCGGACCCGTCAGGGGTCTCTGGCCTCTCGCTTGGGGATTCGGGAGCCCCACGCATGCCTCAAGGGCCCAATTCAGGATCATTATTGGGGTCCCTGGTGCTCCCCTGGGTCCCTCTGTCCCGCTTCCTGGGTTATACCTGTCCACTGTTAGGTCCCCTCCTCCCCTAGAATCCAGGTTTCCTGTGGGGTTCGGGACCCCCACAACTTCATCTCCCCGCTGCGTTTCCTTCCATCCCGTTCCCTCCTTCCCCGCAGACGAATTTGCCGATTTTCAAGCTAAAGGAAGCGACGGTGCGGAGGCGATACAGCGACTTCGAGTGGCTCAAGAACGAGCTGGAGAGGGACAGCAAGGTAGGGGGGGTCCCCTTTCGCACTGGGGTCCTTCCCCCGTCCAGTGTTAAGGGGACCCTGATAGGGGGTGGTGTGGGTGGGTTGCCCGTCTGGTCATGAACGCCCCTTTGCACTGGGAACTGGACCCCCATTGAGTTTCAAATGCAATTGTTTAACCAGGTGATAACTCGAGAGGCTTGGATGACGAGTCGTTTTCGAGTGACCTGGGTAGCCAAATGACGAAAGCAATAACGTGGATACAATAACAACACCGGAGCAAAATCATCCAAATAAATAGAGTAAAACCAACCAAATGGAAATCGGAGCAAATAATAAAAAAACTGCATTTGTTAAGAGAAGATGCAATTAGAGAGTAGCTTTCGGAGATTACACTGGTGAAGGATGCGGTGGAACGAGCGGATGTGATAAAAGGGGCACACGAGCAGAGTTGATGGAGAAAGAACAGCTGACCACATGACGTCATGGGACTTGCTGTTTAGAAGATTGGGGATCCCAACATGAATGTGTGAGGAGTGTGGCTCCTTAACACCCGGGGCGGGGGGGGGGGGGTGCCTCTATCACACTGGGGGGTTCCCTGCGTGGTCCGTCTTCCGCTTGACCCCCGGGGTGTCTCGTTTAAAGATTGTGGTCCCCCCGCTGCCCGGCAAGGCCTTCACTCGTCTGCTGCCCTTCCGCGGAGACGACGGCATCTTCGACGACAGCTTCATTGCGGAGCGGCGGAGCGGCCTGGAGCAATTCATCAACAAGTAAACCATCGAGAAGCATTCATAATTATAGTGGCCTTCCGCGCAGGTCGGCAAAATTTTTTGGGTTGGGCCGTGTATTTCCTGCGGACTCCGCAGGAAATCAGCTGTGCCGCTATTGATGTTATAATTGTAGGGTTCGGCTGGGTAATGACGTGACCAAATTTACGTCGTAAAAAAAAACCCTTTTACGACCTGACATTGCCAAACAAATGTCGGCGTGTGTCTCACGCGATTTACGCGCCAGTGATTGCTGTTTCAGCTCGCTCGCTGGTCCGTTGAAGAACAATTATCGCAACCAAATGTAGCAGTTAGATACGTGACATTTAACTTTCAACTGTGGCGTCTTAAGGAAAATCCAGGCAGTCTGGCCCAGCCCAAACATACAAGCATCATTGGCTGCGGAAACCTGTTATATATTGTAATGCTTTGTGCCCACGTCCCGTGCTCTCCCCACTTATTCCAACCCACTGTGCCGAGCGTGGTGAAGTTTGGCCAAATAAGCACCCACCAACCACGAGACGAGGCCAGGCCTTCGTGCAGCAGTGGATTGACAAAAGCCAACGAGTTAGCGTGGGGGTGTCAGGTCCCGACGTGGTCAAGCAGTATCTCAAGCTCCGCTAATCGCAACTTGGACGTTAGAGACTTCCGCCTCGAGCTGACGTACGAGGCGTTTGCTATTAGTAGACCCTTAGGCCTGCTTATTTTCATACTGGGTGTCTACTAATAGAAAACTGCTGGTATATCAACTCGAAAAATATGCCACCTTAAAATATCCCACTTGTCTCGGGAGGTCGCACAGCGTAAAAACGTTCTGATTTTCGACCACAAGTTTGCCTGCCTTCTCGGCTCTGAAGAAGGGCCATTGCCTCAAATGTCAGATATTTGTCGACCACAAGTCCGTGTTTAAGGATAAGTGTGTACCTGTGCACCACTACCAACAGTCCCTTAATGTTTGTGCATCTGCTGATGTTTAGCATTAACACTGCATGCAACTAATAGTAAAATTGGGGAGAGCTGCAGTATGGGGACACACACGAGGACTGGAGTTTGAGTTGAGATTCGCAGAGTGAAGCGGCATCACAAATCCAGGTAGCGTGCAGTTTTTTTTAATGATTCTCACGCGTGTGTTGTAATGCCTGTACCGTGAGCGCTGGGTGGCTAAAATGTCACAAGTTGGCACAGTCAGGTGCATCTACCAGTCATCTCAGTCGGCCAACCCATGCCACCTTGGTCTGTCCCGAGACCTGTCAGCGAGCCTTCGACATTTCACGTGGCCTCAAAGTGCACCTGGCCTGGCACAGGCACCGTGGTGACATCACTGTCACTTGGTGGCGAATGGTGGGTATTGGTACCATGAGCGGCAGAATCAATTGTAACCTGCAACATTTGTAAGAGTGGGTACAACTCGCAAACCTTAATGTTTGCGGTTGGAAGTTGGTCGACTCAAATTGGTTATTTTCCAACATTCTTGCAGATGGTAGTGATGTGACATTAAAACATCACTATATGAATCCAAAGACATGTATTACTCTTGCGATGAGGGCTTAAAGTCAACTGGGTCGGTCTTGATCAATGACCTGGAAAATATCCAGACCAGGCACACGACATCCAGTATTCCTGTTATACTATGGCTACAGGTACAAGGTATGTGCCACCTACTCCAATCTACCAGTCAAAAAATATTCAGTACGAACTTAGGTCCTGCACGTGATCCTACACACGTCACGAGCGCAAGATTGTTAGTCGACAAATGGACCGCATCGTTACATGCCAAGCACTTGTGTTGTGACCCCTGTGCCACGCCGACCAGAAACTGACTAGATCTCCTGTGTGCCCGCAGGATCGCCGGACACCCGCTGGCGCAGAATGAGCGCTGCCTTCACATGTTTCTGCAGGATGAGACCATCGATAAGGGATACGTGCCTGGCAAAGTGCGACAGACATAAGCCAGACGAGCGCCCGCACGCACCCTGCTCTCATCTCCCTCCATTATCATCGTCACCCTCATCACCAACGTTATCGTTATGGAATCTGTCTCACTTTTGGCCACTACTGAGCTTTGTGCCATGGGGTTGAGGGTGTTTTTTTCCTTTTCTAAACGCGTCTGAACGACGTCCGTCGCATTCGCGCACCACTATCTCTTGTCGGCGCTAACTTGGTCGAGAGCGAAGCCGTTTTCACGCGGAAAGTAAAACGACACTTCTAGTCTCACGCACTTCTTCTTACGTCGGCCGTCGATATTTTTTTATTGCAATTTATTTAGCCCTCGTAGATTGTAACCGGATTTGCTGTAATGATGACGAATGTTGAAAAGAGTGTAGCTGTATTTACGATAGAGAAAACAAATCCTTCACGACGACGCTCTGGAGCCCAACTGTAATGTACAAAATAACCAAAAGTCATACGCTGCTTTACAGATCCTCCTAATATGCATTATATTGTCATTTAAATAAAGTAATCACGCTGTGGAGACTTTGTGGAGTGCTGTAGCTGATGGACTTGATAGAAGGGGGTCTTTGTATAACGACACCGCCACTAACGAGCCACGCCAAGCTGCCCAGGACTGCCACCACCCACCCTGAGGACCACTCGTGTACAGACAACACTTTTATTCCCTTGTCCAAGAGTTTATTCTCACCTTCCTGTAAACGTCGAATACAGTATTTCTGTGGACGTTGGGGCTTTTATTCTCGTGCCTGGGAGGGGGATTATCATGGTGCAGGACTTGATAGGGCTTGGGAAGGCCTTCCTACAGTAGTGGGTTGATCATGGCTTACAAGGACTCGGATAATGTGGGGCTAAGGGTACCGTCTTGATAGCCTTCAAGGTTGATCTGTGCTGTGGCTGGGTTACAAATTGCTGCTTTGGGGAATTTGCCACTGGCCTTGACCGACTGGCATTGCTATTGCTTCCGCGCATGTGACTGCTGCCTGCATTGTTCTTACATCGAGATGGTTAATGGAATTGGCCCAGCATCCCAATGTAACCGCATCTTCCTCAAAATAAAGACATGAGAGTAAGCCTTTCTTGGTTAAATTAGGGGCATTGTCATCGTCGTCGCTCAGCTGCACCTTTAAGTATCGTGACGCACGAAGATGTAGGTGGATGTGTCGGTGCCGATTGCCCAACACTTTATTTTTAACTTCTCTCTCATAAAACAGGCAGAGGAAGAATGTGAGCACCGTCCATTTATTTTGAGCAACCAGAGGTTTGTTACAGCCGAGTCTTTCGAGGTGGATGGTACATTTCACTGTGGCCCGTACACCACATCCAGTATAACTCTTATTGTGTCTAGTCGTCACGTACCTCCACGTCCAGCCTAGCAAGGGACTTGGAAAATGTTCCATGAGAATCTGGCAACGAATAGTTGAGTTGTAATCGATGAACGGAATACGCCTTCAGTGACTAATGTAGCGGGGAGCATCGACCTCAACTCCGTGCTGTGAACTTCACTGTCGGGGGGGGGGGGGTCATGCAGACTCTGCTCTCTCCAGGATGCTCCTCTTCTTCTCGAAGTATTCTCGAAACCAGGCGATGTGCTCGCGCTTCTGCGCGACGGTCAAGTATGGGTTCTTGGAGAGCCCCGTGACGACGAGCTGCATGAAGTGGCGCACGGGCCCCGAGGAGGGGAACTCTGTGAGGTGACGCTCGAGGAAGACGTGCTCGTGGAACGGCACCGCCGCCTCCTCTTCCAGCCCTGGGCCACATGGCGCAGAGACACCAGCACACGGCATTGATGCGACACCCGAAGGGGAAGGAAAAACCATGTGTATCGCACACAAAGTGCCACTAATCCTGACCAAACACCACACCAACTCTGACATGCCAGCACCGCATGACGGAACTTCGCCGCACATCAACCACATGCCGCATCTCGCGGAAAAACCGTGTGCACCACACACGAGGCTCCATACACCACTAACACCACACTATACCTCCCCACGCAAATTCCACACTTTAATTGCAAACTCTAACCTCAAATACTAACCTTACACAAACCCACACCCCACTAGTGACCCTCAAAATACTCGACTTGTACATCAATCAATCCTACACTCCAGAGGTGCAAAAGTCGTGAATAATAACCTATTATAATGACAAACAGATAATACACTTCCCCATGTGTTCATGAAAAATAAAATTATCTTTACACATCCCGTCAGACGCGGCCTTCAGGAGCATAGTTTTAATACAAGGAAAACTGCACTGGTTTTGATATTCAGTGTCTCATCAGCAGTCAGGCTTGCTTAACCAATTCGCCAGACGTTTATAGGCAAGGATCGGCTGCGAGTCGTGGGTCCCGAGTCGATGCAAATCCGAGTTGTGTTCATAATGATGGGGGATGCAGGCGATGCTCTCCATAGCCTGGGCTCATGGCTCCCCTTGGAGCTGGGATACTGGGGCTGGCGCAGACTGCGATGCAAGCACTCACCCTGCTCATTGTTCACTGGGTAGAGCCACAGCTTCCCTTCCTCTGTCCACTGGATCATCTCCTCGAAGCCGTTGCGCGGCGCGTGGTTCACTGTCGCAGCGATGGCGCTCTCCAGCTCCAGCTCCCAGAGCGTCGGCTCAAACGCTGCCCAGAAAACGCAACGGGGTCACCAGGGCAGGCACCCACGTGTGTGTGTGTGCGCGCGCGTGCGCCAGGCATCGTGCAGCGGTGCCCCTTTGCCCACTGGCGCATCCGAGCGAGGCCTGGCACGGTTTAGGAGGCGCCATGTTGTTTTCCACTGCAGAGGCTGAGTCGTGTCGCTGATGTGATGTCATTAAAATTATTAATCGCGCTCCTGGCTCAGATTGTTCCCCAAGCCAGATTCTGATGGTCTTTTGAGGCCAGGGTGTTACAGTTTGGTTCTGGTTCAACTCAGAGGTGCATACGTCTGGTGCGAAAGAAGTTCAACATACACGTTACAGAGCACCGTGGTGCCTTACGTAACACAGGAGTATTGTATCGATCCACCCCCCAGCAGATCGAGATTTGCTGCTGAGGCGTGCAGTATAAATGACGATGACCAGATGAATTGTCGCGATTCATATCCGAGAATGTTTTTCGTGCCGTGAGCGCCTCTAGTGGCTACAGAGGTCACATGACCCAGCCACATACAAATCTAACAGCTTCCTACGGAACAGCCATTGCGTGCCGATGAACCATCGCGCGTCACCACGCGGGTTGTTCAAATGGACTAATGGCCGGGGGGTGGGGGTCGGTGCCGTGATGCAGTCCGGAGACCCAGCACCGGTTACGCACCCTGCTGCTGCTGATCAGCGGCGGCGGCGTCGTCGCGTGGCAGCTCTCTAAAGATGTTGAGATGCCGCCTTGCCAAGCGCTTGTTGAACCTGCAAAGCAGCGAGAGCACGATCAGTGAGACCGCCTGCAGAACACGTGTACAGCTATTGAACACCGACAACAGTGGCACACCTACTCCAAGCTCCAACGTCATACACACACGAGCATTACAACAGCCATCGCCAATTGCTACGAGGGGACGGTGACGTCACCACAGCGATTGTGCCAGGCTCGGTACATTTTGGGCCTGGCTTGGAAAGCTCGCTGGTAGGTCACGGGACAGACTGAGATGACTGACAGATGCACCACCTGTGCTCTGCACTGTGCCACCTCGCCGTGTAATTGGCCCCCCGGCGATCCGCTCGCCGTCGTCGCGAGAGTCGCAGACGCGCTTGCCTATGTGCACCACCCCCGGCCGCACCTTTGAATGAGTTCTTCGTTTGCTTCCCTCTTGTGCTGGTGGCTCTGGAAGCCCTGCCAGTCCTCGTCGTGGCGAATCTGGTTCATGGACTGCGATGGGACGCTGCTCTTCCGCGAGACCCGCATTGCCGAGATGATGTCACTGCGCACACGGCGACATGCCAAGCTCCAGCGTGTGACACGTGTACTCACAGACACCTGCTCCGCAAAGACACTCGTGTCCACACACACGGCGGAGTATGACGTGGGCAGCGGTGGTGCGGTCGTCACCGCGGTGATGAATGTAGCACCCGCTAGTGGCAGCAGGGGCCACTTTGACATTTTCATACAAGGTCTACGAATCAAAAACAAAGAATGCTTACACGTTCATCAATTAATGGACGTACTTATTATACGCCCCTAGTGAAAAAAATCCACATGACTGGTAAAATCCAAGTCTTCCATTTTCCCCCCCCGACCCCCGTTTGCGATAGCAAGGCACGACCTATGTGATTCTTATGACCCCGCGACCCCACGTGCCTCAGGCTGCCGAGGTCGCCCCGGCGTGCCGCGTCGCTCTGGGCCTCGTGCTGTCGCAGCTGCTCCAGGAGTTCCGACTCCGTCTCCTCACGGCGCCCGGGGACGTCCTCCGCTACGGCGCGGGCAGCGGCAGCCAGCGGCGGCGGCACAGGCCTGCAGCGGAAAGAGGATGGTAATCGCGCACCAATCACTGCTCGCTCACCGCTCACTCACCACTCAATTTCTGCTCACCATTCACTACTCAATCACCGCTCACTCACCACTCATTGTTTATTACTACAGTGAGGGGAAAAAGTATTTGATCCCCTGCTGATTTTGGACGTTTGCCCACTGACAAAGAAATGATCAGTGTATAATTTTTATGGTAGGTTTATTTGAACAGTGAGAGACAGAATAACACCAAAAAAATCCAGAAAAACGCATGTCAAAAATGTTATGAATTAATTTGCATTGTAATGAGGGAAATAAGTATTTGACCCCTCTGCAAAACATGACTTAGTACTTGGTGGCAAAACCCTTGTTGGCAATCACAGAGGTCAGACGTTTCTTGTAGTTGGCCACCAGGTTTGTACACATCTCAGGAGGGATTTTGTCCCACTCCTCTTTGTAGATCTTCTCCAAGTCATTAAGGTTTCGAGGCTTACGTTTGGCAACTCGAACCTTCAGCTCCCTCCACAGATTTTTTATGGGATTAAGGTCTGGAGAGTGGCGAGGCCACTCCAGGACCTTAATGTGCTTCTTCTTGAGCCACTCCTTTGTTGCCTTGGCCGTGTGTTTTGGGTCATTATCATGCTGGAAAACCCATCCACGACCCATTTTCAATGCCCTGGCTGAGGAAAGGAGGTTCTCACCCAAGATTTGACGGTACATGGCCCCGTCCATCGTCCCTTTGATGCAGTGAAGTTGTCATATCCCCTTAGCAGAAAAACACACCCAAAGCATAATGTTTCCACCTCCATGTTTGACGGTGGGGATGGTGTTCTTGGGGTCATAGGCAGCATTCCTCCTCCAAATACGGCGAGTTGAATTGATGCCAAAGAGCTCCACTTTGGTCTCATCTGACCACAACACTTTCACCCAGTTGTTCTCTGAATCATTCAGATGTTCATTGGCAAACTTCAGACGGGCATGTATATGTGCTTTCTTGAGCAGGGGGACCTTGTGGGCGCTGCAGGATTTCAGTCCTTCACGGCATAGTGTGTTACCAATTGTTTTCTTGGTGACTATGGTCCCAGCTGCCTTGAGATCATTGACAAGATCCTCCCGTGTAGTTCTGGGCTAATTCCTCACCGTTCTCATGACCATTGCAACTCCACGAGGTGAGATCTTGCATGGAGCCCCAAGCCGAGGGAGATTGACAGTTCTTTTGTGTTTCTTCCATTTGCGAATAATCGCACCAACTGTTGTCACCTTCTCACCAAGCTGCTTGGCAATGGTCTTGTAGCCCATTCCAGCCTTGTGTAGGACTACAATCTTGTCCCTGACATCCTTGGAGAGCTCTTTGGTCTTGGCCATGGTGGAGAGTTTGGAATCTGATTGATTGCTTCTGTGGACAGGTGTCTTTTATACAGGTAACGAGCTAAGATTAGGAGCACACTCTTAAAGGGAGTGCTCCTAATCTCAGCTTGTTACCTGTATAAAAGACACCTGGGAGCCAGAAATCTTTCTGGTTGAGAGGGGGTCAAATACTTATTTCCCTCATTAAAATGCAAATCAATTTATAACATTTTTGACATGCGTTTTTCTGGACTTTTTGGTTGTTATTCTGTCTCTCACTGTTCAAATAAACCTACCATTAAAATTATAGACTGATCATTTCTTTGTCAGTGGGCAAACGTCCAAAATCAGCAGGGGATCAAATACTTTTTTCCCTCACTGTATATTATCATGAGCAGTTCACTGTGAAACTAACTATGACGATGATATCCTATCCAGGATAGCCTCACGGATTCTCAAAACTGCTGCAGAAGGCTCCTGCTACATGGAGATGTTCGGGCTAATTCCATTCAAGAGTGTTTTAGCATGTGGGATGAAAACCCTCGCAGACCAAAAGGATAACACTCAAAGCTCAGCACAGATAAATTCAAGAAACCTTCATGACAATCTTCTAGTTGCCTGGCAGCCTGAGCTGCATATCCCATTCGTGTCGTAACCAGTCTGTAAGCCGCTTAGCTTCCGAGATCTGACAGGCCTTCCTGTGCATTGCCAGGCGCAGTGCTGTGAACCGGACATCACAGGGTTCACTCTCACTCTTTGCGCTCTGTGTGGAGGGCGCTGGAGTCCAGCGGCCAGGACAAGAGGTCACCAAGTTGTCTCGGATTTAGTTCACTCGGGGTACAGACAGGCATGGGTGGTGGGGAGGGTGTGGACGAAATGGTCAATTGTCCCTTTGAAATTACGACACGCGTTTGGAATGTCATACCTGTCAACCCCGTATGAGTGCTCTACCTTATTACAGCTCTATTCAGACCTTATCGGTCACCCCGTGCCCTTATAAATCTCAACGTTCATCCGACAAAGTCTCATCACAAGGGAGAAACACAAATACACAAAACAAATCTTTGTTTGTGCCCGTATTGCAACGGCTGTACGCCGTATGGACCTGGAAACTCAATTTCCTCGACGTGAACCCGCGGTGAACCGTATGTATGGGTTGGCAGCTATGGAATGTCATTATGCCATTTTTTATTCATAGACGTTTTAACGTCCAACTAAGTCATTCCTGACGCATGCGTTCATCATTTTAAGATACACTTCATCTCGCGCAGTACAATAAATTTTGTTCCTACGAGAGGATTTTGCGCACTCCTGAAGCTGAGAGTTGCCACGAGGCGTGGTGAGGAACTGCCCTCGGCCATCACCGCGGTCCCATCCACGCGCCGGGACCCCCCCACCACCCTCCCCGGGACTCTCCCCCCCCCGGGACCCCCCACCCCTCCGGGACCCCCCACCCCACCGGGAGCCACTCTCACCTCGGCGCCGCTCTCTGCCGCTCGCCACCGCCCTCCGTGGTGGCCGGCGGCCGGAGCGGTCGCTTGGTGCGCACCTCGACCCGCATGGAGCCCAGCACGCTCAGCAGCCGCTCCTCGGGGGAGCCGCCGCCACCACCACCGGCCGCGGATTCTCCCGACCCGCCCGCGGCATCTTCCCCTCCTCCTCCTCCCGCAGTGGTCGCTACACGACGGCGAGGGGCACACAGGCCCCTGGGAGCAAGCACACACGGGCACTCAACAATCACACGCGGGGTGGATATACGCCACGTCCAAGGGATAAATAGCCCACCCCGTAAAGCTCTAAACAGACTTTTTTTTTTTAAAAAAACGCCACTTTTTTCAAATTTTCTTGCTGTGGTTTTCACACCTGATGATGATTGCTTGTGCTGCAGTCGAAACGTCGTGAGAATTGTATTGTTTCATATTTTTATTGTTTCCCTTCTACGTGACTTAACCGAAAGAACCAAGAATATGAATCCCCGCAGTCACGAAAGCTTTAAATCAAAATTTATCTTAATTAGACTGTTGGGGCAAGCGGTGTTAGCGAGTGCCTATTGAGGCGTGCGGCGTGCACGAGGATGTTGATGCTGCCAGCATCACGCCCGGCCGTGTCGGCTCCGCAACGCTGCTGATGTCGGAGGGAGAAGGTCCATGACCGCGGTAGTTCAGATATTCCTCACCGATTTGTTGACCGTGGCCCAGTGCGCGAACCACGACCCTACCGGCTCCCCACACACGGACACGTGCGCCTTCACAACCACACCCCCCACAACTCTTTAATCTCCCCAAATGTAAATATCGTTCTGCAGTGACAAACGTCCCTGAAGCCAAGGCCGTAGCCATGGAGTTTACAGTGGGAGGGACCAAATCTTCCTGGGGGTCTGGGGGTCTCCCTTCCCCAGGAAAAAAATAAAATCTAAATTTGAAAACTAATTTCCTGCCTGAATTATTTGAAAATTCACTAACACGTGGGATGGACTGTTTTTTGTTACAGTAATGTCTAATAGTGTATTGTATTACCTTGCTCTGTGTTTTTTTACATTTCTTGTTTCATTGTATGTAATGGCAGAGATTAGGTATTAATAAAGTACAACCATTACCACAACCTGGGTCACCCGGAGACACCCTGGGTCACCCGGAGACACCCTGGGTCACCCGGAGACACCCTGGGTCACCCGGAGACACGACGGGGACACCCCCACGGGGTCTCTCTCTCTCTCACCCGTCCGTCCAGGCCGCCGCGAGGCCGCGCTCCGCGCCACCTCCCCGGGCCCCGCATCGCCCGTGCGTTCGCGCCGCGTGGCCGAGTAGCATCGCCCTCATAGCCATCCTCATCCTCGCCATCGCCATACTTCCTCGGTCGCCACCGCCCGCTCTGTAACGCGCCCGCCGCGACTCGCCCCAAGTCCACGCGTTGGGACCCCCCCAGAGGTCGGATCCTCGCACTCGCCCAACATGGCGGCCATGCGCCTCACACTCCCTCTGCCGACAACTCACCCAACATGGCGGGCGGGCGTGACGTCACGTTACAAATACTTATGCCATAGCGGGCGCGACGTCACGTTACAAAAACTTACCCAAAAGGAGACGTCACGTTACAAATACTTATCTACCATAGCGGACGTGACATGTTGCAAATACCCAAAGAGTAATTCCTGCAGTCACGAAAGCACCTAATCAAGTTCGAATACCCAATATGGGGGGCATGACGTCACGTTACAAATGCTTTTCTTGGCGGGCGTCACTTACCCAACATGGTGGGAGTGATGTCACGTCGCAAACACCCAACATTCTAGATTTGAAGCTTTCGTTACTGCAAGTCACGTAGGTAAAATAAAACGAAATTAAATCACGTTTCGGAGGCAACTCAAGCTTCCGTCACATCGTGATTTAATTTAGTTTTCATTTTTTTTATTTTACCTACGTGACTTTACGAAAAAAACAGAGTACTTACCCAACGTGGCGGGAGTGACGTCACGTTGAAAACACTTATCCAACATGGCGGGAGTGATGTCATGTTGTAACCACTTACCCAACATGGCGGAAAGTGACGTCACGTTACAATACTTACCCAACATGGCGGGTGGACTTGACGCCTCCCAGCGTTTCAAACAAAACTCGACATCCACGTTTGTTTGAAACGCTTGGGAGCGGCCTGAATTGCAAGACATCTGTGCCCTCTCACTCGCAGTCCCCACTGACGACCACAGTAAAGAACCACGATGTCCTCGGTGCAAAGTCAAATAATCGCTTTATTGTACACGGGTTTAAGCGCTGGATTACAACACAACAGCAGCGTTAACTGGAATAAACCGTCCTAACTTTAGACACAAACAAAAAAAACAAAAAGCTGTTTCCACTGCGTCTCACGCTCTCGCAGCATCACGGGCAAGGGAATTTTGGTCTCACGCCACCCACTCGTCAACCTCACACCAAACCCCAAAGATCACCCCAGCCCCCCTTCCACCCTGTAAGCCTATACGAACTGTTTGTGGTAAGCGCTGCTCGCCAAACCCTGGCCAAATTGCAACGTACAACCAAATGACCCCTACATGCGCCAGCACCTACGGGGTGATCAGAATCGGGTCTGGCGAGCAACTCTTTTATCTTACCAAGCAAAGCCCCACTGAGCGATGGGCCATTTTTCAGAGGCGACCTGGCCAATACGCGCGAATGGCTCGTCGAAGTGGCTGAAATCGCCATCGCACGTGGGCATTTATATCAGCTGCCAAATAATCTAAACCCCTGTGTTTCAATGCGGAGGGCAAAACAGTGAGGGGCCCGGAGAACAACCCACGCGCCGACAGGGAGAGATCGTGAGCACTCCAAATATGGAGGCATCGGGGGGTCAGAATCGAACCCAAGACGTGGTACGGACCAGGCGAGGTCGTTAAAACATCTCAACACCATGGCGCCTCCGGTCCGGTGGCCGCCCCGTGTGACAAGTTCCCGGGCTCGAGTGTCCATCTCGCGTGCTTTTTCAGCCTCGGCTCGCAACGCGTTCGAGATAACATCTCCCCGCCACCTGTATGGGAAGCCAGCCGTGGGTATTGGGCGCTACAGGAGCCCAGGCTGCCGGAGAGGCCAACGTTGTGGCTCGAACGGCAGTGGGTCAAGAAGGGGCCCGTGAATTGGACCCCGTGGGTTGAAGCGAACCGTGCCTAGCTCTGCCATGCCCTCATGCGCGTGAGTTGTCTCCGGCGTTCCTCCCACACGAAGCCAAAGCTCTCGCTACCAACGGCATTCAAGGCCAAACATCCCAACGGATCAGCAGCAGCAGCAGCAGCACCCTCCTAAATACTGTACAGTTAAGACCAGGTGAAGCTCTGCTGGGTAATTAAATGAATGATATTGCTGTTGCACTGCACTACTCTCTCATCAATTGCACGGTGCAGGACGGACAAATAACCACGACGACCCGCGGCAAGCAGGGGCAAGGAGGCACTCATCCAGCATGTGTGCGACCGTGTAAACAGCAGGGGCCAGCATGTGTCAACAGTGTAAACAAGACAAAAGCCAGATTTGCCCACTCGCCAAGTTTTGTTGCTAGATCTAGGGAGAGACACGTTTTTTGAGGTTTCCCTGGCAACACAATTTAGTTCAAATGACTCGCGGCCAATCGAGTGACTTTCTGGGACGTGGGACGTAGGATGAGGGACGTGGGAAATCCTCCAAGGTGTGGGAGCAACTCCAGGACCCGTATGAATCCTGTATCCGTGTCCTAGACGGAGTAACTTGGTGAATTGTAGTGTGGTAATGGCTTTATTGTCCATTTAGTTCTATCAACTTTCTCCGGATCGTTTGGCAACTCTCCCCTTTGAATCGGCGATGCTGCCCTCCGGATGCCGCTTTTCCTACCGAGCCCGTCGTTCAGACTCCACCGGCTGCGGCGGTGTGGGACCCCCTACTACTTGCACACGATGAGGTTGCGCGTCATGTCAAACGAGTTGCCGTCGGGCTGCAGGGTGAGCGTGGTGCCGTCCTGGGAGAGGACGCGCAGGAAGCCAAAGTCGTCGAGTCCGAGCACCGTGGCCTCCGGTCCGGTGTCGCTGTGGAGTCGCACCTGGGTCCCGCTGCGGGTGGCGGGGGATGGGGGGGGGGAGACGCGGACACGTGGAGACGACAACACGGCGTGCTATAACGTGGCGATGGGGGGGGGGGGGGAGCGGTGGCACACTCGTGCCGCCTCACCGCAGGAAGTCCCTGGGTTCGATTCCTAACTCTGGATGTTTTCTGTGCGGCGTTCTACCCCTGTTCTGCTGAGTGTGTGATATTATAAATGTGTGCAGTGTGTATGTTCTCCCCTGTTCTACACAGGTGTGTACAGGTTCACCGGTTTCCTCCCATACCTAAAAAGAAACAATGTGACTGGTATTGGCCAAACATGCTGAAAGATGACCTGCAATGTGCTCAATTGGGATTACATACAGCAACAACATCTCTCCCTCCTGCGGAAAAACTTGCAGAACCCAATAAAATACAACTTGAGACTCAGGCTTCCCTGCCTAAACAAGCTCACGAATAAATAATGAAACCCGCTAACCCCCTCAACAAAACGTGCGATGTGCGCGTGAAACAGCAGCGCCCAGCTGGCCGATGTTTTACGGCGCCGATAACCCGGGCCGACCGCAACCACCGCTGTGGTTTTAAGCCGTCCTGACCTAGGCCGAGCAAGTGGGCGAGGCCGAGCCGAGGTCCATCTTGGCGTTGTTCAAAACGACCCGGGCAACACGATCCACGCTCCCGTCCCCTCACCTGTGCAGCCAGCGCTGGTAGTAGAGCGGCAGGACGGCAGCCGGGCCGCCCGCCTGGAACGAGTCCACGAGCCGCTCCAGCTGCGTGACGGTGCTCGCGATAGATCCGGCGGTGCTCATCGGAGCCAGCGGCGCATCTCCCGCTCTCCTGGCTCCGTTCCATTCCGCCACGGCGGCGTTCACGCACCACGTGGGGCGATCGTTACTCACGTTCACGCCGCAACCTGGTGCACCGAGAGCGCCGTCAACATCGGCAAGCGTGTACGGTACAACGCAACATTATTCTAATCTCGCCTTGCGCGTGGCAGCAGCGATATGGTCCAGGAGTGTCTGCTCGCCACAACGAGAGGGCTTCAGGAGAGAGTTTGTGTAGTTTTGGTTTTCCTCCTCTGTCGAAGGAACGCAGACTACAGCGGTTTACTTAGTCCACAGTTTGGGTTCCACGGCCAGTCATTCATAATGAGATTGGCTCATTGGCTTATTGATGTTCTGATGCAGTTGATGGTTACACCGGTGTTTTCGAGGAGGAATGTCTTTGTGTATGTCAGTTGCTATTGAACAGTGGCTGCTTACGTGTATACCAGCGCGCGTACCAATGAGCACTTGGAAGGTGTCTCCAATGAGGGTGGAGTTGACCAGGACTCCACCCACCTTGAACTCCGACCCATAGTAAATGTCATTTGGCCATTTGACCCTCAAGTCAATGTCCTGCGCCCACACAGTGGAGAGGAGGTTCAGCAGACACGTGCGCCGCGTGGGTACAGCAACGGAGCAGCGATTCCCAAGCGCGCGAATCATGCAAGCGAGAATCGTGCAAGCGAGAATCGTGCAAGCGAGAATTACAATGGACGCCGATTATACGCCAACGACGTCGGCACAAAAAAAGGAGAAACAATAAAAACTGGAGTCAAATGAATTGAATCTCGAATATAACTGTGATGATACCGACCTAACTTCGAGTGCATCTCACCGATTGCTCCTTCAAGGGTATTTGTTACACAGGGATTCTTCGATGCAAGGTAGATCATACATTGTACCATTAGCAGGGTAATTACACATCGGCGGTGAGAGCAGATTGGATGATAAGACAATGGGCCAGTCGGACCACTACTCGTTTTGTTCAGCGTTTCACCTTGATATGAAGTTGAACGTCGACTCTCGTTGCCCACCCTGCCAAGTGTTCGAATGCCCTCCCTTTGAAGCAGTGCCGGCACGCTGCGTTGGGAAAGTGCCTCGAGACGCTTTTGTATCTGGACGTCAATCCAAACGGTGTCGCATAATCGAGTTCAACAGGCCAGCCGGCTCAGCGGTGGAGCGAGCGGCTCGCAACCGGAAGATCGCGAGTTCAAATGCGGGTTGGGGGGTGGGTCGACTCGGCGCATCATCCATCCAGAGTTAATAAAAACGGGTACCACTTTCACTCTGCGAGGAAGATAACAGCGGTCGTTCCTAGGGACAGCTGGGGCATGACTGCGATCGAGCGATGAGCTCGTGTGAGTGGCGAATCTAAACGGGGCGGCAGCGCCTGCGCGGAAGGCTGTGACCCTCGCCTCGTATCCCGGCGCCGAGCGCACGCCCTCCACCACCGCCAGGGCCACCAGGTGCTGCAGGAACGGCAGGTGCTGCCCCAGGCACGAGTCGGAGCGCACCACCAGCGGCAGCGTGAACATGGCGCAGCCGACGGGGCTCAGCCACGCGTTCCCGCCCCGGCCTGGAGGAGCAGCGGCCCAGAGACAATGGAACAACGCAGGGTGGCTTCTCCATGTCAGCCGGGTCGGCCAGCCGGAGATTATTCCCACACCCTGCACACCACCACGTCCAGTATACCCTCTGATCGCTATGGCCGTGGGTGGCTACTACGGGTCACGTGCCACCTGTTGCAGTCTACCAGCAACCTGGAGAATACTTCGTGAAAAATAAAGCCCAGCATAGGAACCATAGACTAAGAGACCCATAGACTTACATAGGACCCATAGATTTACATAGGATCTGCCTGGGTCAGTGCTGTACAGAATATTCCCACACCACAGTACACCGCGCATCCAGTATTCTTCTCATCGTTGTGGCTACTAGTAGTCGCGTGCCACCTACTCTAGTATACCAGCAGCCCGGAAAATATATTTGAACCCAGCACACCACATTCATCACGGCTCTCACGATGGCTGTGGACTGACCTTTGCCCCGAATCTGCCGGGTGGCGATGGCGATGAGGCCGACATCGTCTGGAAGGTGAGGGGTCACACTGAGACACAGACACGCTCGCACATTTATGTGCGAGTTCGTATATAGGAGGCATTACCATTACTGATCGTCGCGGCGGCGACATTACACGTGTGAACGGTCAGAGTGAATTCCTGCTTAAAGTTGCACTTAGACAGCGCTCACCACTTGCTTACAGACCATTTCTATGGCAGAGACAATTTAATCCACAGCACAAACATTGTTGATTCACCCACAGAGTCGTATGCATCTTATCTTGGTTTTACCATCGCTAGCCGCAAGTGTTAGGGCCATGCTGGAGGACCACCTCTGCCATGACTGCTATGAATGCTGTAACCAAGCTCCGTGATCTCTGGGGTAGGGGGGGGGGGCTGTGCACTCGGTTTATCGTCGTGCACCCACGACAGGATATTTTTACTCCGTTGATTCGTGTTTTTCGCGCTGTTCATTGTTCATGCAGTCTACAGCGAGTTCTGGCACAGGTTTCGCACATTCCCTCCAGCCAGGAGTTGAACTCGCCAAGCGACCTGACATTCAATAACTGATTCTATAATGATGATGATGATGATATGATGATGAGAACCCGCTCCGTGAAATGCCAGCAGCTCGAGTCCCAAAAAACGTAACTGGATTTTTGTCATCAACACAAAACGATTTCCCACTCTCAAACTCAAAACACGCACTGGGACGAATCTGGAGGCTTCTAAAACCCCGCAAGAAGACGTGCACAGTGAAAATGTTCGGTCACACTTTTTGATTAGGTTTAAGGTCAAAAGTCGTCCATCGTCCGTCGTCAATACCACAGGACCGCTGGCTTCTGCCGGTCGTCACGAGTCGAAACTCGACTGTACAATTAACGTTAATCGGGTTCTGTGGTTGTCGTGCACATAGACAGTTTCTCAAAATGTAATCAATATCAAATTTACTGATTGGCCGTGTCGGGTGGTGGAGGGTTGCGACACATTGAGAAATAACGCGATCTAACTCAAAAACCTTTTATTATGGATAATACTGACTGCAAAAGCCTACGTGTTAAAAAGCAATCACGTTCATCTTGCAGTTTATGTCAATTGTGCATTAAACTCCAATTGGCCAGATATCTCCCTGAACTCGTAATGGCCAATAATTAAAGAATGTTGGTGCCCTGCATTGACTCGGCCAATATGTGGCGGCGCCAAAGGGGTCTTGCTGGCTGCGATTGCAAACATCGTCCTGACGAAGTCCCTCATCGCGGATACCACCACCACCACCACCACCCCCACCCCGAGCCATTTGGGAGGATCACTGCCCCCTGCAAGCACTGGACTTCCTTACATCGTATCTGCACCGGTCGCGGCAGATTGAACCTTTCTGCAATTGGCAAAGAACAGGATCGCCCAAAATGCGACTGCGCCGCATCAGAGCAGCGGAACACATTGTGCACCTTTGGGTCTCTGTGTGAACCTAGGGGGTCTCTCGTGTGAACTCGTGTCCACTCCGAGCCTTCTCCGCGAGCACCCGTGGTTCACGCTCGCCGTGCTCTGAAAGCCGGCGGCTTGGTTCCCAACTCGACACGCAGAAGCCAGGACGCTCACCCATCAAGCAGCTCCATGGTGGAGCCCACCACCTCGCAGTGCAGCACCAGCCGCCCCAGCAGCCGTGTGCGCAGCATCCCGCGGTACGCCTCCAGGTCGAAGTGCGGGGTCAGGAGGTCGGGCGCCGCCTCGGTGACGACGGGAAGCAGGGTCGGCGTGGCGCCGGCGCCGTCCGCGAGCGAGCGCACGAACCGGAGGGAGACCCTGCGGGACGCCAGCACCCCGGACTCGCTTAGCCGGGGCTCCAGGGCGCTCAGCAGGGAACGCTTCATGCGCTGGCGACACGAGGGACACGGCACACGAGCCGCACCCAACCATTTAGCACTGCTTTTTTTAATCGCCAACTGGCCAGGTAGCTCGGCCGCAGAGCGAGCTGCTCATCAATTTCAGGGTTGCGAGTTCAAATCCTGGTTGGGGGTTGACTCGGCCTATTCGGGGTAGATAGAATACCACTATGTGGGGAAGTCAGACAAAATTGTCCTCTGGTTAGTTTCGTTTTTACCACAGGAATGCGGAATTTCCACCCCTGAGAATGAGCACCGCCTCAATGCTCATTTGAGCAGGAAACGACTTTTGACCACTGTCGCCGATTCTTTCTCGGGCAAGTCCCTAATGGCAACACGACTTTACAATAAAGTATCATTCACATTGGACCAGCTGTACGAGAGTCGCGGTGACCCCGAGTTACAGACAGAGCCAACGCATTAAGACGTTCAACCTCAGTTGCAACACATTCTAAACGACAGGAAATCCACGCCTCTCTCCGTCTCTTTCTCTCTCTCCCCGAGCGGCAGTCTCACCGGCTCCAGGGCCCACAGTATAGCCGGGGTGAGGGTGGGCGCGTCACCTGGGCCACAGTTCAAACCCAGGTGGCCCAGGATCTCGGTGAAAACTTCGCAGCGCGCTTGGCCGTCTGCCGCCAGGACCCCCTCGACTCCGGCCAAGGAGCCCGTCAGGTCGACCTAAGACAGGCCAACGAAGCACACACGCACACTGACGACGAGTACGCGCGCGCGAATCAACACGTGCAATGAATTAACGTAGAGACCTGGGGCGCGCACACGTGGGTGGACACACTGGCTCTCGCACACGCACGAGCGCACACTGAACACCGTGGCCTGTGCACACAGATGCCAAGCACTGCACTACTGCTCTCCATTTGTCATTAGGCCTACAAAGACACACACATGCATGGGTGCACAGAAACAGATGGACACAATAATGCAAGGGTACAAAGACAAAGCTATAGCCTTAACAGACTTTTGGGACAAGTGCTGTTAGAGAAGCACTGATGTATGTTTAACTTCTTTCTGACCGTATGTAGCCAACCGTGCTAATCGGAGGTGCGGGGGAAGGAAAACAATCTAAACACAAAAAGCAGTTCTAAAGAAATTAGTTTCCATTTCTCAATTATTTTCTCTGGGAAAACAGGTTTCCTCCATAATGCAAAATTCTGAAGGAGGAAATGTAGGAACCTCCTGAAAAAGATTAGAAGCTCGGTGAGGCTTCTCTCGATTAACATGGGAATGTTTGTAGCAGGCACACTGGTATCAATATTAAGCTTGATTTGAAGGCCAGCAGGGCACACAAGGGGGTGGGTGGCCAGCACCACGCATGACCGTCTTGCAAAGGTACACACACTCTATGCACACGCCGCTTTGCACGTGCGCGTGCACACACGCGGCTGTGTAGCGATGGCATCGGAGACCTGGCAGAGAACCACGGCGCCGCCCTCCTCCCCATAGGCTTGGTAGACGATCACGGCTTCCCCTCCAGACCCGGCCAATCGAGCCCAGACCTCCAAGCACCCAGCATCCTCCAGGGCGGCCGTGACCTCCGCGCCGTCACCTCCGACCCCCACGATGACCCCGTCGGTGGGTGCGCTAAGGATGACATCGGGCTTGTCGCCGCCCCTCTGGAACCTGATTGGCTGCAGCAGAGAGGGGGGGGGGTGCATTTTTCGTGCACAAGGACAACGTGTACCAATGTACTTGTAGCCGCATCATCAGCCATGATCATTCCACTGCTGGATGAAGGCCTCCCCAAGCTGCCGCCATCGTTCGGTACCTGCAACGTAATGGGCCATCCACCTGCACACGAGTCGATTTCATCCCTCCATCTCTCCCCCCGGTGGGCCGTGTCCTCGGATACGTTCCACCACTGGGCTGCCACTCCCACCATTATCCTTGACAATCGGCCATCGTCTCTTCTGGGCAGCAGGCCCTGCCCAAGCCCACTCACTTTTCTCAACAGTTAAAATGATGTCTTTAGCCTGAATGTGTTCTCTCATCCACGCGATCCTCTTTCTGTCTCAATGTAATCCCAAGCACACTTCACTCCACGCCTCTTCGTGCACGTGACTATCTTCGTTATCGCCCACCGTTATGACCCAATGTCCCTTGCAGGAAATGCGCAGACGATACATTTATAAAGGCGTAGGAATGTTACCGAACATTCTTCAAAGCAAGAAGGGCAGAGTTCGATTTCCGACTCGGGCGAACTTTGTTGTGGAATTTGAATGTTCTCCCCCTGTTCTGCATGAATTTCAGACTCAGACAGTAATATGTAAATGGGTAAGGTCCCACTGAGCTAAACAGCTCTGCTACAAGGACAACCACAGCTCAAGGCTGCAGCAGCAGTTACAGGACATCTCGGGGGGGGGGAAATGCACAAACTAGCAAGAGCAAAATGAAATATTTACACAAAACCCACACCAGAACTTACTGCAAATAGGATAACATAGCAGTGTTTACGTACAAACCGCATTGTCCAAAGTTCATATGCTGGGTGAAAATGAAAAATAAAATACATGTGGCCACAGACAATCAGTTGCTGCATTGAAAAACAAAATTAGCATTGTGCAATGTACTCAGTGACGGGGGGGGGGGGGGGGGGTCTGTGAACAGACCGATGTTTTTGAGTTGATGCTGTGCAGATGTTGCCCAGGATATTGAGTCACAAACGCCGACCCCGAGCGGTGCTCACGTACCCCGCGTACCCCACGTGCCCCGTGCACACACACGCTACCTGCGCCACGCGTGGGCCCTGCTCCTCCTGTCCTCCTCCCCGCCGCACGCCCACGCCCCCGCACGAAGCGCGCGAGCAGAGCGCCAGCACGGCGCCGCCGCGAGCCGCGTACGCGAGGAACCGCTCGCTCGTCTCCTCGGGCAGCGGCCGTGGCGACGCCAGCACCAGCAGCCGCGTGTGCTCGGGCCACGGGTGGGCCCGAGCCGGCGCCTCCTCGAGACGGTAGACGGTGTAGTGGTCGGGGCGCAGCACCGAGAGGAGGGCGGCGCACACGAGCCCGAACCTGCCGCACGGGCAGAAGAGAACAGGGCGGTACAAAGCCCGGACGTGAACAGGGGCAGAGAGTCGACAGCGCAGATGGCTGGAGGGGCATTCGGCCAATGAGGGCAGCAGAGGAGAAGGAGCGATGTCCCACCGAGTGGCAGGCCTGGCTGCTGAATCGGAAGGGGGGGGGGAGCAGAGTGAGAGGAGAGGGGCAAGGTGAGCAGGTGCGGGTCCTTAGAGGTTCTTGGAGACGGGGCGAGGGCGATTTTGTAGGCGACGCGTAGCGATTTGGGAGCCGGACGAGGCATCGAGGGCTAGGGCCACGGGTTTACCAGGCTCGCGCGCCACGCCAAACGCACCTGCGGTCAGCGTCGGGTCCGTCCTGCCCGGTGTAAACCAGCACGTTGGGCGGCTTGTTCGACGACCCGTGACCCCGCGCTCGCGTCCCCCCCCGCGCCTCGGTTCCCGGCCCGTCCAGCCGCTCGTCCTCCGAACCGCTCTGCCGGCCGACCCGCGGGCCTTCCCGGTCGTCCGCCCTGGGCGCGTCCCGGAGCTCGGGCTCCGCGTTGGCAGTCCGCTCGCGGTCGCGATCGTCGTCGTCGTCGTCGTCGTCGTCATCGCCGTCGCAGTCTCGCGGAAGCTCCACGAGGTCCTCCATGGAGGCGGAGCGCACGGACTCGATAGTACTGCTCTCCAGCCCGAGGCACTCGCAACAGCTCGACAGGTGCAGGGGCCGGGCATCCTCGTGCTCCCCCCCCGTCGCCGCCACCCCACGCGGCTCGCCGACGTGGCAGCCGGCGCCTCTCGCATCGCTGAGCGGCTCGTCCATCTCCGCCGCGCCCTGATACAACCGGCAGCGGCGGCGTCAGCGTCGCGACGACGTTGTGACGACGTTGTCGGTTAATATCCAATCTCAGAACGGATTCCGGGCGCCTCCCACATCGACCGGCACCGACCGCTTCGGTGTGCTCAAATTTCGGGATGGCCAATTCTCATGGCCGACAGAGCATCGACAAAGGGTTGTGAAGTATTACAGATGTTGCGCGCACGTGTGTGTGTGTGTGTGCACGTGAGAGAGGCGGTGGCGAGCCATTGCCGTCGATCAGGAGCGTGACACACGGTGTCAAGGTGGACGTCGGTCCTGACTCGGTTAACACCTCGAGCTGGATAAAGCAACTTTGCTGTTTCTGCTTAATACGTTTCACTTCCCTGAGCCATACGTCTCAAGGGAGCCAAAGTCCACGGGATTTAAGTGGAGGCTGCACTTCCTAACACCACTCTGCTCTCTCACCTGGGTGACCCCACCCACCCAGGGGTGTGAGAAAGGGCTTCTTGCTCGGCCACTGGATAACAAATGTGTTCGTCAATCCACTGCTGGATAAGGGCCTCCCTACACCCTGTTGGTCGTGGTGGTTATTTGACCAAACTTCACCGCGCTGATCGGAGTGGGCTGGTGAAGGTGGGGAGCACGTGAACGTTGGAGTGAACACCATGAATTCGCAAGTCTGAACTAGCCACGATTTCAATTAAAATCTGTGTACAAAGCCCCCAATGCACACATACCGTAGATTACATGTCTACGAGTACATTACACGTGTGTGTGCGTAGTGTACGTGCATGTTAGTGTAGTCGCTCGGTGTGTCCTGTGTACCGTGTGCAACAGTGTTGTTTTAAGTAAAAAGTTCAGACTGGTGGTACGTGTAGCGTGTCCGGGAGATTGTTTCACGTTCAAACTCTACGCTCGTGCTACCAGCATGGAATGGCTCGTAAGAATCGATGTGATGGCGGTGAGCAGGAAGGGCCTCAATGCCTGGAGTAGGGTCAGTACAGCCCAAGTCCTACATGGACTGCGTGATGAACAGCGAGGGAAAATTATGGCCGTAAAAGAGGCGACTGTCTAAAGGGGGACCAGGTATGAGAATACAATTCATGAGTATTTACCCCCCTCGCACGCCAGGGGGGTTTACTCCGGGGACTCCCGTTTCCTCCCACATGTACACACACTTATTCGTAGAGTTGGGTAAACATCTACATATAGGATCACAGAGCTTGGACAACTGTTGGCATCGCTCCCGGCTGTCTATCCACTCGTCTGTGGTTGCCTGCGCCTTCGCTGTTATGAGATAAAATCTCCGTGATTGAAGCCGTTTAAAATTAGATTCTCACCAAGTTTTTCTTTGCGTGCGTTTTCATTATTAGTGCTTGTGCACCGCTGCCGATGAAGTAACTGTAACATTTCACTTGATTCTGAACACCTACAGCTGTGCTCAGGCGGTCTTCTCCCTGATCGTGTATGGAGCAGTGCAGTGGGAGGCGTGACCTGGGCTCTGGGCAGTCGAGTCGCGGTGACCTCAGGCTCAAAGGTCACCTCGGGGTCGCCTTTTGGTCTCGTTCCAACAGAACACGCTGGGTAGTGCCTGCGGAATACAGCATCCATTGTCAATATGAGCAGCGATACCTGTACTATATTACAGATCAGGGAGCTGGACTCGAACTAAGCAGCTTTAAGAGAATATTGACATTTGAGGCCAGGTGTCGAGACAAACGCTTGGCATTTTCATGGCAAGACAGGAGAAACCCAGGCATAGGTCAGTGAGAGAACGTGGCAATTTGAGCGTGGAGATGAGGCGATAATGGCTGGGCTGTGTGGGAGGAGGGACTGATTGCCTAGAGAAGAGGACATTGGAGTGGCCTCCACGGGTCCAGCGACCAAGGGAAACCCAATGCCTAGGAGGAGACGGTGGGATCCTGTAAAGGCAGATTTTTGGGGGTCGCGTGGCATCAATGGCTTTAGTCACAATGACATCTTGGTCTATTGACCCGTGGGTGGCTTATCCAGGATACGATTTCCCACAGTGGACACCAGGCCTTGTACGAGCGAGTCTCGACACGCACGGTGTACACACACACACGATGTACACACGCACACACACACGATGTACACACACACACACACGATGTACACACGCACACACACACGGTGTACACACACACACGGTGTACACACACACACACACGATGCACACATGCACACACACACACGGTGTACACACACACACACGGTGTACACACACACACACGGTATACACACGCACACACGGTGTACACACGCACACACACACGATGTACACACGCACACACACACGATGTACACACGCACACACACACGGTGTACACACACATGCACACACAGCGTACGCGCACCTGTGCAAGACTTGGCACCCGACAGCATCTTCAGAGATTTCGAGTTGCACTTTAGGAGGGCCCGCTTCAGCGCAGAGGAAGCCCTCTAAGTCCACGGCTGTCACACACAGGCACACACAAACACACAAGTACAAAGATCGCCCGGATAGACTGAACAGACTGTTGGGGCAAGTGCTGTTAGCGAGCACCTATGAAGGCCGGTGTGGCACACGAGGCGGTGGGTGGCCAGCACCACGCCTGGCCGCCTTTGTCTCCCCAGTGGCGATGTTTACACACCGCACCAGGTACTCATTTGAGGCTGAGTCGACCTCGGGGAGGCACAGGACCAGTTCAGATAATCGTCACTGCTCTATCTCTCCCCCGGGGATCGAACGCGGGTCGCCGGGTTTGTACAAACACACTCAACTTTTTATTCTACCAGGTAAGGCCCACTGAGCTATGTAGCTCTTTTTCAGAAACGACCTGGCCACAAATGATTGTGGACCATCACGTGGAAATGTATAGCAGCCAAATAAACGCATGATGTGGATTCTAAATGTGAAGGGAAAAACCGGAGGACCCGGAGAAAAATCCACGCCATGACGGGATCGAACCCACGACCTCCTGCATACCAGGCGACGTAGTTAACATCTCGCCACCGCGGCGCCCATCTGTGTACCACAAGCACACACGAGGCAGACACCCTCAACTCGGCCCTCCTGCGTGTGGTTTAAAAACAAACAGAAATGACAGTGGCCGATCACAGCCCCCACGGCAATGTCATGGAACGACCTATGGCTGTCAAGCAGAGATGAAGCCTCACAGGAGGAGATGGGGTTGCAGTGTGTTGTGTGTGTGTGAGGTCAGATTTAATTGACTGTTAAATATGACTTAGCGGGCGGTGCGGCAGTGTAGCGGTTAGCGCTCTGGTCACCCGAGTTCGATTCGCGCTTACGGCCAACACCGGTGACGATTATCTGACCCGGTCATGGGCCTCCCCGAGGTCGACTCAGCCTAAAATGAGTACCTGGTGCGATGTGTAAACATCGTCACTGGGGAGACAAAGGCGGCCGGGCGTGGTGCTGGCCACCCACCCCCTCGTGCGCCGTGCCGGCCTTAATAGGTGCTCGCTAACAGCACTTGCCCCCGCAGTCTGCTAAGGCTATGCGGGGGAACTTTGTCTCTGACTCACAGATGAGCGAGTCGGCCTCCTCCCCCGAGTCGAGCTGGAGTCCGACGGTGAGGAACGCCGCTCCCAGCCTCGCGAAGGCCTCCTCCGTGGCCTCGGCGAGGACGCGGCGCGGCTCGCCGAGCCTCAGCGCCAGCGGCACGCAGCACCGAGACCACAACCCCGCCGCGCCGGCCTGCGGGGCCTCGCCGCCAGGGGCCGCGCCGGCCGACGGGGAGCGAACCTCGACCACGAACGTGACGAGGTCGGCGCCAGGGGCCCGCGGGGCGCCGGTCCGAATCCACCCGCTCACATCGACGCGCACCTGCAGCAACACCACCACAGAGCCATCACCCCCACACAGCCATCACCACCCACACAGCCATCACCCCCCACACAGCCATCACCACCACACAGCCATCACCACCACACAGCCATCACCACCACACAGCCATCACCACCACACAGCCATCACCACCACACAGCCATCACCCCCCACACAGCCATCACCACCACACAGCCATCACCCCCCACACAGCCATCACCCCCACACAGCCATCACCACCACACAGCCATCACCCCCACACAGCCATCACCACCCACACAGCCATCACCCCCCACACAGCCATCACCACCACACAGCCATCACCACCACACAGCCATCACCACCACACAGCCATCACCACCACACAGCCATCACCACCACACAGCCATCACCACCACACAGCCATCACCACCACACAGCCATCACCCCCACACAGCCATCACCCCCCACACAGCCATTACCACCACACAGCCATCACCACCACACAGCCATCACCACCACACAGCCATCACCACCACACAGCCATCACCACCACACAGCCATCACCAACACACAGCCATCACCACCACACAGCCATCACCACCACACAGCGATCACCACCACACAGCCATCACCCCCCACACAGCCATCACCACCACACAGCCATCACCACCACACAGCCATCACCCCCACACAGCCATCACCACCCACACAGCCATCACCCCCCACACAGCCATCACCACCACACAGCCATCACCAACACACAGCCATCACCACCACACAGCCATCACCCCCACACAGCCATCACTCCCACACAGCCATCACCACCACACAGCCATCACCACCACACAGCCATCACCACCACACAGCCATCACCACCACACAGCCATCACCCCCCACACAGCCATCACCCCCCACACAGCCATCACCCCCCACACAGCCATCACCACCACACAGCCATCACCACCACACAGCCATCACCCCCACACAGCCATCACACAGCCATCACCAACACACAGCCATCACCACCACACAGCCATCACCATCACACAGCCATCACCACCACACAGCCATCACCACCACACAGCCATCACCATCACACAGCCATCACCACCACACAGCCATCACCACCACACAGCCATCACCACCACACAACCATCACCACCCACACATTCATCACCACCACACAGCCATCACCAACACACAGCCATCACCACCACACAGCCATCACCACCACACAGCCATCACCACCACACAGCCATCACCAACACACAGCCATCACCAACACACAGCCATCACCACCACACAGCCATCACCACCACACAGCCATCACCACCACACAGCCATCACCCCCCACACAGCCATCACCCCCCACACAGCCATTACCACCACACAGCCATCACCACCACACAGCCATCACCACCACACAGCCATCACCACCACACAGCCATCACCAACACACAGCCATCACCACCACACAGCCATCACCACCACACAGCGATCACCACCACACAGCCATCACCCCCCACACAGCCATCACCACCACACAGCCATCACCACCACACAGCCATCACCCCCACACAGCCATCACCACCCACACAGCCATCACCCCCCACACAGCCATCACCACCACACAGCCATCACCAACACACAGCCATCACCACCACACAGCCATCACCCCCACACAGCCATCACCCCCACACAGCCATCACCACCACACAGCCATCACCACCACACAGCCATCACCACCACACAGCCATCACCACCACACAGCCATCACCCCCCACACAGCCATCACCCCCCACACAGCCATCACCCCCCACACAGCCATCACCACCACACAGCCATCACCACCACACAGCCATCACCCCCACACAGCCATCACACCCACACAGCCATCACCAACACACAGCCATCACCACCACACAGCCATCACCACCACACAGCAATCACCACCACACAGCCATCACCACCACACAGCGATCACCACCACACAGCCATCACCACCACACAGCCATCACCCCCACACAGCCATCACCACCACACAGCCATCACCACCACACAGCCATCACCACCACACAGCCATCACCACCACACAGCCATCACCACCACACAGCCATCACCACCACACAGCCATCACCCCCCGGTCACTTCAACTCCACGATTCGGACTTTCGCGACTCCACCGCTGGATGAATGAGAGGGAAGTTGGTGGTGGGGGGGGGGCACCCACTGTCCCCCTCACTCCGTCTCGATTTGCTTGACCATACTTCACCAGACTGGTCAGTGCGGGTTTATGAAGGGACCCCCCCTCCCCCGCAACTAAAGTCACGGTGCCAGGCTAGGTGCACTCTCCTCACCTTGGGCTGTACGAGCTCGCACACGCGGCCCTGCCCGCCGCTGCCGCCGTCGCCTCGTGCCGGGGCTCCCGGCGGGGAGCCGGGCCGAGACGAGAGGGAGAGGCTCGCCGAGTTGGCCACGGAGCGACGCAGGGCGACGAGGACTGCCTCGGGCGACGACGACGACGACAACGAGGAGGAGGAGGACGACGAGGAGGAGGAGGAGGCAGCAGCAGCGGCGGCAGCAGCAGCAGCGAGACGTCGCATCCTGAAGAAGAGGTAGACGTAGCAGGCAGTGAGGAGCATAGCGGGGGCGGTGGCGGTGGTTGCCGGCTCCTGGCGACGGTCCGGGTGACGGTGACGGTGCTGCTGCTGCTGCTGGTCGCGATGACCATGGCCAGAGAGGGCCGAGGTCGCATCGACCGCGGAATGCAGGGACGATGATGATGGTGGTGGTGGTGCCCTCTTGTGGGTGGTGGTGGTGTAGCGGTCAGCGCTACGCTGACCGCTACGAACCCGGCCACCCGAGTTCGATTCACGCTCAAGGCCAACACCGGGTGACGATTGTCTGAAGCGGTCCTGGGCCTCCGCTAGGTCGACTTAGCCTCAAATGGGGAGACAAAGGCGGTCGGGCGTGGTGTTGGGCACCAACCCCCCTCGTGTGCCGTGCCGGCCTTCATAGGTGCTACTCGCTGACAGCACTTGCCCCGACAGTCTGTTACAGGCTATACGGGGATCTTTGTCTTTGCCCACGCAAACACCGATCAGGTGGTCAAATTAAGAATATCTATAACACAGGTGGTTTTTTGGGGGGATTAAATCGCGTAAATATAAATGTTGTCGTTAAACCCGCCAGCACCGGACACAATCAATCAGTAAGTTTGTCACGTAAACACAACATTTACATAGCCTGGCACCGTGACATAGTTGTGGATTTGCTCTCCAACACACCGGAGTGCTGTACTAGTGACGAATTGGCACGTTTTGTTTACATGACAAACCTTACTAAATTGACAGGTCGTGGGCTCGATCCCGATCCTGACGCCTGCTGCTGCTGTATATTTGGAGTTTGCGTGTCTCTCTCTCCCATCATCATCACGGTGGTTATGAGATGTTAACTACCTCGCCCGGTATACAGGAGGTCGTGGGCTCGATCCCGACCCTGACGCCTACTGTGTACTAGGAGTTTGCGTGTCTCTCTCTCTCATCATCATCACGGTGGCTAGGAGATGTTAACTACCTCTCCTGGTATGTAGGAGGTCGGGGATTCGATCCCGACCCTGACGCCTGCTGCTGCTGTATATTTGGAGTTTGTGGTGTCTCTCTCCCCGTGGTCGCGTGGATTTTTCTCTGGCTCCTTCGGGTTTTCCCTCAACATTTAGAATCAACATCACGCGTTTACAATATTTGGCTGCTGTACATTTCAGCGTGATAAACCACTCCGTTGAGCTATCATTCGTGGCCAGGTCGCTTCTGAAAAAGAGCTACATAGCTCATTGGGCCTTACGTGTTAAAATTAAAATATAGTTTTAAAATATGAGAATAGGTTTTCCCCTTTTAAAATAGTTTAAATACTCTTCCCATGGACAATCATCCTTATTCAACCACGAGTCTCATTGGCAGCTTTCAATTGCTCGGCTGACACTGAATAGAGAGCACATCCGCTCAGGAGATGGAGCGATGGAATCGGTTCATGTTCCATGTTCTGGGTGGATTATTACTTTGTAGGATCGTGAGAGGTTGCTGCGGCTCGGAGAGGCCTTCATCCACCAGTGGACTGACCATGACTGATGATACACAAGTGACAATAAATGGTGATCAGTGTACAGGTGCGGTGCTGATGTTTTGTGACCCCCCAATTAATTGACCCCCAAACATTTATTTTTCACTCTTTGATTCTTTTGGTAAAGTCACGTAGAAAGAAAGAGTAATTCCTGCAGTCACGAAAGCTCCAAATCAAATTAACTTTTTCACTTTGCATATTAATTTCTGTTTTAAACAATCCTTACTTTCACAATATTAAGTTATATAGAATTAAATGGGGGGGTCACATGACATCTGGACCATCCTCTACATGTAGATATCTCTCTGCTTTGTCACGGTATTGTGGCTTTCTGATCGAACATTGGGTGAAAGCGATTACTCATTGCTTCGCAGAGGAAGAGAGGTGGTAGGGAGTACGCGTCTCAGGCCGCCTTTGTCTCCCCTGTGATAGTATTTACACACCGCACTAGGGAACAGAATTAAGGTCGAGTCGACCTAGGGGAGGCCCAGCACCGGTTCAGATATTCGTCGACCAATATTTTGGCCGCGAGTGGGAATCGAAGTCGAGCCACCGGGTTCGTAGCGCAGTACAGACCGCTGCAACCTGAATAAACGAACACCCGAAGGGAGCGGTGTGGAGGGGGCGGTCTTGCTTGCCCCTTATCCCACAGAGCGTCCCTTTTCAGGGTCCTGGGTTCACGTGTGCCACGAGTCGCCCCTCGGATTGGTAGTTCACACCCAGGGAACCCGCTTCACAAGCATTGTATTACAGTCCATGACTCCCCCCCCCCCTCACCTCTACTAAACTAAAACAAGTTTTTCTTTTTATTTCATCAGCTAAGGCCCACTGAGTTATACAGCTGTTTTTCAGAAGCAGTCTGACTACAAATGATAGGTCATCGAAGTGGCTTATCACGTGGACATTTATCGCAGCCAAATACTCATAAAGGCGTGTTTCTAAATGTGGAGGGAAAACCCGGAGGACTCTGAGAAAATTGCACGCGACCACGGGGAAAGAGAGACACGCAGACTCCAAATATACAGCAGGCGTCGGGATCAAACCCACGACCTCCTGTACACCAGGCGAGGTAGTTAACACCTCGCCTGACACCTCACAGGAGAAGTTTGGCAGTGGACTGCGCTCTCATGGGCCGTTGCCGAGTTGCCCAAGGACACGCCACAGCCAGTGCCGGACTTAAGCTAGTGCGGGGCCTGTAGCATACGTTATAAAGGGGCCCTAAATAAAAATAAAAAACACGTAAATATTAAAACACAAATATTTTATTTGCATAGTAAGGCAATTGTATTTTTCATTTGCTATACAACCAGATAATTCGACAAATCGCTAACCTTAAACACCCAGTCGTTCATAAAAGTTGAAGGCACTATAGTACTATAGTAATAGAGCAAGTGCAGAATCACTGAACCGGAATTGATAGCTTGAAAGCATTTAGCGCGGGGCCCTTGAAAGTGCGGGGCCCGTAACTACATTTGTACAGTAGCTACTTTTGCTACTGTGATAATCCGGCACTGGGCACAGCGCGTCTCCGATGGCAGGGTTGCGTCTGACACCTGATAGCTGCAACGTGTTTTTTTTCTGCTCCGGATTGTGACTCTGCTGCTTTGTCCATGGCTGCCTCTTTGTCCTCTACCCGGCTGCTAATATACACCGGGAGGGTGTGGCCTTTATTATATTTAAGGTGCCGCAAGTTCCCATTGTCTCTCAATTGGAAAAGGACGCTCAAGCAACCAAATCCAAAATCATGCTCACATAACCTCCCCACCCCCTCCTCTCTCGGTTGGAGAAGAATGATCTCATAATCATCGTGCACCTTAAGCTTCTCTTTCTCCTCCAAGTGGAGCCCTATTTGTTGACACCGTTCAATCAATGAACCTTCTGGCAGTCGCAATAGCTGCAGCAGCAGTGTCCCCCCCCCCCCCACTGTTGGTGATCATATCCCATCTATTGCTGATGCTTCCCTGTCTCCCATACACCCGATGAGAACGATTGGCTCCGTACGGTGCGAAAGAAATTCAACATTGGTGCATACGTCATTCAGCTCCATTCTAGTGCCTCTACTTCCACTCCATCAGTCCATCGTTTTCTCAGACATCTTCTGCCTTGATATTAATTTAGCTGGATTCCTCTTTGGTGCCATTGTCCTGACATGACCACAGTCTGCATCCTTTCGATTTACGTTTGTTAAAACTAAAACCTCAACACAGCCAAAATGGTTATTCCCGATTCCAGCATTTTTACTATGGCATAAATTGGAAGGTTTCGAGGTCAAATCGTTGTCCTTATTTATTTAGTGTGTGTGTGTTCGCACCAAGCACTGGTCCACGCCGAACTCCATCTCTCTTCCACACAGCAAGCCGATCCATCGACTTCTCGTGCCAATAATCCCAGAAGGGTTTACGAGACTTGAGAGTTGAGACGGACATGACCAGGGGCAGTTATTGAGTTCCTCGCGGATGGGCAGGATCGGGTGTAATACGATACACGGTTGAGTTCGGAGACTGTTCAGGCACCTCTGTAGATAACCGAGGGGTGTTACGTGGTAATTTTTTTTAGCAGGACCCTCCTGAAGGTCTTGAGACTGAGCTTTCCCTGGGTAATAATGTAGCAATGTGTGATGAGTAAATAGTTTACTGTGCACACTTGAATAATTCACTAGACAAATGGTTCTACTCGATAACCGCCCCTCATGGCAGCAGACCAAACGCACTCGGGGAAACCAAACGCAGTCCTGACGTCCTCACTCGCCACAAGTGCCATCACACACGCGAGCCTCGACTCATTACCAATGAGAACTTTATTGGATCAAGACGGCAATGTACAGCTTGGCCGGTATCTATCATACAGGATCACGATTCTCACGCTGGGCAGTCAGTCTTACTGCACAGGGACAGCTGCTGGGAGTGAATTCCGAAGCTTCTACGAAGCCCGTGGGAGTGTGATCATTAGCCCAAACTAAGGCGTCTTGATGCAACCATAGGACGCGAGTGATGTGGCTTGGCCCCCCCCCCACGCCCAGAACAAAGGAATGCAACGTTCACGTTAATCCGTCATAAGATAACTGCTGGCAATAACTCGGCACAATCACTGTAATGGCAGGCAGGTCACCACGGTGAGTGGGGTGACGCCACGGCACGGTAAACGGACTGCACTGTGTACCGATCGTACATCGACACACGTGAACAGGTCCGAGCCTCTGGCCACGGACATATTCGCCCGTACGGATGCACACGAGTACGACCCGATAGCCTGGGTCGCTGCAGCAAGGGATCGCTACAGACAATTTCAATGTTGCCTTAAAAACTGCAGAAGCAAACATTGACGTCTGACGCTGTTAATTGATCAAAATACAGGAAACGAGTGGTGAAAGATGCAAATCCTTAGACGGCCAGAGAATCGGCCGGTGGCGTCTTGGAGGAGCCCCGAAGAGCCGAGTTCAATTCCAGAGCTCACGATTGTCGTGGCTACAAGGTGCCGCGTCTTCTATCTGCTCTGGAACATTGGCCACTGTTAAATAAATAACTCCCAAAACAATTCTGCAGATCTGCATCTCATGTATCGATGCTCGATACTTATTGGGTGACCAGCTGCCAGATTGAGTTACATCGGAGCGGGGGGGGTGTGAGGGCCTACACCAGTGAGGCCCGGCCACGTCTGCTCCCTCCTGCCCCACCTTAACGTGGACTCCGGCTGACTTGGCCAAGAGAAATGTTTGGGTCTCCACTTAAATTAAGATCAACAATTCCCTTTGATTTGTGCTCATAGCTTATTCTGGGAAATTACCTCAACGCAACATTCAATTATTCGCAAAATCAGGCCTGGCTTGCGCACAAATTATCAATGTGACAACAGCAGCCCTTATATTAAAACGATTCGTTTTACCCTAGCCCAATTTATCCCAGCCCTAAAAGCCTGCCCCCACCCCTAACACTCACTAACCACATTATTGCTTTGCACTTCATATATCTGTGTGAAAACTTGTGAGGTTGGTAAATGTCAAATGAGGTGGCACCGATTGGCTGGACGAATGAAAGGCGGAAGGAAGTAGCGGGGCTCCATGCCCTCTCAACAGCTCACTTTACTGCCACCCCATTGCCACAGCCAGAGGCCTCTCAAGGGCAGTCAAGATGGGCTGTGATCTCAAGCTGAGTCAGTTCTACCACACGAAGCAAACGTGGGAAGAATGAAATCTAGAGGGATGGTTCTTGGCAAGCTGTGACGATTCTAACAACATAAAACAGGGATTGCATTTTCCTCCCTCTAAGAAAATTTACTTTGATCCTTTTTTTTTCCTCCAAATGAACACATTTACCCAAAAGCAACAGTCAGCTGACAACGTTTTCAAGAAAAATCTTCCTTTTCTAAATGTGGCCCCTTGTGGTGGAGAGTGGCTGAGCTGGAAGGACCTGAACAGGTGGCTCTGCCAAACCCGACCGTTTAACCTCCAAACGCAGCTTCCATTTTAAAGCTATCAATTACACTCTTCTAGGGCATGTGAAGGCAAACCTGCATCATCACTTACAATATACCACCGTCAAATAATCATAAAACTAAAAATTATTGGCTAGACATGACAGCCATGTGCAAACATTGATCCGAAGGAGAGTGCTGCAATAAGTAAACACGAAGGACTCGCACACCAAATGGGTAACGGGCGCCGCTGCACGGGAAGAACGGGGACCGCCATCGCCGCCCGTGCACTCCGCATTCACTCCGACGCGCCCTGGCGAATGTTTGCGTTGAGGCCGACGTGGCCTGTAGGGGAAGAACTGAGGCCGGCTCTCCTTTCGCTACGGATAATCACAATCGCGCACAGCGCTGGATTTACTTTTGTTTTTTTTTACCAAGTACGCTTGAAACAGAAATAATAATGGCGTTGGTGAAAAGCCGTCACCTGGTCATCAGGCGCTGACTCCTTGCCAAGATTGATCTCGAGGTGTCTGATTCGTAAACAGTTTTTACCAAGTACCAATTTTTAAATAAAAAATTGTGTCAAGTATTTTCCCAAAAATGTTATAAAGCGTTATGATTAAATAAAAAATTGGTATGCGGTAAGACGGTTTAAAAATCAGAAGCCTACCGCTTAAATCGGCAGGGTTTGGTGATTATGTAATTATATTGGAGATTATGTAGCACACGTGCGCCTGCGAAATCAACGGAGGCTTCCTCGTAAGCCACAGCGCACGCTGCTTCCCGCCTAGCCGCTCATTCCTGGCGGCGCTGCCGAGCGCAATCCAGTGCCGAACTTCCTCGGGCCACGTGGGTCAGCCGTGGCTACCTTGGGCCCTGTAAACATTGGTTTCTCTAGTTGGCACTTTCATCGCATCACAGACCAAGCGCGCAAACTAAAGCGCGGCGTACGAACACCACGGCAGCAGGTGGCATCGCGACCGTGGCTCCACGCGTGTGGCACAAAAGTCCCATTCAAAATGTGTTTGGAGTGATCTGTTAAGTCACCCAGGATTTCAGCACTGACCCGCCTAACGCTAGCTCTCGGAGGTACGACGCCGGAGAGAATTGTAAGATTGTCCCGCAGGCTCAAAACATGCGGGGGGGGGGGGGCAGGGGGGCAGGGGGGCACACGTGTGGGTCGCCCCTTGCTTTGGCAGCCCCGGGCGCGGAGTTGTGAATGCGGAGTGTGGATCGCAGCAGCGACACCGCGTGCACACACGCTCACACATACACACACACCAGACTCGCACACGCACGCACGGCACCTCCTAGCGAGGCTCGCCTGACACTATTACACAAGTAAAATATTAACGAGACCCAACCCTGCGTCGCTCACATAGAGCGGCGGTGGCAACCCGCAGCAGCGAGTCACACTGAATGGGTCCCATCCCAGCTCTATACTGCCAGTGTATATACCGTATACCGTCAGTGTATATACATGTGTATGGCCATTACCGGGCAAAATGACTGCTCTTACTGTCCACAAACCAACTTGCTTAGGCCCTTGATATGCACTCAATTACCATTTCATCATCATCATCATATTTATATTAATCATAAAAAAAAACAAATGACGAGAACATTTCATAAATATGAACAATTCCCCCGTTTGTGCTGCCAACAAGGTATGTCGTGCAGCATGCGTCACACCCGGCCACCCGACCAATGTGCGCGGTCGGCTGCCGGTTTTGAAACCCACGTTTTGCCACGGACCGATTTTGTTCGAAGCAAAAATATCGTAAAAAAATGTTTTCCCAAAAATTGTAATAAAGTACGAGATTAACCTTTTTTGCAAATCGGTCCACCGGAGCCGGGGTTTTTTTTGTTTGTTTTTAATCGGCAGCCTACGGCCAAGATCGGCCAGGCAGGCGGGTACGGCGCACGCGAGCGCGCAGAGCGAGGGACAGTGGAATGACTGGTGGGGGAAGGAGGCCAGGGCCGTTCCGCCACGGTCGTGGGCCACGATGCGAGGAGAGGGGTGTGGGGAGCTGGGAGCCCGTGGGGGCATTCTATCGTTTGGATGGGGGGATGCGAGGGGGGTTGTGTGTGGGGGGGGGGGGGGCGTCGTGGCCCCAGTGTTTGCGGGGACCGGGCAGGGGAGACGGACGGCCGGTGGGGACGAGGGCTACTCGCGGCCGTCCTGGAAGAGCTGCAGGTCGAGTCTCGCCGTGATTTCGCCCGTCGGGACCTCGTGCAGCAGCAGCCTCTTGCTGATGGGGCCCTTGGTGTCCTGGTCGCGCTTGATGTCGGCCACGCGGATCTCCGTGCGACCCAGGAAGTCTGTGCGTGCAAGCGGATACCACCACAGACGCCGTCGCCGTCACCACCTCAACAGCCATCACCACCTCAACGACCATCACCACCACTGCCATGACTGTCAACAGCACCACTAAACAAGCACAGTGACCACCACCAACACCATCACTGCCAACTGGTGAGTGTGTGATCTGTGTGTGCGTTATGTATGTGGGTGTACTATGTGTGGTGTGTAGTGAATGTGGTATTTGGTGTATGTGGAAGTGGTGTTTGTATGGGATGCATGTTGTGTAGATTGTATGTGTGTAGATGGTTTGTGTGCATAATGTTATATTTGCATGTGGTGCGTATGCATGATATATTGTACGCGGTGTGCGTGCGAATGGTATATATTGTGTGCGGCTTGTGTTTGTCGTGTACTTGTGTGGTGTGGCGTACGCGTGCGGTGTGGCGTGCGGTGTGGCGTGCGGTGTGGCTGTGCGTGTGGAACGCCTTGCTCGGTACCGTCCGGTGAGAACTGGTCGCGCTCGAACACGGTGATGCACAGCACGTCCTGCTCCAAGTCCTTGACAAAGAACTGGCAGTTGGAGTTCCACTTGGGGTTCACGCTGTCCTGTATCGTCTTAGTGATGTGGCACTGAGCACCCATGGTCACCTCGCAGTACGGGTTACTCTTCCCTGCGCTCGCCGCACACACGCACACACCGTGCATTCTGTCGCGTGGTGGCGGGGAGCCGGTGGACGGCTTCATGAGTCGCCTGGCGAACATCTGGAATGCGGCCGGGTGAGGGATGGAAGTGGCAGTGGGGGTGACTGCGTGTTTTTGCGTTTTTTGGAGAACCTGTTGGATGGCATTTCTGGGGTCACAGGATTAATTCCATTTAGTACCTGCTACAGAAGCGCGTGTGTGGGGGCAGTGATCGGGGATGCGAGCGGTGGATTGCACTTCAGCGCCGTCACAATTACTCGTACAGACAGAGCTACAGACTCGCGTACGAAGCAATGTCAAGTGACAGATATAACAGGTCACTGCCAGCGACTCCTTAGTTCCGCGCTCACGGAGCAGGCGGTGGTTTAAGTGCAGAGCGCCGTGTCTGTGAGACGAGGGAGTTTCAATGCGTGACTCGCTGGGGACATCAGAGGCCACCTCCCAACCACCCTCAACGCGTGCGGCCAGGTCGCAGCGCCGCGCCGGCCTCACCGTTGGAGCGGCACGCCTTGAGCTCGATGCCCTCCACGATGTTCACCATGAGCCGGCCAATCCCGGTCGTCCGCTGGGTGCGAGCTGCTCACACACGCGTGAACACGTGTGTGAGCTCTTTGTGAGAACGACAGTGCAGCGGTTAGCGCTACAAACTCGGCGACCCCAGTTCGATTCCCGCTCACGGCCAACGCCAATGACTATTATGCGAATCGGCCCTGGGCCTCCCCTAGGTCGACCCAGCCTCAAACGAGTACCTGGTGCGATGTGTAAATGTTAGCACCAGGAATACAAAGAACACAAAGACGCCCGGGCATGGTGTTGGCCTCCCACCCCCTCGTGTGCCACCCTGGCCTTCAGAGGTGCTCGCTAACAGCACTTGGAGGGGGGATCTTTGTCTTTGTGTGAACTCTCTATCATGGTGCACACACACACACTCTCTCTGTGTGTGTGTGTGAGCTCTCTACCCTGGTACACACACACACACACTCTGTGTGTGTGTGTGTGTACACACACACACTCTGTGTGTGTGTGTGCTCTCTACCCTGGTACACACACACATACTCTGTGTGTGTGTGAGCTCTCTACCCTGGTACACACACACACACTCTCTGTGTGTGTGCGAGCTCTCTACCCTGGTACACACACACACACAGAGTGTGTGTGCTCTCTACCCTGGTACACACACACATACTCTGTGTGTGTGTGTGTGAGCTCTCTACCCTGGTACACACACACACACATACTCTGTGTGTGTGTGTGTGCTCTCTACCCTGGTACACACACACATACTCTGTGTGTGTGTGAGCTCTCTACCCTGGTACACACACACACACTCTCTGTGTGTGTGCGAGCTCTCTACCCTGGTACACACACACACACAGAGTGTGTGTGCTCTCTACCCTGGTACACACACACATACTCTGTGTGTGTGTGTGTGAGCTCTCTACCCTGGTACACACACACACACATACTCTCTGTGTGTGTGCGAGCTCTCTACCCTGGTACACACACACTCTCTGTGTGTGTGTGTGTTCTCTACCCTGGAACACACACACACACTCTCTGTGTGTGTGCACTCTACCCTGGTACACACACACACACACTCTCTACCCTGGTACACACACACACACACACTCTACCCTGGTACACACACACTCTACCCTGGTACACACACACACACTCTACCCTGGTACACACACACACACACTCTACCCTGGTACACACACACACACACTCTACCCTGGTACACACACACACTCTACCCTGGTACACACACACACACACTCTACCCTGGTACACACACACACACACACTCTACCCTGGTACACACACACACACACTCTACCCTGGTACACACACACACACACTCTACCCTGGTACACACACACACACACACTCTGTGTGAGCTCTCTACCCTGGTACGCCTTCTCTCTCTTCTTTTTCTCCGTCTCGATGTAGAGCTCTGATGCCGCTTTGATCTTCTGCACCCACGCGGTCCTGTGTGGTGAACACACGTGTGTGGTGAACACGCATGTGTGGTGAGCACGTGCGGTAAACACGTATGTGCGTGTGGTGAACACTTTTTTTTAAATGTATGCGAACGGGAGATGAGAATCGATGCCCCAATGTTCATTCGCGCAGGAAACCATTCTCGACGTGCGTCTCGCGAGAGGCGAGGTCCGGCGCCCCAAACCTCTCGTTGATGTTTTCGGCACGGAGGGTGTAGACGCGGTCGATGTGGGAGATGTGGAACGCCGGCTCGTCGCCCGACGGGTCTGACGGTAGTTTCACCAGCACCTCGTTCAGGAAGATGGGCTGTGTGCGGGCAGTGGGCGTCCACGGGCGCAGGGGGACATGGGGGCGGCGACACGGACGCGGCACAGACGCTTTCTAAAACGGCCGTGGGGCGGCAGCGGCGGCGGTAGAGAAATTCTCACGTGGCTTCATCTCTCCCGGAATAAGTTTCCGGGTTGCTCGTCGACTGTGGTAGGTGGCGCGTGACTTGGTAGCCACAGCCGTGGCGAGAGGTATTCTGGATGTGGTGTGCCGGATGTGGCCTCTCTCATCAGCGCCAGGCTGGGAGCCACAACCGTACAACCGTCACTGATTAGGCATGTATTCCTACCTGTTGTGAATCTACATGGGCACCAGTAAATAAAACGGAAGCTGAAAGGTGTGCAAAGAAGCATGCAAAGGTGCGCGCTTGAAATTCCACTCGGTCTCAGGAAGAAGAACACGTGGATCAGAGAACTCTGAATGCACCACACTGACTGTGAAATAAAGTCCGTGGGCTTGGGCAGGACACGCCGATGGAAGGGCAGGTGGCCGGCGAACGAGGCGAATGAAGGAGCAGCAGCCAAAGGGAGGGAACGTTCACTGTGCTGACGGAGCTACGCGAAGTCGGCTCGCATGCAAGAGCGAGGCGGATCGTCCTCGCAGAGCACTCCGAGAAGGAGGCGACGGGCTTGAGGGAGGTCCTGCATGCAACAGTGGATGTACCGCGGGCTCACCGTCTTGTACATGCGGTACTGCAGGGTGGACTTGCGGCTGAAGAGCTTGTCTCCGGTGGCGCCGAGCGCACGCACGGCCTGCGTGAGCAGCAGGAAGTCGTTGAAGAGGAATCCGAACAGCTCCTTGCTGCTCTTCACCTTGTAGAGCTTCCCACTGTAGAGGAACTTGCGAGGCCCCAGGCAGTTTGTGACCGAATTGAACACCAGTTGCTGCAGCAGAGGGAGAGAGAGAGATAGACGGCTGCATTGAAGTCAAAAGTCAAAGTGATTTCCTGCTCAATACAGCGCTATGTCAGAGGTGGACTTTCAACATTCCTATAGTGGGGGTGATCCTATCCATAGGCCAACCACCGTTGACTTCCCCACAAATTGGCCTCATTTTATCGACCCCCAGAGGGATAAGGGGTTGGTCCCCGACCAGGGTGTGAACTCGCAATCGGAAGATCGCGAGCCGCTCGCTGCTCCACTGCCGAGCCGCCCACATTGAGCGGGAGGCGGAGGGTGACGCGGGCCGTGCGAGCACGCCGACCGCAGTCCACACAGAGCCGCCAGGCGGTGCGACCTCTGGTTCATGCGCTGTCACGGTGGACTGCAGGATGTCTGAATAACGAGGACGAAATATAATGCATACGTATGCATGTGCTGTGTGAGTCTGCGGGTCTCTGTGCGAGTCTGCGGGTCTCTGTGCGAGTCTGCGGGTCTCTGTGCGAGTCTGCGGGTCTCTGTGCGAGTATGCGGGTCTGTGTTAGGATGTGGGTTTCTGTGCGAGTCTGCGGGTCTCTGTGCGAGTCTGCGGGTCTCTGTGCGAGTATGCGGGTCTGTGTTAGGATGTGGGTTTCTGTGCGAGTCTGCGGGTCTCTGTGCGAGTCTGCGGGTCTCTGTGCGAGTCTGCGGGTCTCTGTGCGAGTCTGTGGGTGTGGGGAGGCACCTCAGAGAGGCCGTCGCACTGCACGTGCGCCTGGATCCACTCGAGTCGATCCGAGTTCTCCTTCTCCCGCACTCCCTCGTTCACCTGCGAGCACAGCTCCTCCGCCTTCTCCAGTGCCGAGCGCAGGTGAGCGTGGTCGGGGTGCTCCACCCCCGTGTTCTCTAGGATCTGGCCCGGGGTGAAGGCGAGGGGTGAAAGGGGTGCGGGGAGGGCAGAGAGGTGAGGGAGGCGATGGGGGCGACGGTGGTGTTAAGAGGTGAGCGAAGAGGGGCGCGAGGGGTGAGAGCAGGGAGAAGAGGGGGGAGAGTCGGGCGAGAGGCGAGTGGTGAGGGGTGTGTCCTCCAGGATCTCGTATGCGGTGAGGAGGGGTGAGAGAAGAGAGGCGAACAGTGAAGAGTGCGAGGAGTGGATTGCACATTTCTGACAGTGGGGGAGAGAACACACCACAACGACTAAGGGGGGTGTGTGGGTAGGACCGGGGGGGGGGGGGTGGTGGGGGACTGCTGTGAGCAAGGGGTTCGACCACGCGCCGCAGCTGTGGGGGAGGGGCGGCAACGCACGTTTTTGATGATGAGCGGGTACCGCGTGATTCTCTGCATGGGCTTGAGCAGGAAGCTTGACAGAGGCATCCCTTTGCAGCGTGGATCCATCGCCAATTTCTGCAATCGGCAACAGAGCCGGCGTCAATGCCGAAACACGGATCTGCCGACTCCGCGCTCGTTTAATTGGATTAAAACACGCGAGAAGCGATGACATACGGCATGTGACAGCATCATATCGCAATCGATTCTCTAAAATTGAGGTCTCCTTCCTTTAGAACCGATTTTTGTGTTTAGTTTGTGGTCCTTACCCCGCACCTCCCGATTAGCACGGTTGGCTACGTACGGTGCAAAATAAGTTCAGCATACATATATATATATACGTGAGATCATGAATCGAGTTTCATCGACGAATCGATGCACGGGTGCTCATGCCCGAGACGTGCGTCGCCGATGCTCCCGGCAGCGCCTCCCTTCCGCACCGTCGCCGCGTTGTGCCAGCTCAGTCAGGAGACTAAGAGTCCGATCAGAACTCTCGAAGAGCAGCGCAACCCTCGTTGCGAACAGAACGGCCCGCAGAAGCAGATGTCACAGAGATAAACCCCGGCATCGCTTCAAGTGACCTCTGTTCCCCACAGGAGAGGCAGAAAACTGCTCCTCCACCGACAGTAATGTTCGTCACATGACGGTCAAACCGATTCTTTTTTCAGAACTGAAATTTATAAAAATTAAGTGCAGAACCAAACTTAATGTGATCAAGCTTTTTTGTTTGTTTGTGTGACTGGGTTGCAACCATCAACTCACTACACTTGAGACCCGGTTTGATCAAAGGCAGCTAAAAAGCCCAGCGTCAGACCCAGGATCGCAGCGGTCCTCTGGCTTAGTTGCCCCAACCTCTTTGAGCCACCCTGGCACCTAATGCCCTCCGATCTGCGAGTTACAGCACCGAGCCACCCTGCATCGCCCGAGTTGCACCTCAACCTCCGTCCACATCCCGGCGTCCACGGCCTCCTCCCCCCACCCCCCCCCCCCCCAACGTCGCCCACACCTTGAGGGAGTCCTTGAATTCGGGCTGCTCGTCCGTGTTGTGCTGCAGCAGCGTGGCCCCGTTGAGCTGGCAGCTGCAGAAGCGGATATACGGCTGCATGTGCGGCAGCTGAGCGGTGAGGATGTCCCCAATCATCTGCACCGGCATTCGCTCCCCTGACATCTTCTTCCTGACGCGCAGAGCCCTGAGAGAGGAGGGGGGTGGGGGCGGGTGATGCTGCAGGCACCTGCCTCGCTCATGCATAATACTCATTAACTCATTTACTCACTAACCTACTTGCTCAATCATGAATTAATTTACTCACGCACTCTTCATTCATTCATTCACCGCCATCTCACGCACCTGTGCTTCATTCATTCATCTGTGCCTTACTCACCTGCACCTAAGGAGCACGTGATCTCGGTCGCCGTTTTGGCTCGTGGTTGAGTTTGTGTATCGGTGAGCGATAATAATTAGTGGTCGGGTTAGCGGTCGGGTCAGCGGCGAGGCCACCAGTCGGGTCAGCGGTCAGGCCACCAGTCAGGCCAGCGGCGAGGCCACCAGTCAGGCCAGCGGTCAGATTAGCGGTCCGTGTGGGTGACCGGCTGAGCGGTGAAGTGGCTGCGCATGAGCACGTCCTCACTTGAGCAGTTTTATGTTGCACATGATGAGCTCTTTCCAGTTGACGAATATCATCGCCATCTCCTCCTCGGTGAGACTGCCCGACTCTGCCATGGGCTTCTGGAACACCTGCGTCAATCGCAATAATTGGCGGAAATTATCTCGGAGTGAGCTCTGTAACTCGACGGAGTGACACGGCACACGCTGGCAGCGAAGGGACGGCTGCGGGATGGTGACGAGATGACGCCTACTTGCACGCGATTCATGTAACGTGCGACAAAAGCAAACGAAAGGAAATGTTGTTATGATTATGATCAAAGCCAAGCCCGGCACGTTTAGTACCACTCCTGGGCATGGGTTCCCTGCTATCCAACTATGCCACAGGCTCCCACATGCAGTGCTACGTGCAGACGTGCGGTGGCCACACGAAGGATCGTCTTTCCTCTGCCAAAGAGATTTTCCGCTCAAATGAGCATTAAGATATGGATGCCGATCTCCTGCTTAGAGCCCTAAGCCAGTGGTATTTTACACGTTGCTATGGAAGGGGTGAGTCTATCCATAAGACAACCACTGCTGACATCCCCATGAAGTGGTACTCATTTACCGACTCGGGAGGAATTATCGGCCGAGTCGACCCCAAACCAAGATTTTAACTGGGAACCCGGCAACTTCGAGCTGCACGCTCTCCCACTGAGCCACCTCTATCTGCACTAGGTACTCATTTGAGGCCGAGTGGACCTAGGAGAGGCCCAGCACCGGTTCAAATAATCGCCACTGGTGTTGACCGTGAGCAGGAATCTAACTCGTGTCACCGGTCTTTTAGGCTTAATAGACTTTCCCACAGTTATAACTTTTAAATAAATCTGGCTTAATTGCTAACGGAACCAACAAACTGTCCTGGAAACGCAAGACGCAAAGTCCTCGCCAGACAGCCGATCTCAGCGTCCAATATTGCGCCACTGCCGATATGGAACTGCCGCGCGCTTTCACCAACGACCCCGAATGCCGGGCGCGGTCTCCTTCCCTTCCTCTTCCCAGCGCAACAGCCCGGCCCGCACGCCCAGCGCCGTCCTGTCGCGCCGTCGCTACCTCGGTGACCAGCGTCAGGTCGCTCATGTAGTTCTCCTCCGTCTGGATGAGCTCGTGGATGTATCCCTGCCGCTTGCGCTCCGCTGGCGGCAGGCTGTCGAGGGCGTGGAGGTCGGCGCACCCTGCACGCACGCGCAACACATGCAGACCCTCCGTCGTGTAGCCTTTAACAGACTGCCAAGGACAGTGCTAGCGGTGAGCACCTATTAAAGTCGGCATGGCACACGAAGGGGGTGGTGTGGCCAGCACTACGCCCACCCACATTTGCCTCCGCGGCGCTGATGCATACGCACAGCGCAATGTAGTCATTTAAGGCCGAGTCGACCTACAGACCTAGGGCATCCCACGCAGACACACACGCGCGCACGCACGCACACCAATACGTACAGAGGAACCTCTGGGTAATGCTATCGGTGACACGTGGACTCCAAAGAGAAAACACATGGACCAGCATCCATCGCCGTGGTAAAGTACACAAGCGACTTGAGGCGGACTTCACCGAGGCGAGGTCAAAATAGGTCTGCGTGCACACGCACGCTCCTACGTGCCCCCCATGACTCAGCCCCAAGGGTCCAGGGCCCAAGGGCAACTGAAGGACGACGACTCGCAGCATCGTCAAGCCCTCGTGACGACACCTGCCGCTCGAGTGGGTCAGCCCGTGCCCCCCCCCCACCCATATCTCATCTGCCAAGTGTCTCACAACTGCGGCTGTGAAACAGCTGCACATCCTTATACTCCTATTGGTTCTCGGGTGAGATAACGATCTTTCAATATCAATGGTGGCATGATGACAATATCAAATCACGTTGGTCTACTGCAGGCTGGGCTCACTGATCCTGTTTCCACGCCAAAGGTTCCCCGTCTGCACCCCCCTCCTCCAATCTCCCAGGATCAGCCCTTCGCTCATCGACCGTGTTGCAAGCCATGCACTACCAAGACCGCCTACTCACCTTCTCTTCCCATTCCCAAGACCACCTGCTCGCTCACACCTCACCACCCAGGCCCCATCTGCCACGTCAGCTCGATTCAATTTTTGTCAATAACAATGCTGAGGTCTTGTGGGTTAAATATTGAATTTCGGATTGTAAATTTGTCCCACAACTTGTACTCGATTATTTTTTTATCGTGGCCAATTTCCCGGACCCCCTTTACATATAGCTGGCATCCCCCCCCCCCCCCCGCTGCCTCCCGAAGGCTGGAAACCCCTCCAAAAAGCCACACTGAACGTGACGTGACAGATGACGTCACCAAGCCCCACCCATAATTTCCCATCCAGTGGCACATGTGGGAAGGGGTGGCTTCCCCCCCCCGACCAGATATTTTTTTTCTGTTATCCAATCAGTCGAGTAATCGGCAGAGGAATCGATTACACGAGCAATCGGATTGCAGCCCAGCACTACCCACAAGGCAACTGGCGGTACTACCATGGCCGCCTCCGCGCCCGTCGATACACAAAAGACACTGTGCAGGATCTTGTTATATAACCTTTAATAGTTTTAAGCAATAATTTCTTTAATGTTATACAATGTATGAATACAGATCCACCATTTGTTTTACTCATAACATGTGTCAACAGGTTATGCCACCGCATAAAAAATACATGACAATCACCGATCTATGTAAGTAGACTTTCTGCATCAGGATCGACGGACAACAATGTTAAATTGGACACTCCAGCACGTGTTTCATCGTTATGATTATTTAATAGCAAATTTGCAACATTTAAACTAACGCGTGTGCAGTAATACTGTAGCTGTAGTCAGCTTGCAAATGTAAGCCCTCGACATAGGCTCACACAAAAGAATACAAGTTCCCCCTTAAAGTAACGCTGTGGTCTTGGGCGTGTAAAAGACGTGTGATCCTTGGCGACACGGACACCGAATTCCTGCGTCAAAACACTGTGCATGTAAACTGTGGGGGGATGTCACTCGCCCATCGGACGCACTTCCCCCGCTGCCGCTGTGAATCGTCGCATCCCAACCCAAATCGAATTTTACAAGCGCGTTTATCGAGGGCGTGCGAGGGCACTCACAGGTGGACGAGCAGGGCGCAACCCCTTGGCAGTAACACTGTAGCTGTAGTGTAATTGGATTCATCGGCCCGATGCCGGGCACGGCTCTGACAACGCAGGGCGCCAGCATATTGACGATCTCAAGGCAACAGCAGAGACATTAAAGTGTTCGTAGTGAACAAAGCTTTAGTGTTGTTGTACGGGCATCGAGCAAGCCAAGACAAAAAACAAATCTCGCTTGCCAACGTGGACTCACAAACATCCCCAGAGCACCATATTAAAAGTAACGTTTGTGCAATCACACTTGGGGGCCAATTGTAGCAACGCTTGTGAGACGCATTTGTGTGCCGCTGCCCCAACTCTGGGAGAGCACACACACGCGTGTATGTGCCCACGCACGCGCGTGCGTGGGAGCGCGTGTGTGCGCAACGCCATCTGAGTGCTGAGCGCGCGAGGTTTGGGCGCTCGGGCAGCTGGGGAGGGGACGTTCTGTGCTCACACGACCGAGAATCGATTCGGATTCCTCGCACTGCAGAGTAACCGTTCGCGAGAGAGAGAACGACCACGGAAGTGGACATCACAAAACTACCTCCGAGATCCCTTCAAGTTACCTCATTGTCCACACGGTTAGGGGGAGCAGCACTTTTTTACTCACTTGCCCTGCATATTAGGGTGAGGGGGCTCGTTGTGCAAGTCAAACTTATAGTTTATTCTAAGAGCTGGGATGTTGCCCAAAGAAATGCAGTCCCAAACTTAATGCAATGGGTTTGTTTGTTTGTTGTGCAGTCATTGGTGACCCACCACCTCTACCCCGCACGCCCACAGCCGGGAAGGCCACAGTGCTAGAACCACCCTCACGGTGGCAGGGAGCCAAATTGGCTGCACCGATGCTAAGATTGAGCCGGACACCACAGCGCCGCATCCTAACAGCACCTGATGCGGATAACGCCTAACGGAGAGATCAGCCCTGCCTCTGCGTTGGAAAGCACTTGTTATACATTCCATCATCACAAGTCAACACCTAGGCATCCTCAGCAATATCGATTTTTTTTTCCCCCATCCCTTACCAGCAGCCTGGCTGCGCTGGCTACATCAGATGATAAGAAATGATGCAGGCGGTCAAACCAATGTGGCACTGGGGCCACGTGTTTAAACACGAGTTGAGCGTCTGCGATACCAAACAGAAATCGTCAGCGCCCTTCTGCTGCCACTTCACCCACCGCCCAGTATTCCCCACTATACCGTCACCATAGCCCGCGGTTGTGTGCAGCCACATTCATCCCACTCCTACATAGCCACATGTTTTAATGAAGGTACAATCATTGAAACGTTTTTTTGTTCTTTTTGGGTTTTTTTTCTTTTTCGAAACGAGAGAAAAATGACACTCGTGCAAAACTGGAGGCAGGCACGCGCGCGCGTGCGTGCGTGCGTGTGTGCGTTGCCACACACGGAGGCAGGCGCGCGCGCGTGCGTGTGTTTGTGCGTCGCCACACACCGCTTGTTGACGCGGCCCGACGGCGGGCGCTGGCCACAAGTCACGACAGGACAGGACGGCGCAAGTCTGACTCTCGCCGACTTAATCTGGCGATAACATCGCCACACGCCAACCCAGCACGAGCCTCGCAGATGAGGCACATTAGAGGAACGTGCGTTATCAGAACACCGGCGGCCGGTCAGATGTTCTAACCGATCATCAGAACACCCAGGAGAATTTCTCTACGGCGGGGCTGCGCACTGCGCGTTTGGCCCCGAGCGCATGCCTCTCCCTCCGAACTGTCGAGGCGGTGAAACGCGCTTCATGGAGCGAGCGAGCGAGCGAGCGAGCAACTCGTACCAATCACTGTAAACCGCTGCATGGCGGCTCGCTCCCAGGGCCCGGCGATGCTATCCGCTCATCGCCAGCGGCAGTGAAGGCCGCTCGTGTGACCGATCGTGCGCAGCGCAAGCAGGCACGACGACGCGAGCGCGACAGCGGCGACGGCGGCAGCGCAGATAGAACGGCGGCACGGTACCTCGAAGCGCGTCAGTGAACACATCGGCAAGCAAAGGACGCGATCAACATGGAGACTAAACGCCAACGTACAGTGGGTCTTTCTGAAACGTATCCTCGATGGTCACCAACTCGTGTGCTAAGTCTATACAAATTTAAAATGGGAGAAAGGCTTTAGCAAAAAAGCAAAATGCATTTCTGATGATTTTTTTGTTGTTATTACGATTCATTTTGAAAAGAGATACATTCAGATACTGGTAATGAGTGGACAGACGGGGGAGGGGCCGTCACAAAAAGACCCACTATTTCTCTGTGCTGCCACAGCACAGCATCATATGCATCGTCCCAGAGCTGCTCCCCGGACTTCCCCGTCAGCAAATCACAAGGGCTGATGCTGCTGCTGCTGCTGCTCTCAGTTTAAAGGCCAGGCAACCAATCCGGTGGCAGTGAAATGGGGATATAGTGGGTCTCTTTGCGGCGGGCGGGCAGACGGGTGGACGGACGCGCGGGCAGGGGAGAGGGGACACAAACATGGTCCTAGAGAGAAGGAGAACACAAAGAGAAATAAGCAAATAAAAATCATGAGCCAAACCAAGCAGGGGCAGGATGCACATGTACAACACTCGTGCGTGCTCACGGACGTACTGACACACTCGCACACGCAGCACCAGAGGCGCACCCAGGGGGCAGGGGCAGAAGGGGCAGTTCTGCTCCCCACTCTCAAAAATTTTAGGAGGCCATTGCAAGTCAGAGCCCATTTTGGAGTATTTCCATTAATCTAAAGCTGTAAGCAAATAATGAATCATTCTTGATGCATATTTCATATTCAACGTTAATAAAAACGTAATTTATATGACTTTGCATTGCAACTTGCCTGCCTCCAAAATGTTTGGCTGGGTGCGCCACAGTGCAGCACTCTCACTACAACTATAACCACAAACCCAACCCACCCCCTCCTCCTCCCTCCCCCCCACCCACCCCACCAGCCCAGACAGATCTACGAAGGTTCTCCACCAGCACTGGAGAGCCGTGAATAGCAAGAGCGCTGCAGTGCACTGGGACTTAGGCTGCAGCAGAAACAAGTTAAGAGGTCTCCCCTCTGTAGGACGCCCTGTGTAGATCCACAACTGTCAACAACTCGGCACCGGACATCAACGCAGGCCATCACACGTTGCAATAAACAGACCCCAGCGTGAGCGCACACACACGTGGATGGAAGCGCAAAACAAAATTAAGAACAAAAACAAAATTAAAGCCGGCTATTTGTGCTGACACCCCTCGTGTGACAGCAACCCACAGGATTTGGTGCCGTTCAGGTTGTAGGAAAGGAGCCGGTTGTTTTTCTACGTGTGGCCTAACGGAGCGAGTTCTGTCCCACGTAGACCTGGGGTGCGTGGCCGAGCCGTGTTTACGCCACCCTCCCTGCCACCACGGCCCTCGCTGCTTCGTGGTTGAATCCACCACGACCGCCCCTTATTGCCCAGCCTTCTTCTGCGGCTGCCCGATAGTGGCCCTCGCCAACCCACCCTGCAGTTTCTCAACTACTGTATCCCCAGTGTTCACACCATCACTAATTTCCTGTGTAGCGCAATTATCTGCAACCATAGCAGCGCTTGTTAACCCCTCTTGGTTAAATGTTTCAACTGTAATGGAGGCACATTACAGAAGCCGATACGAGGAATGTCTGGCTGGCATGCACAGCCGCGTGCCGAACGCATTTGTCATGGGGAGACTCATTAATGTGGCAGGTGCAAGCTGACCACCATTCTTCCTGTGCAGCCTACAGGAGCACCTCACATCACTGTGGCCCGTCCAGGCTGGAGATATCCAAGCGCACACGGCCAAAATCCCATTCGCCACAGGGTGACATCTCTGTCAAACCCTCAATCCCTTCCAATTCCGTTTCCGGGTGACTACTGCGCATTTTAGTCAAGTGTGAGCCGGAGTTGGAGGAGCATATATCAAAGACCAGCGCCCAAGCCATCGTGGGTAACTAGTCCTACATGGTGCAGCCAACCGACGCACATCAAATGCACTACTGCTGGCTAGGAAACAGAGTGGAGGCCACAGCAGTTCACAGCGGTGTCTCCATCACTCAACGACTACAAATACCGCAACCTCTGCACGCAGCCCTGCGATAGATCGATTCACGCGGTCGCACGCACCAGTGCGCATCTCGCACTCACTGTGCGATTTAAACATATCTACACGGGATGGGCGACCTCCGCGCATAACCACTTGTCATAGCCTGCTGTGCGGCTACGTGGTGGGGCAGCAAAGAGCAAAGTCGCTAAGCCATTCTTGTGCTCTACCTTTATAATCCCATGCCTATGCTCCCTGCTTTCAATAACCCCTCTGACTGGCACAGCGTGGGGAGGCCCTCATCCGGCAGTTGAATGACGGCAGGGCTGCATGTGTACGCACGTTATTGCTCCGTGCTGTGTTACATGAGGCCACGATAAACACGATCCGTCGGCTTGGCAGAGGAAATATCAATTTATGGCACTTGAGAGTCTGGTTTCATCTCAAGTGGCTGAGTGGATTCATGCCCACAGTGGCAGGGCTACTGCTACCTCAGTGCTGTCAAGTACTTGAGATCTCAGCCACCACCCAGCTTCCCCCCTTTGTCAGCCGTAGGCGGCAGTGCGATCTGACGCCACGACCGGTCGACGCAGGTAATGGCAAGTTGTTGTCGTCATGGTAGAAGCCACACCAAAATCACATTCCTCCTGGGCACCACTTGAGGCAATGAAATCTCGCTAAAGCATTCGTCACATGACTGTCCTTTTCACAAGAACCTATTCGTTAAAAAAAATACCCGATTAATTTGCTACACAAAATGATGCTAAAAGATTTCAAACAATGTGCTTCATATGAAGGTGACATGTCACTTCAACGTTGTCGCTTCTACATTTTCAAAGTAGTCAAATTTTACTTGCCGCTGCAGTGTATATGCCGCCTTCGTACCAGCACGATCGAGTACCAAATGCAATGTGATAGCTTCACAATGATTGGCTAAGAACCATGCCGCCATGCAAACTGCTTGAGGCAGACCAGCACACGTCACCTTATGTGGCGTCGGGGGCCGCCTGTGACGCCCACAGCGTGTGGTCTCTCCGTGGACCAAATTAAATGTCTCGGTAAGTTCATCGAGCCAAGGCGAACAAAAAAACTGCCGATTTCTCTCGTCAGCAGGGTTGAGAAGATTAAAGACCAGTGGCAGGATGCGGATGGCATTCTTGTGTCCTTGCCTGTCATCTTTTCTCGAAATTTCTCTCATCGTTTCAGATTTTTTTTTAAAGTATTTTGGTTATAAAGTAGGATACAACTCAGGGTTGCCCCCATGTGCAACAGTAGCGAGATTTCACTGCAGGGAGAGCGGGCGCTCAGGCAGAGAGGCCCCAGGGCCCGCGCGGGACCGCGTGTCCTGCGTGCGTGGACTCACATTGCTGGCTGGGGTCGGTGTCGGTCGTCTGCTTGACGTAGTTGGAGGGGAAGAGGCCCACGGCGCCGCCGAGCTCCCCCTTCCACCAGTCGGGGTCGCTGCGGCTGAGCACGCTGATGAGCTGCCCCTTGGAGAAGGAGAGCTCGTCCTCATTCTGCGCCACGTAGTCGTACACGCCGATCACCTGGCACACTGTGACGCAGCACGCGGGAACACGTGCGGGGCGGGGGTGGGGCGACAACCTCAGCCAGACGGACGACCAGAACGTACACCACCGCCACCACCAAAAGGCAGCACATTTCTCTGGGCATACGCATGACTGTGGACTCACGCACGGAGTACACGATGTACACGTGTGTCTGTGTGCATTTGACTGCGTGTATATGTTGGGGGAGTGGCAGTGCAACGGTTAGCGAGCTGCGCTATGAACCCGGTGACACGAGTTTGATTCCCGATCACGGTCAACACCAGTGACAATTATTTGAACCGGTCCTGGGCCTCCCCTATGTCGACTCAGCCTCAAATGAGTGCCTGGTGCGGTGTGTAAACATTGCCACTAGGGAGACAAAGGCGGTCGGACATAGTGCTGGCCACCCACAACCCCGTGTGCCGTTCCAGCCTTGATAGGTGCTCGCTAACAGCACTTGCCCGAAGAGTCTGTGATGCCTATACAGGAGATCTTTGTCTTTTGTGTGTGCGACTGTGTATGTGACAATGTTCATGTGCTGACACAATATGTACACCCGTGACTGTACATGTGTGACTGTGCATATGCAAAAATGCGTGCGTGTGCCCATCTATAATGTACGTGTGACTGTGTATGTGTGACTGCAACTATGCGTGACTGTATATGGAACTTTGCACATTCCCGTGCACGTGTACATGCGCAACTGCGCCTAACTTGACTGTGTACGCGTGTGACCGCGTACGCGACCTGCGTACGTGTGCCCGTGTGTGCGTGTCATACTTCTCCTGGCCTCAAAGTGACCGCCGCGTGTGCGGGCGCGTGCGTGCGTGCGTACCGGTAGGCGTGGTGTATGGCACCGACTTGGTCCCCTCGCTGGGCATGACGGGAGTCGACTTGCCGCTCGTCGGACCCAGCAGCTTCACGTAATTAGCCGGGAACCACCCAATCTGGCGCTTCTTGCCCCGCGCCTGCACACGCACAACGGCGCTCCGTTAACGCTCGCGCACGCCCACGCTCACGCCGCGCGGCGAGCGCGTGCCAAGCGTGAGCGTGGAGGTGGCCGGCTGACTCAAGGAGGCCAGAATGCCGAGCTGGCACCGCTGAGATCCTGGGTTCGAACGCAGGTTTCAGCCGCCCGTGATCAAACCAGATTCTCAAGTGCAGAGAACCGATGGCCTCAGCCCGGTCCACCAAGGGCTGTGAAAAAATCCCCCCCATCATGTTGAATTTGGTTCTGCACCTAATTTGGCCGAATTCGCTTTGGCACGGTGGGTGGAAAGGTGCTACTCTCTACTGAATGAACCAGAGGCCACTTAAAATTATCTCAGAAGTAGATCCATGCTATCCTCGTCTATGGTCCATTCTCTAAACCGGGGGGGGGGGGGGGGTGATGCACTTCCGTAAGAATTCCACATCGGCACTTTGTCTCGTGACATGACGCCGGAAGCGCAAACGTAAAAAAAAATTGAGGAGTAACGCACATAAACGAAGGAACAACGCACACAGACAATGCTTTTAAGCGCGCTCCAGCGGCGCAGTGGCAAGGGGAGTGTGTGCTGCACATGCCTGCAGCTCTCCCTCCCACCAGCCGTTGGTCGCTTTCTTCCTGATGAGGATAAGTTGCCCGGGCGACAGGGTGAGCTGCTCGGGCCCCGTCGCGGTGTACGACGCCACCACCTGCGCAATCTCTGTCGCACACACAAACGCGAGCGCACGGACGCGATCGTCGCACAAGAGCGTGTCACTGCCGAGTGAGTTGGTGGGACAGCGAGAGTCCAAAAAAGAAAAAAGCAGAGTCCACCCACCTGGCTTCTTTCCCATGCTGCCGGTCTTTCCAGCCTGGCCTGGTGCCTGATCAGAAATAGACACAACAATTACACGAGGCAGGCAAAAAAAAACCATGCCCGTTGATGGATCCTGTAACACTTTCGAACACATGTTTATCCTCGGAAGCATTAATTAGTGATGGGAGTGGTAGCGCTTGCGCCAGGCACACAAGGAACCGTACGTTCGTGATGAGAAAACGAGGCTCAGATAGCAGCGCTGCACGAGAGACTGGGTACTAAGAGGTGGGTCACATTTTAGTTTTTGAGCGAATCTCCAAGTTTTGGGCAATTCTTTAAGAAATTTGGCCATATTTCAAAACGGTAAGTCTCTAATTGCAACACAACTTTAGTATAAAGTTGTTCACAATTAGGATCATCAGCCGACAGAGAAATTAGAAATTGGACGGATGAAAGGACAACAGAGAGACGACCAGAGATAATGCATGAACGCTCTCAACCTTAGTTGTAAGGTGTTAAAAAACAGCGGTTAATGCTGGCGATGATGATGATGATGAACCAGGGGCCACTGCGTACCTCGCTGTCCTTGGGCCGCACGTAGTTGGAGGGGAAGACCCCAGAGCGGCCCTCGATTTGGCCCGTCCACCAGTCACCCTCCCGTCGTGTCACCACGATGATGTCGCCCTGCGCGAACGTCAAGTCGCCCGGCTCTCCGCTCTCGTACGCGTACAGCGCCACAAACTCTGCAAACGTAGCGGCAGCAGTGGGGGGGGCGGCGTGAGCACGGAACGTCCCCGCGTGCACACACACACACACTCGCACACTCGCACACTCTTACGTGCCCAACACCACGGGTGTAACAACTTCTCAGCCTCCACCAATCACTGGCAAATCATCATGATTCACGGTCGCGATTCTATTCAAGAATCAAATCTTTTGTTTGCGTTACTTTGCCCGTCTCGTGTTATTTACTGCGTTTCTTCTGCCCCGTTTGAACAGTTGCGTACGTGCATATAGTGTGGGTGATAAAAGGCAGTATTGTGTGGTTACTGGTTCATGGTGAGAAATTTGACTCTGCACATTATCACTCTGGGGTCAGTATCATATTGTGGGGAAGTTAAAAGTGGTTGTCTTCATAGACTCGCCCCACCATAAGAATGTGGAATTGCTGTCACTGGATCAGGGCTATAAACAGGAGATAATTACCGCTTGAATGCTCATTTGAGCAGGATATTACTTTTGACTTAGTGTGCAATGCGGTGTGGATAGTGTGGGTAGGTGGGTAGTGTGGATAGCGTGGGTAGAGTGGGTAGCATGGGTAGTGTGGGTATTGCAGTGTGGTCAGCGTGGATTGTGCTGGGTGTGCGGGTCACCTTCCTGAGGTGGTGCTGGTGATGGTGCCAGGCGACTCCTCACTGGGGAGCCTGTGAGAACACAGGAAACACATCATCATCAGCATCACCAGCAGCACCACGCCTGGCAGAACGAGCAGCTGTAACCCGCACAGTCAAATTGCCTAACTTCACCAAGTCTCTGGCACTTTACTGTTTATAACAAACAAACAAATATGGACAAGTAAGATATCCCTGATTTAATCCAGTACAATTCAGAGACATGCATTTATCTGAGCAGCGATGGGAAGAGGTAAGAGTGGGTATGATGGTGTAAAGCTACTGGGTGTGTCAGTCGTTAGTTGTGTCGTTTGATCACCACGCACAAAATACAGTCAGGTCCTGCGAATTTCATATCAGGGCTCTACGACACTTTCAACCACTAGTGAGTCGTGGCATAGCCAACATGGTGGCGTGTAGCATAGTATATCGACAAGGCTCGATCATTGCAAGTCACTACTTTACGGAACGGCTAGCAAAAAAAAATCACCAAGCTGTAGCATGTACAAAGTTCTTTGGCATGTATCGTAACGGGTCCTGCAAGATCCGACTGTGTCCGTCCAGTACTCGCCGAGCTGCATTGGCTTCTGGTTGCCGAACGAAAACATTGTAAGGTCGCACTCATTACACACGAAGTGCTTGCCACTAATGACCCACAACACCTTGCTGATCTCATCGAGGAGCATAAACCATCACGTGAACTCTGGTCATCGTCGCAGCGGATTCTGGATAGCCATCGAACAAAGACGGTCACACCGTATTTGCGTGCTTTCGGATGCGCTTCTGCGGCCGTCTGGAATGCTATTCCTTCTGATATTAGGAAGCCACTGGGAGCTATGAACTTTTAAATGCATTTCTTTAGAACTGCTGTTTGTGATGAGTTGCTCGTCCTCCCCCCACACCTCCGATTACCACGGTTGGCTACGTATGGTGCGAAAGAAGTGCAACATACATACATACGTCAGCTGCTGGGTGTCAGGCGGTGTGTGTGTGTGTTAGGTGCTGGGTGTGTCAGGCGGTGTGTGTGTTAGGTGCTGGGTGTGTCAGGCGGTGTGTGGGTGTTAGGTGCTGGGTATGTCAGCTGCTGGGCGTGTTTCAGGTGGTACCTTGGCCAGAGGAAGCCGGGGGTGCCGGGGCAGGGCGTGTGGGAAGTGACTTCATCTTGGCTTCTGTCTCACAACCACGAGAGGGGAAATCGTGGAGATGAGAGGAGGCATCACTCACAGCTGGCGGATACAGGCGAGGGCTGAGTCTACTGGCTTGGGGCGACACGGGCTTGGTTTGACGAGCGAAGGACGTGGTACCTTCAGGCATGGGGGGCCGTGGAGATGGGCCGCGCTGGGACCCATCCGAAGAGGTTGACTCCACACTGAGATGCACAGACACATACGCGCACACACGTGAAATTGCACACTTGCAGACACACGGTATACTCACACACACACAAACGTGATATGCAAACTCACAAAGACATGTGGCAAACTCACACCCACATGCACACAATGCAAGTATTTGCCCGTACACGCATCTGTATACTCACATGCATACACAAAGATCCCTAGCATAGCGAGTGCTGTTAAGTGAGCACCTATGAAGGCTGGCACGGCACACACGGGGGTGGGTGGCCGGGACCACACTTGGCCACTTTTACCTCTCTAGTGGTGAGATTTACACACCGCACCAGGTACTAATTTGAGGCTGATTCGACCTCGGGGAGGACCAGTTCAGATAACCGTCAATGGTGTTGGTCGTCAGCGGGAATTGAACTCGGGCCACCAGGTTCGTAGCGCAGTGCACTAATCGCTGCGCCACCGCTCCCAGCACACAAAGACACACACACACGTAGATATAGTACATACAACCCCACGCAACAGTTGTGATAAGACTTCAATCTCAACATGAGAGTCTGGAATGGTATCAGCGGTACAGCAGGGCAAAGCGACAACACGAGTAGTTGCTGACAGCCCAAGATTCTGCTCAATGGGTATGGGGCAGCGTTGAGCAGGTGCGTCAAAGATTAAAGCGGCAAAAGTCTTTACCCAACAGCGCAACTCTTTTAAAGCATGCAGACGTGGCTGAGCACGAGATCCGTTCACCGGGGCGCCACGGGTTCCCACCTGAGCCCACGACGCACGGGTCCAGAGATGAGTTTCACATAGGACTTGGGGAACCAGCCCTTCTGGCCGCCGCGCGCCTCCCCGAACCACCACATGTCCTGCTGCTCAAGCACCGAGATAACGTCGCCCTTGTTGAAGTTCAGGTGGTTCTCTTTCTTGGCACGCCACGGGTAGAGGGCCTGAGCCTGCACACCCTCGACCGGCTCTCCCTGCGCTCGGCGCACACACACACGGAGAGAACACAGGTGTGAGCAAGCATGACACACACACACTCGTATCAACGTACACACACCGCTACTGTTGCGTATGCAAATATGATCAGGTGCTGAATGCCAATGTCGAGGTCTGCAAGCCACGAGAGGGCTTCAGGAGAGAGTTCGTGTAGTTTTTGCAATTCGTCTATTGAAGGAGCACAGGACCACAGTGGTTTACGTTACGGTCCATAGATGGGGTTGCATGGCCACAGACGCATTGTGGATTGTCTTTAAGTTTCTTTTCATGAAGTGGATGTGCGCATCGGCCTGTTGACGTTCTGATATTGTTGATGGTTAAACCAGTGCCTTCGAGGAATGACGAAAGAGAGGAGGGTGCGATATTTTGGTCTCGGGTGAGGTGTTTATTCTGGACGTCCTGCGTTGTTCCACACTGTTTGACAGCGTTCTTCCAGATCTGGGTGAAATGCTACGATAGTGATTGCAGCGCGATCCCAGAAGGGGGAGATAGCGACGCGGTACACTGTTGAGGTCTAACATATACACATGCACACAAACACTAATACATACTTAAACACACAGATCAAAACACCCTCAAAGGATTACCCTGTAGTCTGCAAAGACAAAGATCCCCCGTATAGCCTCAACAGACTGTTGGGGCAAGTGCTGTTAGCGAGAACCTATGAAGGCCGGCACGGTACACGAGGGGGTGGGTGGCCAACACCACGCCCGAACGCCTTTGTCTCCCCAGTAGCGATGTGTTTACACACCACACCAGGTACTCATTTTAGGTTGAGTCGACCTAGGGGAGGCCCATGACCGGTAGAGATATTCGCAACAGGTGTTGGCCGTGAGCGGGAATCAAATTCGGGTCGCCGGGTTCATGGCGTGCAAACCACTACACTAACGTGTGTAGTCTGCACACACACATCCTTCATCCTGTACACACACACCCTTCAAATCGGCGCACACACACACACAACTCACAAACACACGAGCAACACGGCAGTGTGAGCTGTCACCGCACACCTGTCCTGGCGTTGGCGAGGGGGACATGGACACGGAGGCCGGGGTGAAGGCCGAACCCTGTCGCTGGGCTGCCCCCGCGTGCGCAACGGGCTGGGCTGTCGCGTGAGCAGCCGTGCTGTCCAGCGATTCCCAGGTGCCGCCCCCCGAATCACTCCCCACTTCCGTGGTGCTAGTGCTGCCCGGCCACCTGCCCGACCAAAAAGGAAACAACTCCATTGCAGCCACGATGATCTCACGGGACCAGATCCCGCGTGTGACTCACGAATCACACGTACACATATCCAGTCAGCGATTCATTCACACACCCACACTTTCACAAGGTCAAGACAAGGTCAAGAGTTCATCATGGCCAGAGGCAGATCTAAAAACTTTCCAGGGTTGGGGGGGGCGGTGGTGCGGTCCCACATTTCATGCCTTTTAAATAAGGCCCCTATAAATATATACATTTCAAATACCGATTTTCAGGATCTCAAGAGGGAGGCAATCGCTCCCATCGTTCCAACCCCCCCCCACTTTGGATCAGCCGCTGACAAGGGCCAATGCCACTGATGTTACCTCACCTCGCCATTGCTTCCTTCCGAAAGATCCCGTAAACACCAAACTTCGCGGACTGCCCTGGTGTCATCCCCACCACTGTCTGGCTTTCCCCTTGTTGCAGTTAACACGACATTCAAGGATTAGTAATACAGCCTCATCATGATCAGCCCAAGCTGACTAATGCGACAGATAATTTACCATTAAACATGTATTTATGTTTCTGCAATATTTTCAACTTCCATTTACTTCAGTGCAGTTACTTTATTTTTTCTTTTGTTTTGTTGTTCATTTTTAGTGACCCCAGGCCTCTGGCGAATGAGACTATCATGGTCTCGCGAGTTTTCTACTGGTTTAACAAAATAAACAATGAACTTGACACGAGGTCTCCCTCTTGGCCGCTGACCACAGAAAGCCACTCCACCACCTTTCTCGGCAACCTGCCCTCCCCCGTACCAACCACGTCTCACCTATCACAGCCTCCTTTTTTCGATTACATCTCTCAACATTTTGCTGCCAAGTTTGATTCCAAACTTCCAAATTGCATGCCCCATCCTTCCATCGTATGCAGAGTAACCGGAAGGAAAGTGGCCACTATTGTACATAAAACGATTTGAGATACAAGAGGGACATACGCGGTGCTGAAGTCTGCCCAGTTGCCACCACCTCCTCCTCCTCCACCTCCTCCTCCTTCTCCTCCACCTCCTCCTCCTGTTCCTCCTGCTGCTGCCAGTAGATGCCCCCCACCGTCTGGGGTCTGGGCCTGGGTGCCCCCCCCAATTTCGCCATCGGGAATGCGCTCACTGTAGTTGGCAGGAAACCACCCGGTCTGGCCACGCAGCTCCCCACCCAGCCAGCCCGGCTCACCGGTTTGGTTCTCGTCGACCTGCAGACAAGACGCAACAAATCATCACAGCCGTGGTCTATCCACTGTTGGATAATCCCAAGCGGGTACCTCTCTCCTTGCTTCGTTGCGCACTTTCCTGCATTTTCTTTGTCAAGTGTCCACGTTACTGATGCGTGACGTTGCCGGTGAGGTGCACCGATTAAAAACACTGGCACGTAACACGTGTACACACACACACACAACACGTTTAAACCAAAAAAAGAATCAAAAGCAAAAAGCACACGTATGTGTATGACTTTGTTTAAAATATAAAACTATCAGCTCGAAGTAATGTTGTGTGGAGGAAAATATAACCCTCTCCAAATGGACCTATGATCCACTCCATATTTCTGACTCCAAAGTTATGATTGATCCAGATAACCTGGAACCCAACTTCAGCTTTATCCCTAACCCTCAACCCCATCCAAACCCCACCCAGCCTCAGAGCCTCGCATCACAGCTGTGAGAAACTTACCCAGTCCCCTTTCACCTCCAGGCAGACAGCGGCAGAGTTTACAAAGAAAAGAAGGGAGAGGAGGCTTGTAAAGAGAAGCAGAGAAACACTACAGAGCACGGCAGCACAAGACGGTTCAAAAGGGAATATTCACAGCAAAGAAATACGACAAAGTAAGCTACTGCCCAAAGTGAAGACACATTGCAGCGAAGTAACCACAGAGATAGAAACACGCAGGTTTTTTTTGCAAGCTGCTTGCAATCCAAGTGTGGTTGTCCGTGCCGGGCTGCGTGTTGTTCTTCTCTCAGCGTTCTGCCACGTGCTGCTGTGGGCATCTTTGGGAGGGTCACTGGGTGCGCCCCACTTACACACGGTTTGCGTCGCAGTCTTCCGACTGATCAAATGAATTCCTTTTTGTAAGCACAGAGTTTGCCTGATCGTCGTCAACTGGCGAGCAGTGGGGGGTAACGCACGAGTGAGTAGTCAAGAGGGCTTACTAGGATGATGTCACCAGGCTGGATCGTGAGCTCGTCCTGATTGCGAGCCTCAAACGGATACAGTGCTCGGTAGTAAGCCACCTTGGACTCCGACGAGTCTGTTAAAAGAGCAACGCAGCTCACTCGGGTTTCCACGATACAATATTAATTTTCATGATATTACGGTTTGACAGATATAATTTTCCGTGATGCTCTAATTGGGTTTTGCATATTATACAGTTTTTGTGATTTTCTAAACTTCCAGTCGGAAAAAGGATTCCATGTATCTTCATGGTTGTTTGAATAAATAATATAATCATAGAACTTCACAAACCTATAAAACTTATAAATGCTTATGCCATTTACACAAGGCAAAAATAATTTAACAAATGATTGCAAGAGCCTAGGCTTGCAGTTGTGATGCAGGAAAACGAACGTGCTTAACGCGTAACACAGCTAATAAAAAAAAATCACGATCTAACGATATTCCGCAAAGGGTACAACGCGATCAGCGTGGCACGTGGCGTTGGTGACGGCAGCACGGGGTGGGCGACAGCAACCATTACCCGAGGGTTTCCTGACAGGCTCGCGATCTTGTTGCCGCTGCAGGATCTTATTGAGGCGGTCGGCCAACTCCATCTTGTGCTGCTGGTTGCCAGGCGCCCCTACCGGACCGCCGGAGGCAATTGCATCCTCCCCGCCAGCCTGGTCGGCCTGGGAGTCCTGCCCTGCGCTTCTCCTACTCACGCACAAAACAGCCCTAATGTCATCTTCTTGGTTCTTTCGGTAAAGTCACGTAGAAGGGAAATAATAAAATAATAAATCATATTTTGCTTTATTTTATTATTTCCCTTCTACGTGACTTTACCGAAAGAACCAAGAGGATTAATCCCTGCAGTCATGAAAGCTTTAAATCGAAAAGCCCTAATGTCATCCGCAGCTCTGCAGGGTCATCTTGTCACGAGCGATGCACAGCACTGGGGGGCATGTCAGGATAGCGATTTGCAGTTTTATTGATCGATTAAATTGCCACTGTATATATAAAGTAGGAAAAACCAAACGCGCTGGACAAAAAATATTACTGAGCTCGCTCAGCCAAGAATATTCCCTGCCTAGTACCAGATTAGTGCAGCTAAGAAGCTCACAGTGATGTATACCATTTGAGAACCGTCTCTAAGTGGTCGGAGGTCTCATCTGGATGCGGACGAAGTGAAATGAAGTCACAGGCCGCATACAGCCCACGGACCATAGATCCCATAAGTTCCCCAGCCCTGTCACATAGAGAGGCAGCAGAGCACGACGCTCTTTACCGCTTGCTCTCCGCTTGCTCTTGCTCCTCCGCCTCCCGCTGGGCTCGCGCTCGCTCCTCAGCTTCGCGCTGGTGCCGCGCTCGCTCCTCCGCCTGCCTCTGCGCTCGCGCTCGCTCCTCCGCCTCCTTCTGCGCTCGCGCTCGCTCCTCCGCCTCCTTCTGCGCTCTCGCGCGCTCGTCCACCTCTCTCTGAGCTCGCGCCCGCTCCTGCGTCAGCTGCTGCTGCCGCTCCTGCTGCAGCTGCTGCTGCCGCTCCTGCTGCAGCTGCTGCTGCCGCTCCTGCTGCAGCTGCTGCTGCCGCTCCTGCTGCAGCTGCCGTTCCTGCTGCAGCTGCCGTTCCTGCTGCAGCTGCTGCTGCCTCTCCTGATGCAGCTGCTGCTGCCGCTCCTGCTGCAGCTGCTGCTGCCGCTCCTGATGCAGCTGCTGCTGGCGGCTGTACATCTCCCGGAGCTCCTGCGTTGGGGAGAGACCACAAGGGGGGGCCGGCGGTGCGGAGGGGGAGGCCGCAGGTGAAGTCTCCTTACAGTCCCGGGCTGAGGCCCCTCCCGTGGGTCCATGAGGGATGACCCCCCCCCAGGGGTGTCGTCTCTATGCGGGCTCCTGATAAAAAAAAATACCTCGGCCCTTACGCTGAAGCCTCCACGTTTGCAGTCAACTCTCGATTGTCCGTGCGCGGACTGCCCGGAGTGCCCATTAACCATGCTCATTTGCACCTTCCCGGTACAATTAGTAGTTCGTCAAGGGTTAGTGACAGTGTTCACACGTTGACTGCAAACACGTGGGCAAGTGAATCGATTCCTTTAAGAAGCAATAAAAGCAGGCAGCACGTTCTAGGTCTGTACTCTCCCCCCCCCCACCCCGTTGTATGTGGGTAAACAATAAACACGTGTTTTGGCCTAAATTAACATACGCTTACATTATCTGCACTTCTGTTTCAGCTGGGCCACGCTCCCACCCCCATTGTTTTGGATAATTGAGAGTTGACTGTAATGGGGGTAGGAGGAGGGGGGGCATCAACGGCAACTCCATCACCTCCCAGTTACCGACACTTGTGAGCACTACCAGCCTCCCAGAGCACTGTCAACAATGCCAAAGGTCTGCAATGTCCACCGGTAACGTGGAACCTCCCCGCACCGTCTTTTGATTGCCACACAAATACACGGTGAAGCACGCAGACGGTCACGTTAGTTGGAGGTTTGTGAAAAGCGGCGCTGCCCGATTCAGCCCACCGTGAGCGTGTATTGTTGGTGTCACTTAGAGAGACTCAACCAACGCACAAACAGGCTGCAGACAGCGTGGAAGACCACCGTAAGGCGTGCAGTCATGCCCGCAGCCGCAGCGATCATTTCCATCTCGCTTACCCCCCTTCGGGTGAAACAATGACAGGACTGCCGTCTCCACCAGCGAGCAGTCTTTTGACTGCGATTAGGGTTAGATGCACGCGCGGACACCCACACTCACACACGTGCACTCGTGCGTTAGGGGTCTCCAGAGCAAGCTCTGTCGAGGCAGCAGTAGCAGCGACAGACTACAGCACAGCTCGCGGTACTCATTTGTGGCAGCAGCACAGCCCAGTCTGTGCCTTTCAGTAGATGAGTCGTCATTTACATGGGCGTGTACAGCCTTTTGCCAATCTACTGCTGGAGGAGGACCATGTGGGTATTTATGCATACTTCACCATGCTGTTCAATGACGGGCAGTGGAGGCATAGACCCAGGAGCATAAACGTATAGAATAGTAATGTTTGTTTGCAGTACTGCCATCTGGCAACCTGTTTGTGTGAGATGGTCTATCCAGGCTCAATCACGCTTGGCTTCCGAGATGCTGACAAGATGGGCCGCCGCCGCATTACGGTGACACGGTCATACGTATGGGTGTACGCTGGAATAATGGATTTTATTATCATGGAAACGTCTCCACATTGAGAAAGCAAAATCTTGGCACGACCCGAAAACGCTGATGAACAGGCGCCGCACTCGGGCAATGGAGACACGGACAATGGTGAGTGAGCAGGGAGAAAGAATGGCAGGACAACCTGAGCGCACAAGAGAGCAGGGTACGGAGAGATGAGACAGCACGGAGAGGAGTGTGCACTGCCACCGCTGACACCGAATACTGCATTGCATACAACCATCCAGTCCCAGCCATGCAGTATGACGGGTAGCAAGCCGTTACGGGCCAAAGGGGGAGGATGCGAGTGACGGAGCTGGCATCACGTTAGCAAAGCAACACTCTACTGGGGGTGTTGTTAAGACTGCGGTTAGATGGAGCGTCAATTACACTCATCGTCTTTAAGAAAAACCGTCAAGAGAATTTAAAGTGACGCTGAGAAAAAAAAAGGTGAGGTAGATATGGATGCTTCGTAAAGCAGATCGTGTTCACCAAAAAGATTTTCTCAGCTTAACTTTAAATTATTTTTCCAAAAGTAATCACATTATTACGATTAATAACAGCAACATATAACAGTATGAAAAAAATCCAGTTCTCAGGTTTGCATTTCAACATAAATGAAAAATAGGATTTCTGCGGGAGGCACTATATTTATGGGCAAATCTGGCGGTCTCCAATCAGCCTCCTGCAGTACCAAAATAAACCCTTAAAAGTAAAAACAGTTTCCCTCCTAGGGCATCACAACAGGACGGCAGTCAGTAGCCTGAGAACAAGATAATTTGCACGGTGATCGCTGTGACGTTAGTGCCCAAGTGTGACTGGTGTGTGTGCAGCGGAGCGTCGCGGCGCCCAGCTACGAGTGTGTGACCTTCAGAAAGAGGCCTATCTGTGAGAGACAGCCCAGAGAGGCACAGAGACACTGACACACGAGCCCGTCCACCAAGCCCGGCTGCAAGAGACGGGGAGGGGTGCACAGGAGTGCGGCGCATAAGCCAGAGGCGCCTGAAAGTGCCCAGCATTGGTGCACACCGGTGCCGAAGAGGAGAGCGCTACGACCAAATCATCCCGAGTGCACCCAATCTCGTCAGCACCACGGAAGCTAAGTAGATTTCATCCTAGTTTGTACTCGGATGGGACACTGCCTGGTAATACCAGACATTGTAGGCTTGGGCTACGATTAGGCCAGGACGTGAAGGTTTGCTCCAACTGATTCTTGAAACCATCTGTGCGCGGCTTCGAGTGATATCCCCACGTATGCATAGGTTTTCTTCAGGTACTCTGGTCTCCTCGGAAATGAAGTCAAACTTTCATTGTAAGAATTGCATTAATGTCCCAAAGTTGCACGATCCTCCTGAAAAGGAGTATTGGGACTCATGGAGGCTTTCCTGGATAAACAAAGGGCATTAATGTTGAATATATCATTACAACAGTACCGGGCAGCAGCCACGAGTGTGGCTGCTTGAGGCGTGGATGCACCTGTGTGTTTGGACAGACACTTGGTCTTGTGAGGAAAGTCCGGTGGTGGCCATGTGCTCACTGCTTGTGGCTCTAACCGTTGGTATGGCTGACCGAGACTGCGTTGATATGGCAATGCCGGAGGGTGCATGTTTGCTCGGTGGAGGTGCGGTTCTGTGTGGTTATGCTGGCTGTGCGGTTATGCTGGCCGTGTGTGGCTGTGGTAGCAGCACGCCACTGCGATGGACGCCGGGCGACGTCACCTTCAGCTGGTTGTTGAAGGCGTCGATGTCGTTCAACCGCTCGGCCGTCTCGGTCTCGACGGAGACCAGGGTCTCCCGCAGGCGGAGGCACGCGGCCTCGCGCGCCAGCTGTGCCTTGTGCACCCCGGTGAAAGAGTCATCTGTACACGCGCGGGCGAAGGTGGCGGGACGGAGACGTCGCAATAAATCACCGCAAAATCGCCTGGATGTTCTTACAATCCTGCGGAACCCGTCGCCGTGGTCCAAGCAGTTACAATGATATCATACAAAACGTCCTGCGCACATCCGCCGGCCACCCTCAGCGGTTAACTTGGTAGGTCACCTGCCCGGTGCCTCATCCGGTGCCAAGGCTCTGGATTGTTCTTCATACCTCCTTGGCACATGGCACACTGGCCAGGCACTCACTTACAGGGGCTGGATATTTCTAACCAATCTTTGAGGCACACACTTATGCAATGACAAAGATACACCGTATAACCTGTGACAAACTGTTGGGGAAAGTGGTGTTAGCGAGCACGTATGAAGGCCGGAACGGCACACGAGCGGGTGGGTGGCCAGCACAGTGTCTGGCCGTCTTTGTCTCCCCAATCGCGATGTTTACACACCGCACCAGGTACTCATTTAAGGCTAAGTCGACCTAGAGGAGGCCTAGAACTGGTTCAAATAATCGTCACTGGTGTCGGCCATGAGCTGGAATAAAACTCGGGTCGCCGGGTATGTAGAGCAGCGCACGAACTGTTGCATTACTGCATTACCGCTTCCCACATTTATACACAAACACACACACACACCACGGTCTTACAGACTGTAGGGGTTGTGCTGTTAGCAAGCTCCGAATAAGTTCAGCACAGAACATGCAGGGGTAGCGTGGCCAGCACCATACCCACTTTTGTTAGTCGCCATTGTCTATGCTCACACACAGCATTAGGTTCTTATTAAGGCCGAGTCAAACCATGGGAGGCTCGACAGGTTCGGATAACATTTGCCACTGATGTTAGCTGTGGCCCGGAATCAAACTGAGGTTGTAACGCAGTGGGCTAACTACTGCGCCACGACCACACACACAGCTCGGACATGAATACAAGTCGCACTCTCACCCCGATTGTGCTCTGTATGTCTCTGCTCAGCATTAACAGTTAAATTGTTGGTGCTCTTACTTGGAAGAATGCTTACAATGGTTGCAATACAATTTGGACAAAATGCAGATAGTTCGTTATTTCCTGCTCAAATGAGTTGTAAAGCAGTGGATCCTCTCCTGCTTCCATACCCAGGTCAGTGGTGGAGATTCTGCATGTCCTTGGCGACGGTGAGTCCATCCATCACTGTTGAATTTCCCACAAAGTGGTACTCATTTTAATTATCCCAGAGGAATGATGGGTTGCGTCAACCATACCCGGGATTTGAACTCCGACTACGAGCTGCTCGTTCTACCGCCGAGCCACATGCCCACGTAAGAGGAGTAAGTAATGCAGGGTGTTTAGAGACACGGCAGTTACTGTATGTTCCACTTTAATCTTGCTCAAGTGAAAAGGGAACTCACTCTGAGTGTGGTTCTGCTGCACCTGCTTCAGCTGCTCACTCAGAGACTGCTTCTCTGGAACCAGGCGTGCCAACATTTGCTGATGTTCCTGCACTCGTACACAAGACAAAGACAAGGATCCCCCGTGTAGCCTTAACAAACTGTAGGGACAAGTGCTGTTAGGGAGTACCGATGAATGCCGGGACGTCACACGAGGGGCTGGGTGGCCAGCACCACGCCCGGCCGCCTTTGTCTCCCTAGTGGCGATGTTAACACACCGCACCAGGTACTCATTTGAGGACGATTCCACCTAGGGGCGGCCCAGGACTGGTTCAGATAATCATCACTGGTGTTGACTGTGAGCGGGAATTGAACCCGGGTGGCCAGGTTCGTAACGTAGCGTACACACACACATGCACACGCAAATGAAGATCCAGCTATAGCTTTAACATACACACACGCACAACCACTCACGCGCGTACACAATTAGTCTACGACTCTCAAAACCAGGCAATAGAGCTGCTGCGATATATGATATAATACTACATGATATAGGCCCACGATTGGAGCATCATCTGTTTATCTAAATATTTTTAGAGCATGCTTTTTTATTCCATATTAAATTTTCTGACAAATACTAATGTTGCGCCATACCAAGGCGCTGGAGGTCGCTTTACCTGCCACCACGCTCACGGGCCAACAGGGGACAGCCGAGAGAGAGAACGAGGTGTGTAGGGGTTGACCAAAGGTAACCCCCCCCCCCCCCCCCCCCGGGTGGCCCATGACCGGAGGTTGACATCACAGACCCCCAAGGGCTGGGAGCTGTGAGGGATAGGGGCCAACGGCCGATTTTAAGACCCTTCAAAATTTAAGACCCTTTAAGACCTTCCAGAACCTCCCAGACATTTCTGGAAGGTTCTGGAGAGGGGGTGATGAGGGGAGGGGTAAGCCTGACGTTGGGGATAAAAGCCAGCCCTCTGAACGGGTCCGCCAGTGTTTGCCAACTCAAGCCTGAAGACGTCCGGAGACCTGAAGACTGGACCAGCACCCTGGGACCCTCAACCAAGGCTCTCGCCAGAGCCGGGTTGTAGCGGACCGGTGGTGGGACCCGTACCCTGGCTGGGTCGGGTCGGTCTAGCCTCCCTTAGCGGCCGTGGCAAGGGACCTGTGTGTAGCGTAGTCCGGGGTGTATAGGACACTTTAGAAGGGAGGCTGTACCTCCCTTAGGCTATCGGGTTGAAGGGGCCGTACCCCTTCGTGTTAAGTTGGTGTCCATTGACTGTTGTAATCAACGCGTTGCCTCCAGAAGCTGTCTCCGTGTAGTCAGTTAGACATACAACACTAAGAAACACAATTGCTCCAATTCTAAATACCCAATCCCACGAAAATGCTATTTTACAAAACGTTTTCCAGAGAGGATGTTAATTACGTGATATCATTGATTTACAAGTTAATATATTTCCTGTATACCCAACAACTTGTGCATTATTAGCATCAGACATTGGGAAGTGAAGTAAACTACAATTAAATAACTTCAAAGTCATCACTATTGAGAATGGAAGTGCAATAACCCATAAAAACAATACAATAAAAATTCTAAACACACCGGCAAAGTTCCGGGAAACCGATTTCGCGAGAATCATCTTGTCGCGACAAAAATAATATCGTGGCATCCCCGTTTGAGCGATGCTCAATACGCGGGCGCGTGCCGCACACTGAGTCACCTGCAGCTGCTTCTGCAGCAACTCCAGCTGGGAGAGCTTGATCTCGCGCGCGCTGTTGGTTCGCTCCAGCTCCTGCCGCTCGATGGACAGCCGGGCACGAACGTCCTGCAGCTTCCCGTCGAGCTGCTGCCGCTTGTCGCCCTGGAAACGATGCGACATCGACACTGAGACAAGCACTCAAACCAGGCAATGCAACTACGCTCGGACGCAACACCCAACCAGGCAACGCTGGTAATGCTAAGAGGACACTGCGAGAAATGAAGCACCGAGCACAAGCAAGAGATCGCGCGTGTGCACGTGTACTTGCCACGGCCTCCAGCTGGAACTCGAGCGTCTTGCGTCGAGCCTTGAGCCCCACGATGGTCTCCTGCTCGCGGTTGCGTTGGTTGAGCAGCTCCTGCCGTCGCGTGCGCTCCCACTCCATCTGACGCTGCCGCTCCAGCTCCCGCTTGGCGGCCTCAACAGCGCGGGGTCCACAGCAACACAGGCAGCCGGCACACACGCACCACCACGAGCATCCCACTCAAGCCATCGTGCGTGCATCACGTACCGGCGTCAACTTCCTGTGCAGCTCTTTTCCCCCCTACTCAGCACTGACGACGCACAGGATTTCCCCTTTCCCTCCCTCCCTCCCGCCTTCACTTTATTTCCCTGCTTCCTCACTCCTCTTCTCGTGTTTATTCCCTAGACTGCTGCATATTATTTGGGATTCTGAGTAAGGTGCTTGTTCATAATACAGCTGCCGAAGTCCTTACACGCACACCATTTCGCGAGCACATCACACAACTGCTCTCCTGTCTTCATATTGGCTACCAGTCGAAGTTGAGCGGACTGCAAGATCTGCTGCTGACCTACAAGGCACTCAATGGGTTAGCCCCACAATATTTTCAGGAACTGATCAATCTTTATACACCAGCAAGGTCCCCAAGATCTTCGGATCGCCTTTTTCTAAGTACTCCGAGGTCAAGGCTTTGCTCCTGGGGTGATGGGGCTTTTGCTAGTGCAGCTCCCAAACTTTAATAATAAGAAAATCAGAACCATTAGATATGTTTAAGTCTATTTTGAAATCTCACCTCTCTAAACCCGCCTTGACCGCCTAGTTCTGGCCGTTTACCTTGCAGGTTCTGTTTATTTATTTGCCTTTCATACACGGTGGCGCATTGGGATCTACGGATGAAACGCGCCTTACAAATGTAAATAGTTATTTAATGCGCTAACCCAAAGGCCAGGAACCTGCGGCTCCGGAACCGCATAACGGCTCTTTAACACTGCTTCGTGATGTTATTTATTAAGAACCGTCTCTCGCATTCATGTTGCATTGCGGCTCTTGAAATATTGAGTTTTTACCCAATTCGAAAAATATGGCGCTTCTTGTTATTTTGGTGGCCTAATCCCTGGGCTAACCTGATAAAGATGGCAGAGACATAAATTACATTCTATTTATGTACACCAAAGTGGTTCAATTAAAAAACGATAAGCATACAGTCAACTCTTGCTTAACCCCAGTGAATGGGGGAGGAGGGGTCGGCTCATATAAAATATAAATAGCGACAGCGCAAGAGATACGTAAATTGGGCTAACAAACACAGGTATTGCTTGCTGCATATTTGTGTGTTTTTATTAGCTTCGTATTATCATTGCACAGCAGAAACCTACCTTTAGAGTTATCCATAAGAGAGGGTTTTTGGTTAGATCGCGTAAATATAAATGCGTCGTTAAACCCGCCGCCACCCGACACAGCCAATTAGTAAGGTTGGGCACTGAAACAAAACAAGACAATTATTTCCTAGTTCATCACACCGCTGTGTTGGAGAGTAAACCCACAACATTTACAATAAGAGTACAACGTTTCGCCGGTAATTACAACGAACATCAGGCAACAGCCACAATGCGGGTGAACACATATCAGGCATCATTTGTTTTATCGCTGAAAACATGTTTGTTTTCAAATGGGCATGGAATCACTGCCCATCAGTGAGGAGCAGCTAATAATGAAACACTGGGTATGTAAAAATCAGTTTTTTTTCACAGGCACAGTTAATCCGTAACCCGGACCCATCTAAAGTTAACTGGGATAGTATTGAGCAACGACCAGCTGATGCGTACGGTTGAGGTCTGGGCAAGGTGGAGCAAGGTCACAATGAGAGGTGCCGACACGGTGGACAAAGACCTCATCATCAGACTGGTCTCCATCACCAATTACTTGGTAGAACACCAAACAGTCCGAACACACTCAACTTAGTAGTTCATCTTCACAACATCGTGACAACACAGCAACAACCGAAGTTATCCCTTGGTCTAAGCCCGGCCTCCTACCTCCCTGCGCTCCACCTCCCTCCTCCTCTCCTCCTCCCTCTGTCGCTCCATCTCCCGCTGGCGCTCCAGCTGGCGCTCCAGCTCCGCCTGGCGGCGCCGTTCTTGCTGTTGGCGCTCGCGCTCCCTCCGCTCGTGCTCCGCGCGCTCCACGGCCAGCAGGCGCTCACGCTCGCGTCGCTGCGTCTCGGCCAGCGCAGCACGCCTTCGCTCCAGCTCCTGGTTGCCCTTCTCAAAGTTCTCCCTCTTCTTGTCCTCAAATGTCACTTGGGGGGGGGGCGGAGGAGCAGCAGCAGAATTACACGAGTTCACAGATCTAAAGGCAGGCCCACACCATCTGAGTGATCAGTCGCACCGTCAAATCACTCTCGAAATCGTGCAACTTAAATAGCTGCTTATACGTCCGTGTCTTTGGTTGTAGAGATGTTCGCAAACGAGCAAATCAGTTGCATGCAGCCAAGTTGGGCAACTGATTGCTCAGGTGTAGACCTGCCTAAAGGCTACTTAAACGTCCTGGGTTGGCTGGGACAATCCCAGTGATTTCAGAATGGCTGTCTAATTGTTGTCAAGCTTTTTGTGCAAAATCTGAAATGTATCCGTGAAAGTTGGGATACATTTCAGTTTTAAATTTTGCATTGCCTCGTGTTTCTCACTTGTTCACTTTGACTCATGATAGGGACAAAGGACGAGGCAACCTGAGCAGTGGGCGGGGCTGGTGGAGTGAGTGGGGCCTATGAGCAGTGAGCGGGACCAACATTCGAAGTTTAAATTAATCTTATTTGTTTACACAGATGATCCCATTTAGCTGGTTGCCCAGTTATTTTGGAAGGGAGATCGATGGTGCGTTAGCACAGAAGCAACAAAACAAAGGCAAGAACATCAATTTTGCCGAGTTGTGCTCCAGGTCCCGGAGCTCGTATATAAAAGTGATAGATGCATGAAATTACATAATACACATCACAGCCAAAACACTGAAACAGACACCAATCCCCTGGCTCCCTATTTTGGCGAGTATTCTGCCACCAAATATCTACGGAAACATGCAAACTGCAAAGGAGTTTACACGTTTTATTGCCATGACAACCTACCCATCAACCAAGACCTCAACAACGTTCCTATGAACGTTGTTGGCTATGAAACCCAATCTATGGACGATACATTAAACCAGTGTCATCTGTGCTCCTTCAATGCAATAGCAAAACTGCACAAACTCTCCCCTGAATCCCTCTCGTGGCTATCAGACCTCGACATTGGCATTTAGCTCCGAAACATTTTGCCACATGCAAGAATGGAACCGAGTGGGCGGGGAAACGGCAGAAGTTGCGTCCAGGTACCAGGTAGTTTTTTCTCCTGTTCCTCTTCGGCGGCGGCCTCCTCTGGAGGTTTCTGTTCGAGAAGCGACACGGAAACGCCGCTGCTGCTGCTGCCTCCAGAGAGGGAACTTCCAGTGCGCGACCGCCTGCATGCGACGCAAGGTGACGCACGATGAGACATGGTGACACGGTACAGAGAGTTAAGAAATCTCGTGGCATGATCCAAAATGTCTTGTGTGGAATGACACTGATGTTTAAGTCCTAGTGCCGGTATGTGTGAAGTGTGGTTTAACTGTCTGACACAGAACAACGGAGTCTGTCTGTGTGGTGGTGCCTGCTGTGCTGCAAGACCTGAACGAGGGAGGCATTAGGTCAGCGGTGAGGGCGGGAGGCAGCTGCTGTCCAGACAGTGCCATATCAATGAGATGCATGGCCAAGATGAACTCCTCAGCCGTTAACTTGCCATCTTGGTCGATGTCAGAGAGACCCCTGCACACAGCCAAAAAAACACACACGTGGAATTAAAGTGCAGGTTTGGGTGTCCTAACGGTCATAGGAAGCACACCATTGTATACAAAAATAAAAGAGAATGGGAGAAGCACCCGGGGTAGTGCCGGGTGAGGGATCCTCACCAGATGGCGGCGAGCTGCGGTTGTGTGAGGTGGGACTGCATGAGGATGTTTCTGGCCTGTGGCCCTGCACAGCCGACACACAGCAACCGGGCATGGGAGCCATTAAAAACACGCACACTACACAGAGAGAGACACACACACACCACTAGGCACACACAGATCATCATAAAACACAGCAACTGCAACACTATCTGCACCACTTACTACTACCACCACCGCTACTACTACTAGCAAGATCACCACCAGCACCACCAGCATCACCAGCCACACACAGGCCTCCAAGAAAACACACACGACTAGACACACACACATACACCACCAGGTTCATACAACACCAGGCACACAACAAGCTATCAAATTCAACATACAAACAAGGATATATAAATTCCGTTTCTTAAACTCTCGCAGGATTGTCAAGATGCATCGCATTGTGAGGCACCTGTCAGGAAGCTGCTCATGGTCTTGTCGTGACTGTTGAAGAGCTGTCGGTACTTGAGGCGAGATGACTGTGGGACAGCCCAGTCAGCCGCCCTGCAAAAAATACAAAGACAAAGATCCCCCGTATAGCCTTAACAGACTGTTGGGGCAAGTGCTGTTCGCGGGCACATATCAAGGCCGACACGGCACACGAGGGGGTGGGTGGCCAACACCACTCCCAGCCACCTTTGTCTCCCTAGCGGCGATGTTTACCCACTGCACCAGGTACTCATTTGAGGCTGAGTCGACCTAGGGGAAGCACAGAACTGGTTCAGATAATCGTCGCTGGTGCTGGTCGTGAGCAGGAATCGAATTCGCGATCCCGGTTTTGTGGCGCAGTGCGTTAATTGCTGCACTACCGCACCCCACAATAAGGTACAAATACAAAGATCCCCCAAATAGCCTTAAAAGACTGCAGGGACAAGTACTATTAGCGAGCACTTATGAAAGCCGACACGGCACACGAGGGGGTGGGGTGGCCAGCACCACGCCCGGCCGCCTTTGTCTTCCTATTGACAATGTTTACACACCACACCAGGTACTCATTTGAGGCCGAGTCGACGATTAGGTACACCCACGCAACCACACAATATTGTACAGAGGTGCAGAACAACACCACACATTGAACATACACACCAACGAATAACAGGATACACAAACACACACCAACATAAAATTAGGTAAACACACGTCAACACATACCAACACACGTGACATACCTGTACGTGACAACACAAACCACACAAGGACACAAACAGATACATGACAACACACTCCGACACATTGGTGAGTTGCACCGGCACTGTGATGCATCGCTACACCAGCACTCGCTAGCCTGGGCCAAGGTGCTTACATGGTGGCTTCAGCCGACAGGGCTTTCTGCATTTGAATGGGACCTATCCCAGGCCCAACGCCTGCTCCAGGTCGGCCGAATGTGGAACCTTTTGGTAGCGTGGCACCTGAAAGAGGAAATCCCACACCACAGGAATGTCCTGCATTAACGTCATTATGACAAACAGCCCCAAACATTTTACTGCTGGGGGGGGGGGGGGGGATTAATGAGTAAACGTACATTATGCATGCGCATTATACGAGCCCTTTGATATTGTCCTTCATGTCCATTGTGTATTAAAATAGCCCCCCCCCCCACTTTGCGCAAGAGTGCAGAAGTGTGGTTACCACATCTACGCCTCTATATAAGGAACGAAACAGGTGGACTTCTTCACAAATCTGGCTGTCGCCTGATGAAGCTAGTTGTAATTACTGGCAAAACGTCATACTCAGATTGTAAATGTTGTGGCTTGGCTCTGTTCTGTTTACGTGACAACCCTTACTAGTTGGCTGTGTCGGGTGGTGGCGGGTTTTAACGACACATTTATATATTTATGCGCTCTAACCCAAAAAAGCCTACGTGTTAAACTGCATGGAGCATGCTCGCTTAAACAAAATGCTGCTTTGCTGTTAAACACGGGGCCAGAAAGGCCTGCATAGGCTGGTGAACTGAAAAGGTTGAATTTTGAGGCATGTTTTGCTTATGTATCTGTTACGTATGACCCTCCGTGATGGCTTAAAACAAATTATACAGAGGGCTTAATTTTGGCCGAGTCTGTCCGGGGCCAGCGACCCAGAATATATATCCTCACGCGACACACCAGATCGAGCATCATTTTTGTTATGCACGTGGCTATGACTCAATGACTCACGTACACCTACTTCAGACACACAATATATTGATATATTGAGTGAGAAATCAGGCCCGGGTTATACACAAATCGCTGCATGTAATCAATCTTACAGCCCCCCCACCTCTCTCTCTCCTTCACACTGCTTTTTGCAAATGGGAAAGTTGGTAACCTTAGAATACACGTGCCATGCTAGCACGTCACAAATGTGTTGCCCCCATTGCACACGGGGGACACGGGTATAACACGTAACGGACCAGTGACAGAGATCCCCGCATAATCTACACAAGCTGTCAGGGCAAGCGCTGTTAATGGCGCCGCAGAGGCGAGATGTTAACTACCCCGCCTGGTATACAGGAGGTTGTGCGTTCGATCCTGACACTGACGCCTGCTGGATATTTGGAGTTGGAATTTTTCTCTCCCCGTGGTCGTGTAGATTTTTCTCATGGTCCTTGGGATTTTCGCTCCACATTTAGAATGAACATCACGCGTTTATAGTATTTATAGTATTTGACCGCTATAAATTACTACGTAATAAACACACACGTGTACGCGAAAGTATTGTGACACGCACCAGTCGTTGGGAAGGGCTGCATCAAGCCCTGCACACCGTTGGCCATCGGTGCAGGAATTCCCACAGTGCTCAGGGCGGCGTCAAGGAAGACGGCGCCACGGCCCCGAGGGGCCCTCCCACCAACGTACTCCCCAGGGAACCCCCCATCCCGAGCAGAGGGGCCCCCGCCGACAGAGGCCCGAAGGGGGAGCGCTGCAGGATGGCAGGTGGCAGCACCGCGGGGAGCGCGTGGCCGTGTAGACGCATCTTGATGAGTTTCATGGCGATGGAAAACTCCTGGGCGTCCATACGGCCGTCGCCATTCAAGTCCGCCAGCGCCCTGCAAGAACACAGCAAATCAGCCTCCCCGCACAAGTTTCCCCCGCATACATACACGCTCGCAGCTGCCACGACCACAGCCGGCGGCGGCAGGAGATTTGCAGGCAGCCAAATGTGATTGTGACCGTGGGATCGGTCCTCCCATCGTGCCTTGCATGTTACATCACGACACCGAGTCTATGCTTCATACACTTGCGCGTCACTGCTGCTGTTGTCAAATATGTGACTTTACCGAAAGAACCAAGAATATAAATATATTACCGTCACAATTTTTGCTCTTTTGTCTGTGGCCCGAAATGCAGTGCAGTGATGTGAAGTGGCATGCAAGACACAATAGGAGAGGTAAAAAAGGAATCCTGCTGGCAATTCCAGATGAAATAAAATGGCTTTAACCAACTCAACATTTTTGGTTCTTTTGGTAAAGTCACGTAGAAGGGAAACAATAAAATAATAAAAATATTAAACAATAAAATTTTCACGACGTTTTGACTGCAACACAAGCAATCATCATCAGGTGTGAAAACCTGATGATGATTGATTGTTTTATATTTTTATTATTTTATTGTTTCCCTTCTACGTGACTTTACTGAAAGAACCAAAAATGTGAGTTGACGTTTCGACTGCAATACAAGCAATCATCATCAGGTGTGAAAACCTGATGATGATTGCTTGTGTTGCAGTCGAAACGTCGTGAGAATTTTGTTTTATATTTTATTATTTTATTGTTTCCCTTCTACGTAACTTTACCGAAAGAACCAGGAATATGAATCCCTGCAGTCACGAAAGCTTTAAATCAAAATTTAACTCAACATTTATCCACTGCTTTCCAAACTCCATGATACAAACAATGGGTGGACCGGTCCTATGGTCACAACCGTGCCTTTTCTGTCCAGAAATCAGCTTTTGAGTGTTTATTATTGCCCTTACTTGTTTTCTAGGCTGCAAACACTTTTCAGTGTTATGAGTTTCTACTTCATAAAAAAAATGCATGAGATTTGCTTGAGGCAGAGGGTAAATGATTGATGGAGGCTCACCATATTTGTGCAAGGACGGGTGCAGGAAGCCCCGACTGCAGAAAGAAGCTTCGTGCCTGCTCACCTTCAAAGACAATCGTGGACACAATGCCATTGAAGCACATTAAAAACCCGTGTTTTCAAGCAGAGTTTCTATCCAGTGTCCTCCTCATAACTGACGGTTGGGTGCCCATGACAGATGACGTCTTTCACGATCTTCAGCGTCCCTCATTGAGAGATCCATCTGACTGCTCACATTGTGCCAGAAACTGATGTTTCATTCCCCACGTACAATATATTGCAGGTTGCTTCTCCATATCTCGAGCTGTGACCTTCTTAGGTTATGTCCCATGTATGCCACCTTTCTTCTCATCAGACGTCTCAGTAATTGCTGCTTGTAGCCATATCTCAGCATATCGTCACTTCTATTATCATCGCACCAGCTTAACTACTTCCGTTCTTCTGTAACACCACATCTCGAATGCATTTAGCCTCTTCATGTGACACTCCACACAAAGTCCTTCAATATCGTCATCCTCCAGGTTCTGTTTTAAGTGTATGGAGAGGTGAACTCAACTGCAACACAACACGATTACAAAAGCAAGGTGAGAGATTACCTGTGATGTAACCTCCTGCTGGGCTGAGACTAAGGAATTGCTGGTCATGCTTGGCTCGCTCCTCCGAGCTGATGGCCCACACGTCCACAGCAGCTGCATCACACGTACACGCACCATGGTCTAATCACTCCGGGATGGTCTCAAGACATAACCATATCTCATGGACTCCCAATGCAACAATCCATCGAGCAAAACACGATAGACATCTCATGTATACAGTAAAACCTTGGATTGCGAGCATAATTCGTTCTGAAAACGTGTTTGTAATCCAAAGCACTCGTATATCAGTTATGATCACGCGACGCTAGGCAGACAAAGCGTATACGTACTATTCGTATTGCAAGACCTCGCTCGTTTATCAAATTAATTTAAAAAAATGTGTTCGTCTTGCAAAACACTCGCAGACCAAGTTACTCGCAATCCAAGGTTTTGCTGTATTCCCTCCTTTAGCTGTCATGCTGATATTAGTCCCGTCTGCCGGTCATAATCCTTTATAGCAACGTGTATCTGCCCAAATCCACTTCCTTGTCTTGAATTACAAATGATGTGTTTGACCTGTATGTCCTAGATTACACATGTCACTTCTCTCTTGATGCAATTCCTCTGATTAGCACGGTTGACTATGTATGGTACGAAAGAAGTTCAACATACATATGTACATTCCAAGCATGCACCTCTCTCTGCTTCTTTGAACGCTTAATTTTTTTTCTCCACTGTCAACTGCACGCCAACTAAAACATGCTGCACACTTGCTGGTCTTAAGACTCTAAGTTGCATTTCATTCGCCGCATCTTGCCGAAAATGTCTTGCGAGAGTGCTCAAGCGGCCTCACCAGCAAACGATGTCCCAAACTGGTCCATGTTTACATCTCAGCTGAATCACGCACACTCCATCTGGCAGGAATAAACATAAGGCCATCAGCACAGCATCGCGTCGAGACAGCACGACATAAAGTGCCGATATTAGTACGAAGGCAGTGGCGTGGCCATTACTCAGTAAGCAACGTTCACGACAGCAAGAAATGCAGAAAGAGTGCACAATGCAACCAATAAGGATGGCACCGCTGATTACCCTAACCCAACACACCATAAATGACAGCACTAACATACCAATAGAGTTATGAGAACACTACCATAGAATAGTTTAAACACAACGAGTGTACAGACCATTATAGCAATTGCCAGCACTGACAGCACTCCACAGAACTGATATAGCACCGACAGGATACTCATGACAACACTGACATCACTACAGCGTGGACACAACACTGGTCCGCCACGATTGAAAGTGGACGAAGAACCATGACACAACCTACAGTGCTCTGAGTGTGAATATAAATGACATCACTCTTAAACTCACTGTCCTGACAACACCGACATGACAGTATGCTGACAGCACTGACATGACAACATTGTGGGTTTGCCACGTACGGTGCGAAGGAACTTTAACATGCATACATACGTGAGTACTGACAGAAATGACAGCACTAACAATACTGACATCGACAGGAATACACTGGCAACAATGGCAATATTGACAGTAGTAACAGCACTAACAGTAGTAACAGCACTGACAGCAGTAACAGCACTGACAGCAGTAACAGCACTGACAGTAGTAACAGCACTTACAGTAGTAACAGCACTAACAGCAGTAACAGCAATGACAGTAGTAACAGCACTGACAGTAGTAACAGCACAGTAGTAACAGCACTGACAGTAGTAACATCACTGACAGTAGTAACAGCACTGACAGTAGTAACATCACTGACAGTAGTAACAGCACTGACAGTAGTAACAGCACTGATAGTAGTAACATCACTGACAGTAGTAACAGCACTGACAGTCGTAACATCACAGTAGTAACATCACTGACAGTAGTAACAGCACTGACAGTAGTAACATCACTGATAGTAGTAACAGCACTGACAGTCGTAACATCACAGTAGTAACATCACTGACAGTAGTAACAGCACTGACAGCAGTAACAGCACTGGCAGCAGCAACAGCACTGACAGCAGTAACAGCACTGACAATAGTACTGACAGTAGTAACAGCACTGACAGTAGTAACAACACTGACAGTAGTAACATCCCTGACAGCAGTAACAGCACTGATAGTAGTAACATCACTGACAGTAGTAACATCAATGACAGTAGCAACAGCACTTACAGCACTGACAGTAGTAACATCACAGTAGTAACATCCCTGACAGAAGTAACAGCACTGACAGTAGTAACAGCACTGACAGTAGTAACAGCACTGACAGTAGTAACATCACTGACAGTAGTAACATCACCGACAGTAGTAACATCACTGACAGCAGTAACAACACTGACAGTAGTAACATCACTGACAGCAGTAACATCACTGACAGTAGTAACAGCACTGACAGCAGTAACAACACTGACAGTAGTAACATCACTGACAGCAGTAACATCACTGACAGTAGTAACAGCACTGACAGTAGTAACAGCACTGACAGTAGCAACAGCACTGACAGTAGTAACATCACAGTAGTAACATCACTGACAGCAGTAACAGCACTGACAGCAGGAACATCACTGACAGCAGTAACAGCACTGACAGCAGTAACAACACTGACAGTAGTAACATCACAGTAGTAACAACACTGACAGTAGTAACATCACTGACAGCAGTAACATCACTGACAGCAGGAACATCACTGACAGCAGTAACAACACTGACAGTAGTAACATCACTGACAGTAGTAACATCACAGTAGAAACTTCACTGACAGTAGTAACATCACAGTAACATCACAGTAGAAACATCACTGACAGTAGTAACATCACTGACAGCAGTAACAACACTGACAGTAGTAACATCACAGTAGTAACATCACTGACGGTAGTAACATCACTGACAGCAGTAACAGCACTGACAGCAGGAACATCACTGACAGTAGTAACATCACTGACAGTAGTAACATCACTGACAGCAGGAACATCACTGACAGCAGGAACATCACTGACAGCAGTAACAGCACTGACAGCAGTAACAGCACTGACAGCAGTAACAACACTGACAGTAGTAACAGCACTGACAGTAGTAACATCACTGACAGTAGTAACATCACTGACAGCAGGAACATCACTGACAGCAGTAACAACACTAACAGTAGTAACATCACTGACAGTAGTAACATCACAGTAGAAACCTCACTGACAGTAGTAACATCACAGTAGTAACATCACAGTAGAAACATCACTGACAGTAGTAACATCACTGACAGCAGTAACAACACTGACAGTAGTAACATCACAGTAGTAACATCACTGACGGTAGTAAAATCACTGACATCAGTAACAGCACTGACAGCAGTAACAGCACTGACAGCAGTAACAGCACTGACAGCAGGAACATCCCTGACAGCAGTAACAACACTGACAGTAGCAACAGCACTGACAGTAGTAATAGCACTGACAGCACTGACAGTAGTAACATCACAGTAGTAACATCACTGACAGTAGTAACATCACTGACAGTAGTAACATCACTGACAGTAGTAACATCACAGTAGTAACATCACTGACAGTAGTAACATCACTGACAGTAGTAACATCACAGTAGTAACATCACTGACAGTAGTAACATCACTGACAGTAGTAACATCACAGTAGAAACATCACTGACAGTAGTAACATCACTGACAGTAGTAACATCACAGTAGTAACATCACTGACAGTAGTAACATCACTGACAGTAGTAACATCACAGTAGTAACAGCACTGACAGCACTGATAGTTCAGAGAAGGCGTCGCCGCCTTTCCGCGAGTGGTCGCGTCAGCAGCAACTGCAGCTTCAATGCGTGGCTGATGCGCAAGGTCACTGCGGATTAAGCGGCGCCTCGGGGCTCAAAGTCGACAACTCCCGTCCCATCGGATGACTTTGTTCAGGCGAAAGGATGAGAGAGGAGCGTGAGGAGAGAGGAGCGTGAGGAGGAGCGTGAGGAGGAACGTGAGGAGCGTGAGCGAAGGGAGGTTGGGAGGTGAGGGAGGGGGGTGGGAGGAGAGGGGTGAGGGGAGGGTGGGGAGCGTGAGAGAGGAGCGTGGAGGGAGAGGAGCGTGAGGGGAGAGGAACGTGAGGGGTGAGGAGAAGGAGAGTGATGAGAGAGGCGTGAGGGGAGAGGAACGTGAGGGGAGAGGAACGTGAGGGGAGAGGAGAGTGATGAGAGGAGCGTGAGGGGTGAGGAGTGAGGAGCGTGAGGGGAGAGAACGTGAGGAGGAGCGTGAGGAGAGGAACGTGAGGAGGACGTGAGGAGAGTTGAGATTGAGCAAGGATCGAGTGAGGAGAGGGGATTTAAAATGTGAAACTCGGGAGAGGAGAACCCGACGTGAAGGGAATGAGAGATGATGATGGGAGAGCGGGGGGAGGTGAGGCGTCGTGGCAGATCCCTGCATACGTGGACGTGCGCCGCCTTAAATGAAGCCTCGGGGCGAGTGTAAACCGGGGAGACTCAGCAGAGTGCTCACGGGGGCCTCACAGGGATCTGGTGGCGGCCGACAGCGCTTTCGCAGCACTCGATGAGGACCCCGCCCCCGCAATAGCGACCCGACAGAGAGCCGATAGCGATCTGAGGTAAGGGTCCATTAGGGAGCAGAAATGAGCCCGGGATAGAAACATCATAGGGGCCGCCTCAAGGCTGGGGGGGGTGCTCATGGGAAGGCGATAGGAACCTTAAGAGGACGCGACACAGCCCTGACGGGACCCCCCCCGCGGGGGGGAGGGAACCCCGCGCTCAACATCGGTGCGCCCCCCTCACCTGTCGCCCGCTCCCCCCCGAGGCCGCGCACCCGCACGGAGGCGGACTCCCTCAACGGCCTCCCTCTGTCCGTCTCCCGCGGTGCCTCCCGATGCGCGTGGCCCAGAGAGTCGAGGGAACACGCGCGGGGAAAGGAAGGGGATGCAGGGGGGGGCTGTGGTTGAGGGGGACGCGGGGAGGCCCTGAGCCCTGCGGCGAACGCGGCCCTGGGCCTCTTGCCTCTCTGCGACCCGGGCGGCCCGCGATGGCGTCCGTCCCGTGACGTCAGCTCTTGCCGACCGCGCGATGACGTCACTCTTGCCGACCGCGCGATGACGTCATTCGCGGCGACCACGCGATTACGTTCACTGCTACACGGTGAAAACCGTCGCGATGACGTCGCCAAAGAAATCAGCGGCCGCGCGGTGCTCGGCGCCGTCACGCACTTTGCAGAGTAAAGTGGACGGCGATGTCACGCCCAACAAGTTCGCATTTCAAAGGTCAGCGCTTTGAAATGACGTCACCGCGAGTTCTGAAAGCTGACGTCATTTGTGTTTGTGTTTAACCAAGCGTGACGTCGACCGATGCACCTCCACTTGAGCGATGACCTTCCACCTCTCACACCCTGCAAGCCTTGGACCTTTGGACTCACCCCAGAAGCCGACAACCACACACAAAGACCCCCCGTGTAGCCTTAACAGACTGTTGGGGCAAGTGCTGTTAGCGAGCACCTATGAAGGCCGGCACGGCACGCGAAGGGGTGGGTGGCCAGCACTACGCCCGACCAACTTTGTCTCCCCAGTGGCGATGTTTACACATTGCACCAGGTACTCATTTGAGGCTGAATTCCTCCTGCAGTGTAAAAAAAATGATTATATATACACACAGTACAGCCTGTACGAATTACTGGCACAGCCTAGATACAGTACTGTCGTCTATGTAACTATAGTCTGTATACTCTATATTGCATGCACACCGTTTATACGCATGTCCACATACTGACCACATTCTATACAGTACAGTATTACAAACCTTGCATAAATAACAAAGAACGTCAACAGTTGTGTCAGATGCACCGAGGTTGCAGAACGCGACAAGGTTACACATTTCCTCGGGAGTTGGGGGTCTAAGCTTCACTTCGTTTTCGTCAAAGTTATTTGCAACAACTCGAATATAGCTTGACAGACGCCAAACCGTGAATGCAAAAATGTCATCGGCCACTTCAGATGTCCCGTATGACGGTGGACATACATAAACGACGGATTGGAAATTCACCAAAAATAACACATTCTCCTGCGGAGGCAGCTGGTAGGAACGTTGGGTTGCTCGGTCAATGGCCAGGGTCAACGGCGGCACCACCACGTGGTGTATTCCGCACAATATGCCCGACTGTGAGGGCGGGCACAAGCCGGCGTGAGTAGGTTAAACGTTGAGTTTTATAAGGGCACCACGGGGTGACCAGCCCCTCCCCACCCAGCCCCACCCCTCCCACCCAGCCCCACCCAGCCCCACCCAGCCCCACCCCTCCCATTTTTGGATGCACGGCGGACGGACGGACACAATAATCCCGTGGGCTGGTGTAACCAGGAGGTTCCTACCAGTAAAAGGCTACAATAGTGGCCTCTGGATAAATGAGCGAAACAATTTTATTGGACAAGTTTTGCCGGACACCATGTGATATCTGTTGAAGGTGTATAACTGGCAATCTAGTTAATTGGTGGATTCTGCCTGCAAGGTTGAGTGTTTGTGTGGCGCTAAACGTAGGACGTTTCCAATCTGTGCATGCTGAGAAAATGTAACACGTGAATTACTTATGGCAAAAAATTTAATTAACCACACATACTTGTTGCAAAACAAACATGCATGTTTTGCCACAAACATACGTGGTCAATGCAGCCTTGTTGCCTTGAAAAGGGTATATATTTGTTGTGAACACCTGTCTTATTTCCAGAAAGGCTAAAACCTATTATTATTTTCCCATCAGTTTTCATATTGGCAAAAAAGGGGTCCCATAGACACGTTCAATTAGAGCCCACGCAAAGTGCAAAACATTGATGACAAAAGTCGACGTGGGCAAGTCGTTTCGCTGTTAGGGATTAATGCCTGGCGATCAAGTCGCCTGAGTGGTAGCCAAGGAGGGCGGCCACACGCAGATGGAGCTATGTAATCAGCGTGTGTGTGCAACAGCTCGCTGAAGGTGTGTGCCTGAGGGATGGCAACGGCATGGGCAAGCCTTCATCCAGCAGTGGACAGACCAGAGTGTGCATAGACAATGGATATGGGGAATCCAGTGGACTCCCCTTGTCTCAGTGCTCGAAGATCTTAGGATTTCTCAGATGACGTAGCTCTGCTGTCTTCTAAACAAACCCCTATGCTGGAGAAAACAACTCGGTTGAGCCAGTTTGTTGACCAACTAGGCCTGCAGATAGATGTAGAAACGGCCCAAGACATGAAAAGCAACACAGCAACAAATACAACAATCAGGTGGAAACCACTGGAACAGTTTGATAGTTTCACATACCGTGGCGCTGGAATAAGCAAAGAAAATTCTACATCAAAAGACATCAAGTCCAGGCTAAACAAGGCAAGACACACCTTCTTCCAACTGATAAACATCTGGAATTCTGGCCAATACATTTTCAAGACAAACGTACGAATATATAACGGAAATGTGAAATCATTGTTACTGTACAAAAGTGAAAGTTGGAGAACCGCCAAGATAGGCATGAACTCCCCATCAACCTTCCACAACAACCGCCTGACGAAAATCTGTCGCATCTTCTGGCCAAGCAAGATTTCAAAGCGGGACCTGTAACATCGAGACCAATTCAAAATGCATAACGCGAGACTTAACAGAGAGAAGACTCAGGTGGCTGGGACACGTGCTGAGAATGGAACCCGAGTCCATTGCGAAAACTGCTCTACAGTGGACACAAGGGAAAAGACCGTGGGACACGCTGAAGACCACCAACTAAAGACCATGGGGGGGGGGGGCTGTCATGTGGTGAAGCAGAGAAAGCTGCTAAAGGCCATCCGGCATGGTATGGGCTTGTTGTGGCCTTGTGCTCTACAGAGAACAAAGAGGAGTACGATAAGACTTTTTGCCGACTGATAAAAGCATCTAAAACAGGAAGAGCATCTCAATATTCCGCAGGGTGAAAGCATGCAATAAAACAGTGCAAACAACGAAGTAACAACAAAGGGGATTTGTAATACGGCTCCCGTCAGCCCCCGTCAGTCAATCCTCCCTCCCACGTGGTCACACAGAGAACAGCGCAGTGTACTTCCTGAATTTTATTAAAAACAAAAATATCACCATAGACACATGCCGACAAAGGCGGCGGGGGGGGGGGGGGGTGCAGGGGGCTATGATCTCCACTTGGAAGAATGTAGGGTGAATAGACAATACACCACGGTGAATAGGCTTTACCCTTTCTGCTTGCCAGGAAGCCTATTAAATCTAGATTTGAAGTTTTCGTGACTGCAGGGATCCATACTCTTTGGTTCTTTCGGTAAGTCACGTAGGTGACAACCACAGCAAGAAGCAATTGCAATTGTTTCTTGCTGTGGTTGTCCCACCTGATGACAGACGCTTGTGTTGCGCCCGAAATGTCGTGATTAAATTTATTTTATTTTTTATACCTACGTGACTTTACCGAAAGAACCAAAGAGTAGGAAGCCTATTCATTATTTCATCATCTTGAGAATGGCAAAAAGGGTCCCCAGAAATATACCATGGCTAAAATTGCTCACTTTCCCTTGTTGCTCATAGACTGGAGGGGGTGGTACCTGACTACCCTCGCAGCGGCTTCAAGCTAACCATCGAACAAAGACGGTCACTTGCTTCGCGCGGTCTCAGATGCGCTTCTGCGGCCGTCTGGAACGCTCTTCCTTCTTTTTGCTTAGTTTGCTGTCATTCCCTCGCACCTCCTTTTTGCACGGTTGGCTACGTATGGTGCGAAAAAAGTTCAACACACATACTAGTAGTAGCTACAGCCAGAACGATGTCTACTGGGCATGTGAAAAAGAGCTTCACAGCTCATCGGATTCCTCCAGTCTAAAGATTTTAATGAAGATTTTGATTTGTGCTATCCTAGATCTGTGCTGGGTGAGTAAATATTTTATGGGATGCCAAAATTGTTCTAGCCACCCACAACTGACTTCAGTTTAGCAGGAACAAGTTTTAGCTCGTGTTATTGGAACGATGGCACACAGTACTTCAATCATATTGATTAAGCACACCACACCTACACTAAATTGTTCATCAAATTGTTTCTGTTCATATACGACATAAAATTACATCTGTAGACAACTCTTTTTATTTTACCAGTTAAGGTCCATGGAGCTATGTAGCTCTTTTTGAGAAGCGACCTGGCCACAAATGATAGCAAAAAAAGTGTCGTATCGTGTGTAAATGTATAGCAACCAAATACTCTTAACACATGTTTATAAATGTAGAGGGAAAAACCGGAGCACCTGTATAAAAATCCACACCATCACGGAGAGAGACATGCAAACTCCAAATATACAGATGTTTGAGTCCTGATCGAACCCACGACCTCCTGCATACCAGGTGAGGTAGTTAACATCTTGCCATCACGACGCCTTTATGGATTCACGCCACCCCTGCACTTTCATTCACCACAATATTAAATAAATAATCCGTTCTCGTATTGCAACTCTTAATCACAACAATTCACACATTCCTTAACATGTTCCTTTGAAATTAAAATATACGCCATCCTATTTAATGAACGATTCAAAAGTCGAATACAGTGACTGGACGCTGTTGCAAAAGACGTGGGTTAATCTTTTACTTCTATAATTGGTTCTACTGCATCTGTGGTTGCTTTCACTTGTACTGATGTATCTCTTCTTGCTGTCGCTTGTGCTGTTGCATATTTAGCTGTTGTATCTGTGGTTGTTTTTTTCTGTTGTATCTGTAGTTGCTGTTGCAGCTGTGGTTGCTGTTGTATCTGTGATTGCTGTAGATTGTGCTGTTGTATCTGTGGTTGTTGTCGCTTGTGCTGTTGTATCTGTTTTATCTGTGGTTGCTGTTGCATCTGTGGTTGCTGTCGCTTGTGCTGTTATATCTGTGGTTGCTGTTGTATCTGTGGTTGCTTCTGTGGTTGCTGTTGCTTGTGGTGTTGTATCTGTGGTTGCTGTCGCTTGTGCTGTTATATCTGTGGTTGCTGTTGTTTCTGTGGTTGCTGTTGCTTGTGCTGTTGTATCTGTTTTATCTGTGGTTGCTGTTGCATCTGTCGTTGCTGTCGCTTGTGCTGTTGTATCTGTGGTTGCTGTTGTATCTGTGGTTGTTTCTGTGGTTGTTTCTGTGCTTGCTGTTGCTTGTGCTGTTGTATCTGTGGTTGCTGTAGCTTGTACTGTTTGCTGTTGACGCTGCATCGCACTGCGAGCCGAGACCAGGATGCACAGCTCTTGAGTTAGGAGTTGGAGCAGAAGCTGCGCCGGTTCCCCCGAGCCGGGCGACATCTGTCGAGAGACACAACCATGGCAGACACACACCCAGGGATTACCTCACAGCGCAAAAACAAAAGCGCTGAGCCCCTCAGCACGTGCAGTGCTTGCTCGAGGGTTGTCGCGGTACAATCGTAGAATTTTCATGATATCCTATCAATTGACATGACGTCAAGATTGATGCAAAATCACTATCCCTAAAGTTTGTAATCACGTTTTACAATTGTTGTTTTTTTTCTTTGCTGTAGTTTCAGTTCAAATTGATATTATTTAAACGTTCTTCAACTGCCGTTCACTCGTTATAAACCTATCATGAGCGTTATTCTAAACATTGTGATGGTAATAGTCCATGAGCCCAGACTACATATTTCCCTCTTGGTGTCACCCGAGGTGGCAAAACATGAGTACTTCCAATTTGAAGTTTTCGTTACTGCAATGATCCATACTCTTATGTTTCTTTCGGTAAAGTCACGCAAGTAAAAATAAAAAAAAAAAAGTGAATCAAATCACGACGTTACGGAGGCAACACCAAACTTTTTTTGCTGCGCTAGTTACACACCTGATGACGGAAGCTTGGTGTTGCCTCCGAAACGTCGTGATTTGATTCACTTTATTTTTTTACTCTTTACTTGCGTGACTTTACCGAAAGAACCAAAGAGTGTAGTTCCAATTTCTTCACGTGGCCAATAACAGGGGATCGTGTGATAACCATTTGAAACGAGTCGGTTGTAAAATGAACTCGCTTACATTCGCCGTGTAGATAAAAAGGGTACGAATACAGTTTTGCTATAGACAAAATCTGCACCCACTACGAGCGCACACGCTGTCAGTTACATAAAAATCGTCAATATCCCCTGAGCACGTTCATGTCATGTCACGATCATGCTGTCAATTATTCAGGAAAACCTTTATGAAAGCGCTAAATGAATTGGTAATAGAGATTATGCCATTGTTATTGCTAATATGTTGGTCAGGAAATGAGATATGGGATGAAAGCAACAAGAATCACGGTATATCCATGTTACAAACGGACGATATAATCGCCATATCGCTGCAACATGACCATTTACTAATCTGTTCTGCAGCCATTAGAGAGCAGAATTCCGAGAGAAGCGTGAGGCTTGATCAGGAACACTTCAGATGGCACACATTTACAATGCGTGGTTTTACAAAGCGACTAAGTGCGACCACATCTCAACACATATAAACGAGCTTTGCTGTGAGTTTGCCAAATATCCCATATAGGACTACAAAACTTGGCCAATTGTTGGCATCTGTTCTGAATGCCTTCCCGCTTGTTTGTGGTTTCCTGCACCGTTGAATCTTCCTGAAATGTAAAAAAAAACTGCGTACGTTACAAAGTATAATTAGAGTGCGTCGCGCCAACAGACATGTTACCCTGGCGATGGTCATCCTCCGTGCTTGCTCCAAGCAGCAGCAAAGCCTCAGCGCCAGCTCCTGCGTCTCCTCTTGCATGCTCCCTCGGCCGACGATCACATCCGAGACCAGGTGGCTAGGGCAAAGACAAAGATCCCTCGTGTAGCCTTAACAGACAGTTGGGGCAAGTGCTGTTAGTGAATACCTATGAAGGCTGGCACGGCAGACAAGGGGGTGGGTGGCCGACACCACGCCCGGCCGTCTTTGTCTCCCCAGCGTCGATGTTTACACATGCGCCAGGTACTCATTTGATGCTGAGTCAACCTACGGGAGGCCCATGACTAATTTAGATAATCGTCACTGGTGTTGGCCCCGAGCGGGAATGGAACTCGGGATGCCAGGTTCGCAGTACAGCGTGCTAACCACTCCCCACACACACACAGCCCAATGGGACCACCACATCCCTGCGAATTAAGGCAGGGACAGTCCCGTCGATTTCAGAGAGGCTGTACAAGTGTCCTAAAGCTTTTGCAAAAATCAGAATTTTGTCGCCGGTTTAACGTTTTCTGGTCTCGTGCTCAGCTCATGATTGCGGACAAAGGGGTAGGGCTACCCAAGCAGTGGGGCGGGAGCCTATGAGCAGTAGGTGGGGCCCAACGGCAGAGCCAGGAGACCGTGGGGCTGGTTGTAGAGTGGGCGTGGCCATCTAAAAGTGGGCGGGGATGACAGAGAGTGGGGGGGGGGCGCTTGAAGCTCAACCATGTGTACCAGTTGAGCCTCCCGGAAATTTCGACTAGCCACAGTTTAAATCAGAGAGCGTACAGATGCGGAGCAACTGCAGGCTGCGGCGGAGAGGCATTAAATCCGTGGATGTGAAACCCATGAAGATTCAAAGAGACACATGTGACCGTCAAACAAGCGATGCGTGGAGATGACCACGGGTCGGCAGGCGAGGGCTTACGTCTTGTGTGAAGGAAGGCAGAGAATCCCTATGGCTGTGAGCAGCCTCCACGAGGGACCGTCCACTCCAAATGTCAGGTTCCTGGAAAAAGGCCCAGGAGGACAGGGGAGAGGAACATGGGATTTTAAGGTGCGCCGTGTCTTTTTCCTCAATTTTATTGTGCTATTGGCATTACGTCACGAGATGCAGAATCCATTTGGAACTCTCACACAGCAGTGTTCCCCTTCATGTTAGAGAGCGGCCTGTTGAAGTTGTCAAAGAACTGCTTCTGACATCTCGAGTGGCTTCATCTTCACGTACTAAGAGGAAGCAGCACTTTCCAAAAAAAGGCAATATTTGTTGCACGAGTCAAACCAATATTCTTAATTATGACAATTGGAATTTCGCCAAATGAACTACAGACCTACATTTTAATGCCATGGTGTTTTTGTGCAATCATTGGTGATCGGGCTCAGACCATAAACTTACACTTGAAAACCTGGTTCAATCACAGGTTGCTGCTTAGTTTGGAACTCAGGATTTCAGCGGTGGCAGCTCAGTCGTCTGATATCTGACCCACCCGGCCACCTCAGGACCGAGGACTTGAAAATGTCTCCAGTGAAGCATTATGAAACGAGGCTTTTCATGATGGTGAGGTGTGGTAAAGGTTTGCGAGGTGAGGTAAATGGAGGAGGAGCCTAACCTGGTGAGGTCCCTCTTTTGCAGAAGGGTCAACTTCCACTCAGCGGCAGTACTCGGGCCACATACCACACCCAACACGTCATCTGCACAGACAAGAGCCGCACACATTTTAAACTAATTTCTCTAGAACTGATTTGTGTTTAGTTTGTTGTCCTTCCCCCACACTTCCGATTAGCACGGTTGGCTACGTACGGTGCGAAAGAAGTTCAACATACATACAGGGACTACTCTACTTACGAACGAGTTAGGTTCTAGAGGTCTGTCCTTAATTCGATTTGTTTTTAAGTCCAACTGTTACTGCTGTCGATTCCAAACACGTTGTACGGCATGTACACTAAACATGGGGAATAGCTTTAAAAGTTGTATAATCTCCTGTATATGTAGATGCCACTGGTTCTTCATGTTCTGCAGATGTAGATGCCACCACCGCCATCTATTGCGCGGCGGTTGAACTTACGACTCTCGATCCGAACAGGTAACTGGACAGGTTTGTTCGTATCTATGAAAGTTCGTAAATCGAGTGTTTGTAAGTAGAGGAGTCTCTTACATTGTGTGGCAGTAACAGCTGAGTGTGGCCCTATTGCCTGGAGAATACAGCGAGGCTCCTATCCACGTTGACAGAGGGTGTGGGTGGATCCTATTATCTGTGCACTCATCAGCAACTGAACACAAATAGGATTAAATTTAGAACTTTAAGGTGCCTTTTGGGTGTGCCTGTTCTCCAATCACGGATATATGTCCCCTTATCCACAAAAAATAAACATACGATGGGATCTGCGAATCGCGAGGGGCGTTTCGGTACGGTGCAATGGCAATGCTCCCCTCGAGTCGGCACAGAATCACAAAGCCAGGTTGAGCCATCACAGCCTTGGTACCACAAAGACAACAACGCTCCTGGTCATTGCGGCAAGGTGAAGGTTACTGCAGCAGCAGCAGCTACTCTATGGACAGTGAACAATGTCAGACCTCTTCTCCATGTTATTATTATTGCGATTTATGCTCGTTTACCCAGGAAAGCCTCACCGAGTCGCAAGACCCTTTTCCAGGAGGGATCCTGCGACGTTTTCGCACGAGGGGCTGACGTTGCTATGTGTTTTAAAATTCAGTAATTGACGGTGGAAAGTTTCAGATTTGTCAACATTTAGACAGTGACACCGGCAATGCAATCGCCTACTCTTCTTCGAATAACACCATGTGATCTCGAACATCCATGGTGAAGCAGACGGCATTTAGCATTTTATGGTTTAACATGCACCGCGTTATTAACCAGGGTGGCTCGTCATGTTCCAACGGCAAACCTCGGCAATGAGCAGCGGAACGCGGTAACGCCAAGCGACGTCACATGCATACCAGGCATGCCTGGGTGGTGTCTCTGGGTGAGCCTGGGTGCCCCTGTCAGTGGTGATGGCAAGTACCAGACGCCCCCGGATCTCACCGACAGTGGCGTAGACGACGTCATGGGGATTGGCATCGCACACGAAGCCGTAGTGCAGCAGCAAGCTCTGGCTGTCGTGAGGCCCCATAGCAAATGAACACCTGCGAGTGGCGTGCGTGCGTCTGCCCAGCACGCACCTCGTACTCCCGCGTCGCCTCGTTGAAAACCCGCCGTGACCTGCCGCCGACCGCAGCACGAACCGCCAGTGCATCCTTTTCATCTTGCCAAACGCCAACATCTCAGAAGGTATTGACTTCAATTTTCCGGTTCGGCGACGAGAATGTCGCAACTATGCACTACATCAAGTATTCTTCTTGCTTTGGTTGTGACTACTTGTCCCGTGCTGCCGATTCTTTTTTTTTTGCTGAATAAAGATTTTCAAAATAAAAATTGCATTTCATTTTCCAAGTAGGTTAAGCTTTGCAAATTGGTACACGTAAAACGAATTTATAAAGTCAGCTGACCGCTAAAAACGAAATGGTTGCTAAGTCATATAAGTTTTTTTGGATTAGATCACGTAAATGTGTCGTTAAACCCGCCACCACCCGACACAGACAATTAGTAAGATTTGTGACATAGACAGAATATGCCAATTCGTTACTAGTACAACACACCGGTGTGTTGGAGAGGAAAGCCACAACATGAACAATCTGAGTACGCCGTTTCGCCAGTGAGCTTGTAATTACTGGCGAAACGTCGTACTCAGATTGTTTATGTTTTGCCTTTGCTTTCCAACACACCGGTGTGCTGTACTAGTAACGAATTGGCATCTTCTGTTTACATGACAAACCTTGCTAATTTGCTGTGTCGGGTGGTGGCGGGTTGAACGACACATTTATATATTTACGATCTAACCCAAAAAAATGGAAATTATGGATGATACCGGTGCGCGAAAGCCTATATGATAGAATAGTGCCAAGTATGCTACTCCAGTCGTTCAGCAACTCGGAAAATATGGAGTGAAAAATGAAGCCCGAGGCTAAATGAGAAGTTTGACTTTGATCCCTGATGGCCAAAAATGCTGTGTGAACGTGGTAATGCGGCGCAGCGTCATGCGATACAGCACAGTCAAAGAATCTGTGGGCCGATTCCTCCTCTGATGTCAGTTGGGGACTGTCAGGTTCCTGACCTTTGCGGAGGGGTGGTGGTTCAGAAGGTCAAGTATGGGTGCGAGGGCGAGGCTCCCCGTGCCCCCGGCCAGGGTAGGGCAGGGCTGGGCAGGGAGGTACACGGCCCGCGTGTTCACGCTGCACCACGCCCAGCGGAACGCGTCCTTGCAGAACACGCGACTCACCTACGCGGACGCGAGTCATATCTTTATTATCGTGGGTTTGTTTTTTTTTACGCAGACCACAGACTCCACATTTCAAAAAGCCAGCAACAATCAGCACTGTCAAAGTAGTAAAAGGTTAGAGTTTACATGTTTTGGATTTGTTTTAATTAAAGAAGGTAAATTATTTGGAGCCTGGGAAAAGAGACGATGGGAGGGAATTGAAAAGTGTAGCAGTGTGAGGGAAGAAGCAGAACGAGGAGTGAGTGACCTTTTAGCTTGGCGGTTGAATACAGTACTGATGAGTCAACAAGGCAGTGTCTGGTAGAGACCGAGTCCTTTACATTGGTGGAGGAATGAACGAGTAAAGTTTACGGGAACAGTGACCATGGTAGTAGCGATAGAAGAGTCATGAGGAGGCGACTGACCGCTAGTGAGTGAGTGACTGCGGTGAGTGACTGCTTTACATTAAATTCTACGACACAGTGTGAGGTAATAAGTTGTGTGCTCCACCCCAGGTATGACAACGGTATTCAAACTTCGCCTAATCTTGAAGGCGTTTACCAAGAATCGCCGGGGATGAACCTCCACACAGGGGGGTGTGTGTTTGTCTTTAGGGCGCAGACCAACATCACCACCGAGTTAATCCGGTCTATCAAGTCCACATTTAAATTGTCGCAATGCAAGATGCACTTCAAAATCCCCACAACGATGTGTTCCAAGAAATAGTTCCGTTTTTAATATGCAATGGGATTTGCTACTTAGTTACTATGAGTGCTTGGAAACTACACCCGACACAGCAGCTAAAATGTGTATTCATGTAATGTTAGTGCTTTTGAACAAAACCTTTGCAACTAATATTTTATTGAATGTACTTTTGAACTATATCCTAGACCAGGGGTGGGGAACGTCTGGCCCGCGGGCCGTGTGAGGCCCGCGAAATAATTTAATCTGGCCCTGCTAAGGCAACCGCAGGCGGGACTCGAAATTCAATAAATCTAGGAGCAAACCTGGAAAAGCAGTTGCGAGTAGCAACAACATCATCAATACCAGCTAACATCATCAATACCAGCTAACATCATCAATACCAGCTAACATCATCAATACCAGCTGACATCATCACACGCCTCGCCAAAGAGAAGCAGTTCCAGCCATCACATTAGGGGTGAGTTAATTAAATGTTTGACCAAATATAACAGGCTAATTTTTTAGTTGGTAATTTTGTATGGCCCGCGAATGATGTTATAAATATCCAAATGGCCCTTGGCAGAAAAAAGGTTCCCCACCCCTGTCCTGGACAGTAAAAAATGTTTCTCGTTGGAATTTCAGTTGTACGTTACATATATTCAAAGCGATATTTTCAATCTCGAAGCTAGACGTTATCCAAATTAAGTGCAGAACCACATTTAATGAGTTTTGTTGTACAGTCATTGGTGACATGGTTGTGGCCATCAACTCATTTCACTTGAGAACCCAGTTTAATCATAGGTGGCTGAAACCAGCATTCAAACCCAGGATTATCAGCGGTGCTGGCTCAAGGGTTTTGATATTTGAGCCGCCCGGTTACCTACACCACGTGCACATTTTTATAATGCGGCCCACTGACTGACATAACTGAAAATCCCGACCCTGGTGCTCACTCACGGGCTCTGGGAAGAGCGACTGGAGCAGGCGGACGAGCGGCCGGGTGCCGCGCCAGTCCTGCAGCAGCGCTGCCACCTGAGCCTCGGCCTCCTGACGGAGGGGTGCGGGGAGAGCCGATCTCTCCTCGCTGGAGAAGTACGCGGGGCACGAGTACGATGCAGGGAGCACGGCGATGTACGGGCCCCACTGTCCCGGCTGCTGCTGCTGCTGCTGCACTGTCGGAAAACGCATGCACAGGACGAGTCGGTGCACTTCATTTCAGTTTTTTCGACCAGCGCTGCACATTTACCCAGGACAGCCTCACTGAGCTCAATACAAGGAGTATTTCAACGCTTTATAGACCCAAAACGCAAATGGCCAAATCACCAGATTTGCTCCCGATCGCGTCATATCTCGGAGGCGAAGCAGAGATGAGCCTGGAAGACGCTTGGATGGGCGACCACCATGACTGAAACAGGTGTTGCGGACCGCTGCGGTAAAAGTGTTACCAATCAAGTCAACCTGCTGCCAGATTATGCTGCCCTCTACTGCATGAACACGACATAGTTTGTAGGGATCTCAAGAGTTAGCCCTGTGCTATGTGCTTCCATAGGCCGTTCTCTAATCTTTGGTGTTTGTGACGAGTTTCGCTGCTCTGTGGTAGTTCCGATTGGATTTTTCATCTCAAGGAAATGTTAACACTGCTCCATGTACGAGGATTGCAATGGGAGAAGTTTTAAAATTCAATTTCAGGAGCCGCATCGCTCCCTCGCTACTCACAGGCGGGGTCCCCATCACGCGCCAAAGGCAAGCAGATCTTGCTTTGAGAGAAGAACCTTTCACAGATGAGGAACACGCACAGCGCTTGCAGTGCAGTCACACTCCCACTGCACCTGCAACACACAAATAAGAGTCAACATTCATAAAACGAAGATGAATATGCATTACGTGACTTACCAATGTGTTTCCATTTAAAGCTTTAGGTTTGGTTCGAACTGGATCATCTTTACCAATAAGTGCTTTCCCTCAGAGGTATTTAATGAACAATACCAGTAGTGCTCACACCAGATGCATAGGAAGCGATACGTCCGTCCATAGGCCGTCATTCGAAAAGGGAATTTGGATAATGGCTCTGCCGGGAGGGCGGGGGTGCCTCAGCCGGCATGCTGTCGAAGAGCGGACTCCCCCCGACAGCGTGCCGAGGGGGAGTCCTTTCATCGCTGATTCGTGTTGCGGGTTTTGGACAACCCTTTGATCAATGTGGCCAGTTTTCAAGCGATAAATCACGAATGCAACGTGACTTTATAGTCAGGTTCGGTTCAAACTGGATCATCTTTACGAAGAGTTATAATCGCCACCCCATTACAGACGAACAGATGGCAGAGCTAATGTATTACAGCGTTCAACCTTAGTTTGAAAGCGTTGTGAAGACTCACTCACGCAGGTAGCGCCCGAGGTAGGTGTCCAGCACGGTGCTGGCTGTGAGAAGGCATCGCTCAGGAACAGAGATAATGACATCGCCTGGCTGCAAGGGGAAGGGAAGGCAGCGAGGGTGAAGTCATTTTCAGTGAATGGTCATTCGCCTCACGAACGAGCCCGAGGACTCTCTAAAATGTTTCCAGATACACACGCGTGTTAGGTGCGTCACACAGTGTTACGTGCTGCGTATAAAACACACTGTCATGTGACACACGGGTCTGGAGGAACTCACTGCATGGAGGCCGGTGGTTCAGAGGTCAGAGTGCTGAGCTGGCACTTTTGATATCCTATGTTCCAAGCCAGGCAGCTGCCTGCGATTAAACCGAGGCCTCAAGTGTAGTGAGTTGATGGCCTCAGCCTGGCCACCAAGGTCTGTACAAAAAAAACCTCCACATTAAATTTGGTTCCGCGATTAATGTCGCTTACTTCCAGCTCTGAGAATTTAAAATATGAGTTCGCCTGTAACGCGCCACATTGTACTAACTTTTGCAAGCCGGATGGGTAAGTGTTGCCCCATACTCTATGAACCAAAGGTCACTTGAAGGGATCTCAAAATTTCCCCTGTGACATCCGCCTCTCACGGGAGGTTCTCTTTCACGAAGCGTTGCATGGCTCTTGCAAGATACCCTAATGATTGGCACAATTGTGATAAAAAATTGTGGAGAACAACATGAATAGTATCAAATTCGAAAAAATAGGAACTGCGTGGTAGGAAGAGCACACCTGGAAATGTCTCCTCGCCATAAGCCCTCGCCCTGTGTCTGAGAAGAGAAGGCGAGACACAGCTGTCACCTCAACTGCTCGCAAAGCACACATCAATCACTCTACTTTATTTAAGCAGCAGATCAAATAAAACCATCGAGGCACGTGAAGCAGCATTGTTTTACACGGACGACCTAGGTTATATCGGGTCACTTTAAGTGCACAATATTTTGAACACATTTAAAATGTAACAAATCTGGACTAAATTTTACAATAACTTAAAAGAACAATTTCAAATAATTCTCAGTAAAGGTGTATTGCATTTTAAATATTTAAACATACAATATATTACGGAAAGGACATTCACACGTGTTTGAAGCGCTGTTACACTAATGCCATCATCCGAGGTCGCCTACTCAACCCAAACACCTCTTATCGACGCATAAACTCGGGCGTGTGGAGTTTGTATGTTCGTCCCCTTTACTGCATGGCTTTCCTCTGAGTACTACCGTTTCCTTCCATGGTAATAAAAATACACAACTGTAACTGGTATTGGCAAATTATTGAATTCGTATTACACAAACCAAACTCGCTCCCGACTGCGAAACTTGACAGGACCCTCTTGAAGAGGTATTGATTGAGACTCGGTTGGACATTCCTGATTAGACGAGAGCGCCAACGGCATGCACAGTTGTACCGTACTTCTAAACTACCGCGTCTATTGCTCCCCGCCTTCACCAACAAACCCCCCCCACACCACCCCAACGATTCGCGCAGGCTAGCGGACGCCGTCATCCAGCAGTGGATCGACACAAGGGCTGCGAGTGGACACAAGGAGGCGCGTGTTCACAAGGGGCCCTGCCTGGGTGGGAATACAGTAAAGTAAATGCTATGACAGTGGGTGTACAGTACATGCTGTGACAGTGGGGTACAGTATATGCTATGACAGTGGGGTACAGTATGTGCTGTGGCAGTGGAGTACAGTATAGTATATGCTATGACAGTGGGGGTACAGTATAGTACATGCTGTGACAGTGGGGTACAGTATATGCTGGCAGTGGGGGTACAGTACAGTATATGCTGTGACAGTGGGGTACAGTACATGCTGTGACAGTGGGGTATATAAATGCTGTGGCAGTGGGGTACAGTATATGCTATGACAGTGGGGTACAGTATGTGCTGTGGCAGTGGGGTACAGTATAGTACATGCTGTGACAGTGGGGTACAGTATGTGAAGTGACAGTGGGGGTACAGTACAGTATGTGCTGTGACAATGGGGGTACAGTATATGCTGTGAGTGAAGTACAGTATATGCTGTGACTGTGGGGGTACAGTACAGTATATTCTATGCCAGTGGTGGTACAGTATATGCTGTGACAGTGGGGTGCAGTACAGTATATGATGTGACAGTGGGGTACAGTATATGCTGACAGTGGGTGTACAGTACAGTATGTGGTATGGCACTGGGGGTACAGTATTTGCTGTGACAGTGGGGGTAGTACAGTATATGCTGGCAGTGGGGGTACAGTACAGTATATGCTATGGCAGTGGGGTACAGTACAGTATGTGCTGTGACAGTGGGTGTACAGTACAGTATGTGCTATGACAGTGGGGGTACAGTACAGTATATGCTGTGACAGTGAGGGTGCAGTACAGTATATGCTGTGACCGTGGGGGTACAGTACAGTATATGCTGTGACAGTGGGGGTACAGTACAGTATATGCTGTGACAGTGGGGGTACAGTATAGTGTATGCTATGACAGTGGGGGTACAGTACAGTATGTGCTATGACAGTGGGGGTACAGTATATGCTGACAGTGGGAGTAGAGTATATGCTGTGACAGTGGGGGTACAGTACAGTATGTGCTGTGACAGTGGGGGTACAGTATATGCTGTGAGTGAAGTACAGTATATGCTGTGACAGTGGGGGTACAGTACAGTATATGCTGACAGTGGGGGTACAGTACAGTATATGCTATGAGTGAAGTGCAGTACAGTAGATGCTATGACGGTAGCCCCTGGGCTAAGCCATGCTCTATTCGCTGCTCGGGGAGAGAGTGAGGGAGGGGAAACTGTCCACGTTCCCGCGGCGAGCACACGCACCCGGCCACACCGCGGCCTGCAGGCTGCAGCGGCCGAATCCGCGACGGCGCATCCATCGTCGCAGCTCCACGTGGCGCGGGTCTGGTCCCAGGGACGCGCCACTCGGGCTCGGCGTGGCCGCGGGAGAAGCCGGCGTGGCCGCGGGAGAAGCCGGCGTGGCCGAACCACCCGCGGTAGCCCGCGATCTCCGCCGCCTTCTCCTCGCAGTGCGACCGGCGCTTCCCGCCATGCTGCATGAACACCCCCCACCCCCCACGGCGTGACCCCTGACTCCTGACCCCTCGCCACACCGCCCCCCTGAACAAACGATCGCTTCCGGGTCACGACCCCCTCCTCCTGACCCCCTCCCCCGTCGTTGTCCCCCCCCGGTCGCGTGGCAACGAGAGGACGCGTGACGTCACTGCGGCCTCTGGCACTGCACGGGCCTCGCTCCGCGGGTTGAGACTTCTGTAGGTGAGCGACTCTCTCAAGACTCTCTCTGGTCACTGTCTGCTGACTCTCTAGATCCTCTAGTGACTCTCTGCTGACTCTCAAGTGCGCTCCAATTATTTTGTAAATTTTTTTTATCAAGATTTCAAACTCATTTCTTGCACCTCCGGATTACAGCACGGTTGTCTACGTGCGGTGCGGAAGAAGTTCCACAGAGTGGTCTGAAACTCCAGAGATTCCACTGACTTACTCTTCGTGAAACCCTCTTGTCTCTATCGCGGCGACTTCTTGTTACTCGTGACGCCTCTCTTCTCTGTCGGTGCTCTTAGATGTTCTGACGACTCATGGCACCGGCCTCACGGACACGCGTGGTTGGTGGTGGTGGTTGTTGTTGGTGGTGGTTGTTGTTGGTGGTGGTTGTTGTTGGTGGTGGTGGTGGTTGTTGTTGGTGGTGGTGGTTCTCGCGCGTCTGATTGCGAACCATGTGCAAGTCGCAGCGGCGTTGTCCGCTGTTGATATGCTGCACGGGGAGTTCTCGAAATTTCCATCGCTGACCCCGCGCCTCCCCTGGCGGAGGAGCGGAGTTGCGACTTTTGAGAGGTTTTTTTCCTTTCGGCGACAACGTGCGTGGCGACGTCTTATATAGATTGGGTTTGGTAGCGGTGAGGGGTGGTCATGGATATGTGGCGAGATATTAATTGCCTCGTCTGGTATACAGGAGGTCGTGGGTTCGATCCCAACCCTGACGCCTGCTGTATAGTTGGAGTTTGCGGTGTCTCTCTCCACATGGAGAAATGTTAACTGCCTCGCCTGGTATACAGGAGTTCGTGGGTTCGATCCCAACCCTGACGCCTGCTGTATAGTTGGAGTTTGCGGTGTCTCTCTCCCCCGTGGTCGAGTGGTTTTTTGGCCGGGTCCTCCGGGTTTCCCTCCACATTTAGAGTATTAAGCTCGTTGGGCTATCATTTGTGGCCAGGTCGGTTATTAAAAAAAGACGTGTAGCTCAATGGGCCTTACTTGGTAAAACAAAAAAATCCTTACTTGGTAAAACAAAAATAGTGTAGCAAAAAAAAAAAGTTCAGTTCGTATATAGTTTAGTTGTGTTCGTTGAGTGGCATCTGCTCGAGAAAGTTGTTTGGGCGTTGCTGTAGAAGATTCCAATGGCCGTGCCGCTCACTCGGGTTTTTGTTTTTCAGCTCTCTCTCTCCAAAGGAGGGCAATGGTGCTGCTGCACGTGAAGCACGGGAATGAATCGCAGTTCCTGCTGGAGAGCGACGCGCAAGCGCCGCTAGACGAGCTCACGGCGCGGGCGACGCGCATCTACAACGGGCGCCTCCGCGTGGAGCGGCTGTGCTCGGGTGAGGTGGTACCCGGGCCGGCCCAGACTCGGGAGCAAGCTCGCTGGGTTCAGGAAAGGTTTTTTCCACAGGCGGAGTTTGGGCCACCCTCCAAACTGGGCCATGCCCCGCCCCTCCCCCCACAAAACTGGACACCTTTATTAATTTATTTTCAATAGCGTACAATTAAGATTGAAAACAAATGAATGATATGCATCCGTGATTCCTTTTTGTGAGGGACAATGTGAACCCCTGCCCCTCCCCCGAAATATATAAGTCAAACTCCGCCTATGGGTTTTTCTACCATTGAGCACGTACAGAATTTTATCAATCGGGTACTGTACCGAATAGTAATTTTTTTACCGTGCGTTATTTGTTCCATGCCTGTGTGTGATGATTTGTGCTTCATCACCGCAACGTGGCGCGAACGTTCACCTGCGCGCGTTCTAAATTTCCTCTGCAACGGTATTATCGTGCCACGGTCTGAGCTCAAATCGCCGGTCTGGCGACCCTTTAAAGTTCATTTGGCGACTTTCCGCCGCTTAAAAGCGACGGCAACGCTTCCCGTGCGCTGCGCCCGTGCGTGCGAGGCAGGCGTGGAGGAGCTCGCTTCGCACGGGGCAGCACTACCGCCCAACATGCAGGGCCTGACGGAGGAGCAGCTGGTGGAACTGCGGCTTCGGGACGAGTGGGCCGAGAGCTGCGTGCCCAGCGGCGGCGCCCAGTTGTCCCCTGATCCCTGCGGGCGTAGAGGAGGCCAAGGTATCCCCCCGAGTTAATTCAAGGGGAGTTAGCCCACTGACCAATACGGTGCTGTGAAGAAGGGTCGTTGCCTAAAATGAAACCATTCATACTCTATATTGTTTCCCTTTTAGGGCCAGGGTGGTATTTGTCAATGTGTTGAGTGTTATTTGTGCTTGTGCACCACTTATAATGGCATATCACCAACAAAAATGAAGTGTGGTCAAACAACCCCTGACGACTTACATGTCTTGAGAGACCTTCATTCAGCAGTGCATGGACAGCATGGTGGCTAGGAGATGTTAACTAACTCGCCTCGTATACAGGAGGTCGTGGGTTCGATCTCTACCCTGACGTCTTTATATTTGGATTTTGCATGTTTTCCCCGTGGTCGCGAGAATTTTTATCCGGGTCCTCTGGTTTTTCCCTCCACATTTAGAAACATGCGTTTAGAGTATTAGGCTGCTAGAAATTTCCACGTGATAAGCCACTACTTTGACCAATCGATTGTGGCCAGGTAGCTTCTAAAAAAAGAGCTGTGTAGCCCAGTGGGTCCTTACCTGGTAAAAATTTTTTATATATAGTTTTAGCTGCAGTTACAATTTTACCGGAAAAAAACATCAGAGTGTGTGTATCTAAGGCAGTTATGGAAAGCTGACCAGGATCTAAAGAGGCGGTGGATAGCAGGTTTTCGTGCTGTTGGTAAAATGAACTACGTAGAAAATGTTTTACATCATTTTTTTGTGCAAAGGTTTATAGGGGTTACAGGACAACTAAAGTGACGTGAACAATAACAACGGTAAAGGCAGTAGAAGGTACTTCTCAGGTTATGACCAGATCATCGTTAATGTTTCTATCATTTTATATAGCCTGCTTCGACATGGATGTTTGGAATCACGGACATTTACAAGTCGTGTTTTTTTTTTTCCTGTTAAATATTTTACTTCACAATTTCATTTGAACTGCACTGTTGTTGCCGTCGTGTCTCGATATGAACTGTCCGTCTGGAATTCAGACCGTAAGCAGTCTATCCGCTTGGAATGTTAGCGAACGGCACACAGAAGATATCGCAAAACTATTTCCCTGACCTTTCTATCCACAAAACTAGGGGGCTTCAAATGGGGCGCACTTTCCCATTACACACTTTCCTATTACACACTTTCCCATTACACACTTTCCCATTATACACTTTCACAGAAAACAGCTGTATGGCAGTCAAGTGAATTATTTTAAATTTTCAGAGCTGGAATTTTGTCCACTTAACTGACAGAACTGAACTTAACTTCACAGATTGTTTTTTTTTTCTAGCAGCCATGTGTGACTGAGCTGACACTGTCATTGCATATCTGTCAACCCATACGGTTGACCCTTAGGGGCTGTCCATAAATGATGTCACGCACCTAGTGGGGGGGGTGGGGGGGGGTCAGACATTTGTGACGATCAGAGTGCAGCGCCACATTAAATACGCACTACAATGACAATAGTTGAAAGCGATTTGAAGCATGTTTTATATTTTTTTTGGGGGGGGGGCAGAGCTTTGTGACGTCATATTTGAGGGGGGGGTCTGACTTTTTGTGACGCCGTGTGACGAAGGGGGGGGGGGTCAAAAATCGTCCAAAATCGCGTGACGTCATTTATGGACGGCCCCTTATTCTTGTACAGGGTAATTGAGTTTTCAGGTCCATACGGCGTACAGCCGTTTCAACACGGACAAAACAATTGTTTTGTCTATTTGTTTGTGTTTCTCCCTTGTGATGGGGCTTTCGAGGATGGACGTTGAGATTTATAAGGGCACAGGGTGACCAATAAGGTCAGAATTGGTCTGTAATAAGGTAGGCACTGATAAGGGGTTGACAGATATGTCATTGATCGCCCAGTTCAATGACGGGTGTATTAAACTCGGATTCAAACCTAGGATCTCGGTAATGCCGGCTTCATTCCTCTGACACAGCATATAACACACAGTATTTAGACATATACAGCATGTATACATATTGCATAGCAAATAGCACTCGCAGAGCTGCACCATCTTAATATGTTTCCTGATGTCCCTTAATATGTGTTTAAGCACCCAATGAAAAGATGCAAGAGGTCCTGAGGAAAACGATACAAGAAGCCAAAGCACTTATATCAAAGGTAAATGTACTTCAGGGTAAGTCAAGAAATTCAGTTGAAAGTCATGTGAACGTGTGTCAATTGTTTTGATTGCAAGTGGCAGTCAAACTTATACGTGGTGAGGTTATTGCCGATTCATTGCTGGCTGGTAGCATACGTAATGTTTACAACATAAGATCCTCTCAAGAGCCAGGCCACTCTGGGGAAGAGGCTTACTGGTTACGTGTGCTGTGTGTGTTATGCATGTGCTTTGTGTGTGCTAAGCGCTGTGTATTTAAGTTGATCTTATTTCATGTCGTACATAACCAGCCGTGCTAATCGGAGGTGCTGTGGGATGATATATGTGCATGCCATATGATATATTTTTGTGTGCTGTCCATGTTATGTTATGTGTTTGTGCTTTGTGGTATGTATGTGTGCTGTTTGTGCTGTGTGATATGTGTGTATGTACTAGTATTGCTATGCGTGTGTATATACTATTAGTGTTACGTGTGTAATATATGTGTATACTATATTAGTGATGTGTGTGTGTGATATACATGTGTAGTGTCAGTGATTCGGAGACAAGGGTTTCTGGGAGGCACTTTCTTCATTCAACACCTTAACACTTCACAGGTTCGCCCTGGCACTCTCCCTAGTCGCCGTGCCTAGCCTAAACACAACCCTGACCGTGTGACACTGATGGCGTTGACTGAGACAGCCAACAACTACCCAGCCGCGCAATGTGTATATGCTCACCGGCGTGTGTGCTGTTTGTCCACCGTAGTTGCCGCTACTGGACAGTAGCAGGCGCTGTTACACTACACATGTACAGTATATATTGTGAGTGCTATGTGTTTGAATGTGCATGTACTAGATCAACTCAAATGAGTACCTGGTGTGGTGTGTAAAAATCACCACTGAGAGACAAAGGTGGTTTTGCGTGGTGCTGGCCACTCACCTCGTGTGCAGTAACAGCACTTGCCCCAACAGTCTATTCAGGCTATAGGGGGGATCTTTGGTCTTTGTATGTTATATTAGTGCTATGTGTGTGTGTTTTAAACCGGGCTACATAATGTGTATGTGCCATCTGCTCTGCTTCAGAACCAGGTGCAGGCGAATGTGTTTATGACGATGGAGATGGTGCAGGAGGCACTCGATCAGCTGAGAGGAGCCGTCACCATTGTCTATCCGATGCAGCTGCCCCCACACGACCCCGTGCGCATGGAGATAGAGGACAGGGCTGAGCTGGCCGGCATGCAAGTGCGTATGTGTGTGCATACTTCTGTACACAGTCCCATCAGTGAGCTCCTCCAGCAGGGGAGGCTGCATTGGCTGGATCATTCAGGTCGCATCCCCAGCCAGCGCGTGTCCAAGGAACTTCTGTTTCGCCAGCATTGCTTAGAGAGGAGATGGGCTGATGTGGTATAAAGGAGGATGTGGAGCTGTTTAGACTTTCCGATGACTATGTATGTATGTTATTTCACATCATACGTAGCCAACCGTGCTAATCAGAAGACTGGCACAAGTGGTGTCAAGATCAGCCTCTGTGAAACAGGCCCATGAAGGATGCTGCTACTGGGCAGTTGGAGGCAGTCACCCTCCAACAAGAGCAAAGGATGTAGGAGCAATGCTCACAACAACGAGCGGAGCTCCGGGTGGCTAAAACGCAGCAAGTTGGCACAGTGGGGAACACAAGTGATGCATCTGCCAGTCATCTCAGCAAATCAATCTATAACACCTGGGACTGTCCCGCGATCTCCTGCCAGTGAGCCTTCGACACTTCACGTGGCCTCAAAGTGCACCTAGCCTGGCACAATATCATGCTAATCTCTCGCATTAACATAGCCACTTCCGTGCCCTCTAATTTCTCACATTAACATCATGATAATCTCTCGCATTAACATAGCCACTTCCGTGCCCTCTAATTTCTCACAATAACATGATAATCTCTCGCATGAACATAGCCACTTCCGTGCCCTCTAATTTATCACGTTAACATCATGCTAATTCCTCACATTAACATAGCCACTTCCGTGCCCTCTAATTTCTCACATTAACATCACTAAATCCCCGGCCACTTCTTTATGACCCTTGAGCTACACCCATTTCAAACCTTTTAAAACAGTCTGCCTCAGCAGCAGACCATGATTTCCCACCTGATTATGGACGCTTGTGTTGCGCCCGAAACGTCGTGATTTATTTTATTCTGTACCTACGTGACTTTACCGAAAGAACCAAAGAGTATTGATTGATTCACTATTATGGTTTGTATGGCTGTGTAAGGCGGGACTGCAGGTGATCGATGAGAAGGAAGCGCAACTGTGGTGGGCAGGGAAGCACTTGCAGTCAGACAAGAAGCTTAGCGACTACATTGGCAAGAACGAGAAAACCAAGATCATCATCAAGATTCAGAAGGTAACAGTGGTGTCCAGACCACTGCTAACACTTATCTCTGTTCATTACACACACTGCAGGCACCGTGATCAGTTATCAGCACATGGATTAAGAGACCATTTGCAGGTAAAGATATCATTCTTGCTGTTAATAAAAGTGGGCTTTGTCAGGAAACGACACGATAAAGGGATAATGGTCAGTGTTAGAAAATTATGAAGAAATTGCATCCAAATGGTTCAATGGGGGATGTGTGTGTGTGTGTGTATATATATAATTGTGCATATGTGTATGCCTAAACAGCTTTTGTTCGGCTGGATAGAGGGGGCTAAACGGGCGCGGCACAGGCTAGAGAAGAGATGGAGTGATGTGGTACAGGAGGATGTGGAGCTGAGTGGACTTGCCAATGACTGGTACAGCGGTGACAAGATTGGCCTCTGTGGAAGAGGCTCGTGAAGGACGCTACTAGGCAATTGGAGGCAGTCGCCCTTCAGCAACAACGAGCGGAGTGCAGGGTGGCTAAAGCACAGCAAGTTGCCACAGTAGGGGGCACAGGTGGTGCATCAGTCATCTCAGTCAGGCAACCCATGGCGTCTGGGTCTGTCCCATGACCTGCCAGCGGGCGTTCGACACTTCACGTGGCCTTAACGTGCACATAGCCTGGCACAAGCACCGTGGTGACCTCACCGCCACTTAGTTGCAAATGGCGGTTGTTGTGTGTAGGTTGACTTAGCCTCAAATTAGTACCTGGTACGGTGTGTAAAAATCACCACTAGGGAGACAAGGTGGCCGGGAGTGGTGTTGGCCACCCACCCCCCTCGTGTGCTGTGCCAGCCTTCATAGGTGTTTTGCTAACAGCACTTGTCTTTGTCTTGTGCCAGCGAGGTCAGGGTGCCCCAGCTAGAGAGCCCATTGTGAGCGAGGAACAGCAGAAGCAAATGATGTTGCAAGCATACCGGCGGCAGGAAGAGCTCAAGGTACTGTGTACTCACGTCCCCAATTCCTCCCCCCCCCAACACACAGACACGTGTGTGTGAATGCGCTCATGCATGCCTACATGTACCCACTTAAGTGGACACAACACCAACCATATTTGAGACAAAATCTGAAGGCACAGGCTGTGGCTGTGCTGCTACCACACATGAGTACCGCGAGCTGTGCTGTAGTCTGTCGTTGCCACTGCTACCTCGACAGAGCTTGCTCTGGAGACCCCTAACGCACGAGTGTGTGAGTGTGGGTGTCCGCGCGTGCATCTAACCCTAATCGCAGTCAAAAGACTGCTCGCTGGTGGAGACGGCAGTCCTGTCATTGTTTCACCCGAAGGGGGGTAAGGGAGATGGAAATTATTGCTGCGGCTGCGGGCATGACTGCACGCCTTGTGGTGGTCTTCCACGCTGTCTGCAGCCTGTTTGTGTGTTGGTTGAGTCTCTCTAAGTGACACCAACAATACACGTTCACATTGGGCTGAAACGGGCAGCGTCACTAACGTGACCGTCTGTGTGATAAATGGGGGGGGGGAGCATGGCCCAGGTGAAACAAAGACACGCATAATGTAAACCATGTAAGTTAGAGTATATAGATGTGTTGTTGACCTACATAGAAGGGGACAGTGGAGATGTAAAATGTCATCTGTTTTGTTTCTTTAAGGCACCAGTCCCTCACTCAATAGTAAGGCGTTGCTAATAATAGGATCAGTGTCCATAAAATTTGTGAATTCGTGTGTAATACCCTCGTTTTTTGGTCTTCCAAGACAACTAATTAGTGCGAAGGAGTTGCCAATTACCCTCTAGAAGCGGCTGTCGAGAGCTCTCGTTCGTCGAGGCCATCCCGCCAGCAGGGGCATGAGCAAGCAAACGCAGGGCTGTGTTTCTAAATAATGACTCTGTTTTCTATATTTTCAGAGGCAAGGTTAATCCACAGCATGGATAATTTGCCAAACGCCAATTTAGAACAATTTAGAACAATAATTAAATCGGGCAAATGTGTTTTACCTTTTTACCTTCCGCCTTTTCCATTTACCCTGCCAATGTTTACCGCCCCTTCATAGAAGTTGGAAGAATGCGAATCGGATGATCACCTGTCCTCAAACTGGGCTGACGCGCACGCCCTGAAGCGCTCCTTCCAGGGGCTGCGAGACATCTCCTGGAGACCCAAGTGAATCGGTCGCCTCTTGGGACGTTAACACTGCACACCCCAGGGCTAAGAGAATGCAGCTCAACTCGTTCACGAGATGAGAACTCTAGGGGATTCCAACACGAGGTCAAAGGGCTGTGTGTGTGTGTGTGTTGTTATTTAATAAAGCAATGTGAAACAAGACACCTTGCTCCCCCATTTATTACAGATTGATAATACTAAATGTTAATTGTCTTGCATCCATAGAAACCTCATTGTGATGCGCTACAAGAGGAATGTATGCAATTACTGTGCAAAACACCGTTGGGCAATGTGCACTTGCTTTTAGAGGGGCGGACATTCCAATAGATCAGGCAAACCCCCCCCCCCCCATACGATCGATTATGAAGAGAGCCGCATGCATACATGACAATCAGTGAATCACATGTTATCAGAGTGGCCGAGCTGCCGTGGGTACACGGGACGATAAGAGATACCTCCCCCACAGATGGTTCATCAAGTACTGTCGCTGATTCAGCATGTGCACATTACTCAGCTGATCGCTTCAAAGCCGCGTGCAGAAGATCACCCCATTGTACGTCAAAGAACAGATGTAATTCAAGTATGAACCAAGCCCAGTTTTTGGTATCATATAAGGGGCTCACAGAGCTCAGATGCCTCGGGAGCCACAGCCAGGCTCTCGAGTGAGCATAGCAGCATTGGAGACGGAGTTTGAGTCAACTCACCAGCCCCATAGGAACAGCCAAGTGCTATGCGGGGAGTACGTATGTTACATCACACTTGGCTGTGTGGTTTGAAAATTCTAACGTGTATTTTAATGTAGAACAGGGTGCTTAAAGTAATGTAATAGGACCTCTCCCTGTGTGGGTTATCAGTGGCCTTCGGAACTAAATTATTAAACAAATTTTTTTATTTTACCAAGTAAGGCCCACTGAGCTATATAGATATTTTTTTTCAGAAGCGACCTGGTCAGAAATGATAGCGCAACAAAGTGGCTTATCATCATGTGGAAATGTATAGCAACCAAATACCATGAAGGCGTGTTGATTCAAAATGTAGACGTAAACACCAGAGGACCCTGAGAAAAATCCACGCGACCACGGGGAGACAGGGAGGGACACCGCAAACTCCAAATATACAGGTGTCACCAATTATCCGAGAAGCAAAAGTGGCTACATATGCTACGGGCCCCGCACTTTCAAGGGCCCCACGCTAGATGCTTTCAAGCTATCAATTCCGGTTCAGTGATTCTGCACTTGCTCTATTACTATAGTACTATACTGCCTTCAACTTTTATAAACGACTGGGTGTGTAAGGTTTGCGATTTGTCGTATTATCTGGCTGTATAGCACGTGAAAAAATACAATTACTTTACTATGTAAGTAAAACATGTGTCTTAATGTGTTTTTTTTAATGTAGGGCCCGTTTATAACATCAGGCACCGCACTAGCGTAATCCGGCACTGGGCGTCAGGGTCGGGATCACACCCACGACCTCCTGTATACCAGGCGAGGTAGTTAACATCTCGCCGCACGTGTCGAGACCGGAGGCACGGTCACGACGAGCGGGATCAAGCCGGGCAGACCAGCAGACCGAGCAAAGAGGCTGCTGCCGACAGCATCACCCTGTGGTTCAAACATGTGCGTGCAAGCGAACCCGCCAAAGCCAAGAATCAGTGGTGTGGTCTAGCCAAGGTAATTGTCCGGTAATCTATGGAGAGTCGAGAACGGTGGTGCCGAATGTTGCAGAGGTTACTGCTGGATGTGGGGAACTGTGGGCGCTGCTGCTGCTGTTACTGCTGCGCCATCGTGAATCTTGACATCAATAACTGGAATTGTGAGGTTGCGTTAAGGAGGTTACGTAGTGGGGGGGGGGGGGACAAGCCAGAGAGCTTGTGGAGTATGCTGGAAGTGCACGCGTGGATTTCTGCGACCCAGCCAGAGAGAGATTTTAATTGTTGTGGAAGTGGCGGGGAGCGCCATCTTTAGGGGGGGCGCGCTGGTGACACGCGTGAGGTCAACCTGTGTTGAGTACTGGTGGTGTAGGAGGGAGGGGGTGGGTGTCTGGTTAAAGTGTGGTGGCCTTAGGAGCTGCCCACTGTCCTCCAGAACCCTGGAGGCTAACCGGGGGCGGCGTAAGATCGCAAGTGAGTGAACCCATCGTCATTTGCATTACTTTGGCGGATAGTGGGACATTTCCCCATATCCGGAAGGATCGAAAAAAAAACATCCTTGGTGGTGCTTTAGCAGTGGCCGAGACCAGACCTGTTTCAAAGCGTGTGTTGTGAGAACATGTGTGCGTGCGTGTACTCTGTTGGTGGGGAGACAAAGGCGGTCGGGGGTGGTGTTGGCCACCCCCCCCCCGTGTGCCATGCCGGCCTTCATAGGTATTTACTAACATCACTTGCCCCAACAGTCTGCTCAAGGCTATACGGGGAATTTTTGTAACTTGTGTGAATTACTTGGAGGGAAGTCCACTTTTTGACTCGCTGTATATCACTGCGCTACCTCGTGGACACCTAATATACTGGGGTTGGTTGGCTTGTCGACAGAACGAATATGCGCCAACCCTGCCGAGTATCGCCTGCAACAGATGTCTACGCCACTCTCGAACCTCCTACCCTCTCGGCCCCTCAACTGAGCTCACATTTTTGAATTATACGACCACAATTTGCCTCCCCTTAAGGTTTTTACAACTCACGTGTCCGCCCGATTTCCCTGGTGACTTCGCAACAACAAAAACACAGTTACATCATGTGCGGGTTGCATTCTACGGAGTGTCTGAGTCGTATTTGAAGACCAATATCCGCTCGGCATTCAGTAGGTACGGCCGAGAATGGCACTCCTGGGTATCTGGATTCTCATACCTGTCAACCCATACGGTTTACCCATATGTTTGTACGGGAAAATTGAGTTTTTCAAGTCCAAACTACGTACAGCCGTTTCAAAACGGACAAAATAAATAAATGTCTCTGTTTCTCTCTTGTTGATGGGACATTGCAGGATGAACGTTGAGATTTATCAGAGCACGGGGTTACCAATATGGTCTGAATTGGTCTATAATAATGTAGAGGCAACTGATAAGCGGTTGACAGGTATATACGGTGTGCTAACCAATACCAACTGCTCCCCCCCACCCCACCTCGTGTTAATTAATCTTCATAATTTTCCACAACAACCTAAGCATTTGTATGCCTCATGCACAGAAAGTAAAAAATTGAGTGGGCACGCTTTCTTATACCGTACGTGCTGGAGTATTTCCAGACGGGCAAAACTGCACAAGTGCAGGCACGTACGGTAACGAGCTCTGATCGTGTAATACAGGGTGCTTCAAAAAAATGTGAACACTTAAATGGGAAAAATAACGGATAATACACTGTAACGTGATAACAAATGTAATGTTAATAGCTTAAAAGAGTCAAAGAGTCTCCCACTTATTCTTGGTTATTTCGGTAAAGTCACTTTACCGATAGAACCAAGAATATGAATCTCTGCAGTCACGAAAGCTTTAAATCAAAATGTAAGTCTCCCACTTGTTCGCCACCGTTGTCAACGCGTGCCTGGAATCTTCTCCAGGTGATCTCCAGAGCCTGGAGGGAGCACATTTGTTGTGGTATTGTTGCAAATTCTCAGAATTGTTAAACATTTTTTTAAAGCACCTTGTATTTAGGGGGCGTCCATAAATGACGTCACGCACCTAGGGGGGGAGGGGTCAGACATTTGTGACGATGTGTGACGAGGGGGGTTGAGAAATGTGACGTCACATCAAAATGCGCAACTTTAAATAAATATAGACAACACGTTCTACTTAATTAAATATACTTTTTAATAAATGTTTTCTCCTACCACATCAGAGTGCAGCGGCACATTAAATACGCACTACAATGACAATAGTTTAAAGCGATTTGAAGCATGTTTTTTTGGGGGGGGGGGGGTCAAAAATCGTCCAAAATGGCGTGACGTCATTTATGGACGGCCCCTTACGCGTACATCGAGCGGCAACACCTCACGCCACGTGCCACCGCCATTCGCCACGAAGTGACTGTGACGTCGAACCACTGGCGCCTGCGTCAGGCCAGGCGCACTTTGAGGTAATCGCGTGAAGTGTCGAAGGCCCGCTGGCAGGAGGTGGCACGGGTCGGCCGACTGAGATGGATGGGAGCTGCACCAGCTGTTCCCCCCCTACTGTGCCAACTTGCTGCACTTTAGCCGCCCGGCGCGCTACACCCGTACACCGACACCCACTCGCCCAACACCATTACCGAGCTCCAGTGCTGCTGCAGGAGCTACTAGCACGCGACTGTCCCCCGCTCCGTCTCCGTCCCCCTCCCCCCGTCTCCCTGTCCCCCCCCGTCTCCCTGTCCCCCCCCCTCGTCTCCCTGTCCCCCCCCCGTCTCCCTGTCCCCCCTCCGTCTCCCTGTCCCCCCCCCGTCCCCCCCGTCTCCCTGTCCCCCCCCGTCTCCCTGTCCCCCCTCCGTCTCCCTGTCCCCCCCCCGTCCCCCCCCCCCGTCTCCCTGTCCCCCCCCGCCCCCCCGTCTCCCTGTCCCCCCCCGTCTCCCTGTCCCCCCTCCGTCTCCCCGTCCCCCCCCCGTCTCCCTGTCCCCCCCCCCGTCTCCCTGTCCCCCCCCCCGTCTCCCCCCCCGTCTCCCTGCCCCCCCCCGTCTCCCTGTCCCCCCCCGCCCCCCCCGTCTCCCTGTCCCCCCCCCCCGTCTCCCCCCCCCCGTCTCCCTGTCCCCCCCCCCGTCTCCCTGTCCCCCCCCGCCCCCCCGTCTCCCTGTCCCCCCCCCCGTCTCCCCCCCGTCTCCCTGTCCCCCCCCCGTCTCCCTGTCCCCCCCCGCCCCCCCGTCTCCCTGCCCCCCCCCCCCGTCTCCCTGCCCCCCCCCCCGTCTCCCTGCCCCCCCGTCTCCCTGTCCCCCCCCGTCTCCCCCCCCGTCTCCCCCCCCGTCTCCCTGCCCCCCCCCGTCCCCCCCCGTCTCCCTGTCCCCCCCCCGTCTCCCTGTCCCCCCCCCCCGTCTCCCTGTCCCCCCCCCCGTCTCCCTGCCCCCCCCCCGTCTCCCTGCCCCCCCCGTCTCCCTGTCCCCCCCCCCGTCTCCCTGTCCCCCCCCCTCGTCTCCCTGTCCCCCCCCCCGTCTCCCTGTCCCCCCCCCTCGTCTCCCTGTCCCCCCTCCGTCTCCCTGTCCCCCCCCCGTCCCCCCCCCGTCTCCCTGTCCCCCCCCCCGTCTCCCTGTCCCCCCCGCCCCCCCGTCTCCCTGTCCCCCCCCCGTCTCCCTGTCCCCCCTCCGTCTCCCTGTCCCCCCCCCGTCCCCCCCCCCGTCTCCCTGTCCCCCCCCCGTCTCCCTGTCCCCCCCCCCCGTCTCCCCCCCCCGTCTCCCTGCCCCCCCCCGTCTCCCTGTCCCCCCCCGCCCCCCCCGTCTCCCTGTCCCCCCCCCGTCTCCCTGTCCCCCCCGCCCCCCCCCGTCTCCCTGCCCCCCCCCCGTCTCCCTGCCCCCCCCCGTCTCCCTGTCCCCCCCCGTCTCCCTGTCCCCCCCCCGTCCCCCCCCCCGTCTCCCTGTCCCCCCCCCCCCGTCTCCCTGTCCCCCCCCGTCTCCCTGTCCCCCCCCCCCGTCTCCCTGTCCCCCCCCCGCCCCCCCGTCTCCCTGCCCCCCCCCGTCTCCCTGCCCCCCCCCGTCTCCCTGCCCCCCCCGTCTCCCTGTCCCCCCCCGTCTCCCTGTCCCCCCCCCCCCGTCTCCCCCCCCCCGTCTCCCTGCCCCCCCCGTCCCCCCCCCGTCTCCCTGTCCCCCCCCCGTCTCCCTGTCCCCCCCCGTCTCCCTGCCCCCCCCGTCTCCCTGTCCCCCCCCGTCTCCCCCCCCCCCGTCTCCCCCCCCCCCGTCTCCCTGTCCCCCCCCCCCGTCTCCCTGTCTCCCCCCGTCTCCCTGTCCCCCCCCCCGTCTCCCTGTCCCCCCCCGTCTCCCTGTCCCCCCCCGTCTCCCTGTCCCCCCCCCCGTCCCCCCCCCCCCGTCTCCCCCCCCCGTCTCCCTGTCCCCCCCCGTCTCCCCCCCCCCCCGTCTCCCCCCCCCCGTCTCCCTGCCCCCCCCCCGTCTCCCTCCCCCCTCCACGCCCCTCCCCCCACCCCCGCGCGCCGATCCCCCCCCCCCCCCACGTGGAGCCCCTCACTTCCGGGAAGTAACCTGTCGCGCGCGCGCGCACGTGACTCGGCGCGACCAGTGAGCGGCGCGCGCTGCCTCCTCGCTGCGGCTGCGTGGTGGAGCGAGTCGCGGGGTCGCGAGTCGCGATGTCGGCCGCGGTGAGCTGCGGTCTCTCTCGGACCCCCTCCTCCCCTCTCCTACCCTCGAGCCTAACAACTTATTTGGGCCTCCTTCCTGCCCGATTAAAGACAATGTGAATGTTCCTTCCCTCTAGTTTGTCACTGCGTGCCCCCTACCCCACCTCATCTCCCACCCCCCCCGTCTTTCCCCGTCTCTCCTCGCCTCTCCCCTCCGTCCCCGTGTGAGTCCACGAAGCCCCCCACCACCACCACCCCCCCCCGGCTCGGACATCCCTCGAGCAGGCCGATCGCTGTCAGACGAGGAGCGGAGCTTTTTGTGCCGTGGTTATAATTATTTGGCGCTCGTGCGTGCGATAGACGATCATTAATTAAGTGTCATGGAACGTGGCAATGCACTGGCACGGCTCGGGGGTTTTTTGCAACCTGCGGTGGCGGCGGCGGCGGCGGCGGCACCACCGACTCCCCCGCTCCCCGTCTCGCCGTGTCGCCCCACACTGCGCTTTGCGCTTCTCTCCAGCGTGTCTCCCAAAGTGATCTCAACCCCCCACCACACCACCACCACCCCCATCGCTCCCCTTCTCCATCCCCGTACTCTCCCAGTGACTCTGCCCCCATGCCCCCCTCACTCCGCCAGGACTGCCCGGCACACGTTGGTGGCCGTGCCCCCGGCGAGCACGCCCCGGAGACCGTGGCTGCTCGCCAGTCGGAGCTGCCCCGCCGCCCTGCGGCTGACGACGACGACGGCGGCGACTTGAAGGAGGACATCGATGCCGAGCAGTCGCCAGGCAACGGGAGATGCCCGGCGAAGATGACGAGCCCGTGCCGTCGTCCCGAAGACGACCGCGTCCAGGTGGCCGGCGTCTACCTCGAGGAAGTCGACGGCGGCCGCCAGCAGCAGCAGCAGCCGCAGCCGCCGGGCGCGGATCGTGCAGAAGACGCCTGGACGTTGAGGGGGAGTAGCAGGAGCAGGAGTAGCAGCAGGAGGAGGAGGAGGAGCAGCAGGGGAGGCGATGAGCAGCCTGGGGGGGCCTGCGACTTCCAGCCTCCGGAGGGGGGGTTTGGCTGGGTGGTCATGGTCGCCTCCATGTGGTGCAACGGAGCCATCTTCGGGATCCACAACTCGTTCGGGATCCTCTTCCTCGCCCTGCTACAGTTCGGGGACGACAGCGGCAGCAGCAGCAGCAAGGCGTGTGAGTGGTGGGGGGGGGGGGTGGTGGTGGGGGGGGGGGGGGGCGGTGAGTGGTGGGGGGGAGGGTGGTGGTGGGGGGGGGTGGGGGGGGCGGTGAGTGGTGGAGGGGGGTTGGTGGGGGTCGCTCACTTGGGGGGGGGGGTGTGTGAGTGGTGGGGGCGGTGAATGGTGGGGGTGAGTGATGGGGGGGGGTGGTCACTCATTGGGGGGGGGGTCGCTCACATGGTGGGGGTGTGAGAGTAGTGGGGGTCGCTCACTTGGGTGGGGGGGTGTGTGAGTGGTGGGGGCGGTGAATGGTGGGGGTGAGTGATGGGGGGGGGGCACTCATTGGGGGGGGGGGTCGCTCACATGGTGGGGGTGTGAGAGTAGTGGGGGTCGCTCACGGGGGGGGGGGGGGGTGAGTGGTGGGGGTCGCTCTCTCCTGCCTGTGTGTGGTGTTCATCGTCGGTACAGCTGGATTTGCAATGCGAATCAGAATCTGTATTTATACAGGAGGAATCCGATGAGCTATAAAGCTCTTTTTTCACAGATGTCCAGTCGGGGCGGGTAAGAACGTTACAACAACAAACAATTCAAACACACGATAGTAGTGCAAAGTACAACAAAGTTAAACAAATCACCCGAACACATCCCAATAAAACTAAACCATCCCCATCCTACCAGACAAACCCCAACTGAGGTATTATTAACTTATTTTTTTTTAAAGGAAGCTGGCCGCACATGATAGCTCGACAAAGTGGCACCAGCATTTGGACATTCATAGCACATTTATACACGTGTCGCCAGTTCGGTTCTGTCTCCCGGCACGGCAGAGTTAGTGGGTCAAACTCGCGCACGGTCAACTCCGAACAGCTCGACCAGATTCTACCCTCCACGGTGGTGAGATGTTAACTACCTCGCCTTGTATGCAGGAGGTCGTGGGTTCGATCCCGACCCAGACCCCTGCTGCTGTATATTTGGAGTTTCCCCGTGGTGGTCGCGTGGATTTTCCACACGACGATTAGCCACATCGTTGATTCATCATTTGTGGCTAGTTCACGTCTGAAAAAAGAGATGTATAACTCAGTGGGTCTTATCTGGTAAAGCACAAAAAAATTAATTGCGTGGATGCGCCTTGACCACGTTTGGGGGAATGTGCCATCCCAGTGGAATGCGGGAGGTCTCTGCCGCCAAACTGTATTCATAATAATTTTATATTAATGCTGGTGTTTCACATGTGGGACTTTTGTATTGGCTACTGCTGCACTAGACGAGCACACGCCACATGCACCCAGATGTGGTTTTAATTGTTGACTCTGTTAACAGTCAACACGAGCATTGTTCAAGGCTGCAGTCCCGATGTCCGTTCCTTTACACGGGCAGTCCTAATGATGATGAATTGGAGCTGGGCGGGAGTGTGTGATGAGTTGGTTTTGGGAAAACAGAACTTGATGAAAAGCATCTGCATGACAATGTGTCCAAGGTATGTCATCGGCTCATGTTGCCTACTGTGACTTAATAGATCAGATACATGGACATGTATTTGCAAGGTGAAAGAAACGTGTACCAACAAGAGTGGAGAGATGCACACTTGGAAATTGTGCGAAACAAAGAGGGAGGTCTGGATTAGAGGATATCCACTGTTTTTTGATATAATTCTAACTGCAGGATACATCGCTAGGAGGGACGGTTGGGTGGGAGATATTATTCACGAAATGGCAAAGCACGAACTCGCCCGAAAGAACGTTCCACTGCAGAGATGGAGCAATGAAGTCGGCCCGTGAGCAGGAGCTAAATGGACTTTTGCATCACAATACTGTGATTATATGGCGACGGCTTGGGGGGCACCAACAGTGGATAGATCATGGCTGAGGTTGAATGTCATGAAGAGCCCATTGAGACCAGATGTCTCTTCCGCACGGCAGACTTGGGGAAAATTGGAACATTTAAGGTTGTAGAGTAAAAAATAAAAGTGCAGCGTTAAACAACTTAACAGCACTGTACATGGGTTCTGAACACGTTTTTGAGGTTATTTTATCTTTAACCAGGTGGGAACTCTCGAAACAAGGATAGTCCGATTTGCAAGCAAGTGGTGACGCTTAACAATGCAGATTGCAGCAATGTAAGAACGAAGGAAAATGTATTTGAACTCATAGATGTCCCACAGTGTGTGGACCTGGCTTTGGCTGTCGTGCGGCTGGGTGCATGAGGGTGTTCCGGGCTCACTCGGGTCACGCCAGGGCTTTCGGTGGAACTGGGAGCTGGGTTGGGCGAGATTCGGCTGGATGTCGGGTTGAGAGACGATTCAACCCCCCCCCCCCCCCCACTGTAACCAACAAAGCCGCTGTTATGTTTTTTTAGCGCCTTTTTAAGTGGTGGTGGACAGAGGAATGTTTCGTTAAGTTAAAGTGTAACGAGAGATTTTTGTCATTGTGCAGTGGTCTGCACCACATGTGCCTTATTGCCAATTACTGTGCATGGCTCTGTCGACAGTGAGTGATTGTTTGGAAATTATGTTTTTAATTGGGTTAAATTCCTGAGTACATTACTCACATTAAGCAACTTCCAGTCGCAGTGAGTGGCAGTGGATTTTGGGAGATTAGGGGGCTTTTGCATGCCAACGTTGTGCAGTTCCACGGCTACGTTGGACCCTGGCCAATGCCTGGGGACCCAGAGGGAAGCCATCGGCTTGTGATAAAGGGAGGAAGACGCCATCCTGTTTTACTGTGCAGGTATCCCTCGATTTACGAACGTTTAGCTTTTACGGCATTTTCATGTTTTACACAATTGACAAACCACGAACACTTTGCGATTTGACGAAATCGAATTTCCACGTGAATTAAATTTCACGTGACAGGCGCTGTGAGGTCAAACAAGAACGACCCAGGAGGCTGTGTAGTTTACCCGCGACAGTGTCGCGGTATCCCTGCAGTACAACAACAACAACGCCTCCACATCGCCTTGCCAGTCCATTACAACATGCATATCGTTTGTTGAGTTCGAAAATACTGATTATTCAGTTGTTTTAATAATTGTTGTTTTATTATTTTTTATTGTGAAAAGTACGGGTGTAACGGTGGCGAGATGTTAACTACCTCGACTAGTATACAGGAGGTCGTGGGTTTGATCCCTACCCTGAAGCCTGCTTTATAATTGGAGTTTGCATGTTCTCCCCGTGGTCACGTGGTGTTTTGTCTGGGTCCTCCCGTTTTTCCCTCCGCATTTATAAACTTGCGTTCAGAGTATTTGGCTGCTAGAAATTTCCACGTGATAAGCCACTTTCGTTGAGCTATAATTTGTGATAGTCAGGTCGCTTCTGCAGAAAGAGTCATATCGCAGTTCGGTGGGCGTTACCCGGTAAAATAAAAAAGTAGTTGGGTGTTTCTTTTTTGATACAGATGTATATTTTTAGGTTAGGAGTAGCGTTTGAATGACTCTCTGAACTCTGAAACATCTCCTTAATTTTCTGTATAAAATATAATTTTTCATGAAATTTCGTTTTACGCGTTTTTTTAACCTACGCATCCCTATTTGTAAATGGAGGGTTATCTGTGTTTCACAGGGCCTCAGTAACCACAAGTATGCGTCGCAACAATTCTGGCATCATTTGAAAACCGTCTGGCTACTCCAAAATCCAGAGGAAATTTTGAAAAATGTTCTGGTTAAGAAAAGAACCATTTTTTTTATACATATAAAACAAAAAAATCTGTTAAACTCTATTCCTATTTGTGCGACAAACCCCCGAGAATTTTCTTCAGAACGGTGTTCCAGTTTATTTATGGAGCCAGTGGGCGGGCCCACAAGGGGGAATTGACACGAAACGTAAGCCGAAGCAGCGCACGAAGATGAGTGGGGGAGATGGCAGCTTGGATTGAGTGGCACTGAGATAGAGAAAAAAAGGGGTCACGTGGGCCAGAGAATGGAGAACAGAGAGCAGAGCTCGATGTGGCGTTGTCAAGAAAAGGAACCGGGCTTGCAAAGATGGCACAAGAAGAGAATGTTGGCCGCTAGTCGGGACCAAGGATGACACGAGGGAAAAATGGCCAATAACGGCAAACGTCGGTACAATAGAATACAATGAGTAAAAAACAATACAGGGTAAACACAAACAATGCAAGTAAGCTGTGCATATACAGGGTGCTTCAAAAAAAATGTTAACGCTTCCGAGAATTTGCAGCAATACCGGGCTCTAGAGACCACCTGGAGAAGATTCCAGGCACGTGTTGACTGATGGCGAACAAGTGGAGACTCGACTTTTTGAAGCGATTAACATTACATTTGTTATCATGTTACAGTGTATTATCCGTTTTCCACTAAAAACGATAGTCCCGTATACAGTGAGGGAGAAAAGTATTTGATCCCCTGCTGATTTTGTACGTTTGCCCACTGACAAAGAAATGGTCAGTCTATAATTTTAATGGTAGGTTTATTTGAACAGTGAGAGACAGAATAACAACAACAAAATCCAGAAAAACGCATGTCAAAAATGTTATGAATTGATTTGCATTTTAATGAAGGAAACAAGTATTTGACCCCTCTGCAAAACATGACTTAGTACTTGGTGGCAAAACCCTTGTTGGCAATCCCAGCGGTCAGACGTTTCTTGTAGTTGGCCACCAGGTTTGCACATATCTCAGGAGGGATTTTGTCCCACTCTTTGCAGATCTTCTCCAAGTCATTAAGATTTCGAGGCTGACGTTTGGCAACTCGAACCTTCAGCTCCCTCCACAGATTTTTTATGGGATTAAGGTCTGGAGACTGGCTAGGCCACTCCAGGACCTTAATGTGCTTCTTCTTCTTGAGCCACTCCTTTGTTGCCTTGGCCGTGTGTTTTGGGTCATTGTCATGCTGGAATACCCATCCACGACCCATTTTCAATGCCCTGGCTGAGGGAAGGAGGTTCTCACCCAAGATTTGATGGTACATGGCCCCGTCTATCGTCCCTTTGATGCGGTGAAGTTGTCCTGTCCCCTTAGCAGAAAAACACCCCCAAAGCATAATGTTTTCACCTCCATGTTTGACGGTGGGGATGGTGTTCTTGGGGTCATAGGCAGCATTCCTCCTCCTCCAAACACGGCGAGTTGAGTTGATGCCAAAGAGCTCCATTTTGGTCTCATCTGACCACAACACTTTCACCCAGTTGTCCTCTGAATCATTCAGATGTTCATTGGCAAACTTCTGACTGGCATGTATATGTGCTTTCTTGAGCAGGGGGACCTTGCGGGCGCTGCAGGATTTCAGTCCTTCACGGCGTAGTGTGTTACCAATTGTTTTCTTGGTGACTATGGTCCCAGCTGCCTTGAGATCATTGACAAGATCCTCCCGTGTAGTTCTGGGCTGATTCCTCACCGTTCTCATGATCATTGCAACTCCACGGGGTGAGATTTTGCATGGAGCCCCAGGCCGAGGGAGATTGACAGTTCTTTTGTGTTTCTTCCATTTGCGAATAATCGCACCAACTGTTGTCACCTTCTCACCAAGCTGCTTGGAAATGGTCTTGTAGCCCATTCCAGCCTTGTGTAGGTCTACAATCCTGTCCCTGACATCCTTGGAGAGCTCTTTGGTCTTGGCCATGGTGGAGAGTTTGGAATCTGATTGATTGCTTCTGTGGACAGGTGTCTTTTATACAGGTAACAAGCTGAGATTAGGAGCACTCCCTTTAAGAGTGTGCTCCTAATCTCAGCTCGTTACCTGTATAAAAGACACCTGGGAGCCAGAAATCTTTCTGATTGAGAGGGGGTCAAATACTTATTTCCCTCATTAAAATGCAAATCAATTTATAACATTTTTGACATGCATTTTTCTGGATTTTCTTGTTGTTATTCTGTCTCTTAATGTTCAAATAAACCTACCATTAAAATTATAGACTGATCATTTCTTTGTCAGTGGGCAAACGTACAAATTCAGCAGGGGATCAAATACTTTTTCCCTCACTGTAAGTGTTATTATTTTTTCAAGCACCCTGCACATAAAAAGGTTGTTTAATGTTAGAGACAACAGTCTTAGCCTGCTCGCTGTGTGCTGAGCTCTCTACGGATAGCCCTGTGTGGTTTGTGTGTGCGCGCCGTTAGTTGTGCCGTGCATTGCTGGTGCCGTGCGCTCTATAACCGCATGTGCTGTGGGTGGTGGTGTGCCGGCAGCGTTTGTGGGCGCGCTGGCCATGGGCATGCTCTTCCTGTGCGCGCCGGTCGTGAGTTTGTTCACCGGCCGCTTCGGCTGCCGCATCACGGCCGTGGGTGGGGCCACCGTGGCCTTCGCTGGGCTCCTGTGCAGCTCCTTTGTGAAGTGAGTTCACGCGCATCGCCCCGTCCGTGCGCTTCACGCTCGCACGTGCCTACAGCCTGCTGCCTCAATGTGCTTTAATGTAAGGCTTCTTTCCCGGGTCCGTATGTCTGACGTGTCTGGATTTCATTTTCCTTTCTCAATAGTGGGAAGCCCATGGTTCCCTCTGCCTCCACATTCACCCCTCTCCAATGGCACGTGCCTGTTTTGTTGTATTATCAAAAAGGGGGATCAGATCACGCATCAGGTTTATCGGAGGTGCTAGAGCGGATAAGCACCACTGTGGCCAATAAGCCACGTGATTGAGTCAAAGATCAAGAGTTCCGTATTATTAGCATCGTTCACATAAACTGCGCAGGCTTTCTAAAACGACTTCGGCAGATGTAGCCCGACTCTAAAGCCTTCTTACCCGGCGGTGCGGAGGTTGCTGTTTGTCGACATCTGTGAGATGTGGTTAAAGATTGTGGCTTTCTGTGGTCACGGCCTGCAGGCAGCTGGACCTGCTGTACCTCACCTACGGGGTGGTGTTCGCCGTGGGTGCCGCCTTCGCGTTCCAGCCCTCGCTCGTCATCCTCGGCCACTACTTCAAGCGCCGGCTGGGGCTGGTGAACGGCATAGTAATGGCGGGCAGCAGCGTGTTCACCGTGGCGCTGTCCTACATCATGAAGCACATGCTGGTCTCGTTTGGGCTGGTGCTCACTCTGCAGGCGCTCGCCGCGCTCATGCTGCCGCTCATCGTTGCGGGTTTCGCTTACCGGCACGACCCCCACCCCCCACCCCCCACTCCCCGCCCTTCCCCGTCGCCACGTGCGTCTCCTCGTGCTTTGTGCCCCAACGGGCCTCGAATGATTCCGATCGCTACCGTCCAGCCCACAGTACGGTGGGGACTGTCACGATTTAAGAATCTATTTATGTTTTATGTTATCGTAGGGGCCTGTTTACAAATCCATGTTCGACTCATGACCAGGCGGTTCATCACTCTCCCGGTAATTGCCTGGCAGAACAATCTGAAGGTTAAAGTTTAACAAACCGGCGGGACTTTCTTCCCACTTTCAGGAAATATATTCACGAAAATTTAAAATATCAATGTCTTTGCTTCAAGTGCTGTGTTTGAACAGTTGCTGTGCACTGTTTGCACCATGATTGTCCTAACCGTCCCACTTGTTGACTGACGTACTTAGAGTGGTCGTGGCCCAACGGTCAGCGCACTGGAATTTCAATCCAGAGGTCGCAGGTCTGATTCCGTCTCTGCACGGAAGTGGAAACAATGGGGGCAAGCTTCTTACAACCACCCCCCTGTCCACCCATCAATGTACCTGCAGAAACCACGTTGGATCAGTTTAACACGTAGGCTTTCGCGACCAATATTATCCACAATAGAGGTTCAATCAATAGGTCGCACGTTGTGGCGCAAAGAGCGGGTCCTCCCACCACCTCCAAATACAACCACTGGTCGAGGAAGAGTAGACCAAATGCCCGCTCGAGATCACATTAGTCGAGGCCGTTCCTCCGGCATAGGCATGAGCACATGGTTGGTTATGTACGGTGCGAAATAAGTTATACATACATACAGCTGCAGTTGCAGGGCTGCACTTTTACCTGTTATGTTTAAAGTAATGCATTTAGTAGCTGCAGAGAGCATAGAAAAATGTAATATGTACAACGTATACAAATCTCAAATGTTCAGTTCTTACACATACAATTCAGTGACTGTGTCGTGAGTTTAAGTGTGACACTTAAGCAGCCTGGTTTTCGAGAGGATTACTGCACAAGCAATAATGTGTCAAATGTTCTCTTTAGTAAACTGGATAAAGGCCACTATTGCTGTGCACTATTCCTCGACTTTTCAAAAGCCTCTGATACTGTAGATCATGATAGTCTTCTTAAAACACTTGGTCAACTAACATTTTCAGACAGTACGATGAACTGGTTTGAGAGTAACCTATCAATTCGGCTGGCATTTATGCGCTTATGCAATTTGTACTTCTGTACTTTATATTTAGTTATTTATTTTGAGTGACTTGCTTTCCTTGTTCTCTATCATACACTTGTATTTTCATGTTGCTGTAAATCTCTCTCTCCCCCCCCGCCCCTGTCTGTGTTCAGGCCCCTGATGCCCAGGCTGGGTGTGGAAGGGGCTCGGACCAGTGCCGCCCCCTCTGGCTGTGGCCGCTGCCCTCCTTTGAGAATAAAGACGTTCTGCGTCTGGGTCTCCGGGGTCCCCATTGCCCTCTTCGGATATTTTGTGCCGTACGTCCACCTCGTGAGTTCTTGGGGATTCTTTTTGTTGCTCGTCCGACGAGTAATTTATGACGCTCAAATGAACCCTGGGGCCCGAGTGCAGAGCAGCTTGTGCAATTGTCAGGGTAAAATAAAGTCAACTGATAATTCGTAATAAAAATTAACAAATGTATATTAAATTTTGATTTAAAGCTTTCGTGACTGCAGGGATTCATATTCTTGGTTCTTTTGGTAAAGTCACGTAGAAGGGAAACAATAAAATAAAAATATAAAAAAATTTCTTGCTCTGGTATTCACACCTGATGATGATTGCTTGTGTTGCAGTCGAAACGTCGTGAGAATTGTATTGTTTTATATTTTTATTATTTTATTGTTTCCCTTCTACGTGACTTTACCGAAAGAACCAATAATATAAATGTATATTAATTTTATAACACTAATAATAACATTAATAGTGAATAAAGTTATCGTTACAAATGAATATACTTATCGGTGCCGCAGACCGGCTGAATTGCACGAAGCGATGATGTCATGGCAGCAGGCCATGTTGCTTGGGGGTTATCTTCCTGGCTTCTGATTGGTTGGTGCAGTGTGAGTGGCGACGTCATCCCTAGCAACCGCTGCCACTCCCATCGTGGTGCGATCTCACTGAGATCCCCATATTTCCTTTGAATTATTATACGTTTCTTCCGAAGGCATTGCGGATCTTACCGCAATCGCTTCCTGCCGATGCAAATTTTTACAGGCACCTTCTGTACTCGGGATCATCCCCTGTTCTGCATTGCCGAGGATTCATGTGGCGAGCCGTGGGGCGTGCCGTGGGGCGTGCCGTGGGGCGTGCCGTGGGGCGTGCCGTGGGGCGTGCCGTGGGGCGTGCCGTGGGGCGTGCCGTGTGACAGTCCGTGCGCTGTACCGTACCGGCGACTGCAGATGAACTACGTGAAGGAAAACCTGGATAAGGAGGCTGCGCAGCATGATTACGTGCTCATCATCTGCATCGCGGTGTCTTCTGGGCTGGGCCGCCTCGGCTTCGGTTGGCTGGCGGACATCATTCCCGGGGTCAAGAAGGTCTACTTGCAGGTGCGGCGTCTCGATCGCACTGTGAGCCAGCAGAGGGATCGTGTTGCGGCGGTGGTGCGGTGTCGTTTACGGGTGCCGATGAGGAATCTGGCGCCGCGCATTCGCCGGGCACGCTTCGCGTAGCCGTGCGCGCGCGCTCGCGTGACCTGAACGCGTGTCCCGGGCCGCGCAGATCGTCGCTTTCCTGGCGGTGGGCCTCATGTCGGCGCTCATCCCCATGTGCTCCTCGCTGGGTTCCCTGGTGGCGGTGTGCATCGTCATGGGCCTGTTTGATGGCTGCATCACGTCGCTCATGGCCCCCATCGCCTTCGAGCTCGTGGGGCCGCACCACGCCTCGCAGGCCATCGGCATCGTGCTGGGCCTAATGTCTGTGCCTATGACCGTTGGGCCTACGGTGGCAGGTGAGGTGTGCGTTGTGTGTGTGTGCTCATGTGTGCGTGTGGTAGTATAGTGGTGAGCTCACAAACACAATGACCAGAGTTTGATTCCCGCTCTGGAGAATATTTGAACTGTTCCTGGGCCTCCCTGAGGTTGACTCAACCGTGATTGAGTATCTGGTGTGGTGTGTAAACATCAGCACTTGGGAGATGAAGGCAGCCGGGCGTGGTGTTGGCCACTCACCCTCGCGTGTGCTGTGACGGCCTTCATAGATGCTGCTAAAAGCACTTGCCCCCATCAGTCTGTTAAAGGCTCCATGGGGGATCTCCATATTTGTGCGATTACATTGACAGCAGTGAAATCTTACTTTGATCTTGATCTTTATTTGATTCCTGATGACTGGCTAACATCAGTGGCAGATATCGGATTTGGTTCTGGGCCTCCCTTAGATCGACTTCGCTTGAGCTTTTTTGTGCGGTATGTAAATTGGGCGTGGTACTGGCCACACTATCCCTCGTTGCGCCTTGCTGGCATTAATGGACGGTTGCTAACAGCACTTGCCCTGACAATCTGTTAAAGGCTACACGGAGGATTTTTGTCTTTGTGCTTATATATACGTGTGCACTCAAGTAAGTATGCGAGTGAGTGCGCGAACAAGCAAGAGCGTGTGGGGTTTGTGAGTGGAGAGAGTGAGCGGGCGAGGGTCCGGTAACTAGACCTTGCTGTCTCTAGGTCTCCTCCGGGACTGGACGGGCTCCTACGACATCCCCTTCTACCTGGCGGGCGTGCCGCCGCTGGTCGGCAGCGGCGTGCTCTTTTTTGTGCCGTATGTGACCGCGCGCGCGCCCAAGGAGGAGCAGTGCCCCGAGGTGGGGGGGGCGCGGGGGACTCCGCTGACTCCCGGGGGCGCGGGCGACACGGCGGGGTCAAGGGGGCAGCTCCTGCTCAGATCCCCGGCCGAGGACAACGCTCCGCTGGCCACCGGCCTGTGAAATCAATCCGAGCTCTGTTAAGAAAGCAGCGCGAAATGTCATCGTCGGTAATAGGAAGTGTTTTATTTTTTTTGTCGTGGAGTTAAACGTTCCGAGTAGAACACTAACCGTTTGACCTCTTTTTAAATGTTCATCCCACATTGTTGTTTTGGAATCATCTTGTACGGCCTAAAAATTCCACGGTGTTGGCTTCTTGACATCCCGAATATACCTGCAGGCCCATACTGTGGGTATCCGGTCGAGTTGTTCAGTGCAGGAGCTCGACCTGGGAACGCGAGAGCAGAAGCCGCGATGTTTTTTAAATGAGCCGATGTTTTGTGGGATCGTCGCTCCGAGTCCAGGCTGATCGCAAGGAGCGCCGGGCAAGTAGCATCCTGCGCACAAATGCGCGTGTCGTTCCCCTCGCGATGATGTAACACTACGTTGCTCCGGGCCCTAGTTGGCTCGCAGCGCGACGCTGATTTTTCTTTTTTTAAGCATGAAATTTTTAGACGCACTGTGAGCTTAAGGCCCTTTTTGTATTTTTAAATGGATTGCATTTTTGTAGTAGATTCAGCTGTAGGTAGGTTTGGTTTACAAGTCTCTACACCGGTGACTGTAGTGTAGAGCTTCGTGTATACGTTAGGTTCGTCCGCACAGTGTTATACTTAGTCGCCAGGAAATCCTCAATCGAGCTGCAGACTCTACTAGGTCCAGCTCCTCCTCGCTCAATTGATGCAGGGCCAACTCATCAATAAGATGACCGCTGTGATTTCCTATCAAGTGGTACTGTATACATGTTATCGACCTACGGAGGGGATGATAGGCCGAGTTGACCCTTGACTGTGATTTGAACTCGACACCTCATGATTGCGAGGTATGCGCTCTTAATCGAGCGCGAGGGATTGGCCGTTATGAATTGAGGATCGCCTTAATTCCTGCCGAGTTATGCTTGCAGTATTCCCTTATTATTTGCCAAGGATACGTTCCGACGATGCTCGTGATTCTCAAATTTGTGAATTACCTTAAATAAATACATCAATGAGCTAATAAATACGTTAAAATTATCATAACAAAAAAAAAATTGGTAGTTAAAAAGAAAGATCAAATATAAAGAAATGTGAAAGTAACTCATCACTTTATCTCTCATCACCTTATCTCTTCACTTAATCTCTTCACTTTCTCGCATCACATTCTCTCTCACCACTCTCTCTCATCACTTCCTTCTTCCCTCTCTATCTCTTGATGGTGTCCGTGCAGAGTTTCAGATGCGATTCGTGGATAGCCAAAATCGCGGATAGCTAGTTCATGAATAACAAGGGAATACTGTACAAGTAGCAAAGTGGGGGTCTCATGCCCCCCCATCCCCACCCCTTCCCCCCTCAATAGTTTCCTACCTCAAAGCACGTCTGAGCAGCCTACCATGCACCTGGACCCGCTTGTCACTCGCGATGCACTCAACTCTGCAAGTCGCCGGGTGCGTGTCTCAACTAGGTAGCCGCGATGCTCCGTCAAACCGTGTTCTGCGCTTGGTAGATGTTTTTTTTGTATTGGTATAAATGCTGTTAAACGTTAGAATCGGTCAATTTGATATGTTTAAATAACAATACCTCCTTTATTACATTACGTTATGTTTTGTTTACCCATGGGCGATATGTTGCCGTTTCCCAATTGTGTAATTTGCAAGTACGTTTTGTTTTTATTTTGGCAAATCTTGACCATGATGACATTGCGCCCATAACCTACTCTTCTTTTGAATTATGTCACGGGATCTTTAACTTACACTGGTTAATACATCCTGTTAAGCCACATCGCATCTATAACTGTACAGTGAGGGAAAAAAAGTATCTGATCCCCTGCTGATTTTGTACGTTTGCCCACTGACAAAGAAATGATCAGTCTATAATTTTAATGGTAGGTTTATTTGAACAGTGAGAGACAAATAACAACAACAAAAATCCAGAAAAACGCATGTCAAAAATGTTAAAAAATTTATTTGCATTTTAATGAGGCGAAATACGTATTTCACCCCCTCTCAATCAGAAAGATTTCTGGCTCCCAGGTGTCTTTTATACAGGTAACGAGCTAAGATTAGGAGCACACTCTTAAAGGGAGTGCTTCTAATCTCAGCTTGTTACCTGTATAAAAGACACCTGTCCACAAAAGCAATCAATCAATCAGATTCCAAACTCTCCACCATGGCCAAGACCAAAGAGCTCTACAAGGATGTCAGGGACAAGATTGTAGACCTAGACAAGGCTGGAATGGGCTACAAGACCATTGCCAAGCAGCTTGGTGAGAAGGTGACAACAGTCGGTGCGATTATTCGCAAATGGAAGAAACACAAAAGAACTGTCAATTTCCCTCGGCCTGGGGCTCCATGCAAGATCTCACCTCGTGGAGTTGCAATGATCATGAGAACGGTGAGGAATCGGCCCAGAACTACACGGGAGGATCTTGTCAATGATCTCAAGGCAGCTGGGACCATAGTCACCAAGAAAACAATTGGTAACACACTACGCCGTGAAGGACTGAAATCCTGCAGCGCCCGCAAGGTCCCCCTGCTCAAGAAAGCACATACATGCCAGTCAGAAGTTTGCCAATGAACATCTGAATGATTCAGAGGACAACTGGGTGAAAGTGTTGTGGTCAGATGAGACCAAAATGGAGCCCTTTGGCATCAACTCAACTCGCCGTGTTTGGAGGAGGAGGAATGCTGCCTATGACCCCAAGAACACCATCCCTACCGTCAAACATGGAGGTGGAAACATGCTTTGGGGGTGTTTTTCTGCTAAGGGGACAGGACAACTTCACCGCCTCAAAGGGACGATGGACGGGGCCATGTACCATCAAATCTTGGGTGAGAACCTCCTTCCCTCAGCCAGGGCATTGAAAATGGATCGTGGATGGGTATTCCAGCATGACAATGACCCAAAACACACGGCCAAGTCAACAAAGGAGTGGCTCAAGTAGAAGCACATTAAGGTCCTGGAGTGGCCTAGCCAGTCTCCAGACCTTAATCCCATAGAAAATCTGTGGAGGGAGCTGAAGGTTCGAGTTGCCAAACGTCAGCCTCGAAACCTTAATAACTTGGAGAAGATCTGCAAAGAGAAGTGGGACAAAATCCCTCCTGGTGGCCAACTACAAGAAACGTCTGACCTCTGATTGCCAACAAGGGTTTTGCCACCAAGTACTAAGTCATGTTTTGCAGAGGGGTCAAATACTTATTTCCCTCATAATGCAAATTAATTTATAACATTTTTGACATGCGTTTTTTCTGCATTTTGTTGTTATTCTGTCTCTCACTGTTCAAATAAACCTACCATTAAAATTATAGACTGATCATTTCTTTGTCAGTGGGCAAACGTACAAAATCAGCAGGGGATCAAATACTTTTTTCCCTCACTGTATAACCATTCAGTTCCATCGTGAATATCCACACCTCTGTTCTGTTTTCTTTTCGTTTCAATGATTTTCATCGGGGAGCTGTGGGTTGAGGAGTGTCTGTTCTTGTGCGTTGAGTCGTTTCTACGACTATCATAAAACCGTGATCTCTCTCTGTGCCATGCAGACACACACGAGAAGCAGCAATAAATGGGCTGTTCTGTGCAGCAACCGATACAGGGTTCTTACACAGAGATTTCAGTTTGGTCCATGGACTTGTGTACACGCTTTCTACCGCTGTGTACAAGATGTGAAAAGCCACGTGGCATGTACCTTATTAAGCACCGTTCCTCCATCTCTCAACACTGCTGCCATCACTGTCATTCTGAAAAACCCCAACATTGGATCCCACCATCTCTAACCTGCGTTTCCTTGTATTCATCATCAAGCCCCTTGGGAGAATCTAATGCTGGACAAAGGCTTCCCCGCACCCCTCTTCACATCCTACACCACCCAGTCCACTCCCGTGTCCTCCAGAGCCATTCCACAGACTACCCTCCTGAATGTCACTTCTGTCTCCCCTCGAGTGCCGTCGAATTACGCACGTGGCTGGTAATTATTCCCTGGTTCTATTCTAATCAAACTGCTGCTGCTTCTCTGCATCTGTATACAAGCGGTGTCTTCTCAGAAACCTCTCTGCGCTATTGTTCCACGAGGTTGCCATTGGATTTTCTCAATGTGTCCGTCCATCCACTTGGAAACAACCATCCCTGGTTCAACACTGCCCAGCTTTGCTATGGTACTTATACCCAGCTATACCGCCCGCCAACTCCCCAGACCATGCTGGCGTATCCTGATGTGGTCTCACCTTGGACTGGTTTGTGCTTTTTCCAGGTTCAATATTCCTCAAAAAGTGGAAATATCTTATGCAACAAGTCTCCACTTGGTGAAACGTGGAATTCAAGCCAAAAACTCGAGCCTTAAACTTCGTAAATAAATGTAAAACAGATTGATTGTAAACGGATTACGTTGTTATTACGGTAACTGTTCTTCGGTGCAATTCAGAATGAAAAACGCAACAAATTGTGTCCGGCACATTCTGTATGAAAATTAAATGAAATCATGGCGTCGTATACCTGTACATGGCGCGAAAGAAAAAAAAGTTTACATGACTTATGCTGTTTGTCCACATGCTTGCAAAGCTAAACATTCAAAATCCTACAAAAACGGAAATGAAGGAAAGAAAACGGCGGATATACAGGAGACCCTCAACAGTGGCACGATCGGCGTCGCCTGACGCCACTCCAGAGTCCCCGTACATCGACGAAGCTACCAACAAGTGACGCGTGCCACTCCGTCGGCAGGGAGAAATATTCTTGGCAGTAATTTTTTTTTTTACGCTTGCTAAGAAACAGCACGAATTGGTACTACCACCTAGGCTAACAAAGCTTTTAGTGGCACCAATGTTTTTTTTTAAATCTAAGAGTGAGTTTTTTTCCCCCCTCTTCAAATAGCCCACTCGTACTCTCTCTTTGGTTCTATTCAGAAGGTTCTGTTCCTTCACCTGAAGAAGGCTACTTGTGTTGTGGCCGAAACGTCGTGATTTTTGTTTTATTTTTTACCTACGTGACTTTACCGAATAGAACCAAAGAGTATGGATCCTTGCAGTCACGAAAGCTTCAAATCTAGAATAGCCCACTCGCTTGAAATGGTTGTATAACGTTGTTCACTGTTACTTGCCACGTAAAGAAATTTGAAGCACTCAAAGCGATCCCACCTCGGGTGGTAACGACACGTGAGATGTCTGGCCTCGTGGACGTCTGCATGGCTGGCTGTGTTCAGGCTGTTGCTCGCTTGGCCGCATTATTCCCACGTTCGTAATGTTACCTTCAACCCCTCCTTGTCATGTGCACGCAGTGGATCGTTACACTTTAGCTGCGGGCGTTTACGTGATGATGTTCTTAAAGGAGCTCATTTATAACATCTTGTACTTTTGCTAGAAATGTGAAAATCATTTGACAATAAATTTCATTTGAAACCCACCAATGTTCTCGGCGTGTTGAATATAATGCAACACGTTGGGCAGTGCCGGATTAAGATAGTGCGGGGCCTGTAGCCTATGTTATAAAGGGGCCCTAAAAATTTAATATTAAAGCACCATTTTTTTACTTGCACGGTAAAGTAATTGTATTTTTTAATTTGCTATACATCCAGATAATACGACAAATCACTAATCTTAAACACCCAGTCGTTCATAAAAGTTGAAGGCAGTATAGTACTATAGTGATAGAGCAAGTGCAGAATCACTGAACCGGAATTGATAGCTTGAAAGCATTTAGCGCGCGGCTCTTAATAGTGCGGGGCCCGTAGCGTGTGTCGCTACTTTCGCTACTAGGATCATTGACGTTGGGCCCTAAATACCCCGAAGTAGCTGATTTCACATCGTCATGGACGGTGAGCCACGGGCTAAAGCGGGTTCCGTGAGTGACCACGGAGACGATCGTAGAAGGCGTCACGAGACGGCGCTCTCCGAAGACGCGAGATGTCATCGGCAAGACGATCGTGTGTGTGTGTGAATGCGTCTGTCCGAGATCTACATCGTCGCAACCTCCTGACTGGACGTTCACTCCTCGAAGACGCGGGCGGTAACCGCGAACCGCACCAGAACGCCAACGGGGCGATGCGCACGTCCCCATTCGTTGCTGGACAACAAGACGAGACGGAGTGGTGCGACTGGGGCCACACAACCCAAACTATGGACCGTGTAGGAGGTAAACCACCGTAGTATGCACTCCTTTAAGGGAGGAGTAGCAAGACCGCACGGAACTCTGTGCCGAAGCCCTGTGGGTCGTGGCTATCAGACCTCAACATTGACATTTAGCTCACGAAATTGATCGTCATGTTTCTGGAGAAACACCGCCAAATGCGGTTTGGCCAGGAGACGTCGTAGACGCCTGTTGCCCATGGGGCCTCCAGCACAATCATATTTTTATTTTATTGCCCCCTTCCCCATACCCCCCTTTGTAAGATTTGTGGTCGTTGAGTTGGAGGGGCTCACCAGCCCCTCGCACCCTTCCGGAGTCCACGTTTGCCACTGCGGTGGCTGCGATGATACCAGGAGGGCAACAACTGATTTTTGTCAGCCTCCCACACCCGCAATGGCACTTACTCACTGCACACCACAGCTTCAGCAAATTGGCAACCGCCGGGGAGGTGGGGGTTGTTTTATTGCCAGGATGAGTTCCAATTTGGCATCAGAGGTCTCTCACTCCAAGTTAGTCGAGCCGCGTTCATTTTTAATCGGCTGCATAGTGCTGAGGAAGCTACCTGGCCTGTCGCTTTATACGAAGCTTCAGGTCTTCGCGGCCACAGTTATTCCCTCTATTTTCTAATCATGCAAAACATGGAACCCTTTGAAGTTTTAAAGGACTTCTGTGCCAGATTTTCTTTTACATTCAGGATGGCCTGCCTAGGATCCATCCTGAGCTTAACCAGACTGGATTGTGTGAGGAGCTCACGGATGCTTTAAAGATCTGGACACAGTCCCATCGGTGGGCACTTCCGACAGGCGAGGCTGCGTTGACTGCGTCATGTAGCCCGCATGCCCAAGCAGCTTTTGTTTAGCTGGATAGAGGGGGCTAAACGCGGCGCGGCACGGACTAGACAAGAGATGGACTGATGTGGTGGTACAGGAGGCATGTGGAGCAAGCTTCGTAAACTTGCCGATGGCCGGTACCAGCGGCGTTGAGATCGGCCTCTGTGGAGGAGGCTCGTAAAGGACGCCGCTGCTACTGGGCAGTTGGGAGGCAGTCGCCCTCCAACAACAGTGGAGGACAGAGGAGCGACGGCTCACAATAATGTGCAGAATGCCGGGCAAATAAAATGGTAACAAGTTGACAAAATTGGGGATCACAGTTAGTGCATATGCCAGCCATCTCAGTCAACCCATAGTACCTGGAGTCTGCCCTGCCATTCAGCCTTCGACATAATACGTTTTTGGGTTAGGTCAGTCAATGTAAATGTGTCGTTAAACCCGCCGCCACCCGACACAGCCAATCAGTAAGGTTTGTCACGTAAACAAAACATGCCAATTCGTTACTAGTACGGGACACGGGTGTGTTGGAGAGTAAACCCACTACAACATTTACAATTCGAGTACCGTAACGTTTCGCGGGTAATCACAACCAGCATCATCAGGCAACAGCCACAGAGCTGCGGAGAAATCCTCCTCCTGTTTCGGTCTTAAATAGAGGTGGGGGGGGATACATGTGACGTCGCCATTTGTGAGCCAATCAGGTGCGAAGACCAGAGAGAGAGAGGTTGGTGCGTAGCTGTCAACCCATTCGGTTTAACCCGTAATCTTGTACAGGGAAAATCGAGTTTTCAGGTCCATACGGCGTACAGCCGTTTCAATACGGGCAATACATGTTTTGTGTCTATTTGTTTGTGTTTCTCCGTTGCGATGGGACTCTGTAGGATGAACGTTGAGATTTATAAGGGGCACGGGGTGACCAATAAGGGGCCGTCCATAAATGACGTCACGCTATTTTGGCCGATTTTTGACCCCCCCTCTCCCCCCCTCGTCACACGGCGTCACAAAAAGTCAGACCCCCCTCAAATATGACGTCACAAAGCTCTGCCCCCCCCCAAAAACATATTTCCATTTTGAAAATAAAACATGCTTCAAATCGCTTTAAACTATTGTCATTGTAGTGCGTATTTAATGTGGCGATGCACTCTCATGTTGTAGGCGAAAACATTTATTAAAAAGGAGGCGTTGGAAAGCTGAAAATTAGCATAAAATTCACTTATATTCATCGTCTGACTATAACTGCAGATGTTCAGAATATTATATTGAAATTCTCTTATAATTATAAAATATTAAAAGTAATTATAACTATAAAAAATACATGAAACTTTTGTAGTAGAACGAAGCAAAATGGAGAGTAAAATTATAACAATCACATTCATTTCACAGAATGAAAAGCCCTGGCAGAATCATTAAAATCAAAATGTTTAATAACAAACATTAAAAACTTTTGCAAAACGTATGCGTCTCCATTCTCCCATGGAGAAGCAAAATGCTCCTTCATGGAATAAATAAAAGGTGACCTTAGTACATTTAAATAATCAAATAGTTGATAATAAAAATAAAAAAATTAGTGTTGTTATAACAATTATATTCAATTAATATTTATTTAAAGTTGCGCATTTTGATGTGACGTCACATTTCTCAAACCCCCCCTCCCCCCCTCGTCACACATCATTTATGGACGGCCCTAAGGTCTGAATTGGTCTGTAATAAGGTAGGCACTGATAAGGGGTTGACAGGTTTGTCAATGTATTCATATAAATTGCAATGGATATCCATTACCAGTCACCCTTCGACAATTCACGTGGCCTCAAAGTGCACCTAGCCTGGCACAAGCGCCGCGGTGTTGCAAGCACGTGTCAGGGTATTCCTCCCCCCACCGTCCCCACGTGGTTTCTGCGCACGTGGTGTTGGTCACGTGGGGTGACATCACGCTCAACAGGAAGTTTGGGTCTTGGCAGCTCAGCGTCGGCTTGCGCGCCGCCGGTGAGGGGTGAGGAGGGCGGTGAGGGTGACGATTATTCTGGTGAGGAGGGTGAGGAGGGTGAGGAGGGTGAAGGTGACGATTATTCTGGTGAGGAGGGTGAGGGTGAGGAGGGCGGTGAGGGTGAAGATTATTCTGGTGAGGAGGGTGAGGGTGAGGAGGGCGGTGAGGGTGAAGATTATTCTGGTGAGGAGGGTGAGGGGGGTGAGGGTGAGGAGGGTGAGGAGGGTGAAGATTATTCTGGTGAGGGTGAGGAGGGTGAGGGTGAGGAGGGTGAGGGGAGTGAGGAGGGTGAGGAGGGTGAAGGGGGTGAGGGGGGTGAAGGGGGTGAGGAGAGTGAAGGGGGGTGAGGAGGGTGAAGGGGGTGAAGGGGGTGAGGAGGGTGAGGGGGGTGAGGGGAGTGAGGAGGGTGAGGAGGGTGAAGGGGGTGAGGGGGGTGAAGGGGGTGAGGAGAGTGAAGGGGGGTGAGGAGGGTGAAGGGGGTGAAGGGGGTGAGGAGGGTGCGGGGGGGTGAGGGGGGTCAAAATGCTACCGAACACAGCTGCTGCATTGTCTGATGTTGCTGGCCAATGCCGTTGACCAATGAGTAGTGAAGTGACACTGCGTTGACAGACATTGCCTTACGATAATAATCATTTTTATCGGCAGCAGCGCCCGAGAGGGCGTCTCGGAATCTGTCACCGTGTGGTTTCCCGCCCTGTTGGATTCCCCTCGGCTGCGCGGCAATGTGGGTCTCTCGTTTCGTGACCCGGGCCAGCACGGCTCTCTTTGTTTCGTGACCCGGGCCAGCACGGCTCTCTTCGTTTCGTGACCCGGGCCAGCACGGCTCTCTTCGTTTAGTGACCCGGGCCAGCACGGCTCTCTTCGTTTAGTGACCCGGGCCAGCACGGCTCTCTTCGTTTCGTGACCCGGGCCAGCACGGCTCTCTTCGTTTCGTGACCCGGGCCAGCACGGCTCCCGGCGGTCACGGAAACACCGGCTGAACACGCCTCTAGTGCTCGGTGAAAAGCGCCCAAGGCAGGTTCTTTCCACCCCAGCAGTAGATAGATCATCGTGGGCTGATGCTGCCGCTTTGTCCCTCCAGGTGGCGTCATGGCAGACGCCTGTCCGATCATCAGCTCGGTGCAAAAACTGGTGCTATACGAAACTCGCGCGGTGAGTGGTGGACCACACGCCCTGTCATCATTAGTAGCCTTGTGTTGTCTCGCGACGTGCAGTGGACACGAAGAGACACACACACACACGCGCGCACTTGGTTCCAATGCCAACACTTGGTTCCAGTGCAGATCAAATGTCGGACTGAGTATAAGATCACTGTGACTGTCTTCAGAGTTCTTCGTGGGCTGGTGCCCGAGTTAATTACTCCACACGTCAACTCTTCACACAAAGATCCCCCGTGTAGCCTTAACAGACTGTTGGGGCAAGTGCTGTTAGCGAGCGCCTATGAAGGCAGGCACGGCACACGAGGGGGTGAGTGGTCAGCACCACGCCCGGCCGCCTTTGTCTCCCCAGTGGCGATGTTTACACACCGCATCAGGTACTCATTTGAGGCTGAGTCGACCTAGGGGAGGCCCGTGACTGGTTCAGATAATCGTCACTGTGTGTTGGCCGTGAGCGGGATTCGAACTCGGCTCGCCGGGTTCGTAGCGCAGCGCGCTAACCGCTACACCATTGCTCCCCACTTCGCACAAAGACAAAGATCCCCCGTATAGCCTTAACATAATGTTGGGGCAAGTGCTGTTAGCGAGCACCTCTGAAATTTTTATCACACACATCACACTTTGCTGCCCTGCAACACCCCCTTTGCTCTGCAAATCGAAATTTGGAAAATTCTAAACCTTATCATTTTTATTACTGTATATATTTTTTATATAATGTACATACATTTTTTTCCTCTCAAAATCGGAAGTTTATTAAAAAAGTTTCTGGAAATGCAGCTGCAAAATCGATAGTATATAATTGGAGACTGTATTGTATAATTGACAGGTACGTGGCCACGAATTGAACCTGGGAAAGTGGACTTGTAGCACGGGTATAGCAAGTGCCACGCTCTCCTTTGCACATTCATCTACAAACACACGGACACAATAACGTGTACAGTCGTGCACAGACACGCGGGGGCATTTGAACGTATGTTAGTAGATCACACAGACTGCGGACATTCATTTTGACAAGCACTGATTTTGAGGAAAACGGTCGTAGGGCATTGGAAACAAAATGCGGACACGTGGCAGAATTTGCTGGGCCGGATAAACGTTGCGACAGGAAAGCGATGCTATCCGAGAGCTGCATTGGTATGTTGCGTTGACAGGCGCGGTGGGACTCGGTTTGTTTCAGAGGTTCTTCCTCGTGGGCTCCAACGACGCAGGTTCCAAGTTCCGAGTGCTCAAGATTGACCGCACTGAGCCACGTGAGCTGAGCCTCAGTGATGACAAGGTGCCTTTCATGTACTCTAGACTCAGCACGTGTGTTCCCTCCGTGTGCACTGCATACTCTACACGTGTGTTCTCTCTCTGTGTACTGCGTACTCTACACGTGTGTTCTCTCCCTGTGTACTGCGTACTCTACACGTCTGTTATCTCCCTGTGTACTGTGTACTCTACACGTGTGTACTGTGTACTCTACACGTGTGTTCCCTCCGTGTGCACTGCGTACTCTACACGTGTGTTCTCTCCCTGTGTACTCTACACATGTGTTCTCTCCCTGTGTACTGTGTACTCTACACATGTGTTCTCTCCCAGTGTACTGTGTACTCTACACGTGTGTGCTCTCCCTGTGTACTGTGTACTCTACACGTGTGTTCTCTCCCTGTGCACTGTGTACTCTACACGTGTGTACTGTGTACTCTACACGTGTGTTCTCTCCCTGTGTACTGTGTACTCTACACGTGTGTTCTCTCCCTGTGTATTGTGTACTCTACACGTGTGTTCTCTCCCTGTCTACTGTGTACTCTACACGTGTGTTCTCTCCCAGTGTACTGTGTACTCTACACGTGTGTACTGTCTACTGTGTACTGTGTACTCTACACGTGTGTTCTCTCCCAGTGTACTGTGTACTCTACACCTGTGTACTGTGTACTCTACACGTGTGTACTGTGTACTCTACACGTGTGTTCTCTCCCTGTGTACTCTACACGTGTGTTCTCTCCCTGTGTACTGTGTACTCTACACGTGTGTTCTCTCCCAGTGTACTGTGTACTCTACACGTGTGTTCTCTCCCTGTGTACTGTGTACTCTACACGTGTGTTCTCTCCCAGTGTACTGTGTACTCTACACGTGTGTTCTCTCCCTGTCTACTGTGTACTCTACACGTGTGTTCTCTCCCTGTCTACTGTGTACTCTACACGTGTGTACTGTGTACTCTACACGTGTGTTCTCTCCCTGTGTACTGTGTACTCTACACGTGTGTACTGTGTACTCTACACGTGTGTTCTCTCCCTGTGTACTCTACACGTGTGTTCTCTCCCTGTGTACTGTGTACTCTACACGTGTGTTCTCTCCCTGTCTACTGTGTACTCTACACATGTGTTCTCTCCCCGTGCACTGCGTACTCTACACTTGTGTTCCATCCCCATATACTAAATATTTTACACCTTCTTGTCCTGTGTACTGTGTACTCTTCATGTGTTCCCCTCCCCGTGTACTGTGTACCATACACGTGTTGATCCCGCTCCCTGTGTACTGCGTACCTTACACGCACGTGTAATCCCGCTCCCTGTGTACTGCGTACCGTACACGTGTTGATCCTGCTCCCTGTGTACTGCGTACCTTACACGTGTGATCCCGCTCCCTGTGTACTGCGTACCATACACGTGTGATCCCGCTCCCCGTGTACTGCGTACCTTACACGTGTGATCCTGCTCCCTGTGTACTGCGTACCATACACGTGTGACTCCGCTCCCTGTGTACTGCGTACCATACACATGTGATCCCGCTCCCCGTGTACTGCGTACCGTACACGTGTTGATCCTGCTCCCTGTGTACTGCGTACCATACACGTGTGATCCCGCTCCCTGTGTACTGCGTACCATACACGTGTGACTCCGCTCCCTGTGTACTGCGTACCATACACATGTGATCCCGCTCCCCGTGTACTGCGTACCGTACACGTGTTGATCCTGCTCCCTGTGTACTGCGTACCATACACGTGTGATCCCGCTCCCCGTGTACTGCGTACCATACACGTGTGATCCCGCTCCCCGTGTACTGCATACCATACACGTGTTGATCCCTCGGTGTGTCCTGCACACTCTGTGACATGTGTTCCCCGCTTGTGACTGTGCACACACGTGACCTATTTGCTTGCTGTATAAATGCTGCCTGCTCACGCGCCGTGTACACGCCAGTGGACGTCGTGCATTTTGACCTCCGGCAACCTGCTGAGCGGCACAATGCATATTGTGTCCAGTGTTTTGAGTTTCACATCGGATGCAGTGGCCCACACGTTCATGTGGATTTGTAATGCTGTTCGAAAATATCTACGATGCTCACTGTACCACTCCAGCACGCCGCCAGACTTCAATAAACATGACCTGTGCTGCGTTCCCATGAACGCACAGAGCCCGGTGGGCCTAGTTCAGACATGGGAAAAGTACGGCCCGTTGGGCTTTTTAATCCGGCCCGCCGAACTTGTCCAAATATTATTATTAAATTAAATTAAATTTTCCCCTTCTCCTGTAATGCCCCCATTTCCCCATTAGATGGTGCACTTTGACCGGAAGTTACGACATGTTTTTGTATTGTTCATGTTCGTGCAATTTTTTTAATTGCCTTGCAAATAAATGCTTTGCTACCTGTTAAAGGCCAAATCCTTTCATGTAATGATTTTTACACGTCATTTATATTAGTTCACACAAACACTCCAGCCATCTGTTCCTGGCCCGGCCCCTCTGTCAAATTTTAGAACCCATTGTGGCCCGCGAGTCAAGAAATTTGCCCACCCCTGGCCTAGTTCGAGATGCAGGCGAGTGAGCTCTGCCTGCATTTTTCCAAGCAACCCTATGGGACCAGGTGAAGCTGTAGGAAAAGCCGTGTAGCTTGCTGCGTGATCTGCTCAGTGGCTCACTTTGCCAGCGGAGCTACCTACTAAATGGAGATTGATTCAGATTGTGAAAATGCAAAATTCTTTGCATGCTGTTCAGTTTATTTACTTATTTATTTGTACATTTTAATAATTTTAATTTTTTTTTATATATATACGGGGCACGGTTTTACCCACCCACGTGATTTCAAAGGACACTGACGCTCGCTGTTGTGTGTGACTTGTGTTTCATGCAGCACGTATATAGCGAGGCAGAGGTGCGTGATCTGTTGAGTCGCCTCGACCTGGGCAACCGTGCTCGCTCCGGCGCAAGAGGGCCCCTACTCGGCCTCCCGGGCCTTTCTCGTGCCACAACTGCGCACGGTATCGTCGGTAAGACTCGGCGCTATGGTGCGAGCATTTACCGTTGTGTGTCTTGCGTCGTTCGCCGTGTTGCTAGCCGAGTTGTAGTTGCGTTGACGCTGTGTTGCGTGGTGTTCAGTGCGTTGCGTTGTGCTGCGTCGGTTTGCTATGTTGGGAGCTTCATTGCGGTGTGTTTCGTTGTGCACTGTGTGCCGTGGCGAGTGCTCTACTGAGCTCGTGTTCCGCAGTTGTGTGCTGCATTGTGCGCTGCCTCCTTAAGGGTTTGTGCGCTTCCTGGAGGGCTACTACATGGTGCTCATCACTAAGCGTCGCAAGGTGGCCGATATCGGGGGCCACAGCATCTACAAGATTGAGGACACCGTAATGACGTACATCCCCCACGAATCTGTGCGCGTCAGCCACCCAGATGAAGCCAGGTACCTCTGCATTCCCCCTTTTTTCATTCAAGCGCTGAACCCCCCTCTCTTACGTCTATAACTGAGTCGAAAGCTGTCTTTCAGTTTGAGGTGCTAAGCTAGCAGGGTATGGCAGCGTATTTTTTGTCGCTGCTGCTGTGGGACCGCAGGCAAGTTCAGAAAAGCCCCAGCCCTGGTTGTTCCCTCTCACGAGAAGGAGAACTGCTTTACATTGGAGGTGCTCTTTTTTTCTTGAGCAACAACAGAAGCAAAGTCGACGCTTCTAGGGTGAGCTGCTCACCGAAAAATGCATTGAGCCGTGCGCCTTCGTCAGCCAGTGCAAAGAGACAAGTTGTTAATTGTGATGGAACAAAAAAAAACAATCTGTAAACTACTACAGGGAAGAAAAACAATTGACACTGGATGTCATTGAATCTATAAGCCTGTGTTTAGCTTTAATGTTTGGTGTAATGAAATGCATTATATTAGGAGTGTTACTCTCTGCTTAAAAAAAAATCAAACATAATTTCAAAGCGACAGGCTCACTTGTGGTTTGTGCGCCAAGAGCGCTTTCACTGAGTTTATGGAATCTCAGCTGTGCAGTGGGTGAAACCTGTGACGCGTTATGAAATGGGTGTTCTCACACACTTCACTTTTATTGCACACGTGCGGATTATCGGTACCTCTGAATCGGGTCAAAATCACGAGTAAATTTTGGTTTTCACACCATTAAGTGCAAGGCTATCATGAAGGCACTGTGCTTCACGTAGTCTGCAGTAGTTTTGCAGTAGGGGAGAGCGAGGTTACATTTTCACCATGTCGACACACAATGGCCTGCTCTTTGAATGACTTCGCGGGATCTTTACCAGCCACTGTGAAGCGGACAATGTGTATTTTATGGTTACTATGCTCGCACTATTAACCAGGGCGGCCCGTGGGATCCTGAACCGCAAACCTCTAACAAGCAGAAAAACGTGTTACCGCTGGGCCACGTCACTAAGATCTACCCACCCCAGGTAGCACCATCAAGCAAAGCGTCTGGTCCGGTCCCATGGACTAAGTACAGCTGCAGGAAGCATGGTCATGCTCTGAGCAGAGTTTGTGATGCTCAGGTGGGAGTGTTTCATACAGGAATAGAATCGCTAACATGGTTCTTGTTGTGTTTCAGATATGTGAAGATTTTCCAAAATGTGGATCTCTCAAGCAACTTCTATTTTAGGTAATGCACTTGTATGTCGAGAACAAGGACATAGTTTACAAATACAACGGTAAATAAGAGTTACAAATTCTAAAGCTTACTCATGACTCCAGCATTGCTGTATTTCATGTCAGCATATGCAGTACCTTTTTTGACTGTGCATTGCAATGGCTTATTGAGAAAAGCACCCTTTGTTATTGTATTTTAAATTATGGCTGTTTGCCAGTGATGTGAAAGCTCCCACAATACCTTGTGAATAATGACCACGTCTACTGATTTTCTGTAATAGCCCTTGCGCGTCTTTTTCACCACAGCTACAGCTACAACCTCACGCACTCGCTCCAGTACAATCTCACGATGATGGGTACGGCGCGAGACACCACCCCCTCCACATCCACAGCCCAAGCGTCCGTCCTCCCACTGAGCCACCGCGCCCCGCCCAGCAGCTTTGACATCTTCGAGGAAGAGGGATCGGCCCCACACCACTCGCATGGTACGGGGGGGGTCACTCACTCCCTATCACACGGGGTGTGTCACCTCCCCAGCGTCTGTCCCTGTGTGGTGTGTCACCTGCCTAGCATTCGTCCCTGTGTGGTGTGTCACCTCTCCAGCGTCCGTCCCTGTGCTGTGTGTCACCTCGCCAGCGTCCTTCCGTGTGGTGTGTCACCTCCCTAGCATCCGTCCCTGTGTGGTGTGTCACCTCCAAGCGTGTGTCCCTGTGTGGTGTGTCACCTCTCCAGCGTTCGTCCCTGTGCTGTGCGTCACCTCGCCAGCGTCCTTTCGTGTGTTGTGTCACCTCCCCAGCGTTCGTCCCTGTGTGCTGTGTGTCACCTCGCCAGCGTCCTCCCGTGTGCTGTGTGTCACCTCGCCAGCGTCCTCCCGTGTGCTGTGTGTCACTTCGCCAGCGTCCGTCCCCGTCTGGTGTGTGTCACTGTGTGGGGTGTGCAGGCAGCAGGTGCGGCGTGCGCTGCGCTTCGTGCGAGAAGTTTGTGTGGAACAGTTTTCTGCTCGAGCCCTTCCAAGGGAGCGTCCATCCAGATTGGGTCCTGCACATCACACATGGATTTTGTGCACAATCCAGTATCCTGTCCTACCCCGTCCCTCTCCCCTGCAATCAATCGATACAGTCTCCTGTGGAACTTCAACGGCATGTCGAGCACTCTGCGGCGCTTGTATCCGAGCATTTTGTAAGCGTAACCGGCCAAGTTTTTTGGAGCAGGTCGCAGTCGGAAGGTTGCAAGTTAATATCCTGGTTGGGAGTTGACTCAGCTCATCCTACCTCCAAAAGCAGTGCCACTTGGTTGGGACATCAATAGTGGTTGTCCTATGGATAGGCTCACCCCCGCCACAGGAATGTGGAATTGCCATTACTGGCTCTAAATTGGAGATGAACACCACATTTTTGTTGATATGAGACGGTGTGGTGGAGTGGAATTAACACGGTTGGCTACGTACGGTGCAAAGGAAGTTCAACGTTTGTGTGTGGCAGGTGTAAGTCGTGCAGAGACTTTGTGTGTTTCCCTTGACCTCCGACCTTCAGAGCTTGTTGTGTATGGACGGCCAGTCTACATAACCCTCATTGCGCGCCGCTCTGCTCGCTTTGCCGGGACCAGATTTCTCAAGAGGGGAGCAAACTCCGAGGTGCCGGAAACTTTTTTTTCCACTGCGTCGCGTCTAATCGTTCGCCAACTGGGTTTAAGTCGCTCCGCGGAAGGCGTGTGCCACGGTGACACCTGTGATGGCGACGATTTTGTCACGGCGCGGCGTGGCCAGGGGGATGTGGCGAACGAGGTGGAGACGGAGCAGATCGTGCAGGACGCCTCGGTGATGACCTTCGCCCACGGCCGCTTCTCCTCCTACGTGCAGCTGCGTGGCTCCGTGCCGCTGCACTGGTCCCAGGATATCTCCTCCATGATCCCCAAGCCGCCCATCACGCGTGGGTTCTGCCTGCGCACTTACTCTTGACCGCCCGCATCTTGTCCCCGGCGATACCTCGCCGCAGTTTCAAGAGAAACGTATCAAACCGCGAGATCGCGTTTGTGGGCATTGTTCGCCAGCTCGCCGATGGGCTGAAGCGATGATGATGATAGGCGAGTTTAAAACCGGTTGCGTCCATGGGACGATCTGTTTGGCTGTGTCCGGTGATAGAGGTTTCTTAATGACACAGATATAGTCATGAGATCATTCGGTGGTCTCACCCAAAATCAATTACCCATCATAATAATGACTGAAAAAGCTACTTTGTTAAGTTATGTCAACTGTGATTGCCGCTGCTGTTTTTTTAAAGCAAATATTCAATGCTAGCTGCTGTCTTGCAATTGTTTTTCAGTGGATCAGGCGGACCCGTACATGCTGGTGGCCGGGCTGCATTTTGATCAGATGCTGCAGCGATTTGGTTCCCCCATCGTCATCCTCAACCTGGTCAAGGTGATCCTGGAGGCATTTGTGCGCGGAGCACCGTACACCTTGTACATTTCAAGTTTTCAAGTTTCATTTATTTGGTATATCCCTGTGAGCCATGCGGCTCTTAAGTCGGTGTGCAACCGCAACAAACAAAACATGAACAGAGAAACCTCTTAAAGCGACGACGCGCAAGAGAAACATCCTGGGATAAACCAGCAAATCTTCCAGAAAGAAAAAAAACCGCCGTATTACAACGCTGTGTGCAAAAATGCCATGACAGTGGGAGTCACACCTGTGCATGGAGGTGTGCTAAACTAAACAATTTTTTATTTTAGCAGGTGAGGCCCACTGAGCTGTATAGCTTTTTTTTCAGAAACAACCTGGCCACAAATGAAGTCGCTGAGCATGTGGAAATCTATAGTAGCCAATATTCTAAACGCATGTTTCTAAATGTGGAGGGCAAACCCGTAAGACCACAGGGAGAACATTCAAACTCCAAATATACAAGAGTCAGGGTCGGGATCGAACCCATGACCTCCTGTATACCAGGCGAGCTAGTTAACATCTGGCCACCGTGTGCATGTGTGCGTGGAACCCAGCAAACCCCAGTCCGATTTCCACTCACGACCAATAATAAAAGTGGTGGATATTTGAATCGGTCTTGGGCCTCTTCTATGTCAACTCAGCCTTAAATTAATACCTGGTCTGGTGTGCATCAACTCTGGGGAGACAAAGGTTGTTGAACGTCGTTCCGGCCACCCACCCCTTCGCGTGCCGTGCCTGCCTTCGTATCTGCTCGCTTACAGCACTTGTCCCAAAATTTTGTTAAGGCTATACAGGGGTTCTTTGTATATTTATAGAGGTGTGTGTGTGTGGTGTGGCATCATGTGTAAGTGCACGTGTATACATCTGTGTGTGTGTGGGGAGCGGTGGCGTAGTGGTTAACGCTCAGCGCTACTAACCCGGGGACCCGAGTTCGATTCCCACTCAAGTCCAACACCAGTGACGATCTGAAACGGTTCTTGGGCCTCCCCTAGGTAGACTCGGCCTCAAATGAGTAAACATCGCCACATTAGAGAGAAAGGCGGCCGGGCGTGGTGCTGGCCACCCACCCCCTCGTGTGCCGTTCCGGTTTTCATAGGTGCTTGCAAACAGCACTTCACCCGACAGTATGTTCAGGCTCTACGGGGGATCTGTGTCTTTGCATGCTGGTGTGCGTGCGTCCTTGACACTTCCACCGACAGTATGTTCAGGCTCTACGGGGCATCTTTGTCCTTGCATGCTGGTGTGCGTGCGTCCTTGACACTTCCCCCGACAGTATGTTCAGGCTCTACGGGGGATCTGTGTCTTTGCATGCTGGTGTGCGTGCGTCCTTGACACTTCCTCCGACAGTATGTTCAGGCTCTACGGGGCATCTGTGTCTTTGCATGCTGGTGTGCGTGCGTCCTTGACACTTCCACCGACAGTATGTTCAGGCTCTACGGGGGATCTGTGTCTTTGCATGCTGGTGTGCGTGCGTCCTTGACACTTCCTCCGACAGTATGTTCAGGCTCTACGGGGCATCTGTGTCTTTGCATGCTGGTGTGCGTGCGTCCTTGGCTTGCGCGGGAAGCGTCACGAGAAGCGTCGCCATGAGAGCCTGCTGAGCGAGGAGCTGCTGGCGGCCGTTGGCTACCTGAACCTCTTCCTCCCCCCCGAGCACCACATCCACTACATCGCGTGGGACATGGCCAAGTACAGCAAGAGGTGGAGGCCACGCGCACAGCTCACAGTGACAGCTTTTACAATGTGTACGGGACGCGCACACAAACTCGCGCGCCCGGTTGTGGTCGCGTTCGTTTCGGCGATCGTTGTGGATGTGCCGTTTAGGTTTGCTGTTGTTTGTTGTCGATATTTTTGTTGTGTGCTGCAGGAAGCACGTGAACGTGCTGGACAAGCTGAGTGACATTGCAGAGGGAGTTCTCAGGAAGACGGGTTTCTTCATGAACAAGCGGAGCTACTATTGCAACGCTCTGCACCTCGAGGAGAGGTGAGGGCAACCAGGAACACACCCCGCACCTGGTGGAGGAGGTGAGTCTCGTGAGTTTAGTATTTAACTGCGTCTCTGAATCGCTGTGTGTGTGTGTGTGTCGGTGAGCAGATTGGATGAGATCGGGGGACTAAGGATGGCTGGGCGACAGTTACAGGTGCTCGTCCATAACCCTGTTGTCAGCTCTCTACACAACATTGAGAGAGCAGTGGAGCTATTGGAATTGTTTAACACGTGAGCACATGGTGCTGGATTTATTGTTGCACCGCAAGATCACGATAGGTGGTGGCGGTGGTATGGGGGTGGCTTCGTCCAGCTATGGATTAATCATGGCTGTTGATGATAAGATAAGGACATGCTGTGGATAGTGTTGAATAAGACCGTAAACTGAAAGCTTTATATAGGAGTCTTTTACGCTAGTTTTGTGTGTGTTTTTTATGCAAGTTTTCAAACGTTCCCTATGAAGGCATGCGCAATGTAATATTGTGTTATCGTGCGTAATCAGACAGGAGTACTACGGACTAACTGCGTCGACTGTCTGGACCGCACCAACACTGCACAGTTCATGGTTGGAAAGTGTGCGCTCGCATATCAACTGTACGCTCTGGGAGTGCTTGGCAGTCCCCAACTGGAGCTGGACACCGACGCTGCCAGGCATGGAGTGCGCACACGAGCTACCATGCACATGCACAGCTACTTATGGAACTGCACACAAATCTTGACTTAGAGCTTTCGTGACTGCAGGAATTCATATTCTTTGGGTCTTTCGGTAAAGCCACGTAGATAGAAAAATGATAAAATTATCACGACGTTTCGATCGCCACACAAGCAGTCATCAGCAAGTGAAAAAATATAGCGAGAGAGCTGCCTGATGACGATTGCTTGTGTTGCGATCGAAACGTCGTGATAATTTTATCATTTTTCTATCTACGTGGCTTTACCGAAAGACCCAAAGAACAATGCACACACTTTCAGTGCATACACCTACACGCATGTGTACATAGCATCTGCGGCTATGGGGTTGGCATTTTCAAGATCAAGATGTCAACACACCTCTGCAATGCTCTCAGCCGCTGCAGATCCTGCAGCTGCTGCACAGTTGAAAACGTGACCTTCAGGATCTGCCATAATAGTATCCCAGCGCCTGCTCTTAGGTCTTTCATTTGGTCAGTGGACTCATGGAGACCACTCCACTTCCTTGAATAATTATCAAATAGAGCAAGTCAAGATCTATCAGTATCTTGGGGTCATCCTGGATTCAAAACTTAGTTTTGAAGATCACATTGATTATATTGGTAAAAAGACAAAAATAAAAATTGGTTTTCTGTATCGACACAAGCACTGCTTCCCCCCAATGTTCCGTTTGGAATTGATAAAAGCTACCATACTGCCTCTACTTGACTACTGTGACATCGTGTATAAATCAGCTCCAAGTACTGTACTGAAGAAGCTTGATTCCATCTATCACTCGGCCTTAAGATTTGCATTGAACTGCCCATATAGAACTCACCACTGTGATCTCTACATTGGGTCAAACTTAACATCTCTTAATGTTCGACGGCTTGTGCACCAGATCTTATTTATTCACGATGTACTTACAAAAAATTCCGCAGACTACCTACTGGATCTCCTCTCTGTTTCAAAGAACAAATTTGACCTCAGGTCTTTGCTCATTTACCAGCTTCACATTCCCTATTGCCGTACAAAAACTGGAGGAAGGGCCTTTGCTATTGATGCCCCCAGGGTCTGGAATGCTATTGCCAATAAACTGCAACTTGAATCACTACCTATGAGATCTTAACTCAAAACTGCTCTAGAGGAGTTGTACACCCCTATCTGCCACTGCTATTCAGTGGCCTAAAATATGGCTCTAGATTTTGGTGTTATAATTTATTTACATAGTGTATTGTTAAAAATTCGGTCACAGTCCCTATGATCACTGTTACCTTGCATTTATGGCTTTTATTTTGGTGATTTCGAAAAGTTTTTTTGTTTTGGCCATGTTTTTGTTTATTGTAGTACGGAGTTAGACTGATGGCCTTAATCTTAGTTGTCTTGTGGTTGTTGTTGTTGTTTGACTTGCATCCCACTGGCATTTTTGCACACAGCGTTGGTGTACGGTGCTATTTCAGGAATATTTTGATGTTTTTTTTCCTGGATTTTTCTGTTTGCACAGTCACACACAGTCACTTTAAGATGTTTTCTTGTTCATGTTTTTGTTTGTTGCGGTTGCACCTGATTCAAGAGCCGAATGGCTCACAGGGCTATACCAAATAAATGAACTATGAACTCTTGGCAATTAGCCCTTGCCTATCTTGCACATGTGCCCCTACCGAGCGCAAACCACTGCTGCCTCATCATATCTACCAAGCTATGCTAGTGTAATTCTTTATTTTAACTTGGAAAGCTTGCCTTGGAAAACATCGTAGGCAGGTGGGCCCCTGCCTATGATGTTTTTTTTATTTTTTTTATTTCTGTTGTTGAACTTCTTTCGCAGCATTGCATGTGGGAAGAAACAGGAGTGCCCAAAGAAATCCCACACGCCGAGAAAGGGCGGACACTCAAAGCTGCCGCAGCCTGCCATAAATATGCTCGCCATAGCACCAATGGCTCCAATCTCGCGTGATCCACCTCACTGGATTAAGGGCGCATGCCTTAACACTTCAATCTTCTTTGTCTTGCGCTCAGGTTAGCAATGACATCGAGCACAGCAAAGATGTCAAATTGTGACCTCAAGTTGGATGCTGTTCTAGAGAGGAAGGCAGTATGCGAGCACAGTGTTCGTACACAAACAGCACCAACGGCGTCACCACATCGCAGAGATCAAATCCACTCGAGTCATTCACCCTGCATTGAGATTTGGGCATACAATTGAGGTTTTGTCTTTATAATAATCATAAATAATTAGATTTATCTATATCGCTTTTAATCAAGGATCTCAAAGCTTTGCACAGGACACAAGCAGTAGCAGACACTCAGCATAAACATTCTATTATAAGTACATTAAAAAAATAATTGATGTGACCAGCATGGACACAAAACTGTAGCCTCTGCATTGAGACGTTCCTCGTGGCTATTGAATGTTGTCATTTTACAGGATACTGGAGGAGTTGTATGAAGACCACGGTGACACGCTGGCCCTGCAGTACGGAGGCTCCCAGCTGGTGCACCGTGTCAAGACTTACCGCAAGCTCACGCCGTGGACCTCGCACTCGCGGGACATAATGCAGACGCTCTCCCGCTACTACAGCAACGCCTTTTCAGGTAATGCGAATCGCAATGCACTTGGCTAGACGCTTCGCCGTGTGTGTGGGGCCTGCTTTGCATTCTTGTGCATGTGCCCTGCAGGAGTATATGATGCATATCTGTCAACCCCTTATCAGTGCCGTACCTTATTACAGACCAATTCAGACCTTATTGGTCCCCCGTGCCCTTATAAATCTCAACGTTCATCCTACAAAGACAATAAAAAATGGTGCCCGTATTGAAACGGGCTGCATGCCATGTGGACCTGAAAACTCAATTTCCCTGTACAAGAATACAGGTAAACCGTATGGGATGATAGGTATGGGATGATAGGTATGTGATGCGAATCCATGCAACGTTTTCTCGCAAACTGGACTTTTGGCTCCTCGTTAAACTGATACAAAACTGCGTGGTTTTATTCTTGGTTCTTTCGGTAAAGTCACGTAGAAGGGAAATAATAAAAATAAAACATAATCAAATTATCATGACGTTTCGGCCACAACGCAAGCAACCGTCCTCAGGTGAAGAACAGAGCTGTCTTTCCGACAGCTCTGTTCTGTCTTTCCGACAGCTCTGTTTCTTCACCTGAGGACGGCTGCTTCCCTTGTGGCCGAAACGTCGTGAGAATTCTATTGTTTCATTTAATTTTTTTATTCCCCTTCTACGTGGTGACTTTACCGAAAGAACCAAGAATATGAATCTCTGCAGTCACGAAAGCTTTAAATCGAAACTGTGTGGTTGTGCATGTACGAAATCGCCGACGATGCATTGCGCGCAATCCACCCACGTGACTGCTGCAGCCACGCGTAGCGTCGCGATGCGCTGCAATCCTTGAATGCAACCACGACTGCAAATTGTTTCGTACTCCTCGCGTGCGTGGACTCGCATGCGGGTTGTGCTCGTGACCCGACCCCCCGCCCCTCTCCCCCGCTGCGCAGACGCTGAGAAGCAGGATGCAATGAACCTGTTCCTGGGGATGTTTGTGCCTCGGGATGGGCGGCTGCACCTGTGGGAGCTCACGACGGATTACTACCTCCACCACACGGACGCCACCCGCCTCCCTTCCGCGCTACGCAGGTGTGTGCCCTTCCGCTGAATCCGCATCTTGAATGGTTGAAGCAGATAGGTGACCTCTGCAAATGAGGGGATTCTAGTCTATTTTGTCCACGATTCTCATGGCCTGGGTCTTGTGCAGGCTGTCGAATTAGATTTTTTTGTTGTGCCCCCTAATCCCACGGCATCTTCTCCTGTATGCGTCCATCGATGTGCGTGTTTTCTCCGTCTCGGCTGATTTTCAGTCACAGGATCTATTCATTCATAGGAATGTATTCTCGTCACACGTTTCTAGCTGATGTTCACTTGCTTTTATTTGTAGTGATTTGCGATGCCTCCTGTTTATACTGTTAAGTCCACATGATGCAATTTCACATTTCGTCTCAAGACTGCGGCTATGCAGTCTTGTGTGCCATAGTGGAGGCGGCTGCCCATGACATCAGCGTATGCGTTGGCACTGGTTGGCAGGGCATGTCCTTGTGACAGAGAGGATATGTCCCTTCTGTATGGAATAGAGTGTTGCCCCCTTGCATGTGTGGGTTTTCTCCAAGTGCTCCGGTTTCCTTCCGCATGTATGAAGGCTCACTAATTGGTTGAAAACACCTTATTATGTAGAGAACTGCAGAGCAAGTGTTGGTGTTGCCTGGAAACCTTCCGGCTTTGTCCGTGGTTCCTCTGAGCCTGTGAGACCCAATCTGTATGAATGCCGCTGCATCAAGTTAATCATGACAATCATTAGATTATATATTTTTGCAGATGTGAAGGTGTGTTAGCACTACAAAAGAGTGCATTTTATGTTGGATCCCACAGCCGAAATGGTAGAAGATGTTAACGCAGTGTGATAGTCCTAGTACAGGGTTTTACAGCACTTGGGGTTCTGTTGTGCGTTACACAGACCCTGCACGTATTAGTAATAATATGAATGATATTTTCCCAGAACACTTCACTGAGTCTCAAGACAATTATTCAGGAGGTTTCTGTGTTCGGTTGTTTGGCCGCTTCCTTTAAGGAATGTTTGCCTTGTGGGAGGAAACCATATACAGTAGACTCTTGTATAAGAATAATTTTTACCCTTTCTGGCAACATAACAGGTGTTAAGATGTTAAAACACCAGACATAAACCTTTTGCAAGGAATCATGTCTGCATTAACCACACTTGTGGTGAACATGCACACAAAAACATGCTCTTGTAGTACATGATGATGCATTGTCTTTGAAACTGATTGGTCCACACCAGAGACGGCCTTCTTTAGAGCCTCGTCTCAAGCAGTGTTAGACCAGAGGACAACGCCAAAAGGCGAACAGCACAAAGACCATGCCACTATCAGGACATTGAGAGCTCGGGGTGAGCAGCTACACCATGGGACCGCCCTTGTCAGTATCAAAACACAACTGTTTTATTGCCAGAAAGGGTTAAACCTATTCTTATATTTTGATGCTGGCAAGGGAGGTCCCATGAAGTAGACTCTCGATTATCCGCGCGTGTGGTTTATCCGATTTTGCGGATTAACCGTGCACCTGAGATTTTTACTTGAATTAATAGCTCGTGGATTTTCCCTGAAGCCCAAATTAATCGTCTAAAAACAGTTAATACGTCGTTATTCTCGGACATGTGTATCACAAGTCACGTGCTTAAACCGAGAAAATATGCTGCTACGGTTAATCCGAAATGCACGTGATCGCCTCTACAGTCCAGTAGTTGCCATATCTTTACAACAGTGGAGGCAGTTTTATTGATGTTGTTTGGCATGGCTCTGCTATCCACTTAATGGGGCCGAGTTGTCTGCTTGGGCAAATATGTTTTTTGGCATAGAGATCCGTGGAAAATTTATATTTTTGGATTATCCGGAGATTTTGAATTATCCGCGGCCATCCTCCCCGTCATTAGCACGGATAATCGAGAGTTCTACTGGATACTCAAAAGCTCAGCACAGATGAGTTTATTCCATCTCCTGGCCACCGAGTAGCTTAATCCTGCAACATCTGGTACTTCCAGAAACTAGGATTTTACATCCGCTCAGCTTCCGAGATCTGGCGGGAACGGGAGCATTCAGCGAAATGTGCGTTTTTCTGTGGCAGCTACACCCGTTGGTGGTCTCCGGTGCTACTCTCATGTCTTCCACTGCCCTACGTTCCACGTGAGTTTTCCCCGCTCGTCACCGGCATCTCGGGAAGCTGAGAGTTGGTTTCATGGGATAAGGTCAACATGTTATTGTGGCCAAAACCGTCAAAGTCCGCCACCCCTACACACGAAATTGCCAACGCTCTCTCCCCTCCGCCAGATCCCCCAGCTGCTGCGCAGTATACTGACACGCAGCCATCTCAAAGATCTGCCCTCGCAGTAATCCCACCTTCCATAGCCTTAGGTCTTCCCTTCGTCGCCACACCTGTGGGTACCACTCCAATGTCTGTGTTGGCAATTTTCCATCCCTCATCTTTCCTGCGTCCCACCCAGCGCGACCATTTTGCATAATTACATTTACAACACTTACCTGCCTCTCTTCTGGATTTATATCTTGCCACAAGATATAAATCCAGAAATATTTTTTTTCATCGGTGTACATTTGCTCCCGATGACATTGATGATAAACATGGACATTGATCGAAAATATTTATTGACAGCTGTAAAGTGGTGCAAAGAACCATGAAGAGGTGCACTTGGCAAAAAACTAAGAGCAGCTGCAGGGAAGATAGGGAGGGGTTGAACTGACGTAAGATAATTGACGTTGAGCCCGGCCTCCTGCAGGTGCAGGACAAGAGGCGGGTTATCGGCCCGCGGGGTCCGATTGCCTTGGTGAGGGCGCCGAGGATGAGGAGGAGGAGGAGGAGACGGACGTTTACACCGAATTCTTCCAGCCTCATCAGCTCACCAGCCTCGAGGAAACCTTCGCCTTCACGATGCCTTGCTCCACCCGGTGAGTGGCCTGCACCACCACCTCGGCCCGGAATGATGTTTAGAGTTCTAAAATGATTTTGGTTTCACCAAGTGAGAACTCCAGAGACCCGGGATGAGTCTCATTTTCGAGCGTTACCTGGGGAATTAGTCTGCCAGCAGGGGGGGGGGGGGTGATGTTTGCTGCTATGTATAATTCCAGTTGAGAAAATTTGTGGGTGATCATTGATTTTTGCCATATTTGGATTCTGACGCCAGCATACAATGGCCTACTCTTGCGAGTGACGTCAACAGTAATAGCCAGGGCAGCCGCTGGTTTCGAACTGTGAACATCTGCAACAAGTAGCTAACGTGTTGCCACTAGGCCACGTCACTGCCTAAGGTAAGCAGGTTATCTTGGCCAATGCTGTTGATTCGAATTAAAGTTGTTACTGTGTGAGTTGAGGTTGCGGTGTCGGTCTGAATGGATGTTGCTGTGTTGTTTCAGAGACTTCATGCCCAAGGGGGCATCCATAAATCCAAGCCCATTCATTGTGCGGAAGCCTGAAGAGACCAGCAAGAGCTCTCCTTCGCTGAGGTGTACTGTTTTTTACGCTTAAAGGATGCGTTTACCGTGTACACACGTGACTTGCATGTGTGTTGTGCGGTTATCAAATCAATCTCGATCAAAATGTTATCGTGGCCAAGCCATCGATTGCCAACACACCTTGGCAATGCTTATCAACCCTTCGCCAGATCCAGCAGCTGCTGCACAGTAAACAATCGACCCTCAAAATGCGCCCTAAACATTATCCCACCATCTGTGCTTAGGCCTTGTGCTTAGGCCTTACTCTTTGGTCTTTGAAATCGGCCCTCCCCATCCCGCACGTACCACACAGTGCAGCCCTTGTTCCTCATCACATCTACAAATCTTGGTCTGCCATGCACTCATCCAGACTACTGTGTTGCATATCCTATCTTGCCACGATATGGCATTTGAGACACCTGTGCTCAAATGCCAAAGACTTTTATTTTTAAGCTCCTTGGGGTCCAGGGGGCCCTGGTACGGAACAGCTTACGCAATTCTACCCAGTTCTATAAATTGCGTCACGAGAATTTGTCCCAATTCCGATTCCCTACGGGATTTACACGTGGGGATTGCTTAAATTTCCATGAAAACATAGGGGCGGTTACTTGCGTCCACACACACACACTATTGCGTCCACACACACGCACACGCACGTGCGTGCTCACAAAGACAAAGATTCCCCGTATAGCCTCAACAAACTGTTGAGGTGAGTGCTGTTCGCGAGCGCCTATGAAGGCTGGCATGGCACACGAGGCAGTGGGTGGTCAGCACAACGCCCGGCCGCCTTTGTCTGCCTAGTTCCGATGTTTTACATATCACACCGGAGAGTTATTTGAGGCTGAGTGGCCCGAGGTGAGGCCCAGCACCGGTTCACATATTCCATCACCGATGTTGGCCGGGAGTTGGAGTCGAACTCGGGTCGCCTGGTTCTTAGCTTCGATGCGCTAATATAGCCCCTACACGACCGCTCTCCTAAATGCACAAACACAAATACACACCCAGACACATGCACACATCCACACTCTTACACACTCAACATAGAAACACATAGGTGCGAATCACGTACAAATACTCTCCCCGCACAGACACGCACTGTCACAAATCGAAAGGCGATATCTCCATATCGCCTTTTAACAGGTTGTTCACCAACACCTATTAAGGTCGGGCATTGCACACAATAGATGCATAAAAAACCCACACAAAAACACTTCTCTGCCACACAAGCACATGAACACATTCCTACTCACTCGATTGCACACACACACACACATGCTCATACACTCCCACATATAAAGCGCATGCAAAATCACAGAATAAAAAAAACATTAACCTTTGTACAATGTACAACTTACCTCAGTAACAGACTGAAGCGGTGAAACCAGGGTGGCCATGTTGCATAGGGACTTGATGCGCCGATGTCGGCCATTTTACATCAGGATCGCTTCTCCTTGCAGCTGATTGGGTGACGTTAGTGGGAGTGATGGCAATCCCCCCGGCGACCGGGATGCGCACACAGATGCTCAACGTTTCGGGCGACGCAATGTCACAGCCGACACAAAATCGCTGCCCGGTTGACCTTGTGCAAATTTTCTGTGCTCAGGCCCCTCAGCTCTGTGATCCACAGAGTAATACAGACAGCGCTCGTGTCTTAAAAAAAACCTTTTCCTTACACTCGTTTCTGTGTTTCTCTGCTCTCTTCCAAAATGGTTTGCTTAGCCCATCAAAAACCTGCACTGCTAAAGCAATGTGTCTCTTTGACCTCTTCCTCACAACTTTCTGCATAATGAACATTGCTGCCTCAGTATACAAAGTCCCCCACCACCGCTGTGGTTATGGATAAGAATTGTGCGTAGATGTTATGTTCGTCTTTTTAGCACAAAGAATGTTGTAACAAAAATATACACCGTATGCAATGGCTTACTTTAGTGGTGTGTTGCCAATTCACCGAAACCATTCTAACTTGATCCCTGCTGGGGCGGTGCTGACTACGCCCCCCCCCCTCCCCCCCCCGCCAATGTGCTACGTAGCATTGCGAGCACCTGGCAATGTGCTTTGACAAACCACGCAGGCTAAGGGGGTGGTCCTCTGTTGGTGTGTCTGCAGTAAAGCACGTGAGGAAGGGGTGGGGGCTGTGCAGCGCAAGACGGTGGCGAGCGCGCCGCCCCCGGCCCCCCTGGAGGACACTCCGTCCAGCAGCTCGGGGGACGACTCGGCGTCGGACGCCGACGATGAAAACTCCGCGTCCGCGCGCGGCTCCCCGGCCCGCCCCAACCGGCATCCCGGAGAATGTGTGGATCCACGCCAGGTCAGAGTCGCCATCCTCCGCGCGGCCTCTTGTGTAGATCGTGTGGAGGGTGTCGGCGGGGAGCGTGCGACGGACGAGGAAGATTTGAGCCACTCGCACGTCGGTGACTTATGGCGTGCGTGGCCTGTGTAATGGATCGATTCCTATCCCAATATCACTCGGGGAGACTGGTTCATGCTTTTGTGTTCGCCCGACTTGATCAGGCGACAGCCAAATCTGTCTGTCGCCTGATGAAGCTGGTTGTAATTACTGGCGAAACGTTGTACTGAGTTTGTAAATGTTGTGGCTTGGCTCTCCAACACACTGGTGTGCTGTGCCAGTGACGAATTGGCCACGTTCTGTTCACGTGACAACCCTTACTAGTTAGCCGTGGCGGGTTTTAACGACACGATCTGACCCAAAAATCTCTATTAGGGATTTATTTCCATTTGTACTGGAATTTAATAATATATTCCCCCGCCTCCCACATGTATAAATAGCCATAATTGGAGTTGTGACCACACATCGCAATCGAAGCCCACCAGGACCTTGGGCAACTGTTGGGGCCCGTTCTAGCAGCCCTCCTGCTCGTCTTTGGCTTCCTGCGCCTCTTGAGTGGACAAAAAGCTGTGCATTACTAATTCTACATTTTTATTACAGAAACATTGGGGAAAGATAAAAGGGTAGCAGGGCTTGATGTCGAGATCTGGCGTCCGTCGCAAATCAATCATGCATCTCCAATAGCTTGGAGCTGTAGTTTACAGATTCGCGTACAAATCCTGTGTTTTTGCAGCGGAGAGGTTCGTTAACCTGGGTACTTCATTGAAAAAGCCATTGCCGAATGTGAAGTGCAGCGATTGTCTTTGACTTTCCTAAGCAGGTGATATACCCTTCGGCGCAGAGTGTCTACGGAGTCGACATCACAAAGCAGCTCAGTCTGCAAGACCAAGAGCTGTATGCCAAGTGAGTTCACCATCTTATTGAATGAGAACCAAGTCTCGCGACTTGATACGGAATTGACGTAAATGTATAAAAAACGTGCAGAGTCTGCTTGCTTTTGCACGTTTTTTTATCCCTGCTGTATTTTTCGTTGCAAGGTTTGTGAAGCTGGGCGTTGACCACAAGTCGACGGAGCCGAGCGTGCGTGTGGCCTCCTTCCTGGATGTCTCCAAGCTGCTGTGGGTCACCCACTCGGCACTCGTTTGCACTAAGCCCGTGTCACCCTCTGTGTTTATCCTTCATTCTTTGTATCGTAAAAGTTAACGCTAACGTAATTGCATAGCCGAAGTGGCTTGAGCGTGACCACTTTGGGTTACACTAAAACAGTCGGAGCGATGGAGACGGTACGTTATGCGCGTGTGTGGCACGCAGGACTCCGCTATCGGTCTTCCCCCCCGCGAGCGTGCGCCGCGTGTCTCCTCCGCGCGTCTCCGCGCCTGCGCTGGACGTGTACGAGGCGCACGTCCGCGCCGCGCGAGGTCACGCGCTGGAGCCCCGCAGGCACGACCTGGTGCTGTACCGACAGCACGTGCGGAACCGCTACATGTGACGCGCCCTCTACATGCCGCTGCTACACGTGATTACGCACTGCACGCAACTGCTGCATGTGACGCACACGTCACGTGCACTCTGCATGCATCTGGTGCGTTTGACATGCACTCTACATGCAGCCGCTACATGTGACGCGCACGCTACATCCAGCTGCTACATGCGACATGCAATTTACATACAACCACTACACGTGACGTGAACTTGACGTCCAACCGCTACGTCATGCGCACTCTCCATGCAGCTGCTACATGCGACGCACACTCTACATGCAGCCCGTATATGTGACACGCACGTGACATGCATTCTTCATGCAGCTGCTACATGTTACGCACACTCTTCACGCAGCTGCTTCATGTGACGTGCAACCTACATGCAACCGCGACATGATGCGCAATCCACATGCAGGTGCTGCATGTGGTGTACATTGTACATGTAGCCACTGAATGTGACACACTTGACTTTGTTTTTTTGCACATCCTCTTGGCCGCACTGTCTCCTTGGAGTGTGTATACATTTCCGCAGCATTTAATCAATACAGCACAAGTAAACCCTGGACCCGTTTCAGCATTCATTGTTTCTTAAGCAGTCAGGCTTAAACGAATACTGATAAAATTCCAGATCTTTCTAGGCAATGACTCTCTCTGTTAGATATGGGTCCTGAATTATATAAAATGTCAATTGAACCGACAGCCAATCGGGGTGAGGGTGGAGCCAGGGCTAGTCATCTCACCGCCGTATGACACGCCAGACATGAGGATAACATCGTGTTTCAAAAGTGACGTGAACACGTTTTTTGTCACGCAAGACACGCGACGTTGCGCTGAACGCAAGTCGGAGGTCCAGTGCGAACCCACCCGCCCCCATTGTCGTGATTGTCAACACCATATTGATTTTTTTAAGGCATCTCACTTGCAGACCTAAGGAGTCTTAATTCCATTGCTGGGAGTCCCAAAACCGCACTGGAGAGACCCAATTTAAAAGCGGGGAGTCCCAATTCCAAATCAAGCAGTCCAAATTCCACATCCGCAAGTCCGAATTACGCCGAGGAATCGGGACTCCAGAAATGGAATTAGGACTCCTGTAACCAAGGGACGGACTCGGATTAGAAATCGGCGCCCGGCATTTTGTAAAAACAGCGGGGCCCAAATTGCTGTGCAATCATTGGAAAGATGTTCTAAATCATACCAAACATTAAACTAATTTCAATGGTACAGTATATTTATCCAAGTAGCGATATACCAAACTTTCACAGCAGCTTATTTCCCTTCAAGACAACGTTTGCATTGTCAAATTCCCCTCCCCCGTGTTAAGTGTTCCATCAGCACTTTATGCTAATTCCTTTGTCAAAGCAAGACAATGCTTGCATTGTCAAATTCCCCACCTCCTCCCCCCGTGTTAAGTGTTCTATCAGCACTTTAAGTGTTCTATCAGCACTTTAGGCTAATTCCTTTATCAAAGCGTTTGGTTTCTTCCCACACAGCTTAAAGGACGCGACCTGGCTTGACTTTCTTTATTCCAACGCTAAGTGACAGCACGGTCCCCTTCACCTGATGAAGGCCACTTGTGTTGTGGCCGAAACGTCGTGATTTTTGTTGTTTTATTTTTTACCTACGTGACTTTACCGAATAGAACCAAAGAGTATGGATCCTTGCAGTCACGAAAGCTTCAAATCTAGAAGAGAATCTAAACGTTGAGCGCGATGCTGAGGGGTGGGAACTTCTCATCTGTCCCACCGAAAAACCCAAGCACCTACCCCCCGGGTACTCTCTGTTATCGGAGAACCCTCGACTCTCCGTGGCTATCTGCAGTGACGGAACTGGGACAAAAAACAAAATCGGTCCAGGTACTTATAAAAAAAGACACCGGCCCAATTTGGGGCTATGGGCAATTGTTTAACATTTTTTTTAAATGGAGTTGTGCGAGAGACTGCGTAGTACTGGTAGCCAGACGGTGCGACGTGACGACACGTGTGAGTGATTTTTGCCGAACGATCTCATCGGGCCCCTTTTTGGCTGGGTCCACAACAGCAAATGGGGCCGGTGGGGAAGCATCTTCTTTGGGGCTGCCTGATATGGTGGGGACTTTATGGCAACCAGAGAGCGGAAATAAGCAATGAAGCCTGCACATTAGAGGTAATACAATATTTAAAAAAAACAATATATATAAAGCATTAAAATAATTATCTTTGGTTCTTTCGGTAAAGTCATGTAGAAATAAAAGAAATAATAGAATACGACGTTTTGATTGCAACACAAGCAACCGTCATCAGGTACGGATGAATGAGAAAACAAACCGAGTAAACTTAGAAAGCTAATGCAATGCAAACACAGAGAATCGGCTAACACAACAGTTAACACTTTACCTGGTTGATTACGTTCTTCCAAAGATTGATGAATTTGAAGTTAAGTGTGAGTGAGAGACGCAGACACGGAGAGAGACACACACAGAGATTTTAATGATCATTTTTAATAAAACAATTATTTTAATTGCATTTAAAGTAATTAAAACATTTTATTGAATTTTTTTATGAAAGTCTATTTTTAAAATATATATTTAAAATTGTAAATATATATTTTCAAATAGATCTATTTTTTTTTGCTCCGATCACATTTTACAATTTCCCTACACGGAGAGCCCCCCCCCCACACCGGCCTTTGGAATGGACCGGTCCACCCGGCCATTGACCCCTACGGACTGCTGCCCTATGGCCAGGCCGGGCCTGCCTGTAGCCCCAATTAGTATTAGGCTTTAGGGTTATGGCTATAGGGTTAGGGCAATAGGGTTAGGGGCAATAGGATTGAGGTGGCTTTATGTGCACTGTAGGTTACGGTCAGGACTATCGGGTTAGAGCTATGGGATCAATGCTATAAGGCTGTTGTGGACATGTGCACTAAAGGTTGTGGTCAGGGCTAAATGGTTAGAGCTTTCGGGTCATTGATTTCAGGTTGTGGTGGTTATATGTGCACTGTAGGCTCTACACACGCCACGCGATTCCCTCTTGTGGACAAATGCACAACTACAGCTGCTGCATTGCAAGGAACAAAATAAAAGAGCGGGACAACAGCCTCCCACACCGCCGTCTCTCCACATGGACAATGCGGGTGGGAGCTGGGGGAGTAACGAGGTTGGGTGCTAGGGGGTGAGGTCGGTGGGGTGGAGGGTAGCTGGGTGTTGGGTAGTTGGGGGGAGGGTAGATAGCTAGGGGATTAGGTAGTTGGGGGGGTAGTAGTTAGGGGATTAGGTATATGGGGGTGAGTCGGTAGCTAGGGGGTTAGGAAGGTGGCGGGAGGGTAGGTGCCTAAGGTTTTAGGTAGGTGGGGGTGTTACGTGTGGAAGGGCAAATCTGGGTTTAAGCATGAGGTGGGAGCTTTCACCCCCCCCCTCCCCCATGCCTACCCCCATGAGCTACCCTCTTCCCCATCTACCTACAGTGAGGGAAAAAAGTATTTGATCCCCTGCTGATTTTGTACGTTTGCCCACTGACAAAGAAATGATCAGTCTATAATTTTAATGGTAGGTTTATTTGAACAGTGAGAGACAAAATAACAACAAAAAAAATCCGGAAAAACGCATGTCAAAAATGTTATAAATTGATTTGCATTTTAATGAGGGAAATAAGTATTTGACCCCCTCTCAATCATAAAGATTTCTGGCTCCCAGGTGTCTTTTATACAGGTAACAAGCTGAGATTAGGAACACTCCCTTTAATAGTGTGCTCCTAATCTCAGCTCGTTACCTGTATAAAAGACACCTGTCCACAGAAGCAACCAATCAGATTCCAAACTCTCCACCATGGCCAAGACCAAAAAGATCTCCAAGAATGCCAGAGACAAGATTGTAGACCTACACAAGGCTGGAATGGGCTACACGACCTTTGCCAAGCAGCTTGATGAGAAGGTGACAACAGTTGGTGCGATTATTCGCAAATGGAAGAAACACAAAAGAACTGTCAATCTCCCTCGGCCTGGGGCTCCATGCAAGATCTCATCTCGTGGAGTTGCAATGATCATGAGAACGGTGAGGAATCAGCCCAGAACTACACGGGAGGATCTTGTCAATGATCTCAAGGCATCTGGCACCATAGTCACCAAGAAAACAATTGGTAACACACTACGCCGTGAAGGACTGAAATCCTGCAGCGCCCGCAAGGTCCCCCTGCTCAAGAAAGCACATATACATGCCCGTCTGAAGTTTGCCAATGAACATCTGAATGATTCAGAGGACAACTGGGTGAAAGTGTTGTGGTCAGATGAGATCAAAATGTAGCTCTTTGGCATCAACTCAACTCGCCGTGTTTGGAGGAAGAGGAATGCTGCCTATGATCCCAAGAACACCATCCCCACCGTCAAACATGGAGGTGGAAACATTATGCTTTGGGGGTGTTTTTTCTGCTAAGGGGACAGGACAACTTCATCGCATCAAAGGAACGATGGACGGGGCCATGTACTGTCAAATCTTGGGTGAGAACCTCCTTCCCTCAGCCAGGGCATTGAAAATGGGTCGTGGATGGGTATTCCAGCTTGACAATGACCCAAAACACACGGCCAAGGCAACAAAGGAGTGGCTCAGGAAGAAGCACATTAAGGTCCTGGAGTGGCCTAGCCAGTCTCCAGACCTTAATCCCATAGAAAATATGTGGAGGGAGCTGACGGTTCGAGTTGCCAAACGTCAGCCTCGAAACCTTAATGACTTGGAGAAGATCTGCAAAGAGGAGTGGGACAAAATCCCTCCTGAGATGTGTGCAAACCTGGTGGCCAACTACAAGAAACGTCTGACCTCTGTGATTGCTAACAAGGGTTTTGCCACCAAGTACTAAGTCATGTTTTGCAGAGGGGTCAAATACTTATTTCCCTCATTAAAATGCAAATCAATTTATAACATTTTTTACATGCGTTTTTCTGGATTTTTGTTGCTATTCTGTCTCTCACTGTTCAAATAAACCTACCATTAAATTATAGACTGATCATTTCTTTGTCAGTGGGCAAACGTACAAAATCAGCAGGGGATCAAATACTTTTTTCCCTCACTGTAACCCCCTAGCTACCCTCCCCCACCTACCTAACCCCCTAGCTACCTACCCTCGTGGTGCGGGATGGACTCTCAACTCGAGACGCGGTCTCCGGACTCCCGGGGAGAGACCGAGACTCGTGTCAAACGTGGCGACAGAGAGAGAGGGACACACGAACACACAGGACGATGGCAGAGACGAGACTGGCAGGGTACACGGAGACACTCGAGGGACAAAAGCGGCAGGGAGACTGGAGAGACTCGGCGTGAGAAGCGATGAGGGGTGGTGGTTGATGGCCCTGCTCGTGTTGGCTGGTTCACGAGTGGTGATGGGGTGATGGGAATGAGTCTTCGTGTTGTGTGGTCGTTGCATGGGTGGTGATAGCGGTGGCGGTAATGGGTGATGTGCTGAGCGTTGGTGGTGGACGCTGGTAATGGTGGTGGTAGGGTTGTGATCATTCGAGGCGGTGACGGTGGTAATGGATATTGGTGGTGTTGGTGGCGGTGCCGTGGGATGGGTGGTGTATTGTGATTGAGGTGGCGTTG